TCCTCCTCCTCCTCTTCCTCTACCTCTACCTCCCCTTTACCCTCCTCACCTTCCCAAAATCGGAACCAAGCGGATAAACCACCAAGTTTGACATCTGTTCCTTCTGAGAAAATAAGAGTCAGAAAAAAGAACTTAGAATCAAACTTCATGCTTGATCTCTGGTCATTCTTCTCTAATGGAGGTGGTGGTAATATCAGTACCCATGAACATATAATACTTAATTAGAATATAAAACAATTTCAGATTTTTATTATAACTAGTTTAACTTATATCTATGAAGACGTTTATTTAATTTGCCTTTGAAGCTCTATTTTTACCAACCGAAATTCTGATACAAAAATCCCATCTCAGCTTGATTTCCTAAACTTCTTTACTTTCTTACTGAAAGACCAAAGGTTGAAATAGGTCCTGATCCAATTTGAACTCCTGGAGTTTTTAGGATACTTGAAGAAATGGATGGGCTTTTTCCTTTCAAAAAGCTGCTTATAGGATTTATCAAGTTATCCACAGAGAATAATGATGATTTAGACACAGATGATGACGAAAAGATTCCTTTGGAGCTCGCTGGTTGCATTGAAACTGGCCTCAAACCAGTATTAGCTGGGTTAGATGGACCGGAACTCTGCATTCTTGGCTTTCCATTAAACAAGCTGCCTATTATCCCATTTGGAACTCTAGTTCCTGTTGCTTGAGTAGAGTTCACCTGATTTGTTTCTTGTGAGTGCACATTCTTACCTACCAAAGACATGTTCCTGTTCAAACTAACTCCTGTTCCTATTCTTGCTGTTTTTCCTGCTCTCCCAAACAACTCACTACCAATTGATGGGGTTTGTGATACCATGTTTTGGACCTGACTTGCAGTTCTCCCCACGCTTTGGCGCCCTGTATTTACATGCATATTGCCGCCAAAACGGTCTGAAAGAGAGGATGGCTTATGCAAAAGAGTCTGGGGAGCACGAATATATGAGGAATTTGAAGTCCATGCTGCCGAGAGAGAGACTGGTGGTTGTTTTTCAGGTATACTGTTAGGGGTTGAAGAGACATTTTTAACTATTTGATTGTAGCCTGTGCCCAAACTTTGACGAAGAAATAGATGTTGATGATTATTATGATTATTAATACAAGTTCTTTCTGTAGATAATGCTCTGAAATGATGCTCACTTAATACTTGTGTTGGTGTTTTTTCGACTCCAGAACAGGAGTTTGAACTGGAAGTAATGCCAATCTTATTTACTAGAGCAGATTTCTGTTGGTCTTCCGATAGTTGAGAAAGTACAGGGTTACTCTTTGGAGGCATAGAGAGGTTTCTTTGATTCGAATTAGAAAAAGCTGGTTTCGAAGAGGTGGAAATAAGAGCAGAGTTGCTTTGGTGGGTAAATTCTTGGAAACTTGTTTGTTGATTGAAATCTTGGCTTGAATTGGACTCAATCTTTCGTTTTGTAAGGGATGACTCTGATTCCACAGGCTTAAGTTCACATTTATTTGGGTTATTAGTAGGACTAATTTGGTTTGAATTAGATAATACAATATTAGATTCTTGAAAATGATTTTCATTGATTTGATTAGATTCTGGAGAAGATAGGCCAAAAGTCCTAGTGATAGATGAAAATGCGGAAGACACCTTATTTCTAGCCATAGAAAAGAAACCATCTTCACCACCTCTTCTGAATTGAGGGACAGGAGGAGGGCGTGGAAGTTGCTGTGTAATATGTTGATTCCCTTGGGAATTAGCAGGATTTAATCTAGAATGCTCCGAACTGGATCTTTTGATTAAACCACTATAACGAGATTGACTACTAGGTTTTTGCTCAATGTTAGGATTTGAATTCATCCTAGTAGCAGTATGAAAAGTGGTTGGGTGTTTTAAGTTAGATAGGCAACTTGTATCTCTTCCACGCTCATTTGATGATGAAAGATTGAGATTAACATTACTATTTGAGTGGGCAACTTCAGGGTTCTTTGCCGAATTAATGACTTTATTTTTAAAATGAGTATCAGGAGTAACTGATCTTATATAGTTTCCAATAGGGAAATTTTCACCGTTGGAGTTTCTTCCTAATGCTAAAGTGTTAGAATTAGGAGTTTTTACAACAGCAGATAAACCGGGGTATTGGTGTGTTTTATTCGTGAAATTGGATTTAGGACTCGTAAGGCTCGCAATATTATTCTTCAAGTTTAGGCTGGATCCATATACAGCATTACTGTTATTATTATTATTATTAACACTCATTTGGTTTCTAGCAGGGCTATAAAAAGATCTATTTAACGTTGTATAACCTCCCGAAGGTGTTAGCATCGGAACTGAAGGCCTTTTGACGTTTGAGTTCTGAAGATTCAGATGGTGTTGATTAGCTCCAAAACTAGTTGGTATTATTGTCTGGTTTCCCATTGGACGCGGCATTGCAGTGGCTGTAGTATTAATGAAAGCTGAATTTGCAGCTTGAGTGTTAAATGGACGATGATTCCCATGAAATGACATTCCTCTCTGTAACTGCGGTTGGTGTAATATTGAAGGTGGGATTCTTTGATGTTGATTTTGATTATTAAAAAAAGATGGAGATTCTGATCTTTTTCGATAATTATTCATTGTTTGGTTAAACTTTTGACCAATTTTCTGGTTATTAATTTTTGCTAACTCTAAAGATTGTAAACTATTATTCATCATATTTTTGTTCTCCAACTTCTCTACTGAAACACCATACTTCACTGCATTTTGGTCATGAATTCCCTCATAACAGTATGACTGGTAAGTTTCTGAGCTAATCACTCTTTCGATTAATTCTGAATCTAATTTTGTATTCACGATTTTTGAAATAAAGGCCTTTATTGTATCAAGCTTGAATGTAATCTTCCAATCTAGTTCCTCACAGAAAATCAGTTCCAAATACTTTAAGGTTTTTGGAGAGATAAATCCAACGGTTCTTGCTAAATCTCCACTTTTTGCACAACTATCATCCCATAACTTATCAGATAAAAGTAAGGATGTTATAAAAATCGGTCTCCAATTATGTTGGCATATAGGTATTTTTATTTTCTCTACAAATTTTGCCATATTTATCACTGATAATACAAAACTTGAAACATTAAACCCTCCAAAATGTAACACACTTAATACAAACCCAAATAGTTCCTGAATACTCACCTTGGGAGTTTTCCCAAATCTAAATAATTCACCCAAGTCTTTATTTTCGCTTTCGGAGTATAAAGGATTCTTCAAAATAAATTCACCTTCATTTGATTCATCATTAGATTTAGGCATATTTGGGGGCAAATTATGTTTGTTTTTGTAATATAGCAATGGCTCAAAAAAACATTCAAAAACACAAAACTTGTTTTGGTCACTTAAAACCTCATTCAAATCTTCATCTGAAATATCTTCTATTAACTCATTTAAGCTTACTAAGCTTCCACAAATTATTTTAGCCAAATTACTTTCCCACTCATGAGAACTAATCTCATTAATCGAATCCTCCAATTCCGTCATTCTAGCTACTATCCCACTTACACCTTTTTCCTATCTTAATTTCTATCTTCTGAAAAATTTACGATTATAGGTTCACTGCATCCCATATATTAATTCTATTATATTTTCTTTGTATTTTTTTTTATTAAAATCTTGATATAGATAAGCATGCTTTTATGTTAGCTGTCTTTTCAAGTGGCGGGCCACGTAATGCCTCATAAATTGTTTCAATTAGTCTTTTCTTCACCACATTGAATTTTAATAAAGTCGAATAAGTTATTGAGAACAAAAGTTGTGCTGCTGAAGCCAATTAAACAAATATTTACACTAATCTTGGCTAGTTATCATTGTTTAGTTTACTCTATTTATTCCCCAAAAATATTGTTTTATACACAACCTCTTTCTGAAGTATGCACACATGGGGCAAATAAACAATTTTCTGTTTGTTTATTGTTTTGGAACAAAGTTTTGCAGATTTGTATCTTGTATTTTCTCTTCTAGTGCTTTGTTTTCTTTTTTTTTTTTTTTTTTATATTTGAATTACTTGGAGAAAGAAAATGGGAAAAATTACTTTGTTTAATTATTTAATGATTACATGCAACCTCTAATTTTACTGCCTGCAAAATTAATTTACACGTAATACAATTCAAAAAGATTGCAATTTTGCATGCGAACATTTCGTGCATGCAAAAAGAGGGGATTTGGCAAAAATAAAAATACATGCAGGAAAAAAACTATTAATGCTGTAATAAAAATTTAAAAATTATTTTACTTGCTTAAATTTTATTGAAACATAGTAATCTTCAGAAGAAAAGTATCCTCCCTTCTGATATTTTTTAATAAACTGGTTCTTCTAAATTTTACTAAATGAGTTAAAAATGACAGACTTTAGGTAATTTGTGGGAGATTGTAGTGTTTATATTCCTTAACGTGGCTCAAAAAGTTGCTAACTTCCATAAGTAGTTCCATAAGATCTTTGTTAGCCTTTTCCTCTGCCTTACTGATTATCTTATTCAATTCCGCCTGTACTGATTCCAAGCAATTAATACAGCTTAAAATGTTCTTTAAACACTCTTCTAAACATTCAAGCATTTTTAGTAGGATTTCTTTGAGTTCACGATATAAAGCTTTTAGTTCACCGGATAATTCAGCCTCCAACTCTTCCAATGATTTAATGAATTTTTTCAATTTCGTAATTGAAGTGTTCAACACAATTTCTTGTCTATAAGTCAATTTAGATTTTAGACAAGGTGCTGGCGGAGGTGGTGGTGGTGGTGGCGGTGGTGGAGGTGGCGGAGGTGGAGGTGGAGGTGGTGGAGGTGGCGGAGGTGGTGACTGAGAAGGAGGTGGTGGAGGTGGTGACTGCGAAGGAGGTGATGGAGGTGAGCTGACTCCTTTATTTGCCTGTTTGCCATCTGAAACTCCAGAATTATCTTTATTCTTTTTCTCATCATTACCATTGGAATTAGAATTCGACAGTTTATTTTCGCTTTTAACCCTGATTTTCAAGAAAGATTCGGTTAAAATCTGAGCATCACCAGAGAAATCAAAGATATAATACAGAAGAACAACAAGAGTAAATGCAATAATGATTTTGGATTTCATCTTTATAAAATAACTATAGTAAAAATAATAATTGGCAAAGATCTATAAATTTTGGCGGCGAAGCCGTGTACATGCAAAGTCTAATGCAATTGCACAAAAATTTCATACAATCAATAAAAAAAAGTTAGTTGGTAAAAAGTATTCTCAAATCTTTTTTAAGAAAGTGTGGGAGCATTAAATTATATTATCTAAATATAAAAGTGATTTCAGTTTTTTTCCTCTTTGTCACATAAGGGTTTTTGAGCTCGCTGATTAATAATCTCGCGAGGAATTAAGTCAGTCAGCATTTTATAAGTATACAATTTGTCGTGTTCAACTCTCTGATTATTTTCAGTAAGGTGAATAAATTCGGCTTCCAAAGCTGCAAGATAATTCACAGCTTTTGAAAGTGTCGGATTAGTAAAATATTCATTTTTAGTAAATCCATATCTTTTCATATAACTTTCCAAGTAGCTAGGCACGCACTTGGGTTCATGGAAAGATTCTGAAACTATTTCAAAGTTTAGTTTATCATCGAAATTTTTTAATTGATCATCAACTAACATATTTTTAGTCGATATATCTGTAGTATTGGAGGAATTATTCGAATTAAAAATTCCATTGCTTACTAAAAGATTGAAAAATTCCTCATTTTCCTTAACTTTTCTAAAATTCGCTGGCTTCTTAATACTCTTAATTTTATATTTGTTCTTTATATATGAAACGTCATTATTATGGAAAGTGTAATTAATATTTAACTTTTTCAATTTTTGTAATAACCTAAAATTTAAATCTATTTGTTTTTTTGAACACTGAAAAAGTTCTTCAAAAGAAGATTTGGATTCATATAGCTGGATACATGTGAGAGTTACTCGAATGTATTGCATGAATAGGTTCTTACAATTTTTGTTTTTAGAGAGATCTTTAAGAGATACATCAATAAATTTCAAAGGCCCTCCTAGTTTCTTTTCAATCTGTACAGCTATATCAGTTGGAATTTCTGGCTCTCTTTCAAGAACCCCTCTTGACCTTTCGATTTTAGATTTTTCATTCTTATTTGGTTTTTTAAGTGTATCATTAGTTTTTAAACTTTTATTTAGTAAATTTGGCTTTTTCTCTAATTTCAAATTTAACAATTCTTTGGAATTTAATGGGTCTTTAGAATTTAACAAGTCTTTAGAATTCTGAAAATCAAAATTACCAAACTTAATGCTGGGGGAAATGTCATTAAGAAGCTCATCAGTTTTGCCTGAAGAATAATCATGTTCAGGATTACCCATAATCTTGTCTATACTATAAAAATCGTCGCTGTATTTATTAGTATTGAAGCTAAAATTTTTTAAGGTTGGAATAGATTTGGGAATATTTTTGATTTGACTACCTCTATTTCCAAACCTATTTTGTTTCTTGCTATTCTCTCTATCATTAATAGATTTACTTAACTTTGCTGGAAGGTTTTCGAATTTAAAACCTAAGTTTAAGTTGTTGATAATATCTTTATTAAGCTTTTTCTGGGGTGGAGGCGGTAAATAAGAAGGATCAACATCTTCATATATATCCATTTGAAAGTCAACTCCTCTGTCTCCAGAATACCCTCTTGGTAATAAAAATAAAGAATTTAAATCGTAATTAATTCCCCTAGATCCATTGCCACCAATATGCTCGTTACTGCATGAAAAAATTGGAGAAGTTTTAATACTGTTTTCCCAATTATCTTTAGCAATTTTCAAATTGTTCAATGCACGCCTATAATATTCCTCAGCAAATAGATATTCATTAGAATCAAGACCGAATCCTGAAACACGAATATCAGAAAGTCTCTTTTGTGCAATAAAATAAGTAAATATTGACATCTGGAGAGCCTCTCTCATTTTTCTCACAGACTCAGACCCTCTTACCACTTCTATTCTTGTATAGTTATCTCGAATATTAGAAAAAGAATATTCATATTGTAGAAACATTTCCTGGGTTGGTGTATTTAGGTTAAAAGGTATTATCAGTATTAAGCACACTAATAAAACACTTTTATGAAAGAAAATTCTTTTATGTTTATTCATCAGTTCTCTGGTCATTATTTGACTACATGTCCTAAATTGATAAAAAAAAAAATAATTAACTAGTTTAAAGAGTTGGCGCCAAATTGTCTTTTTTCACATTGATAATAACTTTCAGTATAATCCAAATAAAAAAATGACTAGCTTTGGCGCCAGAATGCACAAATTGACCAGGCCCTAGTTAAATAGAAAAAGAAAGAAAAATTCAGTTATTTGAGATTAGGATAGGAGAAGGGATGCATTCAAAGGAGTTTCTGTTGAATTTTGATGATGTGAAGGCATTGGTTGAGAGAAAACTTGAAAAAAATAGAGAGTTTAGTCCAAAAATAAGGTTTATTAAACATTTGGCCTCTTATTCAGTAACGATACCATCATTAACTAGAATGAGTAATGAGGAACTAAGTAAAGCGGAAGAAAATGGGGAAGAAATATATATGGACACTATTATAGTGCCTGCACTACCAAGATCTTTGAAAACAGAGGACAATTTGAGCAGTTTGAAGTGTAGATTTTCCTACTCTCAAAAGCCATGTTCAATATCTCCGGCAACGCATTATGACTTATTGAGCAAGATTTTTGGTTACGAAAGGTGTCAGGAGGTGAATATTTTTGCAGATAGGTTTTGTTTGAGAAGGCTAATAGATTTTGCTTTAGGCTCTTCAAATTCTGAAAATGCAGACATTATGGTTTCAACAAAGTTGAGAGTTGACAATCAAGGGGAGGTGAGAAAGATTTCCCCAATAAAAATGCTTCCAATTAATATAAATGAAGGATTTCCGAGTGTGGGATTTCAATTTGAGACTTTTTTGACACGGAGTGAAATAGGGTTGGGATTAAATCCGGATGCAGTTTTGAAAATGGCGGATTCTTGCTTTGTTGTGGATGAAATATTCTTTGGAGATTTGAAGTTGGTAAGAAGGTGTGAGATAGATGCAGTAAGAAAGCAACATGTATATGGCAATTCTAAAGAAAGAAGTAAGCAAGAGGAACATAGAAATAGTTTATGTCATAAGAATTGGGAACAGAAGATTTACAATACAAATACAGAAAATATGGAGAAGAGGATGTGCCCTCCTTGTAGGGTGTTTTTATCCGATAATTTTAATTCTTCAAATTTATCCCCTGAAAATAGGGTTGAGATTAAATCTATTTCATGTAGAAATACTCACAATTTTTCGTGGGTTTCAGTGTATTTTCAAATGCTCATTGGGTCTACTCCTCTTTTAATCAGGGGATGCCATAACAGGGGATTCTTTATGCAGGGATCTATATCATCTTTTAGTTTAGATCAGGTTAAAGAGTTTTCAGGGAAGGAGCTAGGTACACAAAAAAGGTCAAATTTAGATTTTCCAGAGTCCAATTGGGATACATTGACATCGGCAATTGCATTTTCAGAGGCAATACTTTTATACATGTCGAATGATTTGTTAGACTTGATTGGATCATACTTATTAAAAGAAAGCGGTCCTGGAGATCATTTTGTCAACTTTACTATAAAAAAAAAGCAAAACAATATTATTTTTCAATTATTAAATCCAAACGACAATTTACCCAATATTGCTGGCCCAATAAATTATTGGAATAATTATCTCTCTACTAAATAAAATGCCACGTAATTTAAAAAATTTTTGTATGTAGTTTACATGCAATATATTATATATAGAACACGTAATGTGGGGAGGGAAAAAATTGCATGCATGTAAAAAAAAATGTAATCACTATCCCGGACCTCAGGTTTTTGAAAATATTAGCAATTTTATGACAATTAGATAACTTGTATATATATTCTTAATTATTATTTTTTATTAATTTATTTTCTGAGCTGTTAAGTTAGATAAATGGTAAAAGTATGATAAATGAAAATAATTCTGGAAAGAAGCTTAGGGGGAAATTAAAGATTTTACTGGAGAGATTATTTTCAAATGATGGGATTTCTCATATATATTTATTGTTGGTAATCATTTTGTTGGTTAATTTGGGCATAGGATTATTTTTTTGTGGCCGTAATTTGAATAAAGAAAGTGAGTTAGTTTCTAGCTCCATATTTGACATAAATATTAATTTTCCCAAGGGTGAGAAGGATAAGAATACCAATAACTCAATTTACCTCCCAAGAGATGAGATTTCTAGCCAAAACAAGTCTCAAAGTTCTAAAAGTACAACTACTACAACTACTAAAACCACTACTACTACCGAAAGACCTTCTGCTATTACGACAGCTTCTACTACTAAGACTGAAACAGAAATCTACACTGTTCAGAGTCCGACAAATAATTCGGTTCCAACTTGTCTTTATTCAAGCAAGTTTCCCACAAAATATGATTTAAATGGGTTGTTATTTTGGAATGTTTCCTCTGACACATATATATACTGGGGTTACCATAACAAGACAGGATCTGTGTATATTTTGGGAAACAATAGGCAAATAGATAATACAATACAATTTTCGGATGAGAGTTCAACTACAAAAGACAAATTTGATTATGATCAACCAAAGTTAATTGAGTTTAAGGAATCTAAGATTGGCTCAGAGGCAAAAATTGGTCAGATTAATACTTCCAACGTAATTGCAATTGGCAAAAAAACTTTACCTTCATATTGGTATATGAATTGGGTAGAACAAAGCTCATCGAAATCGAAAGAAACATTCAAACCACTTTTTCAACCTTGTCTTGGAAGCTTGTATACTTACAGCAACAACAATTTGCAAGGGTTTTTTCAGGATCAAGGTGTGGTTTACATGTGCGGTTTTAGTAGCTATACATTGGAAAAAGATTTAATAGAGTTAACAAACATTCCTTTTGTCAGAATTAGCACAAGTATTCAAGGTAAGTTAACTGAATAAAATTAAAATCCTACTATTTAGAAATAATTAATTTAATAAATTACGATAATAGAAGACGATAACAAGTATTTGAGTTTTGTTAAAAGTAGATCTAAAAATAGAATCTACAGATTAACGATCATAAAATGTCAGGAAAAACAAGGAAATTATAATCAAGTGTTAACTTATTCATTAAACCTTAGCAGATCTGTGAGGGAAGAGGATTGTGATGCAAACAGCGGATCTTGGCTGATGTATAAATCTGGGGGATCTTTATTTACAATTAATAATGGGGTAGGAGACTGGCAAATACGTACAGAAACTGGCAGATTTGAGTATTTAAAGGAGACAGGCGAATTAAAAAGAGAACCATGTTTTCCAAATTGGTGGAGTACTTATGGAGGTGTAACATCAAAACAGTACGTGCCATCAACATAGAAAAATAAGAGAAAATTATGAATAAAATAAATTAACAAGGGGGTTAAATAGAAAAAAAAATAATATATATATAAATTTAATATTTATTATATTTAATTTAAATTATAAATTTACAAAAGTGAAGGCTTATATAGAAAATATTAAAGGTATTACGGGTAATAGATAGATCACACAAAGCGTATAGTAATTTTGGCACACAAATAATAAATGACAAATTTAAGATAAGGAAGATAAAGTAGGAATTGGGAATATCAATCAAGAATATAAAATAAGAGTTTAAAAATGACAGTAGCCACCTCAAGTAGAAGGAATTCGAGGAGATCTAGCTTATCTTCAGAATCTAGTTTAACTAACCATACAGCTTCAGCAAAACCAAAGAACTCTTATATACAAAAGAATTCCTCAGTATCAGGTGGAGGTGGTACATCACACAGCTGTTATAGTCACAAAGGTAGATCTGGAAGTGGTTTTGGCTCCAGTTCCTCATATGAAAATAGGGCCTATCTTGTTTCAGGAGGAGGTTCTTGTATTGGAAATAATGGTAGTATGGGTAGCATGAATAGAGGTTTATTAACACCAAATGCTCACTTGGATGATTTATCGGCAGAGAGAGTGGGGAATAGTTCACCAAATTGGACATTGAGTACAGATGTTTGCAGTTTAAAAGATTTTAAGGGACTTTTAGAATGTAAAAGTGAGCATGCAGAATCGGTTCTGAGAAAGTACTCAGGAATTAAAGGAATGAATGGTGGCAGGGGGATCAGACAGGTTCTAGCTTCCATAGTACGTGGATCACGTACATCAAAAAACAGAAGTTCCTCTGTGGATTCAGGATCATGCGGGGCTTCTTCTTCATCATCATCTACAGGCTTAGTGTCAAATATTAATCGCAAAAATACTGCTGGAGGAGATGGAACCGGCGTAAGAATAACAAGTGAGGAAAGTATTGATGGAGTTTCCAATAATGATAGTAGAGAGTGTAATATTTTAACAGGACAACCAATTCAAAAAGCAATACTTACTCAAAGAGATATTATGGAATTAAGAGGAAAAATAGATAAAGTACTATCAACAGAAGATAGTTTTGTAAGATCAGCATTACAATCATTTCAACAATTTGATTTGGATGGTGATGGTAATTTAACAATTGAAGAATTACTGGATTTATTGACAACATTAGGGGAGCATTTGGCATTACCTCCTATAAACAGAAAAGTAGTTGCTAATGAAATAAGTATACGCTTAAACTCAAAGTTGACAGTGGATAGCAATGCATCAGAGAGCAGAATGTTGATCAGCTTTCCATTCTTTCTCAAATATTATTTAAGTGTATTAACTACAATAAGACAAAAACATTTCAGTTCTGTAAGGGCTAATGGAGAATTACAACAAAATAGAGCAATACGTAAACATTTAGTACATGAGGATGATATCAATGATTTATATACATTCCATTATCAATTAGGAGCAGGGACTTATGGTGAGGTATTTCTTGTAACTGAGAATTATACAAGACAAAGAAGAGTGTGTAAGATTGTTGATAAAGTAAAATGCCGCAGAAAGTTGGATGAAATAGATCATGAGGTCGAAATTTTAAAGCAGTTAGATCATCCTGGTCTTGTGCATATTTATGAGGTTTATGAGGACAGGCTAAATCTTTATTTTATATTGGAATTCTGTGCTGGAGGGAACTTATTTCACTCTTTGCAAGATGCGATTCAGTCAGGATTCCGCTTTTCAGAGTTTCATGTTTCACGCATAATTCAACAAATATTATTGGCAATACGTTATTTACATTTAAAGAGGGTTGTACACAAAAATTTGAAACCACAAAATATACTTTTAACTAACTCTTTTGGAAGTGGAAATACTTCTGTTAAGCTTGTTGACTTTGGACTAGCTGAAATTTTTTCCTCTGACGAAATGATTCTTCTGGATTCATCATCCACCCCAAGTACTGACTCATTTTTAGAGTCATCACTGCAATCGCTACCTACTTCCTCGCTTTCCTCTTATTTGAACCAGGGTTCTGTCAAAACTCAAACTCACGCCCAAAACTCTTTATTTTCGAATCCCTGCCGAAATAATGTAAATGAAGTTACTAACATCTCTGGTGTGAGCTCAAACCAAAATTCTAATCCAAGCCTAAACGCAAATCGGAATCTTGGCTCAAATCTTGATGGTTCTCATCTAAAGGAATCCTCAAACCTACATAAACATCAAAACCAACAGCAAAAAGAATCCTCAACTTCTTACTCAAAATACCTGGATTTCACTGCCCCCGAGATTCTTAAAGGAGAACCCTTCTCCTATAGCCTCGATGTATGGTCTGTGGGAGTCATCATGTATTCTATCATTACTGGGCGCCACCCTTTTTGTGGCAGGTCGCGCGCAGAAACCAGGCATAATATCTGCTTTGGCGCCCCCGCCATCTCCGAAATTACATGTGTTTCAAATGCATGTAAGTCATTATTAGGAAAATTACTCGAGAAGAATCCAAGGGAAAGGATAAGTGTAGATGAAGCTTTAAGCCATGACTGGTTTTCAATTTCTCATTCTAGTTACTGTGAAGTAGATATAGGTATGCCTTTACTGGCCCACTTAAAAGTATATACAAGACAGTCAGAATTGAGACATATATTGATACATATGTTATCCCACCAATTGGCATTAGATACAACTCAAATTAACATGGCAACCAGTGTTTTTAAATCACTTGATACTGACCATGATGGAGTATTGTCAGTATCAGAATTAAGTTGTGGATTACAAAAATTAGGAATATCATCCAGAGAATCATCAATGATCATAAAAGCTATGGATATTGATGGTAATGGAATCATATCCTATAGCGAGTTTATATCAGCTTGCCATATTTGGAGACAAAATGAAATCAGACAGTTGAAGTCTTTTTTTATGAAAATTGATAGAAATAATCAAGGAAAAATTACAAGAGAAGAGTTTAAGCAATTACTTAAAGCACAAAAGTCTAAATTACTCTCAAATATTACAAAAAGTTTTTCTGCTGGTAATGAAGTAAACTACAGGACTATTCTCCCATCATCTAACCAGGGTGTATATACTGAATGGGATTCTGTTCTTGATGAGATTGATACCAATCGAGATGGGCTTATTGATTGGAAAGAATTCTGTACTTTTATTGTTGACTACTTTAACACTTCCAGGGAGTCTTTAAGGGCTTGTTATAACAGTGGCAATATCTCTAATCTTCCCTCTCCCACCATTTCTGTTTCCTCTCCTTTTGCTACTGATCCTACCGATGTAGTAGGACTTGGGAGGAGAGTGTCTGGCCTCCGCCCCATGCAGGAAACCAAGCCAACTTAGTCAAATAAATATTAACTGGTAATTAATACTTAACTAATTAATTAATTATTCTTTTAAGTTTCCCGCCCTTTCTCATTTCTTTTTTCATTTTACATAATCCAACAAGCATGCTGCATTTGCATGTACGCGCCTAACATATCACAATACTAGTCAAATCACGACTTGAAACGAGGTGTGTTAAATCAAATATTCCCTAGAAATTTAAATATTTTCAAATAAAAATCAACTTAACTAACTAAACAAACTGAATTGTAAGACTGAAAATAGGTATAGTCGAATCTATATAGTTGAGAATATTCCCTTGTCTTGAACTTTATTTACTCGTTGTCAGTGGCCAAAGACGAATTGTCATCTTCGTGATCAGTTAAATCCTCCAATTTAATTCCCTTTCTTATCTCCTCCTGAACTTGGTCATCCGTACCTTCATCTGTCTCAGACCCAAAAAGTTCGGATTCATTGTCCTCTGGGTCAAAGTATCCTTCATGATGATCTGAAAAAAATTCTCCTAAAGAATCTATCAACAATTCCCTTGTTTTGGATGCTTTTGAGGATTTTCTTGCCGATCTGTCCATGCTACTTATGTTATTCAAAACCATAGGGAATGTGAGTCCAGGAACAACCATTATCATATCAGTATCTCCCTTTAATGCAGGCGAAGATGTTGAAGCCTCACAATCTATTGCTGGCCACATGAAAGAAGTACTAATAGTCCCTGGATGTCTGATTCTAGAAAATCTTTGGATTTCAGTCAAAAAAACTTCAAAATGTTTCTTTATATCGGCCTTACTTGGGAATGCATTCGAGTTTCCTTCACCTAATAATTTGTAAGCCAAATTGGTAAACAAAGATAATGAGCTCGGAGACACCAACGAATTACCACGTGAAAAAGAATCTAAAATCGAAATCAGACCCGGTCTTGCTTCCTTCAAAATCCTCGACCATTTTCTTCCATTTATATTTAATGCCTTCTTAATGATTACCGACTCAACATAAGTCTTCCACGCTGTTATAACATACATCATAAAGTTGAACTGTGGAAAAGATATTCCTGAATATTCCATTCTAGGATGAACCCAAGGAAGATCTTCTTCAGAACACACAAAAGGCTTCGAAAATGCCTTCTTAAGGAATTTCTCTCTTTTCACAAAAACTCTCTTGTAATCCGAAAAATACCTTAGACCGGGATCCGAACCCATGCCATCATAGATATACTCATTCACGAAAGACATAAACTCTTGTGCCAGCTTTGGGGTTCTTCTAATACTTTTTAGGTTTTCCAAAACCGATAGTTGAGCATAATACCCAACACTAGAACGTTTTAATGTGCTAAAATAGTAATCCCATTCTAATGGCCAGAAATGTCTCGCAATCTTTATAGATTTCTCCAAAGTAAGCTCATTTTTAATATCCACCTCAGTAAAGAACCTTCTTCCGAGTAACATTATTATTCTTCCTAAGTTTTTAGCCTCCTCACCTTCGTATTCAGGAATCTCCAAATCCAAGATTATAGGCAAGAACAACCTCAGTATTTCAAAAACTCTTTTTGCATCAGAGTAAACACTGTGAGGAGTTCCCTTCAAAGCATCCAACCCAAATAAACGTTTCTCTATAGCATAGAAGGCATCCAACAGTTGATAAGCTTTATAGAATTCAATATTATTAAAATATTTCCAGATTTTAAAAACTGATCCTAGGACATCCTGACCATTGTAAGATGAGAAGAAACGGATACTTTCTTCCAGTGAGATCCCTTTTCTATTACTTCTTTCATCTGGAAGAATTGCACATGAATTTCCATCACCAGAATATGGATAAGTTGTTATATGGACAAAAGAATGAAACATGGCAGCTCTGTTTGCTATAACAATGTTAGTTTTTTTGAACTTGTTGTTTATGCTTTCAATATCTCCATTCTTCAATACAGAAACCTTTAAAAGAGTTGGGAAGACACTATTCATTACTTTTAAGATACCGGAAACACCCATTTGGTCAAAGAATTCATCTAAATTCAATGGATTTTTTGTTGCTAATCTTTTCACGAAGAAGGCAGGAACGTTATATAGTCTATCACTTAAGCTCCAGAAATATCCTTTATTGTAGATTCCTAATATATGTAATAGCTGTGTATTAGTCAAATGATCAGGTTTGTAGGAATCATTTAAAGATTTAGAAAGGCTTGTAATATTAACAAATTTCTGTCTGAACTCACTGTTTATGATTTCTTCAAGATTCTCTAAGTTACCAAATAATATTGAAAGAAGATTTGAATTATAATAACTCAAGTTACTCGCCAAATGAGATCTATTCTTAATTGGATCAATATATTTAATCTCTGAATCCAGCTTAGTATAAGATGCATAAGATATCTCTCCAACTATTTTAAATAAAGATGCCAATATCTCTTTAAGTGCTTCTTGTGTTAAATTCCCAACATCTGATCCTAAATCAATAAGAGAGTTCATTATAGTCCCAGCAAGACAACTAAATCCATTATCAGTTATAAGATCACATCCAGAAAGTCTTAGCAACATATTGGTACTCATAAAGTTAATAGAAGCTGGGATTGAAAGGATAAACTTGTTTCCTGGGTGGTTTATCAGAGAATTGAGAGACTTTAAATAAAAGACTAAAAGATTTATTTGGGGAACAAAAGCTGTTTCAAGTCCCTCAGTTTTGAAATTATTAAAAGCTGAAATAACTAAACCAGTTTGTTGGGAAACAGGTCCAAGATCTGGGATTGTCGAGAAATAGTTTGGTCTTTGTTGAAACTTGTATTCTGAGAAACAATCTGAGATTAATTTTAAATCTGAAACCAGATTTTTGGAGAATAACACAAAGATATGATTAAGGAAAAGATTAAATGTTTCATGTTGTGTAAGCTTGTACCCTGATTTCTGAATGTATATATTTAACTTCCCAAATAAAAACTCATATGTGTTTTCAAAGAAGTATTCATATACACATACTTTAAGAACTGAGATCTTTCTAATAAAATCTGAAGAAATCTTATTTAGATCTTTAGGTAAATTCAAAGCTCCAATGCTCTGAAATAGCTTTCTAGTTGAAAATGATTCTGAAACACCCATAAGCATACGGATTGTAAAAGTCTTATAGTCTAAAGAATTAGAAAGATCAACATAAAATTCACCTTTCTTTTTTACTTCTACTTGGTCATCTTGATCATTGTCTGAATAGTAGTTGAATTCATAAGTATCCAATACGTTAGCAGAAATGAGTTTTAGGACATCTGTGATTGCATCCAGAGTAGCTTTGTCACTTATTAAAGGACCAACTGCTTCATTATAGAAGCTGTCATACCCTCTCAGAACAAAGAAAGCATTGTAATTGTAAAAGAAATCTTGAATTGGATATTCGTCCAATAGACCATAAGAAAGTTGGTAAATGTGTGATATCTCAAAATTGTCTTGATCCAACCTACGGGTAGAAAGGAATGACTCCATAAAGTCGAATATTGAATCTGGATCCAGTCCCAATGAAGGAGCTGAGATAAGATCAGGACGGTCTTTTGCCCATACTGCTATAGCACATTTAGTTATTTCTGGCTGGTTTTCAGAAAAATTGTCCAGGATAATACTTACATCTGGAATACTGATAGTTAAAGCTGATCTTGGAACTGTTGAAAGGTATTCTGTGAGTTTTTGAGTGGCATAATCAAGGATCTGAAAGCGTTTAAAAGAATCTAATCCTTTACCCCAGACCTTATTTTTGATATGACATTTATTTCTTGGTAAGGGATCAGATATTGGTAAACTAAAGAGTAAAAGACCAGCAACACCAGATTCCAGAACCTCAGAAAGATCTTTATAGCCAAATTCAGTCACCATTTTCTCTTCAAAGTTAATATATTCATTGATTATGGGAGGGATTATCCGATCTAAATATATTCCCATTTTAGAAACAAAGTAAGAAATCAAATTAGTGCTAATGATTGATACTTGAGTTAATGGAGCATTAAAAATCTTGATAATGGATTCAAAGTCATTCAAAAACTCAATGATAATTGGATCTCTACTAATAGCTGGTGAGGTGTCCCAAACTCGAATAAACCATTCTCTGAATAACACTGCTCTGTTCAAGACAGAAACTTTTAATCCATTGAGGCTATTCTGATATTGATTTTCGTTTTGAGTATTTTGATCATTCTGGTAGGAGATAATTCCGGATTCAAGAGTTGCAGATCCAAGATCTACTAAGGAATTATATTCAAGAGTTAAATCCAAATTCTGATTTAAAGTATAGATTGATTTAATTTTTCTTCTGAGATAAACATGGCCAGGATCAGTGTTAAGTAGACGATCATCAGAAGCTTCAGATTCTATATATGAATGTTTCACAGTTTCTAATCCAATCAAGAATGGTACCCAAGGACTGAAAAAGCTACCAGTAACGAAGGAGGTTTCCTGAAAGTTAAGGAGGGCCATATTACGATGAGAATTATTGTTAAGAATGTCCTCTATCATAAAAGATGGAGAGAGAGACTGGGACTTGGGAAAATAGTATGGGAAGTTTTTACTTTGGAACTCATTCAAATATGTTACTGGTGTGAAACTATCCAACTTGACATTTTTAGTAGCATCATCAAAAGATTTAATGAAAGGAATAAGAGCCTCAGAGGAAGCAAATACCAATTGTATAGGGATTCCATTAAAGAACGAAGTAACATGATTCTTGAAGTATAAATAGACCTGCTTAAACTTATCCAGAGTAAAATTTCCAAGGGAGAACCTGTCTTTATGTGAAATAAGTGCAAAGACAGCTCCTGCTACTCCTTCTTGATTTGAAATGATGGTTGCTCGGATTACATTCTCAAAACTAAGTAGATAATGATACCTGAAGGAGATATGTAGTTGGGATAATCCAGCTCTAGCAAAAATATGTATTAGGAATAGAATGAAACAATATAAATAGTTGAATTGGATGATTTGGAGATGAACTGTGAGTTGTTTAGCCTTGTTGTGGACTGTAATCATACCTCTTGTATAATCTGAAGTTGTAATTCCATAAAAAGCTTGATAGGTTTCTACTGCAAAGAGATCATCAATGTATATTAAACTGAAGAATTTTTTAAGTTCATCATTACTTAATACTGTTAAAATCATTAATTCTGAAGCAAATTGAGACATTAAGTTAAAATTTTTCGCTGAGAGTGTTTTCATTTGATTAAAGTTGAGATTCAAAGCAGGTTTTTTAAAGTATGTGTAAGCATTGAAAGACTCTAAAAGAGATGAGAAAATCCTTGAGAAAATCTTGGAGAATAAAACTGAAAACTTGTTGATTTCCATAATACTCACTTGAAGTTTATGATCACCAAATCCAAGTACTCTGACAGCATCCAAAACATTAATGCCAAGCATTATAGCATCAGCTACATCTGATACGAAGAAGAACTTGAAGATTTCAGAATCTGGAGGCAATTGCATCTTATTAGATGTTAAAGTAAAGCTTTTGGTTATAATTAAGCTGAGATTTTCCTCTAAAAGTTTTTGTCTTGAATCAGAGAGGGCGAATTTGGGTATGAAAGGATTACAGCTCTCTTCTTCTCTGGAACATCTAACTTCCAGATTGATATTCTTAACTCTGAACAAAGGACTGCCAAACTTGAAGAAAGTTGAGAAAAGAGGATCTGAGAAGAACTGAAGATAATGAATGGAATAACCAACATTAAGAAAGTTCAATTTAAAATTCTCAATAATGAAATCTGCCAAATCCTCAAAACTGGCACCAATTGTTGGGGCTTGGAAAAAGCTACGAATACTGTTTTCTGATTCTAAGTCACTCCATATGTATATAATATAAGTCAAATTTTCTTTTTCCAAATCAAAATGTTCAGCTAGAAATAATGTATTTGGAATTAGTATAGTAGGATAATTACGTGGACTAGCTGCAAAGTACTCGGATATGATTCTGAATAAGTACTGAGCAAGATTGTTCAAGTCAGATATTAAAGTAACTTTGATATATCCTTTTGGAATTGGAATAGGAGGGATTTTGTGTTCAATAGAAAACATAGAGTTGAGCATACCAATATCAAAAGAATAAGCTGATTCCAAATCCTTAGCTCCTGAGAACTCCAAAGCCTTATTTTCAAAATCCAAAAAGGTTTCTATCATGATATATATGTGATTTTTCTTCAATGAGACTCCAGAAATACCAGCAATTAACTTTCCAATGGAACTGAAAATAATTTCTGAGGATGTAAACATGCAGGCATTTTGAAAAGCTTCAGTAAGAATTTCCAATCTTGATAATAGCTCACCTAAGACGAAATCATTGGTGTAGAATGGTATCTTTGGCCAGACAAGAAGCCACCAATGTTGGAATAATACGGCTCTGTTAACACAAGCTATTTTCTTTCCATGTAAAAAGCTTCCTTCAAGATCATAATTATCTTTATACTGATCTTTTTCTACGTCTAGGTAAGAGAAAGTGATAGATGATTGCTCTTTTTTACCAGATTTGAGTTTTCTTTCTTTAAATTTAAATGGTAATTTTTTGTAAAGATCAGAAAGTTTCTCCATCAGGATGTTATTTGAATCAATAAATGCGTTTAAAGGTTCATCTGAGAGGAAATTTTTTGAAATTTGTCTTTTAATTCCTGGGATATTCTCCAGATCACTTTGTATGTTTGAAATAAACAGATTCTCTAACATACTTTTGTACTTAATTCTAGACTGTGACTCTTCCTCCTTTGAAAATAGATAAAAATGAGAACTTGTAAAGTAGTCAGTGAATGCCAAAGACTCGGAATTACTTATTTGTATTTCATCTATATTAAGATCATTCTCTGTAAAGAAAGTCTCTATAGCTGCCAAACAGGTATTTAAATCAGAAAAAATGATTTCATTAGAATCACTTTTGGAGAAACTTGGATTTTGTTTAAGAATGATTTCCCTGATGTTTTGGTTGAAGAAATCCATTAAAAGAGTAAATCTGTTAATCTCATTCTGACTCAAAGGACTTCCTAGCTTGAATGAAATGTTCTTAATGATTGAAAGAAAAACAGATCTGTAATTCACATATTCAAGTTTGTTAACTCCACATACATCTGACCAGATATCCAAATTAGAGTAATAGAACGAATCAAAATTGCCAATTTTGTTTTTATTTTGAGGTTTATCGAGAACTTTAGTAAGGAAATGAGCAAATGTCAGAACAAAGTTACAAATTGGAGTTCTGGATACAAAATTTTGTCCAGAAAGTAAATTTGCTTCGGACCTCTGTGTCAAGAATCTCTGAGCGATTACTGATGGGTGAGAGGAGAGATTTTTTGGAAGTGAAATGTTACTGGAATTAAGAGAAACCTCCAAATCGCTGAAAATAGCTTGATATTTATCAGAGTCAAAATCGATAAATAAAGTGATTCTGTTTATCAACTCGTGTCTCACATTCTCTGGATAAAATCCCTTAGTATAAATGTCTGAAATGGCGTTCTGAAGAATTCCTTCAGCCAGACTTCTGTTATCAGAGTTGTCTAGGAAAGGTCTTAACTGGGATATTATGAAGCTAAAAGATTTAGCCAGAACTGAATAGAACTTATTTTCCAAGGAATAACTCAAATTCTGGTTGGAAAGATCAATGTTAGTTCTAAAAACTTCAAGAAGATTCTGTCCAGTGATAAAAGAGAAGGATATCTGTCTTTGAGTCTCACTGTTAAGACTGACAAAGACTCCAGTTTTAGATGAAGCATAGTTGAGAGCAATTTGGATGAGCTCTGCCATAACCAAGAAGGAGGTAAAGTACTTCTCATCGTTTTGGAAAAAGTGATCTGAGAGATAATTCCACCTGAAATTCAGTATTTTATCATCAAGATTGTTTTGAGTGAAAGTAACTTTTCCAAGAGGAGAACCAAATTCCAGTAAACTATTTTTAAACTCTCTTTCTATATACTGATCATCAATAATTTCTGAGAATGGTATTTTCATTATATAGAAATCTGCAAGATGTGCAGCAGAAGCTCCAATAGACGGAGCGGATATGTAAGGACTCATAGGGCCAAAGATTGATGATATGAGGAAAACCAACTGGTCAAAGTTGCTTGAGAAGTTCATAGCCAAGTTTGTGAGTCTTGGAATTCCTATTGTTGGCATTCTTCTGGGAGAAGATGCAAAATACTCCACCGTGATCCTTTCTAAATAGTCGAGAAAATTGACTTTGGCACTAGCAAGAGAGTTACCTTGCGTTCTATCCAAGTTATCATTTCCTGGAATCTCTAAATTAGGAGTGAAAGAAAAAGCTGTAGGAATATCCAGCAAAGGCACAGTTGCCTTTTTATTGTAGAAACCTTCAATCATTCTCAAATCCCGATAAGCATTTTCTAAGCTGTCAACTGGTAAATTCAAGGTTAAGAAGATAATCTCCTCATCTTTAAGAAAAGAATCAACAATGGCAGTCATGGATTTTAGATCCATAGGGAAAGGATAGGAAGTTGTAAGTTCCAGTAGAGAGCTTGAAATGAGGGAGCTATCCATTGAAAATCCCACTTTAGTAAATATTGGCAAAAGATTTTCGACGCTTTGAAGATCCCTGGAAAGAAGAGGATCAGAACAGTGGAAAGCCATTTTTGGTAAGACAGAGTTCCACCAAAGCCTGAAAGCCTGCATTCTATTGATATTTTGAGTAGAGCAGGAGAACTCTGGATCAAAACCTGGAGGAGGCTGTTCAAGAATTCCAGTTTCCAAGTTAATATTCCCGAGCACTAAAGCTGGAACGAATAACCCAGTAAGACCTTTCTCTGCAATCCTTTCGTCAAAGATAATATTTCCATATTCTCCAAACTTTAAACCCATTTCATTTAATTGTCTCACATTTGTAGTATTTATAAATGGAGTAATTTTCCTATTGGAAAGAATCATTACTGCAGAACTAACCAATTGAGAGGAAACTGATTTAAGTTCAGAAAGCAGAATATAGATATCATTCCTAATTTTCTCAACAACTAACATGGCTGATTCCTCCTTGATCATCTGATTATCCAATTGACTCATAATATTTTTATGTTCCAAACTAAGCCTTTCGATCTCCGACAAGATTTCATTGGATCTATTTGGTGGCTGAACCTCCGGTTCTTTGGTCTCTTCCGGAGAAAAGAAGCCAGGGGAAGTACCTGTGGGAAGAGACCTTAGCCTCCTAAAGTGATAGTTTGATGGATAATGATCTACCCAAGGAATTAAAAAGGCCAGAAGATTGTACCCAAATTTAGTGTTGTGTTGTATATAAGTTTGGAAATCCTGAAGATTAAGCAAAGCAATTGAAAAGATGGAATCATCATTTATATTTTGTCTGTTAGCCCATTCCAATACTCTGATAAAGAAATCTTGGTTATGTGGTTGAGTTACAAACATTCTTGTAAAGTATGCCAAGGTGGTTTCTGAGAAATGAATTATGCTTAAATTATCGATATCTGAATTAACATCATCATCTCTGTCTTTTATAAAACTCCAAATATAGCTTGGAATGTAAAGCTTTCCATTCACAACTCCAATATCAGTGGCAAAACTTCCTTCTAAATCTAGATTTTTTGCAAAGATAAAGTACTTTTCATAAAATGCATAAGCCTCTAATGCATAGCTGAAATCCTCAATTAAATCATTAGATAGAGCCAAATCTGAAATTGTTGGAATTATTGTCTGAATCATGTCTTTGGATAAATCCTCTTGATCTTTAAGAGCTTCAACTAAAGTTCTTATCTCTTCTAAGTTAAATCTGGGAATTTTTCTAAGCTTATAGATAAAGTATTGTTGTAGCCAATAATAGATGAATATTAGCCTGTTTTCTTTAGTTCCCGTTGTTTGTAAAGAGTTGGTCACATAATTTAAAGACAAACTCACTCCATTGGCTAAGTTTCGAAGATAGACTGTTGGATCTAACAAAAGCTCCCATCCATCAATAGATAACACTGCAAAAGTAATTCCACTAGAATAAATGGATTGTAGTATATTCTCCTCAGAAGAGTTTAAATTCAAAACCTGAGGCAAGATTATATTTTCATAGTCTGACCATTCCTTTGCCAAGATTTCTATCATGTTATCTGTAAAGAATGTAGGGCTCAAAGATTTTCTCATCTCAGCCACGTATGAAAGTTTAGAGTTATCCACACAACCTGATAAAATCCTATTTGACTGCTCAGTAGTAATAAAATTAATATTATTTTCATTTGAGTAAACTTTGATTCTGTTATTAATGAAGGCTTGGAATAGGTAAACTCTACTAAGCCTTTCCTGAGTTACTAGTTGTTGAAATATTTCAACCATTAAACCATTTGAAGCAGTTAAATATCTGTCCATAATCTCTGTTACATCAACAGCAGCTTCTATAAAGTATCTTCCTTCAACATACTTAGCAAGAGAATATTCATAAAAGGCCTCTAAAAACTCATCATAAGTAAGTTGGCTGGAATTTGAGTTGTGTTTAAACAGCATTTTCTCTTCATAGTCACAAAATGCTGCTGGTAAAGCTTTAAACTGTTCCTGAGTCAAACTCAATCCTTTTATAACCAAAGAAAGATCAGATGTCTTATCCAGTTTACCCCCTAATGTATTATATAATTTTACAGGGGATATATGAACAAAATTACCATATTTAGTAAGAAGCTCCTCCATAAAAGCTGAAGCAAATATGAACCTATTTTGAACCCAACTAGGCATTGAGTTAAATGTATAGAAGAAATCAGGTTTGTAGGGGTCAGCTGAAGGAATGCCTTTAGCGGGAGAGCTTGGAGTAACCGAATCTAAGAAACTGGGTTTTGAAAACTCTGGAACCATATAAAATACCTCTCTCCTCCTCTTTTTAGAACCCTCCAAAGATGCCAATTTTCTCTTTTCATGTGCCAAAAAGTGAGAAAACAATTTCTCAACTTTAACTGACAAACTGTTTTGGCGTTGTTGTAATGTGGCTTTAATGGCTAAAGGCCAACCAGTCCCAGAATGTCTGGCCTTATACCTTAGAGCTCCACAAAGTTCCTCAAGAGTAATGATCTCGTGAGTAGATCCTGTTTTTATGAGCTTTCTGTTCATTATCTCCATCATTGAGCAAATCCTATTCAGCTTCCAAGCCTTAAGACCATGGCAATCATTAAATCTTACAGAAATTACACGACCCAAATAGTCTAAAGTACCCACCTCTTTCCAAATTCGGAGTGTATCAGACATAGGACCTCCAACCAAAGTAGTTTGTCGCATATCAACAATATCCTTCTCTGGACCAAAAATGTTAATTATCTGCTCCTTACTCATTACATTACTGGAAGATGCTTTACAACCCAATACATCCTTGGCAATATTTGATAACTCTATCATTTGAGATGCATTTAGTGGGGTTGTATAAGTTGCACCAATAACAGCTAACATTATTTCTGTACACTGTTCCTGACTTCTGTCATCCTCAATAAAGTTAAGCATTATATAAATCATCGACATTATTTCGTCCCTAGCCACAGCGATTCCCAATCTCTTCTCAATCTCAGACATTAATACTTCTGCATTCTTTCTATAGATAGGAAGAAGTTTAGATTCATATGAGTTATCCTTAGGATAAACCTCTAGATGGAAGAACTCTGAAATTTCAATTGCAGACATTTGCATTGATTTTGTGTCTGCTCTGTGTTTAGGAAGCTGAAGTAGAAAATCTAAAATATACATTACCTCCTTAATCATCCCAAAGTCATCCGAAATCCTTCCTAGCAAAATATCATTTTGCAAGACAGCTGCAATTATATTCAAAAACTGTGTTCTTGTTCTCATTCCAGAATATAAGTGTAACAATATCCTCAACATTAAACATGATTCTTGTATTGTAACATATTGTCCAAGTACCTCTCTTAACTTTGATGCTAAAGTAAGTGAGAGACCCACAAATTCTGCAGGATGAATCACAATTTCTTTGTTTTCATAAGCTTTCTTGGCTGAATCAAAGAGAGAAGAACATTCGTTACTTTTCCTATATGGCCTAGTTGCTATCTTAGGGAAGTAATTTCCATATTTTGTATTCAAATGCTTAAATGTCTTCCTGGTACTTGGATGCTGCCAAATCGAACTAACACCTGGTAAAAATGACTTATACTCACTCATTGTCAGTTTTGACTTGTCATGCCTCTTTCTACTTCTTTCAGGAGAAGATTCAGTATTTGAAGAACTACTTTTATGTTTGGAAGATCTGGAAGACTTATGTTTAACACGAGCTGAGTCTGTGCCACTACTCTTCTCAGGCTTCTCCATACGAGAGGAAGGAATTTCTTCTTGACTACCTGAGGAAGTGGACCTTTTTGAAGATTTCTTAGATTTAACCCCAGACTTGGTCTTTTTCTTCTTAGAAGTCTTTTTTTCTCCCTCCTCAGCAATTTTTGAAGCACCAGAAACTTTTTTCTTTGACTTTCCCGACTTTTTCTTTCCATGAACATTGGAATCAGATTCGGATAACTCGTCATATCTCATTCCAGGAATAGGGTATCTGGGTAATTTGGCCGTTTCTGGGTGTTTTCTCTTTCTTTCTGCATCTAACCTAGTCATACTGGGAGAAGATGACGACTCAGAAGCTTCAACAATATATCCAACCCCATTTTTTACATTTTTAAACAACTCTCTATTTACATCCAAAAATATTACACTTAATAAAAAAACCACTAAAAATCCCAATTTCTTGCTTCTTAAAGCATTAAAAGGGAGCCACATTTTTTTCTTTTGATTTGACACAAATAGCACATGCATGCATGCAATTTGCCTGAAGTGGCACAATTACTTTTAATTTATATATACCCACTTAAATCCTATTTTCAATTAATCTTACTAACTCTTATAACTGATTATTTTTATATATTATAACAAATATATCTGTTCTATATTCGTATTTTCTTACCACTTAATCAATTCTAAAACTTATTTTCCCCTTGTTTTTTTTACTCTTTATTTTGAATTATTTCACTCTTACATATATACTTACATAAATGTTCTCTATATTCGTACAGATATATATATGTTCTTCCTAACAAGTTAATTCAACTTTTTTTTATTTAGAACAAAAAACAAAACAAATATTCTCCACTATCTAAAAATTAATATCGCGACCTCATAAGATACGCTATTAGTATTTTTACTTATATTAAACTATTTCTTTAGATATCCTATACCGTTATTTCACCCATGTATCCTTGCTTTCATGTGGGGAGACATTCCCGCCCAATAATAATACATGCTAAAACTTTAAGGAAAAAAAATGGTTCTTGAATAAAAATTCGATTTTTTTTTAGAAACACCTATATAAAAAGCTGGGGTAATAATTTCTAGTCTACATTTAGTACCCCCTCTCTTACTTTTAGCAAATCAATCCATGTTTTTATTTTATTAAACCATTCACATTACTTCCAACACAATTTTGCCTTATCTAATTCTATACTAACATCTGCCGGCAATCATAAAATACTGTAGCGCCTATTTTTTGTCAATAAGCGCCACCATTTAGAACTTGAAATTGTGATCTATTATTGATACATCACAGTTGCTAATTAATTAAAGTGGTAGGCACTCACTATTTTCATTTTACATTGTAATTTGAGAACTTTAATTACTAACTATTTTTGAAAAGATCAGTTAATATAGAGAAAGATGAGATTCTACTTCTTTTCTTTTGTGCTTCTATTGTTCTTTGTTGCTACCAATGCACTAAGAGTTAGAGGAGGTAATGAACAATCCGTATTAGAGTCTGGAAACAGTGATTCCGAAGAAACTACTACAACCACAGAAGGAACTGATACTCAAAATCCCACCGAAACTGATGAAACTACCACTACTACCACTGCCGCCCCCTCAAAGGGTGGTAAATTCCCATCACTCAAGGACAGACTCCTTTCGTTCTTTGGTTTTGGATCAGAGAAAAATGGCAAAGGTCAGAACCAGAACCAGAACCAGAGCCAGAACCCAGCTGAGCCTGAAGATAAAGAAGGTTCTGATCCCTCCAATGGAAACCCTCAAGAACCTTCAGATAATGACCAAAATGAAGAGGGGCCAAGTGGGGAAGGCGAAGAAGTTAAAGTTGAGGATTCTGAAGGTAATAAACAAGGTGAGGGAGAAGGAAATCCAGAAAATACGGAGTAAAAATGTCAAAACAAGTTGTTCCACAGACTTAGGAATATTTCAAATTCTATCATTTTGAATTTTTTCCTAATCTGGCTGGTGGTATTTTTCTATCTTATACTCTGATTTGTTTGCAGGGGAATCCCCGATAATTATTGGCTCCACATCTCTTTAATATCTAAAGATGGTGCAATCACTCCAGAACATTTAAATATTTTTATGTTGTTATCGCTTTTTTTATAACTTTTTTAAAGCAAAACAGTTTTTATAGAAATTTGTTTTTAGCAGAGCTTCGGGAGTTTTTATCTCTAGCAAGCTATCATTGTGAATTAATTGTATTTTGTTTTCCCCATTCTATTGGGAAATTCACGGTTAGAACGTTTTTCGGGATTGAAATTTCCTTTTTGTCGGATTTTATTTCAATTTGATTCACCCTAATATGCCTTTTACTTTGCGTTTTTTTTTCCCTTCTGAATATATAAAAAGGTACTGTTCTGAGAAATTTGCCGCCTAAACCCTCAACCTGTAAATTACATGTAAATAATGCATTTGCACTAAAATATTACAACTTTAGTGCTTGTAGTAATAAAGAGAGTGATGGAATTTGGGGATAAATTACTGCTTATAATAGAAATAATAATTATATTAGAATCCAAGTACAAAGTTAATATATTAAAAGAAGGTATGACTCGTGTGAAAAAAAGTGAGGGATTTTTTATTAAATTAAAGATATGGAAAAAAAAAAGATATAGAATGAAAGAGGGATAAAAAGAATTTACTCTTTCTCACTTTAAGAATTTTTGTTATTTTAAATAAAGTTTATACGATGCTGAGATTTTTCTTAAACTTAACAACTATACTCTTATCTTTAAGCTTATTTAATCAAGCTTATGGTATTAGAGTAGAACCAAGAGTAACCGAAACTCTAGATGTTACAGCAAAGGAAAACATTAGCGAGAGTCAAGTATGTGTGTTAAAAACTTTAAAACAGTTGGTATTGTCCAATGGAAGAATCCCACCTAAAATCACCAAAAAAAGAATTAACCAGGCTGTATTACTATGCAAGGAGAAAATAAATACAACTGTATCTTCCACTATAGCTGAAGAAACCATATTCATGACTTTAGGCCAATACGGGCATCTGTCTGAAATAGATACAACCAAAGCTTTAAAATTTATAAATGAAATTCAAAAAGAATCAAAAACTACTGTTGGATCTTATACACGTATGTATAAGTTAAGTCAAAATAGTCATTTCTGTAAATTGTATGAAGATTTCATCTTATCTGCTTATCCAAATGAGTATTTTATTTCATTTCTTCCAGAAGATGGAGAGAGATGTCAAGAGTTACTTAAGAGATTAAAACAAAACTCTTTTTATTCTTACTGGAGTCAAGGAGGAGTCGTGGCAGATCAGGCCCAACCAATTATTGATGATAATGTTTCAAATGATCCAATTAAAACTAGGGAAACCGTTATAAATAATATTTTCCAGAATCCTCAAGTTCAAGAAACTCAAGCTCAAGAAGTACATAAATCTGATAATAAGACTCAACAGACCAATCTAGTAGATGAAAAAAGGTATGAGGAATATATCTCTGCTAGGTCAGAAATTGAAAATATGGAGTTAGAAGTCGATCAAGATTCTGGATGTTGTTCTTCCTGTTCCTGTGGTAAGAAAAAAACTGAGAAAGAAGATAAAAATCTCCAAAAAATGGTGGATAACTCCATGACAGAAGAAGAGTTAGAGCTGATGAGGCTTGAGAAGGAACTAGAAAAACCAAAATCGGCTTGCTGTTCTTGTTGTACTTCTAGCAAGAAAAAGAATAATAATAAGGAACAAAAAGATCAAGAAAATAAAACAAATGAATCTTTGGATGACGTTGTTGGTGTTGATACTAACTTGAGGAAATCAGAAACAGAAGAAAATAAACAAAAGAACTCTCGCTGTTGTTCATGCAGCAGTTCCAGTAAGAAGAATAGTAAGAAACCAAAAGAGGATGATTATAATATAAAGGACGAGGAAACAGACAGGAATGGTGAGCAAAACTTTAGAAACCCGGAGGACTCTGTATCTGAAGAGAAAGAGTCAAAGTCTAAAAGCCTTAAAAAGAATATGGATTTAGAATTATTAGGTTGCTGCTCTTGTTGTTGCTGCAGCAAGAAAGGAAAGGAGAAGGAAAAGGGTGAGGAAGAAAAAAAGAGCAGGAAATTGTCAGAGTTTGAAGAAGAGTCCAATCAAGGTCTTGAGGAACAAGAAGAACCAAACAAGGTCAAGAAGGACAGTAAGAACAAAAAAGACAAAAAAGACAAAAAAAACAAAAAAAACAAAAAAGATAAGAAAGGTAAGGATAAAGACAAGGAAAAAACCGAAGATAGTGAATTAAATGCAAGAATCCTTGCGGGAAATTCCTTGATTGAAGAGGAGTTCGAAAAAGACGAAAATTCAGGCTGTTGTTCAAACTCCAGTAGTAGCAAAAGAAGTAAAAATACCAAAAATGAGCTAAGGGAGTTAGAAGAGTTAGAAATGAAACTAGAGGAGGAGGAAAGGAGGCTAGCACAGCAAAAAATGAGGCAACAGAGTTAGAATTTAATGGGTTTGAGAATATCATGTGGTTAAATAAAATTCATAATATTATTATTCAAAATATTAAAGTTGAGTATTATTATGAAATATTTCAGGATTTTCACAAAAAAAAAACAAGTAGTGGGTTAATGTAAACTTAATACAGGAAAGTAAGAAAATTTAATGGTTTGCATGCATGCAAATTATGCATGCATGCAAATATATATATATAAAATGACTAATTGAGGATGATATGTAATCCTCATTAGCTATAATTGAAAAATATAAAATTTTTCTCTTTCTTGGATTATTAGCGTGCATATTAATTTTAATTATATTAATGTGAAATTGGATGAATATTTATAAGATGATTAAGTCTATGTAAATTTCTTTGAGTTTATTATTTCTGAAATATTGGCTATTATTGGCCATTTAACATCAAATGCAATAGTTTTGTTTCTTTCATATAAAATAGTTGAGTTCCTAGAAAGATCTTCTGATCCTATAATGCTTTCATTAAAATCTTTTTTGAAAAGATGTCCTAAACCTCCTAAAGGTGGCTCTTCAGAGGGATGAGGGATTTGCAAATGGTCATTTACATAGGATATTAGCTCTTGTGCAAGGCTGATAGAAGTCAAATTTTTAAAAAGATGATTTTGCTTATCAAAGAATTGAAGCAACTCTGAAGAAATTATCTCTGAAATGGAAATATATTCACCAGCTGTGCAATTATAGAATTCAAACTTAGAACTTTGAGGTTCAGTCTTAATACACTTAGAGAAGCTAGAATTCGAGTAGATTCTATCTCTCAATTGAATTATGAGGTTTAAGCTTCTTATAAGAGTTGGAAGAGCCTCATTCGAGTTATTTGACTGTTTTATCTTGATGAGCTCCCGAGAAATAAATGAACAAACATGTTTAACAAACCAGTTGGATCGTCTAACTTCTATAGACGAGTTATATTTAACTTTGGAAAGGGTTTCTACAGCATTTTTCAAGGTGGATATTGGATCTAAAGACGGTAAAATCAAATCTTTAATAAGAGTTTGAACATCAGACTTGTCCTTTAGTTGGTCAATAGAACAGATCTTGGAGATGCTTTCACCAATTCCAATAAACTTTGCTCCACTTGTGTTGTAAAGAGTTAAGTTATGTAACTCACCAAGTAGACTAAGAATCTCACTATTTTCACTAGGCTGAATGATGATCTTTTTTAAAGAAAAATTACATATTACTGGTGTTGTATTGTTTTTGATTTCTATTTCAGCACTTGTAACATTGTTTTTAGATTTTACTATAGAAATGTCATAATCTCTCTTTGATCTAAATCTCTCTAAAAACTTCAAAGCTCTATAGGAAATAAGGATCTGGTAAGAATGTGACCTTAAGATGCTCTCAATAATAGACAAAACCAAAGTGGAATATGAAATCCAAATCATAGAAAATACTTCGTTTTGAAAGTTGTTTACTTTTGAAACCATATTTGAAAGACGATTATTAGATGGATTTACCATAAAAAATACATTTTCAGATAAAAGTCCAGTTTGTATGATACTAGAAATTTGTTTTGAAAGATCACTTCTTTTCTCACTTAAAGGTAGAAAATGTAAATATTTGCCAATAATCTTTGGTTTTTGTTCGGAAGGAAAAACTATTTTAGTTTGAATCTTTTTAGTATTCAACTTTGAATGAAAAATGAACATCTTTGGTAGAACTGGGACAATATTAGAGCTATTTAGACCTTGATCTTGATCTATAATAATATTATCCATATTTCTGATCTTAGATTCAAGTTTCCAAAATTCCAAAGCATCTCTCCTGTGTCTTTCTATCATTGAGACTGCTTCCTGATTAAACTTGGAAGTGTATTTCGAAGTTTCATTAACTCCAAAGTATCCAAGTATATCTTGAAAGGCAAAGGTGTCATTACTTAGATTTACAAACGTCATATTAATATTCAAAAAAAGTCTTCCATCCACAATAATCTTGAAAACCCTCTCTTCATTCAAGCTTTCGTCTTTTACCTGTTTGGAACAGAGCCAACCCATAGATTCTTGTGTATCTGAATTTGTGGAACTTTCATTTGAGTAAAGTACACAGGGATCTAAAAATTGGGAAAAGTTATAACTGGAATTCCTGACTTCAGTTGAATTATGATTCTCTAAGGTACGGACTATATAGGAAGAAATTGGGCCATCCCTTGTAATCTTGGAGCTTGAAACATTATCACAATCAATTTCTGAACTGAACTTTGAGCAAAAACTAATGATCCTTTGCAAAGCAGCCAGGCCCATCAAGTCTATCAAGATCTTGTCAAACTCCTGTGAAATAGTATCATTCTGTACTAAACTTTCTGTACCTGAATCTTGTTTTCTGGATAAATTCTTACTTTTCTCATCCCCATTAACCACCTGGTTAACTTCCATCCAATCTAAAACATTCGAAGGGCTTTTGTATTTAGGGTCATCTATAGACCCAAATACAAGCTTACCTTTCTCTTCTGCCTTCAAATTCTTGTTTTTGTTCCCGTTTCTAGACATATTTGATTTAGAGTTAACAACAGATAAGTGGTTAGAACAAGGAAATGAATTGTGTTCGGAAACCTTTTTTGAATTCGAGTTTGTAATTATAACTCCATTACTACTAGTGCCTAAGCTCTTTTTAGTGTTTGAGCCTTCTCCAAATGTCTGGTTTTTAAACAAAGCTGACCACTCTCCCCATTCTGTCTTATTAATCTCTGAAACATTCGGAAGGAATTCTTCAATAGACGAGGAGACATTATTTACAGATATACTTAAAGCTTCAGTTTCTTCAATATGACAAAGTGTCATATTTGAGAGTCTAAAAAGTTCCCCAAGCTCAACCTTAAGGTCTTTATCCTCGGATTCTAGTTGAAATGGGTCTAACTCTGCATGTGAAATTTGAAGATAATGACAAGCTTTTTGTGAAAACAAAATATTTGAAAGCCAAGAACAAGGAAGATGAGACTTTGGAGGAAGTTTTTTCCCATATTTGATATGATAATAAGATATGCAAGGTTTCAATATTTCGTCATTAGTAATTAAGTCAACATATCTATCCCAATTATCTGAGTGTATTTTTAATCTTTTCAATATTGAATCTTTAAGCTTGAAAGAATAATTTCCAAGTTCTGAAATCCTTTCTGGATTACTTCCAGTTATCCAGTCTGAGACCACCTTATTATCAAAAATCAGGCTCTTGGTTCCTCCTCCTAAAAAGAAATCCTGTAATGTAGACAAAGACTGATGAAGAGTATTGGAAATCAAAATGATGTTGCTAAGTAGTCTGGCAGAAAATCCCTCAGCATCTGTTAGATATACAGGGCAAGGATGAGTTCCAATAAGTTTATCAATTGGGACTGGGAAATCAGATTCTTTGAGCTCAACAGCATCCTCCAAATCTATGATTTTAAGATCATTGTATAAATCTATATCAAGTATGTCTTTATATGTGAGGTTATAAACATCACTATTCTCGCTCTTGAATTTTTCTGAAATCTTTACTAAGATATTTCCCTGGTGAAAATCACAATGGATTCTAAAAGATCTAGAAGATTTCCACTTTCCTCTCGAATAATCCTCCAATTCTTCTGGATAGAAAGATGTTCCTCCTCTGTGAAATAAATCCAAAAGATATAATAACCTTCTATAAAGGTTCACTGAGAAAACTATAGTTCTTTCTGTATAGTTATTAATCCAAATGTTGATAGAGTTCTCCAGAAGTTTTGCCTTAGATTCAACATTAATCTTTTCATCTGTTCTTAATGAAGGAAACTTTGAATCATAGATCCTGATACTCTCCTCTAGTATTGCATTCACCCTATTCTTGAGGTACTTTAGAAGATTTGGATAGTCAATCAGCTCGGAAATGATTGAAGAAATAGCAGGTCCTTCTATAAACTCCATTAATAAGACATTCCTGGAAATTAATCTTCTATTTGGCTGTACAAACACACTATATATAGATGGATGAAGCCTAATTTTCGAAGCTCCATAAGTGCTCGAGGCCATTCTTGAATATATTATTAGTTCATGGTTAAAGTGGTAAAGAAAGTCGTTTGTTCTTCCATCCACTTTTGTAACAATCTTTAAAGGAAACTTCTTAGCCTTGTTAGAATGAAGACATCTCACTCTTAGAGATGATCTCTTCCCAAGCTCATATACACATCCCATAAATAGCTCAAATTTCTCCTTAACCTGTTGTTTTTCCTTTTCTATAGGACTTTTCAACATAGCAAAAACAGTAGAAGCTTCTTTACCCTGAGAAGATACAACCACTTCCCCACTTGATAAATCTCTAGGGCATTCAATTATTTCTGAAAATTCATCACAAAAATTCTTGAGTTTTAAAATACTACATTTCTTATAAATTTGGCTTAGATGTTTGTATCTTTTATAGAAAACCATTGGAGCATACCATGTATTTTCTTGAACCTCTGGAACAAAACACGAGTTAACTCGTCTCAACTTGTCCATTGTTACCACCAAATCTTCTTCCTTTATTTGATCTTTCTCTCCAGAAAATCCATAGTTCTGGTTCCCATGAAGACCAAATAACTTTTTGCTCCCCTCAACATAAATAGATCTAGTGATCGGGCCAAATAACAAGCAAAATGAGTACACTGACAGAAATAATCCCTTGTTAATCCTCATTTTGGCTTACTCTGACCTCTTTCACTCTCTTTTTCATTTCAAAAATTACTTTTCTTCTTTGTTTTGTCAATTTTTATGATCCACAAATTTTCCCGCATTTTCCATGCTCTGTGTTCACCGCCATTTAGATATACCTGGGATCTTTGTGCTAATATAATACATAATAAATATATAAGTAAAAATGAGTATATAAATTATATTGTACAAATTTTTTGAAATCTTAAATTAAAAAATAATTGTTTTTTTATATCTTTGGGGAATTTCAGACAGGTACTATGAGTTTCCCTTTTATTTGTCCTTATGTCTCAAGATCACAGATCATGATCACACTTAAAGGCGAAATTTGGGGGTGAAATTAACAAAAAGAAATCGGTACTTAAAACTTATACAGATGTATTCTAGTGATTTTTTCCTAATAATTCTTTCTTATTTTACTCGGATCAGTATCAATAAATGTGTGAAATCTTATCTATAGATATCTTAGTTATGTCTTTAATTTTGAGCTTCACGTATAAATTTAGATAAGTACCGCAATTGTGAGTCTATTACAATCCTCTCAGCGCTGACTTGCAAATAAGTAAACTCTGCAATTTCGAGGAAAAATCCAAAAAGGTACTAAAAGTTAATAAGGAGTGAGACAGGAGTGTGGAAAAGACTTTAACTATTATAGGAAAATGATTGGATCCAGAAAGTCCAAGGAAGAGTTGTACTATAAGATTTCCTTGGGAGTGACAGTGCTTGTATTTTGGGTTTGCTCAAGATCTGTAGGTAAGTTTCAAATTCTCTATTTCAACGTAAGACTAATAAGTATCGACTAAACTAACTGTCTCTTATACAAAGTTTTATCCTTAGCTCTTACATCTGCATTCCTAGTTGTTTCTTATCTTGGTAACAAGTATGCTTTTGCATCTAAATCCAAGTATGACGAAGATTTACCAAAATGCATTCTCTATAACAAAATTCTGAGAAAAATCTGCAACATTCTAACAAACAGGATTCTAGTCAATTTTGTTTTATCCACAGTATATGTAACTATCTATTTACTATTGAGATCAGACATCAAAGGAGTAGAAGTGATTCACAGAGGTGACTTTGATAGTCTGGCTCCAAAGTTGGCAGAAGCCTCTAGGAGTTTAATAGAATCAGGAGAAGGGAAATTTGAAACTTCAGGTGCCAAAAACTTTGAAGGAATCAGTTTAGTCATTCCAATTAGAGATGAGGATGAGTTTATCAGTAAGACAATCTCCTTTACACTTGGCTTACCTAACAGAAACTTGCTTAAGGAGATTATAGTAATAGATGACTGTTCTAAGAGAGAAGTCTCTAGTTTGCTTAATGAACAGCTTCCAAGTTCTTACTTAGAATACATCAAGGTTATTAGGTTAGACAAGTGTGAAGGTTTGATCAGGAGTCGAATCTTGGGTGCTGATGCATCTAAATCCAGTGTTATAGTTTTCATGGATGGTCATTGTAGGCCAAAAGATGGCTGGATTCAACCTTTAATTGACAGGCTTAGAGAAAAACCCAAAGCTATTGTTTGTCCAATGATTGAAGATATAGACAGATATACATGGAAGGATTTGGGTACTTTTGGACTGAAGATGATGTTTGATTGGAATTTTGAATTTAATTGGTATGAAGATTTTACAGATACAATTCCAATAGCCTCAGGAGGATTGTATGCTATAACTAGAGAGTGGTGGGAGGAGTCTGGAAAGTATGATCCAGGTATGTTAGAGTGGGGAGGTGAGAATATAGAACAGTCTATAAGGATTTGGAGATGTGGTGGTGAGATTGTTGCAGAAAAGAGGAGTAAAGTGGGACACATTTTCAAAAGAGATCCAAAACCAAATCCAGAGAACAAATTAGTTTTGCAAGTCCAAAGGAATCAAAAAAGAGCTGCTATGGTTTGGTTAGACAAAAAGAGATATCAATACTTTGAGACAGTTCATAATGTAGTTAAGACTTTGAATGAGCTTCAGAGTGGGGTAGATTTAGAACAAAGACACGAAATCAAACAAAGACTGAATTGTAAATCATTTTCTTGGTATATTAATAAATTTAGAGCCTCATTTGATAGGGGAGGTCTGCTCTTGGATAATTTTAGACATTTTAAGCATAGAAAAAGTGGACTTTGCTTAGCAGCTTCTTTGAATGAGGTGGTAACCGGGACTAATGATAAAGCTGTTATTTTCAAGAAATGTAACTCTGGAGATGATACTCAAAAATGGTCTGTAATATTTGGGAGGAGGTTAATTTTAAATGGAAGAATTGGATTTGGCTGTCTTACAAGAGGACCAAGTGATGTAGTAGAGAACTCAATCCTGAGAGTAGTCCCATGTGAATTTAAAAAGGCTTTGGAAGGTTATAATGATTCCCAATACTGGAACATAGATGCTAATGATGAATTATTGTTTGATCAAGGTTATGAAGATTTATCCCCAGAAGAGTCTTCCAAGCTTAGAAATTCTCTCAGGTTATTTAATAGAGTGAGCAGTATTCCATTTAGTAATGATGGAAATGATCGAATTTCTGTAAATGGTGATCACGCTTTCAATTCTTCAAATAGATGCGTTACTAATCTGAATGATAAAGCTGTGATGAAAAGCTGTCCACAGGATGATCAGAATGAAGATTATATGTTCGACCCAATTAAAATGGCCAAATTCATGTAATACACTAAAAGGATTGCCTTGGATCAAGATTAGGGATGAGACATTAGAATTCATAGATTCTATAGGTAGGAATAACTAAGATTTCTCTCAACAAGACTTTTATTTCTCAAAGTTAATAATTGAAATAACAAAGGAATAGGGAAAATTCTTCTAATTAGATTATTAATTAAATAATACTAAAGTTACTATTTATTAGTGGGAATGGAGACATAGAAGGACAAAAGTCTTTGTTTCTATTACTACTGGTAATTTTAGTATCAGTAGAAAATATAGATCCAGACTTTTTATATGAAAAATACAAATTATTATATATAGAAGATCTTAAATAAGGATCAGGAACTTTTGTGATCCACAAATGCTGACTTGGATTTAAAGTAAAGAAGGGATGTTTCAAAGCATCTTTTGGGTGAATTCTGGATTTAAAGTCCAAAGTAAGTAGTTTTGAAAGAAGATCAAGGGCTTGAAAAGTAACCAAATCTTGATTCTCCTCAGTGATTAAAAACTCAAAGGTTCTGGGATCAGTAAAGCTTGTGGTTGTTGAATTAAAGATCTTCCTAGTTCTTTTAAGATAAGAAAGAGTAAGTTCATCAGAAATTGTTCCATTGTATTTATTTGAGATATAAATGATATTATCTCCTCCAAGCAAAGAACCAATTTTAACTAGTTGATCATTATTGTCCCATCCTGGAAAAAGAGCATCAGGACTCAAAGAATTCTTAAGAAAGATTCCAACAAAGTTCTTTGGATATTTTGAGAAGATTCCAGTAAAATAATTAGTCTTTGTTGTACCTAATCTGAAAAGCATTTGGGAAAATAAACATCCTACTGACCAAGAATCTACAGAAAAATCATAGTTTCTAATTCCCAATAGTAATTCAGGAGCTTTATAGCATTTAGAAGCAACCCTAGGGCTAAAGTCAGCCTCATCTTCTGAGTAGTATTCTGCCAATCCCCAATCAATAATTTTAAGTAATCCCCTGTTTTTATCTATAACTATATTTTGAGGTTTAATATCTCTGTGAAAGACTCCCAAAGAATTTGCATATTTTAGCCCCTCCAATAGTTGTCTCATGTAATTTTGGAGATCTCTATATGAAAGTCCAGGAAGAAGAGAGTAAAATTGTTCATTGTCAATATATTCCATTACAAGACCAATATGTTTCTTAGGAACACCTCCTTTCTGAATTTTTCTCACAGGATGATGATACTTAACAATATCCAATAGTTTAACTATAGATTTCTTACCTTGTGTCTTGTAAGACTCTTCTGGATCTTTTAAATCTAGATCATCTTCTGAATAACCATTAAGTAACTTTAAAATTGAAACTTCTCTTAGAATTTTCCATTCTTGAATATTTTTTAGCTCTTTCAAAGCAACAGGGGAACCTTTGAGAATACTAATTTGGTGATCTGTTAAATTAAGTAAACTAGGATCAATCACAAGGGTTTCTTCTCCTATTTTGTTCTTGGTTTCTGGGCTCAAATCGACTTTCCATGAGAAAAAAACATTTGAATATCTCCCAGTTCCTATTGGATTTCCTTTTATGTAAAAATTCCTCCTGGAGAGCCGATTTATCTCCAATAAATCATTCAACGAGGATACATATTCGTAATCCTTTTTAATATAAGGTTTTGGTCCTTCTTGACCTGCCAAATCTGAGGAAGAAGAAAACTGAAAACAGAGCAAAAAAAGGACAAATATCAAAATCTTAAACATATATGTGGATCTTTCATATCATCACTCTGATTCAAAAAATTCCCACTGTTTCATTGGTCCAAGTTTTAACTTACATAAATAAATGCAAATATTACATTTTGGCGCCAAACGTGTAAATAAGCTTTGCGAGTTAAAAAGTTAATTTGCATCATTTTTACTGCAACAGCAAGAAAAGACAAATTTTCGAGTCTTTAATTTGGATACTTCTTTTTTAGTATTATTTTCAATTTCACTTGGAATGATCTCTTTATTATGTATTTGATTTCCAAATCTTTTTTTAGTTTGTTTGTCATGAATACCCTTTCTTTTTGACTCACTTGCCTTAATTAAGATTTTTTCTTCATCACTACAAGTAACACTAATTTCCTCAGATATTTCGGATTCATTTTCTTCTGGAGTGGATTTCAGGCTTGAAATCCCATGTAGAAGCAAGAAGGAGGAATAAGGAGAAGATGAAGGAGGAGGAGAGGAAGAATCAGGGAGTTTAAGCTTCCCAAGCTCAATTGAGGGAGATTCCAGACACCTGTTTATTTGTCCCATGGATACCCTCTTGTCCAGAAGCGGAGATCCATTCTCATCTTTGTAATTTGTAGGGGAGTGACTAATGGATAATCTCGGGTCTTGGTGATTTTCCAATGCCTTTTGATTCCTAGATGATTTTATTGAGGTATTTCCTATTCCCTGAACCACACTACTTCTTTTTCTGCTAAAGTATCTGCTGATAGATACTGTACTTATCTTTTTGATGAAGTTTCGGCTTGTCAAAGAGTGGTATTTGGTAGGGACTTTCACCCCAGAACTGAAAAGATGATTAACATAATTAAAGATACTCTGGATATAGTTTGAATTATGAATTTGAACTCCAGAAATAGTTTGAAAAAAGATATTTAGGGAACCAGGTCTTTTAGCTTTGAGTGTAATAAAGGGATGTTTAAGTAGAGTATCTGCACTTTTCCTGAGACTTGGATCCTTTGTGAGACAACAATCAACAAAGTCCCAGAACTCTGGTGAAAACAATTCTCTCACATCTTTTCTTACAATTTTTTGAGGAGGAGGAGATCTTAGAATGTACCCCAACAAATCTTCTAAAGATTCAAAATTTGGCCAGGGAATCCTCCCAAAAGCCAACTCTAATACAGTGATCCCCAGTGACCAAATATCAGAGGCACCAGGTTCTCCCATTAATCCTGAAAAAGAATTCCCCAAAATGATCTCTGGAGCCATCCAAAAAGGACTACCTAAGATCTCTCGATCATTAGAAAGAGAATCCATCTTAACCTTGGAACCAGAATCTTCCTGATTACGCCTTAAATCTGATTTAACCTTTCTTGAGACTCCAAAATCTGCCAATTTTGCTACACAATTATTAGTCAAGAGAATATTGGCACTCTTTATGTCATTATGAAGGATGTAATGCTGAGACTTTGAATGATCTTGGCCATGCAATCTTCTCAAAGCTTTTAACACATCTTGAGCAACTGAAGCTAATAATTCTTCTGGAAAACACCCATACTTACTATATAAACCATAAAGAGATCCTCCCTCAGCGTATTCCATCAGAATGTACAGGAAAGAAGCTGATGCAAAAGTCACATAATACTTTAGAATCTGCTCACAGTCCTGTAACTCTGACATAATACTTATTTCCTTTCTGGCTGTGGCTAGTGGGTCCTCCAGTTCTGCTGAGTCGTTTGCTTCTAGATCCACTATCTTGATTGCTAACTTTTTCCCTATTACTGTCCCTCCTCCTGTTCTTTCTTTTGAACTTTTCCTAGTTTCTTTAGTCCTCTGATCAAGCTTTTCAAAAAGCTGCTTCATGTTTGAATCAGTTATCTCAACTGTGATTGAATTTCTGCTTCTCTTATTTCCTGGACTACAGATCTCTGCTAAAACTACAATCCCATAAGCTCCCATTCCCAGTATACTTAATATTGAAAAAACTATAAGCCTCTGTTCAAAACAAGCCCCTTGGCTATACACTACCTCTATCAAGTTTCCTACCTTAAAAAGTTCTCTCATTATTTCTCTCCTCTCTAAATTTCTATCTTTTAAGCTCTTTTCTTCATCTCCTTTAGGGATCACGAAATTCAACGACTCCAAGGAGCTGTTATCATTCTCATGATCCATATTTGGCATTTCGTGATCACCTATCTTAAATCTTTCTGGATCTTTATTCTTTGTATTCAATGACATTGTGAAACATTATAATTAATTGTCTCCAACCTCCAACCTCTTTATTTTTTAAATTAATTAAAATTATTTCCTCCTCTTAATGGCACATGCATCCTGTGTGCATGCTACCCAGACTAAGGCCCCCCTCCCTCCTCCGCCTAAAGTGCATCAGAGCAAAAAATTTTACATCCAAAAGACAAAAAAATATTATATATATAGAGAAAAAACAAATAAGTAGAATAATAAGCAAGTTTTAAAAGGGTAATTCTTTGTTTCTATTTTATTAGTTAAATGCCTGTTTCAATATAATGCGGAAAATGTAGCAGAGGGTAAGAGGCAAAATGTACCTCCCCATGCTTCCACCAGCAGGGAACTTAAAACAGACTTGAGCTAATCCCATTAGATATACTTTTTGTGTTATATGTGTGATAACCCACCGATTCAACTAACTCAGATAACTAAAACTTAATGAATAATTACTTCTCCCTCTCCCCATTTACTGAGAAACTTCCTGAGGAGACTCAAGAGCACGTTTTGAAGATGCCAAGATAGACATTTCTTGAGGAGAAGCTTCATTTGAGGCTGGTGGAGAAAGGAAATCTCCATTAACAACAAAGTCTGAACATCCAAGGGCAAGACAACATGCTTCTGTGGATTCTACTGGACTGAACTGTTTGAATTTACCAAAAGCTGCTTGCATAGCACTAGTACATTGGGATCTGGTTACTTTGGATTGTGCTGTTGGTTTAATTCTCCTGATGGCTGACATAATTAATTGCCAAGTAATAGGATGAGTTCTCTTCTTTGGTAAAAGATCAAGTTTGTGACCATATGCATCAGCCAACTTAAATGCATAGTATCTCTCCAAATTGGTCTTAAGAATTCCACCATTAAAGTTTGGATCTGATGTAATATCTAAAATAGAACAAATCTGATTTAACATTTGATTACTTTGAGCTACTAAGTACTTGGGGAAAAGTAATGTCTTAACTGCATTTCTACAAGATGGAGTAGCAATTCTCATCCTTCCTTGCTTAACTTTGTTGGCATACTTGAGAATGTTTACATAATTAACAACATCACAAATGTGAGCCAAGTTAATGAATTGGGAGAACCCTGTCTTAGTTGCAAGTTTTTGATGCATTTGCTTAGCTGTAATAAAGTCAATTCTCTGAGCAGAGAGACAGCTCTCACTTTGTAATGGATCTATTAAAGCACAAATAGACTTGGCAGATTCAACTGAGTAGTTGAGATCATCCACTAATTGGCCAACACAACTTTCCATAACAGTGAATTGATTGAGTTTGTAGATAACTTTGGCAAATGCCTCAACAGTTGTTTTCTTTTCATCTTTCATTGGTTTATGAGAGACAATACGATTTAACATTTCTAACTGTACTTTATTTAGTGAAGAGTAGTATTTTCCTCTTATATCTTCAATTCCAGGAGAATGAGAAGTTTCCAAAGATTCCAAAGTTTTAAGAACTCCAGGTAATGACTCAACTTGACTACCTTCTGTTAAACTTGGCATAACATCATATTTTCTAGTCTTAGGTTTGGCTGATCTAATCTTTTCATCCATAAACTGTTGATAAGTCTTTTCTGTAGAAGGAATCTGATATTCACCTTTTTCGTCCATAAAGTCTTTAATACTATTAAGAGCTTTCTTGATCTCATTAAGTTCCTTTCCAGAAGTTCTTCTTTCAAAGAATGAAGAGCAAACATGATGGGATAATTGGAATAGAGAGTTACTTGTGTCCATCCATCTTGAAAAGAATTCTGAGACCATAACAAACTCACATTTCTCTCTGGGTGGATTATCACCCATAAGATCAAAAGCTTTGCAAATCTCATCAAATCTATACTCAAGAATTCCATACCTTTTTGAAAGATCATATAGCTTTCTAGTAAATGGATGAACAATTGTTCTTCTAATCATTGGAAGCTTATCACATGACTCAGATCCCCAGAAGTCCATTCTGTTACAAATCTCATCCTGTTGTGTTGCTGTCAAACCATATCTTTGAGCAAAAGTTAAATTAGCATTTTTCAAAACAAATCTATTCATAGCATGAGAACATCTTCTCTGAACAGATCCTTTAGTTGGACTGATTTTTGGGATATTCATAGCTGCTACCAATAAACATACATCTTCAAGTTGCATTAAAGTATTACCTCTTAATTCTTTTAGGAAGTAGGATCTTACATCTCTGGCAACACCAATCAATGGAGAAACTAAGAATCTTCTACAAATCTCTACAGATTGCTTTTCTATGGCAGCACACATTTTTCTAACCTCAGCTCTTGTAAACTGTTCTCTAGGAGCATTTTCATCATTATTTTCAAATTTACCCAGATAAGAGTTAAATATAGACTCACAAGTGGTCTGGGGTTCATTAATGTTAAACTCTCTAACCATATTAACAATTTCTACAAGGGAGTAGACATTGAATCCCATTGCTTTGTACTCATCATAGATATTATATGCCCACATAAGCTGAGTTGGGGAGAAAATACCTTCTTGTAAGGACTGGCTCAAAGCTGGTTCATTAATAAGAAGTGCAGCCAACTTTTGACCAATTGGAGAAGTTTTCCACCATCTGGTAGTATAAGTTTGTGTGGGATTGAAGAAACCACCAGTCAAGATAACAGCCTTTTCCTCTAATTCCTTAGGTCTCTTAGAATGTTTCTTGTATACCTCTTGACAAGCTTCAACAAATTGGGAGATAATATCCCATCCCCATGGACATACAGTTTCTCCCATATTAGCAGCTCTGTTCCATAATAGAGTGATCATTTCATTTCTGCAAAACTCAAGAGTCTGGGTATCTTCATCCTTCATGGCAGAGACAACTTTACAGGCATCACTAACTCTGAAATCAAGTAATCTAGGATAAACAGCTTCACCAAAAGCAACAGACAATTCCTGAGCCTTTTGAATATGTCTTGGAGGAACTCTCCTACATTCTGGAGTCATAGTGAAATCCATCATTCTACAGATGACCTCAGCATCCTCTTGAGTAACGGTTTCAACAGTTAGAGGATCCCTTAAAGCCAAGATGTTCTGTTGACAGATATCATAGACAGTTCTGTACTTAACGTTGGGAAGCTGTGATGGTCTTACAAGCTGAACCAATCTACAGATTGATTGCTGCTCGAGTTTGCCTCTGAATTTGTTTTCAATATCGTCAACAAGAACGAAATCTGGCCATGTTAAATCAGCACACTCATCATGACCCCATGGTTCTATATTTGAACACCAAACCTCAGTGCTTTCAGAATGAATTCCCATATCTGTAAGAACCTGCTCACAAGCTTCTTGGCTCCATCCAAAAGCAGAGAACTTTTGAAACATACCCTCAAAATCCTTAACAGTATATTTGAAAGGACTGTTAGAGTACTTTGGATCAGATTGGAACCTCCAAGCAGCAATTTCAGCCCATTGTCTAGCTCTCTCAACGATGGCACTTTCCTTAACCCTTTGGTATCTTCTCGCCATTGGAATATAACCAATTGGTAGTTTGTAATCTCTCAAACTTTCTACCCATCTTTTATGTTCTAATGGACTCATCCAAGGACCTGACATATACATATTAGTGATTGCTCCAGTTAAAGTCGGTGAAGGTTGTGGAGGATGAAGCCCTGGAATGATTTGGGTTGGGGTATAGAATTGATCAAAATTTTCTGCAAGGCATGCCCCCAAAAATGCCAATGCAGTACTAATAGTGAATATAAACTTCATGATTGATTTAACAATTCTTTAGATTCAGAAATCCGCAAAGAGTCTTCAGGTTTTTGAGTTCCGAAGCTTTAAATATTGTCTGTTTTTCTGACCTTGCTTCACTTTTATTTTCCGTTATTAATTCCTTCTTCCAATCCAATCCGTCCACTCAAGTCGATTTATTGAAAGATTCACTGCCCTATAAATTTGAAGAAAACTCTAAGTTTACTATCCAACTGTTCCTCTCCTTTATTTTTACTTTATGGGAATTCCCAGTAGAGGAACACGTCCTGGATCTATAAACATGCTAGATCTACCCGCCACTTGGGGCGCGCGGGCGGCCTCTGAATTTAAGATGAGTTACTTAAATCCGAGTTTGCATGGACATGAAAGATTGTCGGGTGTGGGGGTTTCCCGCCACACTTGCATGCAGATCTGCCTTTTTTACTCTGCTTTAAATCCCCTCTTTGCTTTTGAATCTCCTCATCTTAGATCTATTGATGTCATTGTTTTTAGGCTCACTGCCTCGAGTTCGGTTAAATGCCACATTCTTTCTTTTCCTTTGCCTTGTTTTGAAACTGCCACCTAAAAAATTTTCTCGTGTGAGGGAACTGGGGAGCCACAATCTTTTCAGAAAAATTGGAGAAGAGATACAAAAGGTTTAGTATAGCACGGGGACGGGAATTGGTGAAGGGAGGGCTTTAGATCTTGAAGGAAAGTAGGAAAAACAGAAATAGAAAGTTAAATAAGCCAATAGAGACCTTAATTGGCTCTGAAACCTAGCTGATTTGAACCAAAGTATAATTAAAGCTTAAGTCCTATATAGTATTTTTTTTAGTATTTGCATGCTATTTAATTAAATAGCTGGAATTATATTATATTGGGAAAGAATTATTATTCAGGACACTGCAAAGTAAAGTTTTCAGACGATACCATAAATTTTGTAGAAATATTTGGAAAATTTGTGTAGTATTAACTCATTCCTACAGATAGATTTGCTGAAAAGAGACAAAGAAGTAAGGCCCTGGACCCATTGGTATAGAAGATTGGAAAAAGAGTCTTGTGATATTAACTAAAGTAACCTATTAAACACTTTGGTGGCCATACCACTTCTTATATATAGAGAGAGAAAAAGGAAAAAGAAAGAAAAAGGATTGGTTGGGACTAGACTATATATATTTCCTTTGAACCATAGTCCTAGTGGAAAGAAAGCCTATTTAAAAAAATTCAGTTTTCTTCTCAAGAGTCTATTGGTGTTTTAGCCATAGGGTAGTTGCTAGAATTAACTACTCTGAGATAGATAAAAGAGATTTGATAAACAAGGTAAAGAAGGTCTTAAATATAGACAGTAGTTTTTAGTTATTTAACTTAGGTTAAGTCGAGGGTTAAATCTTAAAAAATGCAGCCTATTGGAGCTTTTGGGATGGTTCCTCAGCTGGTTAATCCACCAGTTGTGATGGTACCTGGAGGAAATACAGGAAAAGGTTTGAACGGAAACGGAAGTTGTTGTAGTGGTAATAAATCCAAAAAAAAAGGTTCTTGTGGTTCTTGTGGGAGGTGTATTGGGTCACTTTTCATCATTCTGTTTGCTTTTATATGTACTTCTTGTTGTTATTCTTACCCAATTTACAATTCTTTCACTAACTCAGAGTATTTCAAGAAACAAGAGGAGCCTATTTGGACATGGAAAATGGCCCTTAATAAGGCAAAAGAATTTGGGAATTCTATTTCACTAACAAAGTCTGCAGAAGATGAGAATGAAATATATGGGAAGAGTGGGAGAAATAGAGATTTAGACAGAATTCAGTTCCTAAAACTAAACTCTACAGATAATGAGACTGCGAGTACATTTATTAACTTGGATAATTACTTGGACAAAAACTCCTCAAACCTCACTTCTCCTCTTTACAATAGCTCGTATATTTCGAGTATTTTATATTCTAATGCAGAAAGGAAGCTAAATATAAGGGGAGGAGGACTAAACCAAACAAAAGAGTTGATTGGATTTAAGACAAAACAAATACCAAATAAATACTTTAACAAAGAGTACTGTGAAAGAGGAAAAAACGAGATAGCAGGAGTTTGGAAAGATCTCTGTAATTTTAAGCACAATGTAACTAACCTAGAGTGTATAGATATGATGAATGGCCCGGCAATCTGTGTTGGAATAAGAAATCGTAAATATGAGGTCTTTTCAGTTTCTAAGCAATGCAAATTTGTGGAACCTGAAATCCCTGTTGAAATTTTCCCAACTATTTCTGACCTTTGCTATAATGGAAACTATTCCAATAATACTTCATTGGGTACAACTAATATTACTAAACCTATATGTCCTTGCATGATTACTTCAAGCCCAGTAGACAATATGGAATTGAATGGGAACAGTACAATAACAGGGAATTTGAATACAAAAGATTTCATTATACTAAACAAAGCCAATCAAGATACTCAGAAAATGCTTAGAGGAAGTGAAAAAATACCAGAAAATCCTTATAATTCTAGTTTAATTGATTTTGGAATCAAAAGTTTGAACCAAAGTAATTTGAGAAATAACACTAATTTATTAATAAATATGTTAAATTCTTAAAATAAAGACAACTGAGGGGATAAAACAGATCTTAGGTAGTTAGTTTGTCGCATGTAGTGACCATCCTCTTAATTGACTCCGTAGACTAGCAATAAATACTCACTAACCAACCTGTTCGGATGTTACAAGAGTACAAATTGTAATAGTATATAATTTGGTATCCCTTTTTGTTTCTAGGCATTTTAAGCGAAATCAAAACAGGTAATACAAATAACAGATATCAGAAATTCAAACAATTGTCAATTAATATGGACAAAAAAATGATGGATTAAATATTAAGATGTGTGTATATATTTATATATATGTATATATATATATATTTATATATATATATATATATATAAATATATGTATACACAAGATTGTAGTTATATACCTATTTATTGATGGGAAAAATATACATTAATCACGTTGACTTATAATTGAATATTTATAAATGCAAATAATAGTTAATTTATTGGACAGTGAAATTACATTTTATTTTTAACATTTTAACTATAATTGATAAAATTAATTATCTCTTTGATAGTAATTTAACTATACTAATAAATATAATACTTAAATTTGGCGCCGGCGCGTTCTGGACGTATTCATAAATAATATTTAGCAAAATAGTAGAGGAGAGTAAAAAATAAAGCTTAAGTAGCTGAAACATAATTAAGAAGGACATTTATGCTATGAATTAATGCCAAATGTAAGATTAAGACTGGGCGATTGGATTTGCCCAGTTCAAAGCTGCTTGGAGGTCAATTTCGCACGGAGGAAAATATGTTATAAGTGTCAAGCCTGTCGCCCAGGTTTGAACCAAAACAGATCTGTACTTAAATGGTCTCAGAACTTTGCCGTACCTCCTTTCATGAAGCCGGGAGACTGGATCTGCACTTTATGCGGTAGGATGAATTGGGCGAGACGTAATGTTTGCTTGGAATGTAGAACAGAAAGATCTTCATTTCAAGAAAGGGTAATGATGAAAGGTCAAAATGATTCAGATGCGATTTCAAGTAGTAAACCGTCTTTGAACAGAAAAAAAAAGATACTTAATGATTTATCTGATAATAGTAAAAGCAAGAATTTTCGGAATTCTTCATGTAGTGAGCTCGGATCAATTAAGAGCTTTAAAACTGAACAGGAAGAAATAGGTTTTGAAAATCCAAATGTAACGAAGTTACATAATTATGGATTTGGAGACTGCCATAATAGTCATAATAAACGAATTATGGATAACAGCAGTAGAAGGTATTATAGTAAGGAATTGTATATTCCTCAAGAACCCGGACAATTATCAAGTTTTTTCTATAATAAGCAAAGAACCAGAAAGGCGGATTTAAATTCTGGAGAAATGCTTCGTAGTTCGCTCCAGTTTGATAATAGTACTAGTTTGAATACTATAATTAGTAGTGACATCTTATTGCAACAAAAGAAAGAAGATTTTTATTTAAATGGAGTAAAGGAAAGAGAGGCACTCTTTTCGTACCCCAAAGATCTTAGAGAACTATGTCTTAGTTCTAAAGCATCTTTTATAGAAGGATTCCAATCTACTCCAAATTGTATGGCGTGTTGTTCAAGGCCAAACAATGGTAGAAACAACAATTTGCCATTCATGGAGTGTAATTGGCCCGCTAGTGCGAAAGATTGGAGATTTAGAGGTAATTTAATTAACTCTACTTTCGAGCCCTCGTCTTCAATGATGCACACAAACCATTTGAAATTTAAAAAACAGTCACCCTCACTAACCTCAAACCCTCACTTTAGCGTCCAATACAAAGCCCGAAAAGGTTGAGGAGATTTTGAAAGTGTCTTCTTCAAAACTTGAAATCACATGTAGTTGAACTTTAAGTTTTGAGGGCAGGTTCTGTTTCATAAAATTTGCTTAGATTTATCTGGACTACAGTTTCAATTAAGATCCATGCATTAAATAGTATCGATCTTGGTTTTAAATGTTAAGTGGCGATAGACATCTTTCTTTTGCTGGCTGTTCCGTCATTCCTCTTTCTTAACGCTTTTTCCTTTTTTTTTTTTGTCATGCAAGGGAACCTGTTACGTACCAATTTTAGGCGGGCGAATATCGGCGCCTTTAAATAAGAATAGTCCAAATAAACTTCGAAAAAAACGAGAAATAGGAGCTGAGGCTTGTGAATAAACAACAATATTAATAGAGAATAAGGAGAATGCAAGCAGGATTTCAGGATAGGAGGGTGTATAGACGATGAATACAAAGTATAGTTTCCTTCATATCTTTATAGGTACCTTGTTACTGTCTTTGGTTATACTGGAGCCAATAAATTGCAAAATCGACCCTAAATTCAAGTTTGGGCCGTTATACCCCCCTCATGATAGAACAATTATCAGTGACTTTGACAATTATGCAATACACTATTGTGGTCTGAAGGATTCATTATTTAATATAGCTCACTGCATTTTTCATGCATTAACAGAAGTACAGGAAGAAAAAGAACTTAAATACGAAGATTATGAAAATATTGTTAACTTGTTGCTTCAGGGAAAGAATCGGGCTTCTCTTCAGAAGCTGATTTCTTCCACAAATAATTGTGAGAATATGGTCGTGCCATATATTCAATTTGAAAAGCCAAAGTCTACAAAGTCAATAATGGGAGTCAAAATCTCAACTAAGGTTGAAGATTACTGCAAATTTGCCTACAGATGTATTAACAATGGACCAAGTACTCTTATTAAAAATAAGGAATCTGTATTACAGGAATACCTTGGAAGATGGATTAGCTCAGCTTCTCAAGGAAACGAAGGCTTTGGTTTGGTTTTAACCTCCAGACTTGACTTTCAAATTTCAAAGCTTAAAATCCGCTCAAAGGAGCCGAAGGAGCTTTTCCAGATTGGAAGTAAACTTGCAGCAGAATCCCCAGTCAAAAGAGAGTCTCTTTGTATGGAGATTTTTAACAACAAGGAAATTTGCTCTATTGTGAGCCCTTACAAGCCGAAATTCAATGGTTGGCTGCATCCCCCTATTGATCCTATTAAGAACAAACCTTTTAAGTTTAACCCCAAGTCTATGATAGATGAGAAAGTTAATAACATTGTGAATATTCAAATTAATCAAGAACTGCCTCCCTATTGTATACCTCAAGAAATTTTTTCATTCCAACCTCCTGAAATATTTACTAAAGAAAAGAAGAAGATTCATTTTTATACTGACTTATCCCAGACCGAAAAGAACATAATTAACCAATTTCTAATGCATTTTGTAATTAACTATGGTAAGATCCCAAGAGTTATATTTGATCATAGATCCAGGTTCGCTATTGAAGGATGGCTTTCACATAAAAATAAGTCTCCAATCATCTCAGTACACAATTCAATGTACTCATTGGGAAGAAAGCTTCAGTACAAAGATACAATGAGCGGAATGTTATACTCAAACTCGGGATCTAAAAAGGAAACATACCCTTATGATTTTCCTCAATTTAAAATATTTTCGGTTTACTCTGATAAAACACGTACATTTGAAATCAGTGACTCTAATCCACTGATTTCTACATGTTTGAAAGAGGGATGTGCCTATTATATAGGAAGAAGTTCATCAATGTGCCCAGTTTTGGTTATAAGAGCTTCGGCAATTATTTCAATAAAAAACTTTAAACAGTCTTCAGCATCTTTTCTTGCCATGTTTATAATGGCGTTTGCTGAAAAGTATTTGTTTTTCCCAGGAAAGGTTGAAAGCATTGACTTAATTATCGATTGTAGAGGATTCTCTCTTTCTAGTATCTCAACTTTATTGAGAATCAAACCAATTATTTTATACTGGCAGGATGAAGGTATAATCAACCAGTATCCTTTGAGATTCAATAATATCTTTGTTATCCAACAGAGCGACATTTGGGGTACTCTTAAAGACATTCTTGCAAGATTCTTTCTTTCAGAAACCATCAAAAGTATTAGAGTTATTAGTAATGTTTCCCATAATCCAAAGGATAACGCAGATCTTAAGCTTCTTTGGAGATATATATCACCCCATATTATTGAAACTGATATGGGAGGTACTAGACCCAAATTACAGCAGGGAGAGTATTACCCATTTAAAATTTTACCAGGCCCCTATAAACCTTTCAATACCAATCTAACAAACACCCAAGTTACTCCATCCGTTAGTGACTGGCCCAAACCTGATTTTAGTTCACCAAAGAATCTCTACAAACTTCTTCCCCAAAGCGTTTTTTCTACAAAAGCTAAAACTTTGGATGGAAACGAAGACGTTATTCCCATTAATTGGAAAGATTCTAAGAAGCTTTTAGATAGCATACCAAAGACATTGTGGCCAGATATTTCGACCTCAATACCTAATAATGAGCCAAAAGATGATTTAAAAAAGAAAGAAGGTTCTAAATCGTCGAAAGACTCAGAAACTTCTAAAAATGAAGAAAACGACGATACCAAACTTTCTCAAGAGACTAAAGACAAACCCGGAACTCCAAAAAGAACTATAAGTGGAGCTGATTCTTTAAAAGACATCTCCCACAGAAATACTGTTCCAAATGGCGGAAAAGGCAGAGATCTACTTCTTCAGCTTTTGCTCACTCAAAAAATACTTAATAATCTCAAACAGCTTTATCTACTTAGGCTTGAGAAAAGCAAGAACAGACATAATCTGGAAGAACAGTGTGTCCGGCTTGCAACAGACCACATATTGTTTTTTTCAGACTTGGTTAAAAAAGCCTTGATTGAAATTTCCAATCAATTAGCAAATATAAAACATGCAAAAAAGGCGCCAAGAAATTTGCCACAAATTAATATGAGAATGTCGATTTTTGAAGCATATAGAGATATAATTTCAACCTTAAAGCTTAGTAGGGCAAAAGAAATATTATCATCAAAGAGTTTTAGTTATCTAGAACGAGCTAGAAAACAGATTTTAGAACTAGAAACCAAGCTAAACAAGGCAAGGCAAGAGATTAGAACTCTTCTGAAAGAAGATCCGGGCATATTGGAAGAAAAGGCTTCATCTACATGGGACATACTTTTATCTGTTTTCAAAGATTTGGCCCAGCTTAGAAAAAATATCAGCGATATAGAACTTAAAGAGAAGAAGATAAGCATTAAGTTGCATCATTTGTGTGAACAACTAACTTCTTCATTAGGCGTTACAAGGTCATTTTTGGACAACTACAGCAAATATGACCACCTCAGTATGTTTGAGAGCTCTCTTTTACTTAACATGATTAACGCAATCATTAAAGGCCAAGAGTACTCTTTTGAGAAACCTATTACTGGTAAATAAGGCTGTTTTTTTTTTTATAAATGTTTAAGCTTAAAGACATTACTACATGCAAGTACAAATCAAAAGAATACTCCAATCTTTATGAATTTTATCATTATTATATTTACTACTATAATTACTATCAAGTTACAGAAAAATAACTTTCAAACATTTAATAAATACTAATTTGAATAGATTTTACATGGACTTATTAGGTTAATTAATTTTAAGTTTTGAGTAATTTTTCTGTTCTTCTTGGCCCTCCTCATCAAATCTCTCCCTCTTTCCTGTTTTTCTAATTTCAATATTACCTGAAGTTCAAAGTTATTGCATGTAAACACCGGTCTACATGCACTTGCAAAAATTTGCAGATATGCATGCAGTTCTGGAAAACAGATTGACCCATTCTGTACTCACCTTTCAACCAAGCCAAAATATTATTCTCTACATTTTTCAGTATGCCCGAAACTTCAAACTCGACGCTTTCCAATGATAGCATTTCAATTCCAACAGCTTGAAATATATATTTAATTGTATTAATGACAATCCAAGTAATTACTGACTTAGTTGATTGGGCGGGAAAGAAATATCTAAGATAAGGTGATTAAAAAAGTGAACAAAAATGAATACTACAAGCTAGTTATTCTCAAGTTCGCTTTCCATGTGTGAGTCCTCAGTCTCCAGAGATTCAGCTTCAAGAGATCCGCTTTCCTCCTCTTCTTCAACTTGATTATTGGAAGAGATATATAAAGAGGTGGTAAGAACCATAATAGAACATTCTGTAGAGTCTGAAAAGTTAGAGTCATTAGAATTACTAACAATTTTGGAGGCAATAGCGGTTACACTCTGAACGTTTAAAACAGGATCACTGCAAGCTTCAACCAGATCTGAAAGAGGTTTTTGAATTTCTTCCTCAGTACATTCTTTTTTAAAAGACTCATGCAATGAGAGACATGCCTCATAAACTTGCTCCGGATTTTGAATTCCAGAAGCCCCCTCAGACGAATCTGCACCCTCAAGTTCGATTACTTCCTCAGATAAAGAGTTTTTGGAAACATCTTCAACTTTTGTAGATTTGTCATTATCCACAACCTTAACAATATCTTCATGCTCTTCAGCTCCAGAAGGAAGAATGAGAAAACAAAATAGGAGCATTAAGGTAGTGGCAAATAACCATCTGAAACCTTTTCTATAAACATTTAGCATTTTATAACTTAAATGTTAATATACTGCAAAAATCAATAAAAAAAAAAATTTTGTGTGTATAATAGTTCAGTTCACACAAGGACCAATTTCGGAGCTGGTAATATTTAAGGCTCATTTAATAAAGTTGAAGGCTCGTCTTTGCACTTATTGATTAAGCTTTCAAGCTTGTAAAGTCTACTGATTGCAGTGTAAAGCTCAGAAATGTCATCCCAGTTAAGAAAGAAGCAAGTAATACCAGAAGCGACAGTATTAAAACACCTGATAATAGTGGCCCTCCCTCCTATAGTGACGTCCTTTCTAATGATTGCTGGAATTAAAATTATGGTTGGTAAAAATTCAATCATGCTTGACAAACTTCCATTAGTTAGGTTGTACCTGAGGGAGTACAAATAAATGTCACTATGAATTAGTTTGAGCTCACTAACCAGAGCATTCTCTATGAGAGACAAGTTAAGCCTCGGAACCCCCTCTTCACCCAAAATGAGCTGTTTTCTAAATTCAGCTTCAACTATTTCCTTATTCATAATCTTAGAGCTCATTTTTCTGGAAGTGAAGTAAACCCCAAGCATCAAAATTGAAACTAACATGAAGAGATAAGCTATTAGAGAGTACTCAAATTCATCTGAAAACGGCGGAATACCTTTGACCCTCTTGCTGTATTCAATCAAAATTGGAATGTGAACCAAACTTCTAGAAATTGAAATCACAATTCTGAAGAACAGGCTCAAAATAAGCTTCACAACCTGGATAGTGTCCTCCTGAATTCTTTGAGATACTCCCTCTACTTTTTTGATGAATCTCCAGTTCTCAAATAAGTAGTTCGACTCAAAATTACGCCAATTAAGGAGCAGGATTGTGATGAAGAAATTACTCAAAACTCTAAAAAAGCAGAGAAGTACAAGAAACATTGGTAAACTCAACATTTTCAACTTAATATCATTCATATAACTCTCCCCTTGTTCTGAGTTAAATGAGTCCACCAAAAGGTTATAAATTACAGAAAACCATTTAGTTACACTCAAGTGAACCTTTGAATATTGTATGTTCAAAACTACTAATAGGATACAGTATATCCAAGAGCTTGTAGAAAACTTGCTGGAAAACAAAAATTTCTTGATCATGGTTTTACTTATTTTGTTATATTAGTGGATTTGAACCGTCAATTTAAATTAATGTCAAAATTACCTGGCGCCAAGGGTTTTTTTCAAGTATTTCTATGTACTAAATCAGTAAATAAGCAAAAAATTGGCAGAAAAAAAACTTTAGATTTTGGTTATATAAAAATGATTATATTTCATTCTCTGAGTAGAAGTTCCAGAACAAAGTTTCTTTTTTTTTTGATATCTATTTTTGCTTGTTCAGTTTCACTACTATACTTTGAATATTCTGGAAATTCCCAACTTAAAATATTTGGAGACACCTTACAATTGGCAGTTAAAAGCACATCAAATGTTCATGCTTCAGAACTTTACATGTCATTTTTTGCTTTGGTTTCCTACAAGCTGATAATTGTATTTTTAAAGTCGATATCTTCATATTTATCTAAAAAGAGCATTTTCTTTTGGAGACTGCAAATAACTGAGCATTTTTTAAAGAATTGGGAGAAAATTTACTTAATTGAAGGGGCTTCTCAGAGAATTCAGGAAGATACTATGAGATACTGCAGACTTTTTGAGAAGTTGTTGATTTTTGTTATACAGGATTTTTTCAAGCTTATTATTTACTTACCTTTATTACTTGAATTAGGCAAGCATATAACCAAAACATGGCTGATACCCAATACAAAACATATATTACTTATTTTGATTATAGTCAACTCTATAATTGGAACTTCCATTATTATTTTCCCAAGTAGATACTTGTCTAGGCTCGTGTATAAAATTGATAAAGAAGAAGCTTTATTTAGAAAGAATCTGGTTTTATATGAGCTCGAAGAAAAGGATTTTTCTAAGTTTGATTTTATTGGGAATTATAGAGATGTGGATAATACTCATAAAAGATACTACAAAAGGTTCTATGTAATTAAGGTCATTCAGTTAATATACTTCCGTTTATCAATGATTACTTATTGGTTATTTGCCCATCCTTCAATGAAACCTCCTTATACTTTGGGTTTGCTTAAACAGACAATGCATGCATTTGATGAAGTTTCATCGGTGTTTAATTTTGCAGTTACACATTTTAAGAGTTTAGTAGAGTTCATCGCAGTTTATTCGAGATTAAATTTAATGGTTAAGCAAACTATAAAGGATAAAGAATCAGAATAATCTGTGATCTATTATCAAAAAAACTACCATGGATATTATAAAGAACATTATTTTAGTATTGATACATAATTGGTTCTTTTTTTTCCAAATTTTACTGCACTTATTAATTCAAAATATGAATATTCTTTATTACTGGATTTCAAAGAAAATTGAAATGTCATCTGATTCATTTGCGAAGAACTGAACACATGAAATATTTCCATCTGGTCCATATCCTCCTTTCGAAATTTTGGTTACTTCTATTTTATCTATTGAAAGAAGCATAAATTGGCCAAGATCTTTAATACTGATAATACCTCTTTCAAAAGTAGAAGTGCTACTATTAAGATAATTACCTTTATAAATTGGTTCATTTTCCTTGATTGCAGTGGTTCTATACACACTAATATTACCAGAGCTGGTGTATTCAATTTCAAAAGAAAAATCGTCCATTTTGGTGTATATTTTAACTTTCAAGATACCATTTAGAAACCCTCCAATAAAATGGAGAGTACCACCAACTGGAGAACCAGTAGAACCTGAGGCAAAACAAAGTTTGTTTCCTTCGCACACAGTTGAAATGTAAGAGCCCCTGTGTTGTTCAAGAACGCAACTTTTCTTTATTGGCTTAAATTCAGAAGATATTTGTGATACATCATTTCCATTAACATTTACAGAATAATCTTTCAATGTATTACTTACTCTGGTACTTTTGGTATTTTCTAAATTATTAAAGTAATTTCTGCGTAGGCCACCAATATTCTCATCTTTTAGTAGGAAAGTATCATTTTGAGAAATATTTTCATAATCAACTTTATCAAGATTGGTTAAATTGGTGATCAAGGCTGCTTTTTTTCCATCAACTTCTACTAAAAACTCAGAAACATCTGCATTATTATTGAAGCTAATAAAAGTTTTCTTTTTCCTCTCATTGGAATCTGAAACAACTCTAACAGCTACCAAAGTTTGGCCATGGCTTTCATTTGTCTGATTTGTTCCTGGTGATTTCAATACTGGAAGTATCCCGTCAATAAAACATGATCCAGTTCCTGAATAAGAGTATTTTGTGCAGGTTCTAGTTGGAAGTAAAGTGGACGTAGGATTACGGTGAAGACCTTCAAATAGTATTCCATGTGGGATTTCACCATTTGGAATTACAATTGGATCAAATGCATAAAATCCATTGACTGAAATTGTGACAAACAATGAAGTAAAGATCAACTTAATTGTATAACTCTGAAATCCATAACTTTGGAAAGGAAAATATCCTCCTTTTGATTGCACAATATCAGTGCCAGCTACTCCTTTTAGAAACAATCCTTTATCATTAACAAGAAGATGGAAAATAACTAATCCCGACTTTGAACTCAGGATAATGTGAGTTTTGGACGGGACCTTTACTGATTTACTTGACACAATTCCTGGTATTCCCAAAACTATTTGACTTCCTGCAACGAGAGAACTTTCTGAAATTATAACATTAGAAGAAAGACATGTATTGGAGTATGGAGATATATTTAAATTTGCATCATTCCCAGTTATTGGAATTTTTAAAACACAACGTTCCATTTCATCGTTTTTAATAAATGGAATAACTGAAATTTTAACATTTTCAAGTCCTGATGTTTGGATTTTTGAGATTCGAATAGGTTTTTCAGCAAGGTTAATATTTAATATATTATATACCAAGTTATTCACAGTAAAAGAAATGGTTGTGTTGGTTAACACCATAACGAAAGTTATTTTTCCAACATTTGAAGTCGAATTTGTTACATTATTATTGATGGTAAAATCATCCTGGTTACCTTTCAATTCTAAAGATGTCAATCCTCCATTTACTTGAGTTCCATTTACTAAAGAACTCACTTTGACTGCTGCATTTTTATCATTACTATTCAGTCTAAATGAAATCAATTCCACATCATCTTCTGATTTGAATTCATACTTTATTCCTAAATTATTTGAATCTCCAATAATTGTTGTGGTGAACCTGGATGTAATTGGAACCAAAAGGGTGCTGTTCGAATTATTGCAATTAATCGGCAAAGTTCTGTTAAAACACGAATCTTGTGTATAATTCGTATTTACTGGGATAATTTCTGGATTAATTAATTTTTTCCCAAAGTCTACGTTTGAACTATTGGTGATAGAAGATGAATTCATTGTTGCATTGGAACTTTCCACAGGTTCTATCGGAGCCGTAGTGCCATTTTTGCTTATAGTGCTATTCAATGACAAATCAGATTCTATAGTTGTACTGACTTTTTGTGATTTAACCTCCACATTCAGGCAAATCCCCAACAACAATAGTCCCAAGATTTTTAATGTTCTTGAGTGGCTCATTTATTATACCTCTTTAACAAAACCGAACTACTTGATTTTATATTTCTTTTATAACAACTTTATTTCAATTATTTTTGGAATTCAATATTAATTTTTATTGGATTTACACAAGAACTATGTTTATTTACCCACACGTAATCTTAGAGTGTCATGCGCGCTAGATTGCATACCGGTATATAACTATCTTGTATGATTTAAAAGAAAAATAATTTGCTATAGACAAATATAATTCAAATACTTTGGTTTTATCTTTATTTTTGCCATAAATAACTTCCATACCCTAGTTATTTTGATTTTTTGGAGATTCTTATATTCCACTCCCAATTAAGTAGATTCTTTAAGGAAGCTTTCTTAAACTTTTTTTTATTACCATTATATTTATTTATTATTTAATCAGCTAATGAATTCACTAAAAAAAATAACTAAAATGAGTTCTCCATGAATTTGCTCATTTAGATTAACTTTATTTAATTCAGAAAATTAACTTTATTCCATTACTTTTCGCTTAAAATAACCCTCAAGCGATTTTTCAACTTTATCTTGAACATTTTAGTTTTCTAATCTCTTCTACTCACTGATATTCCAGCATTGCATGCAATACACATAAACTCTCGTACTTGCATACATGCATGCACCTGCAAGTTATCCACATGCAATATTTGTAATAAATGCCACGTAATCCCAATTAAAAAAAAGAAATGTATATTGGTGTGAAAAGCCAAATATTGAAGTTTAAAATAAAAACAAGCCTAGTAAAGAATTCTTCAATAAAAAGAATGTAGAATCAAAATAACGAATAAGACATTTTATTTACGAAGAAAACACCAAGTTATGAAATTTATATGGCACTTATTAGTTATCATTTTCTTTAAAAATAACTATCTAAGTGAAAAAGCAATGTCTCATGTGATTTCTTGAAAAAATCGTGGATGCATTATATAATTTACTGTTCTTATTGGTAAAAGGAATTTCAAATTTTCAGAAAATCAAATAATGAAAAAGGTTTACTTAGATTCCAATAATAAATAAGGTGGCTTGGTTTCTCTCATTTCAAATTCATCTGATAATTACTGGAGCTATCAAAATTTAAGTTAGAAGATTTAATGGTAGATGATAGAAAATTGGAGGAAGAACACATGTTCAAACTATTTTCACCTTCCAGTTTCCAGGAAAGGGCAGATTCAGCAATCTCGGGAGTAAGTGACTCTACTCCGGATCCGAGTACTATAGATTTCATTCCCAAAACTAGTTTGGAAAGCTGTCTTCCAGAGAATCCTTCTGTTTTTTTAGCTAATATATCCAATACTGTCTGGTCCAAAGAAGGATGTATTTTAATAGAATTAGATGATGATCTAACGAATTCTCCAGATAGGTAACGACTATTAAAGTGGAGCTCCAAAAATTGTTTAATAATTTTAAGCCTTTCATTAAAACCGGGATTGGGGAATTCAAAGATTTCATCAACCCGATCAATTACAGCTTTATCTAAAGTCTCGGGGACATTTGTGGCAAGTAAAATACAAATATCTTTAGACTCAGTTCCTGTTTGGTGAAGAAAAGCACTCAATGCATTTCTGGAATCTTCAGATTTATTGTAATTAATGGATTCTCTCCCTTTAGATAAAAATGCTTCAGCCTCGTCAATAAATAATAACATACCTTTATTAGACTTACGAGCCCAATCAAAAACTTTGTTCAACTCTGTAACTCCATTTTTTCCAAGTTGTCCCACATCTCCTCCAGACATTATGGCATAATCTAGTCCACTTTCTTTCGCAAGCTTTCTAGCAAACATTGTTTTCCCAGTTCCAGGTTTTCCCCAAAGCAACATATTTCTGAAAGGAACATCAAATCTTTTTGAGTTGACTAAGGTGTTGACAGTCCAATTAAGTCTATTTTCCAATTCTGAAGGTAATACAATATTTTCAAAGATTTTAGGTTTTTTTATTAATCTATTTCTCAATCCCAAAAGTCTGTAAGTAATTGCTGGAGAAAAAAAGTTACTTCTAGGTATTAACCCGTGTCTGGTTAAAAAACTCATATTGGTTTCTCTAATGAGACTCGGTTTTCCAAAGCTGGTTTCTAATAAGTTTGATAATACTCTTGTAGTGTTCTTAGCTCCATAAATTCCAAAAGCCATTGCCGTTAAACCTCCAACTAACATTGTTAGTTTTGATTTGTCCTGATATAAGGAATTTCCAATCTCTTTAATTCCACCAAAAATGGTTCTAATTGATTCTAAATGAGTTATCCTACTTTCTTTTGCCTTAGCTCTAATTTCACTCAATCTAATATCTGCATTCTCTCTCTCAGCTTTAATCCTCCCGATAGTTTCTTCTCTAATTCTTACCTTGATATTCTCTTGTTCCAGCTTATTGTCATATTCTGATTGTTTTCTCCTCATTTCAAGTATTTCTCGCTCATTCTTTTTCCTAATTTCCTCCTGTTCCAAAAACTTTTCGTGTTGTTGTTTCAACATCCTGGCATTCTGACTTTCTTGTTCCTTCAGTTTTTTATAATATGCCTCTGTCTCAAGTTTAGCCTTGTACTGGGATGTGGCTCTTTCCTCCTCCTGTTGATGAGTAATTGTTTTCCTTCTCTCATCAGCTTCTAATCGAGTCCTCTCAAGATTTGCCTTTGACCTATAAGCAGAGCTCTGTTCAATATCACGCTCCAGTTCCTTTTGCTTAGTCTTTTCCTGAAGCTTTATAATCTCAAATGCTTTTTGTGCATTTGGAGAAGAATCTAGCTGTTTCAAAGCTTTTGCTCCTCTCTCCAAAGCTGTTGGGTCAAAATTACCATTGATACTTCCACCTCCTTTTCCACCAGAACCTTTACCTACAGAATCCTTTCCTCCATCTCCTGAGTCTGGAGTAGGGTTTCCTTGTCTTCCTCCAAATCCACTAAAAAACATCTGGGATCTATTCTAGACCTTTAATTATAGTCCTTTGGTTTTTGGCGCCATAATTTGACAATTTTTAAAAAATTGTCAAATTGTTATTTTGTTCAAATTTTTCTTTTATAGGTTTTAATTTTTAAATTAGAATTCTTAAAATGTACTTGAAAGATGAAGAAGTGACTTATATTTTCTCATTTTTTTTGAAGAGCAGGAACTATAATAATCATTGGTAAGAGTGAGGATAAAAACTTAAATATTAAATTCAACTAGGAATTTAGAAGAGTTAAATGTGTGTGTATATCTAAGAATTTCTACGAGACAACTTTCTACTTAAGTTAAGTATTTTCTCCAATGATTTTTTTTAATAATTATTAATAAATTCGAATGCATTATATTTGGCGCCTAAATATTTTAATATAGTAACAAAAATTCTGGGTTTGACTACATATTAGTAAAGGTACGCCCAAAAGCAAAACAAAGTTGAAGAGTTCAGCAGGTAAATACAGAAAACTGAAAAAAGGAAGGATTATGTCAGAAAGCTCAATCTTGCTCTACGAAAACAAAAGTGAAAGGGTGAGTGGAAGACCTTGGAAAGATACTCCAAATCTAAAATCCAGGCTTAAAAAAAGAGTCACGGGCAAGAAAAAGAGTTACGACGAGAGAATTAGAGAAAAAAAAGAAATTCAGAGAATCAGGGGAATAGAGCTAGCTGAGAAGGAGGAACGAGCTAACGCAAGAAAGGAAGCTAAAGAAAGAAAGAGACAAAAACAACAAGCTAAGATAAACAGGGAAATACTTTCATCAGGAGTACAGGTTATTACTAGGACTGATAAAATTAAGAACTGGAACAAAAAAGCCAGAAAGATGTTGAGAAAAGTCTCATTGGAGGCTCTAAACTTGAAATAAAAAATTAACTGTTATATTTCTAATCTATGTTAATATTTTTAAGGATTAGATCCCTAAATCAACAAAAATGACTGTCTCTACATCGGATGCCTATCTGGTTTGGCTCAAGCTCAACGAAAAACCTAGATCTAGTCTTTCCTTATCTTTGATTTAAATTCAACTTATTTATATTACTTTTTGCTTTGGTGCATTATAAATTAGTCTAATCTTCCTTTTTCTTCTTAGAAAATCTCGTAAATGATGTAATTATGCGTAATATTAAATATGCGAAAACTATCACAATTTGAATACCCCAAATGATTGTGACAAATATGATGCAGATTCTACCAAATATTTGTTTGATTGATTTTTCAGTAATCATCTGTGGGATTTTAGAAAGTGCCTCAAGATGGTTTTCATTACTCTCATTATCAAATTTAAATTTCTTAAAAAGTTTAATATTCCCATTCAAATCCTTAATAGAGGCCTTAACTATGATTCCTGAACACTCTACAAGGTTTTCTTTTCCTTGCTGAGCTTCTGGGCATATATACTCGAAATCCAACTTTCCGTAGTTTTCTTTTGTATAGTAGTTTGGAGACTTATTACTCAAAGACCAACCCGTAAAGATTGGTAGAGTTACAGAAATGACAAAACTATCCAAAATTCGGTTACTTACACTATGTGTCATTCCACTCGAAGTAATCTCAACCAAAGACTTCTGAGAGTCGTTAGACTCAAAAATCTGACCCCAATGAACGTCCCCTGATAAAAATAAGAGTCCTCTTGGTTTTGTCTTTCCAATAAGAGATAGTAATCTTTTTCTTGAGTTTGGAAAATGGCCCCAGCTTTCCACAACTGGATACAGTGTGGTAACCTGAACAGATGAAATAATAATATTAGCAAGTGCCTTAGAGTTACTGAGCTCCTTCTCTAGCCATTTCCACTGGTCTTCACCCAACATATCTCCTTCATATGCGTGACCATAACCAAAAACTGAAGCAAAGAAACGAAGAGATGCAGCAAAAATACTGGTAAGAGGAGTATCCAAATAAGCAAAAGATGAAATCCCATACTTTTCGTGAACATAATTCCTATCTCTATGATACCTTGTATCTAAAATAATCACCTTAATTTGCTTCCCAGGAGGACCAAAAGTGTGAGAAGAATAAACCCCTTTCCTATTTCTTCTCGGAGAATCCACAGGAACTGAAATAAAGTCCAAAAACAATTGCTGACTTACATCCTTAAAAAGGACCTCTTTTCCACCATCATTAACACCATAATCATGATCATCCCAAGTGCCATCCACAAATAAGCCAGTTTTTAAAAGATCTCTATAAAACTCATTATTGCTCTGGACCAAGTAACCTTTACTAACGCATACTGGAGAGCCACATTTAGTATATACAGAGTCTCCCATCCAAAATAAAGCATCTGGATTGTCTGATTTAATGGTTTTCCAGTATTCCTGACTTACATAGTTATCCAACTCATCTTTTTTTTGGCCGTCCACACAACTGACAAAAACTAAAGAATCCAAAGATTTCTTAGAGGTGCTGTCTTCTGCAATCACTCCAAGGAAGAAATAAAAAGTTAAGAATACCCAATATATGCTCGTCATTTTGTAAACAAGTAACTTACACAGGGGATAACCCGCGCAATTTCTGGCAGGAAAACTCTGGACTGGATTTACCCACAGTGTGAGGAAGAAATAGAGAAGAGAAAAAGAATAAGCTGGGAGCTGAAAAGTAGGCAATATATAAACGGTAATGGATATCGTAAAAGCTTGCTTTAGGTTTTCTTTTCTGGGTCTTCGTTCAAATGAGCAGTGGCTTGGGGAGCTACTTAGTCAAAGTTCGGAGGATCAGGAGGAACCAAAAAAGATAGAGTCAAATTTGGAGAGCCAAATATTTGGAGGTTTAAGTGTTAAGCAAAGTTTAGCTTTGCTAAGAGCTCGTAGTTATTTTGAATCTTTGGAATTTACAAGGGCTTTTGAAGTTTTGAATGATGAAGTTTCTCTAAATAAATCTGGGATTGCAGTGTTTATGAAGAATTATTACCAATTAGTTTCTTTAGAACGCCAAAATACAAAAACTGATAGATTAGAAGACATGGTGGTCCCTCCATCAGAAGCAAGTATGACTTCGCTAAAGTATTCAAAAATAGAGGTGGAGATTCTGAATTTTCTGAGTTGTCTGAGCAATTCTGATAATGTTGAAGAAAAACAAGAGATTATAGGTTTGTTGGAATGGCTGGCCAGCATTGTTATTTACAGACAAAATAGATATCTGGAGGCTCTTGAGTTCCAAATAAATTCGTTAAAAAAAGAGCCTTTGAATTGGAGCTGCTGGCAAGATTTAGTGAGAAATCTCACTTCAAATGGTCAAGGAAATGTAGTGTCGTCTTTTAAGACTTGTGAGAATGGGGAGAATAATGATTTCAACTGGAATGAGATATTTTTTAACGAGAACCTGCATAGAAATCCTGGACTTCAACCATTTAAAAAAAAGCAAAGCTCTGGGTTATCCAGAAATATCCGAGATTCTTCATTCAAAGACTTTTCAAATTCTCTTGGATTGACTGAAAGTTTTTGTGGACATATTGCTTACGCTTTATACCTGGAAACGATAGGAAAATGGAAAGAAGCTCTTTGCGAATACAACCAAATATCCAATGAAATAAAAAATAGTCCATATGTTGAAAGTAGGATTGCCAAATGCAATAGAGAACTTGGAAACCTTGAAGCTGCAGTGAGAATTCACGAATCTATTCTTAATAAAGATAAGACCTTTTTAGGGAATTCGGTAGAGTTTGCTTCGATACTTTCTGAAGCTAAGAATGTTAAGGAGTTGAATCTTCTTGCAAAAAGATGTGTGGAGCTTTCCAAATATTCTGTTGACACGTGTATTGTGCTTGGTATTTATCACTGGCTCACTAATGACAAATATAAGGCTCTCAGATTCTACAAAAGGGCTCTCCTTATAGATTGCAAATCAAGTCCAACCTGGGTACTTTGTGGCTATGCTCTTCATGAACTAGGAAATACTAGGAGTTCCCTTTTTTCCTATAGAACTGCTTTGAATCTGGACCCTACTAATGTTCAAGCCATTTTTGGAATCGCTCAAATATATTCCAGACTCAATCTCCATTCCTATTCAATAAAACTCTATGAAAAAGCCCTCAATCAGTCTCCTGGAGATGCTTTCCTATGGTACAACCATGGAATTTCCTTGGAAAAAGCAGGGGACTACCAAGAAGCTTCTAGAAGCTTTTACAAGGCTCTTTCTTGTGAATCCTCCAAAAATTTGAGTAGTGATGCTGAAATTAAATATATGGGAAAACTCTTAAAGCTTGAAACCGACCAATGGAACCACGCTGGATCTCTATATTGGGCTAGAAAAATTATCGTCAAGGCCATAGAACTCGGATTTCTTGAAATAGCCTCTTCAAAGGTGGACTCTTCTCCCGACATTAACTTTACTTACTTATCTGATGAAAACGAATTTTTTTCCAATTGGCAAAGGCTAAGATGGTCCATAAGAATGATTCCACAGAAACTACCTCTTGACTTAATCATTGCTCTTGAATGCATACTTCAGCTGCACTCCACATCAATTGATGAAAAAAGCTCAATCAAAAGCGAGCTTCTAATCGAAAATATACGAGAACTTTTAAATAATCCTAAATCCCTCCAAATTTCCAAAGAAAACTAGCTCTACTATATATATACATATATATTTATACTTTAACTCTTATTTATTACTATCCTACATGTATTTTTGTTGAACTCTCCCCACATGTGACTTTACTTACATTACGTGTCAGCATTTGCAAGTGCATGATTTGCGCGCCTTCAATAATATAATTTATATACCGTTGTTTAATGTTAAATATAAATATTAATTTTTTAAAGATATTAAACAGTTTTAGCAAAGAAATTCTAAGGTTAGAGTAAAATGTAAAGCTATAATTAAAATTTCGAACTTTTGATCTACTTTACCATGAGATTTGTTTCTGTTAGTGATTACAAGGATGGTATTTTATCCCAAAATTCTTATTTGAATAGACCAAATGCATATGGATTTTTTAGAAAAAACTTTAAGGCTCGCTCACTGGATCAGTCCAGCAAAGCTGCAAGGAGGATTCTCAATAATCTCATTCCTGAGCTTAGTGTCTCTCAATTTAACGATTCAATCCGAATTTTTAATTCATACTTGGAGTCATACAAAAATACTCCAAAAGACACTTCTAGAATAGAATCTTTGATATCAGCATCTGCTTACATATCGGTTAGAAGAGAGGGTGGATACCTTTCTCTACTCGATATTGCATCCAGACTGAAATCCAAAAATTACAGAAGCTTTGCTAGCCTTGTTAGACGAATTTGTATTCGTCTTAAAATTAAGAATCTCCCGAACCCCTCTATTGAAGAGTCTTTAAATTATGTTTGTACGAAAGTTGAGAAGTTTCTTAAAGAAAAGATGATCTTGAAACCAACAGAACGGTATCAAAAAGAAACTGTTGTTTTTCAGAATTCCGAAAAAGAAACCGAAGAAATGAGAAATCTAATGCTAGAATCTTTAATAAGAGACCCCTCTGGTCATTTAGAATCCAAAAAATCAGGAAATCTCAATCCAAATTTCTATTTAAGCTCCAAACAGCACACCAAAGCTAAAGTTAACGGAAAAACCAGCTCAGATTCTCTGATAAAAGCTAAACATTTTGCCTTGCTTATTCTCAAAACCATTCTTCTCAATCAAGATCATGATTTTATAGATGGCCATGATGACATACTTAACCCCCTATGGCTTTCAAATGGAGTATGCAGCACTCCCACTATTTCTGCATCACTGTATTTTTCCTTTAAACTATATTGCAGAAATATATCTTTTAATGACCTACTTAAAGCTACTGGAATCAGTAAGTCTTCTGTGATCAAAGCCAGAAAATCTCTCTCTCTTCAATTTAGACTCGTTTCTGAAAAACTCTTCCCAGGATGGCTCAGCCCTGAGATGCTAAGCTCTAATTCTGAATTGCCTCCCAGCATATTTGAGTCACTCACAAACTTAATTCAATCTCATTATTCAAATAATAGCACTTAACTATATCTACTACTAACACTCCTTCTTCTATGCTAATCCAAAGAATATCTTTATACAATTGTCTTTAATCTTTTCAATTTCCCTAAACTTCTTTCTTATCTAAATCCCACAACTTTCCTTTCTTCTCTCTCTTTTCTACCCTCAGTTCCAACTTAACCTTTTTCCTTTAATAATATTAACAGAAAGTCCCGAATTTCTTTAACCCGACAGTCTAAAAATGAACAAGCAACAATTCAAAAATATACACTAAGAAAAACGACAAAACCATGAAAAACATATAGTTAATTCTCCTGATGCTAAAATAAACAGAAATATAATATTCTATCTCCTTCAATAACTTAACATTTCAATATTGAACCTTTCGCAACTTTATATTGCAGAGCAGAAAATTATTCCTGAAATTTCTTGAAGATTCAAAGAGATATCTAGTCGTTCTTGCGTCTGAAAGAACAACCGTCAGTGAGCTTGCATCTTCCACCAGTTGGTTGACATAATGGAGCAGAACAGTTTCCACAGAATACGACACTCTGGGCATGGCTGAAAACTGTTGTAATTTGGAGACATCCTGGGCATCTCACATCCATAAAAAAGCTGTTTGGACTTTGGATCAAACGCTTTAACTTGTGTTTCTGAGCCTCAACTCTGGGATCTGGGTTCAATAAATTAATATCCATTATGAATTCAACTCAAACTAAACAGCTCTAAATCTTAATTATTTTTGTATTTTTAACAATTTGTTTCTTCTTTGTCCCAAACTTTTTGTCTGAGGTCTCAATTTTTCTGCCTACCTCTTAATAATATATATATATTTTTATATAGAAAAATTTAGGCGGGTGTCTCTTTATGCTGGCCCTGACTCTTTATGTGTCTCGTTTAAATTTCCCGCCATTTTCTCTAACATTAATTGATTCTAGCTTTAAAAACCCTATAATGATGATTTAATTCAGAAACACAATGTAATTTGTGATTACTTCCGAGAAACCCTCTTTCTTTATCTTTATACATATAAAATACTTTTGAAACTCTGGAGTGTACCAATGCCATTGAACACGAAATACAGGGCTCATGTGAGAGGTATACAATTCCATTAGTGCACAAATATTGATCTTTTAATTCTGAGTTTGGTAGTATTTCATCCTCAGAAATTTTATATTTAGACATCATTAAAATTAACTGATCTTGATCATCTTCTATTTCTTGGACATATTTCTCTTTATACCTGCCTTCTTGCCCAGATTCTACTGAATTAGTCACTTTTTGTAGTGTTGGAGATGACGCATTTGCACGTCTACTGAAGTTGTCAACGGCTTTCATCACGGAATGCATCCACGGATAATCTGAATTCCGACTATCTTCTCCAATTGCAACAATTTTTCCCTTTAATGTAATTATACATCCTCTGGGAGGGTTTCCATTGGTATGTGCAAATTCTCCAACCTTACAAGCAAGTTTTACAAGTCTATCAGATTCCCGCTGTGTTTGATCTGACAGTATTTCTGGATTAAATCTCGGCTTTAAAAATGATAAAGGCCAAATTTTTGAAAGTTGGGAAAATCTTTCCCTTGTTAATGGGGGATTTTTTGGAACCTCTATCACATCCCAAACTTTATCTATGCCATTTTCTCTTAAATAATTATTTGCTTCAATAGGTAAACATTCTTTTGTTTCGCCAATTAAAATCTCCACTTTAGTTTCATATAAACTAATTGAGGAATTATTTAACTCCGAGTCTTTTTCTTTAATAACTACTTTACGCATCCTTTTTATGTGAGGGAATCTCCTTGTAAACTGATCATCATTTATAAATCCTGAAAATTCATTAGCTAATTTCACTGGAATCTTTAAACTATAGATTTTCATCAAATCAGGATCTTCGTAGAATGCGTCTGGAAGTACCTCCTCATACAATACAGAGTCATTCTTGTTCTCATTACTCATGTTGAACTCTATTCTCCTTTTTTCTCATATTTAGCGCCAAAAAAAAGCTTACAAATATCTAAAGCTGTTAACAATGCGGTAACCTGCTTTGTTTTTTTGTCAACAAGAACTAAGCATTGATCTTCAGATAGTAATATGTGAGAAATTGCACCACTCAAACATATATCAACTAAAAATGTTGAGTTGAAATTCTCATGCTTTATGTTCTCCTTAACTTGGCTCTCCTCCTTAAATTCCCTTTCTTTTCCAATCTTTTTTGTTTCGATTTTTGACATATTCTCATTAATATATTCAAAACAATTTTTCTCGCAATTTGATCCTGAGAGCTGTACTACAGCACTTTCTAATGTGTGATACATTTCTTGATCATATATATTGAAGATATTCTCAATATTATCCTCCATCTGTGCTTTTTCTTGATTAGATACACACCTTGCAAGATACATACAACACTTTTCCATAGTTAAAACTATTCCTGTAAATATTTCATCTTCTTCAGTCACAATTGGAATGTGTGTCAATCCTTCTTTTAGAAACATTTCCAGAACCAATTTAAAAGAAGAGCTTGTTTTTAAACACTTAGGAGTTTTTCTTCCAATTCCTAGATGTTTTAAAACTTTATTATGAAATATTTTTTTAAAAATGCTACCTTGAGGAGAAATTTCACACTCAGAATCATCTCTTTCTGTAATAGTTATTGTTTCACTTTCTGGTTGTAATTCTTTAGAAATTCCTGAACAAATCTGTAAATTCTGTACCAAATCAGAAAGAATAGTTAAAGGTGAAAAATAACATATAGGATATAAACCCATTGATTTAGATCTCAAATCCTCTTGAACAGATTCAAACTCTGATAACTTGTTACGATCTTCAATAATCCATGTCCCCAAATCATTAAAATTAAATTCTTGGCCTTTTAATCTAATTCTTTTGTAATTGGATTCCAAATCTAAACAAAGTTTTAATCCTTCATATAAATTCGCAGTCATAGTAATTAACTTTCTGGAAAGAGTATCATCTGTATCCAAAACTTCCTTTAACCAAAACTTTGTACTGCATGTTGAAAGCTCTTCTAATGACTTAAATGGAAAATTGTCATCTATTTCTCGACAATTTTCATTCTTGACTAAAATATATAATATATAAAAAATTAATAAAGCATCAAAGCATGTAAATGACCCAATAAAAGAATCTTCCAACTCGTCATATACTAAAAGAGACTTTTTTTTATCTTCCAACAAAAAACTGAGAGTAATTATTAAAGGTAAATTTGAACTGACGGCAATTATCTTTGAATTTTCTGGGACTGCTTCATATATAAATCTAGACTCTAGAAAGTGCTTTAATTGATTTTGAGCAAGATTTATTAATTGCAAAAAGTGAGCCTCACTTAATTTAGAATACTCTATTGAATCAAAGTCTTGTTCAACCAAAATTGAAATTTCTAAATATTCTGACTTTTCGGGAAGTGAGTAGCGCTCAAAAGATTGTGAGAATTCCTTGAGCATTATAAACTTAGATATTTATATAAATTATTGTACCAAAATCATTTGATATAAATACTTTTTCTTGATGCTTCTTTGGGGCATATTTTTGTGCAATTCCCTCTAAACATTTGGAGGTAAAAAACCCGGTACTTAAAAATTAACCAAAATAATTTTAATTTCCAATTATCTTATTAATTCTTTGTAATTCATGTCAACAAAAAACCCAATTTTATTTTCTGCGCTTTGTGTTGTGAAAGGGTCCATTTCAACTCTTTTTGGAGTTTCTGGTAAAGTCTCCAAGCTGAAGTTTAAGAATGAAAAGGTTTCCTTTAACTACTCTCTCTCAAAAGAAATTGAAATAAACGATGATACCTTGGAAGAGCTTAACAACATTATTAGTTACAAAATAAAGGAGAATTCTTCTTTCCAAGTTTTTAAAATCCCAAGTAAAGAGGCAAGCTCAATATATGGGAAAGAACATCTTGAAAGCGACGAAGTTCCACCAGAAAACGTTGAACTTCGTATTGTAACATTGCGTAACTTTTACCTCTCTGCAACAAGGAACCCAGTAGTAAGGAATACAAAGGAAATTGGTAATGTAACAATTGAGAATATTCTTTTGGATGATAAGAATTCTGCTTTATTGGTGAACTTTAAGGTGGATCATCCATTGGTAAAGGCTTCTGAAGAAAACTTTAAAAATCTTTATTGTGAAGAATACTCAGTCCAAGATATTAAGGACGGAAAATTTATTGTCCCAAGCTTAGAAGACTCTCTGCCAATTTCAATAAGCTTAGATATTATTGGAGATGAACTAGTAAATCCTTGGGAAGTCAAAGCTGATAACGCTTATGGTATAGATTACAATAAACTGATTGACAAGTTTGGGTGCAAGTTGATTACGAAGGATATGATTGATAGAATGGAAAGATTAACAGGCCAAAGAGCCCACCATTTTTTTAGAAGAAATATTTTCCTCTCTCACCGTGATTTTGAGAAAATTTTGGACGTTTATGAAAATGGAGAGCTGTTTTATTTGTACACTGGAAGAGGTCCATCATCTGAGTCACTTCATGTTGGGCACTTGGTCCCATTCCTCTTCACTAAATATCTCCAAGATGCATTTAAAGTTCCATTAGTTATCCAACTAACTGATGACGAAAAGTTTATTTTCAAGAGTAACTTGACATTAGAGGAAACCCACAACTTTGCATATGAAAATATGAAGGATATTATTGCATGTGGATTTGATCCAGAATTGACATTCATTTTTACAAATCTTGAGTATATTGCTGAATTATATCCTGATATTTTGAGAATTGAAAAGAAGATATCTTGTTCGCAAATCAAGTCCATCTTTGGATTTAAGGATTCTTGCAATGTTGGAAAGTTTGCTTTCCCAGCAGTTCAGGCTGCTCCAGCTTTTTCAAGTTCATTCCCAAATATCTTTGGCGGAAGAACCGATGTTCATTGTTTGGTACCACATGCAATTGATCAAGACCCTTACTTTAGAATGGTTAGAGATGTTGCCCCAAGACTTGGATATCTAAAACCTTCGTCAATTCATTCCATTTTCTTGCCATCGCTTCAGGGCTCTCAAACGAAAATGAGTGCCAGTGTTCAAAACTCATCTATTTTTGTTAATGATACTGAAGAAGCCATTAGGAGCAAAATTATGAAGTACGCCTTTTCTGGAGGACAAGCTACGGAGGAAGAGCAAAGAAGGCTCGGAGCCAACCTCGATGTTGATGTTTCGTGGCAATACCTCCGTTTCCTAATGGAAGATGACCAGAAGCTTGAAGAAATTGGCAAGAAGTACTCTTCAGGCCAGATGCTTTCTGGCGAAATCAAGTCAATTCTCGTGGATGAATTAGTTAAGCTGACTAAGAATCACCAAAAGAACAGAGAGGCAATAACTGAAAGTACCATTGCCAAATTTACAAATAAAAGCCGAGAAGAACTCCTTAAACTTTTTAGCAAAAAAAATTAAACATTTGATTCAATGTTAATAATTGCTAAAATTTGATATTTTTTTTGTTTCATTTCTTCCACTCTTGAACTTTTTTTAATTAACTTTATTTTTAAATTAATTTTAATTTACCTTGAAATTTCTTGCATGACTTTTTTTATTTACCTGCATTATTGTTTCTGTCCACATTACGTGTCAGTGAGTTTGTGCATGTATGCATGCAAATTCAAGAATGTTGCAAATATTTGTTTTTGTATTTTAAAAATCTGCATATAACTCTAATTTATTCTATAAATAGGAATTATTTAAAAAAAAAAGGTATATAAATGTTTTTTTAAACAATGAGGAAGTTTTATACATTAGGAAATGGAAGATACACTTTGGGAGTTTGTGCAATGGAGAACAAAGTAGAAAGTTCACCAATGAAAAGTATTTTGAATAGAATAACTTTAACAGGAGAATTTACGATATTAGTATTTATGCAAGATATGATATTGAGCGAAGATATATCAAACTGGCCCAAAGTAGATTGCCTAATTTCATTTTATTCAGCTGGATTCCCCTTAAATAAGGCGATTTCATATACAAAAATGAATAATCCAATTATATTGAATGATTTGGAAAGACAAATCCCTATGAGAAGCAGATTGGAAATATTTAATATTTTAGATAAGTGGAAAATACCAAGACCAGAGTGTGTTGTAATAAACCACAGCGAGTTATCTGGAGGTAATGATGATATATTCTATGAAGAATATGATTTCATTAAATATAAAGGAGAGAAAATCTTTAAACCTTTTATAGAGAAACCAATATTTTCTGATAACCACGACAATTGGATATACTACCCAGAAAACAGTGGTGGAGGATGCAAAAAATTATTTAGGAAAGTCGGAGATAGAAGCAGTGAATATGACTCAAATCTCTGGAAGGTAAGAAAAGATGGGACATACATTTATGAGAAATTTCTTCCTACTTTTGGAACAGACATTAAAGTATATACAGTCGGACCAATGTTTGCTCATGCTGAAGCAAGAAAGTCCCCTTGTTTGGATGGAAAAGTACAAAGAACAGAACAAGGAAAAGAAGTTCGATATTCTGTTATGTTAAGTTACGAGGAAAAGTTAATAGCTCACCAAATAGTTAAAGCATTTAATCAAACAATTTGTGGGTTTGATATTTTAAGAACAGTTACTGGGAAATCAGTTGTATGTGACGTAAATGGATTTAGTTTTGTTAAAGGGAATGAAAAATATTATAACGATTGTGCTCAGATTATAACATCATTATTTCTTAAGAAACTTTTTAAGAAGAACAAAATAATTCCAATGGGAAAATTTGAAAAGAAGAAAAAGAATTTGATATTATTTGGGAAACAATACAAGGATTTTAAAATTCAAGATAATTCTAAATTTAATAACCTGAAACAGGAACAACAAAAGGATGAGCTTAGTACAGTTATTGTGATAATGAGACATGGAGTCAGAAAGCCAAAACTAAAGTTGAAGTTTGAGACCCAGGACCATAGAATTCTCTCATTACTTTCAAATGAAAAAGAAGAAACAAGATTAAAGTCTCCAGAAGAGCTTTCTCTCCTATTGATGAAAAATACCCTTGTTTTAGAGAATTTATTCATGTCTCTTGAAGATCATTCGAAAATTATGCCAGATAACGAGATCCACACAATATGCAAAATATTGAACAATCATTTGAAGTTACAAGCATTTTTAGGAGATGGAAAGGGGTTTTCTGGAGTAAATAGGAAGGTACAGTTGAAACAAATTAATCATTCAGAGGAAGGTTTAAGTGATAAAAAAACAGTATTATTGGTGGCGAAATGGGGAGGAGAACTCACTAGAATAGGTTGTGAGCAGGCTGAGGAACTTGGGAAGCATTTAAGAGCTACATTATATCCAGGGGACTCGGAAGGATTGCTAAGGCTCCATTCCACTTTTAGACATGATTTAAAGATATACTCAAGCAATGAAGGGCGTTGTCAGGTAACAAGTGCAGCTTTCACAAAAGGATTTTTGGACTTAGAAGGGGATTTAGCACCCATTTTGGTTCAGTTGGTGATTAGAGATTCTTTTGCTCAAAATTTGTTGGATGACCCACAATTAACTACTGAGAGGAGGAAATGCAAGGAAATTATTGAGAACCTATTGAATATAAATAAAAATGTGGGTTATGAAGAAATTTTAGAGATTTGGAGAAATTATCAATCAGATCTAAAAGAAACTTTTCCATCCGAACAAGTTATAAGAACTTTGATGTCTTGTGGGAATCCTTACTCAACTTTAAAAAGGTTGTATATGCTCATGAAAGAATTGGTAATGAAAATTCATATAGAACAGGATGAAGAAAATAATGTTGTCATATATCAGGGTTTCAGACAAAGTTTAGATTCACTATTTAAAATTCATAGTTTTGAAAAGAATGATGGATTCCCAGTATCTCAAGAAATAATGCAGCGTTGGAGTCAGTTAACTTCATCATTCTATAATGAAGAAACTCAAAGGTTTGTTACGGCAAAAATTCCAGATATAATGGATAATGCAGCATATGATATATGTTATAACGTAAACTTTGTTAAGAGTGAAGTTTCTGTATTACTTTATGAAATTTATGAAACGGTAGTTCCAGTTGGTGAATTTGTAACTCTATTTCAGTACGGATTATCAGGAGACCAAAAAGTAAATATTGGAAAAGCTATTACAAAAAATTTGATAGAGAAGTTGTTACAAGATATAAAGTATTCGTACCTAAAAAAATTCAAAGATAATAAGAATGAAAAAAATATTGATGATAATCAACACAAAACTAAAGGGTTTATTTTCAAATATGGTAGTAAAATATTTAATAATTTTAAACTGGGGGAAAATAAAAATAACGGTTCTTTCAATTTCCCAAGGGTTCACCCAGAAGAACATATTAGACTTAAGGAAGAAGAAGCAGAAGCTTTTGGAATAAAGTCACCTTGGAGAATAGTTAGAAGCAGGTTTTATGTCACTTCAGCATCTCATATTCAATCTTTGGCAAATATATTTTCTTCTATGTATAAGAATCAGATTCCTTTAGGTGACAAAGAAAGTTTATTGGATTTAGAAAGTACTTTTTCAGAACTTAACTATTTGAGTCATATAGTAATTCGAGTTTGGGAAAATAGATCAGTTTCAGAATCTGATCAAGATAGATTTAAGCTAGAAATGTTTGTAAGTAAAGGCGTAAAAAGTAAGATTGGAGAGAATTTCGGTAATGGAATTGAAAGAAATAATGGAGCCAGTATTCAAGGAGTAAGTGAGTTATTTCCTCTAAAAAGTGTTGTATTAAAACATTTAAATATTATACAGTTTGAAAACAAGATCAGAGAATTAATAAAAGATTAAGAAATCCTATTTTTGCTCAAATCATTTTTATGAATAAACTGGTGAGAGTTAATCATCGATTATAAATCATCATTAAATTAAATCCTACAAATTAAATTACACCAGTATGGACATCTTGGAGTGTTGTTATCTACAAAGTTATTTGTTCCAATATAACTATTCATTCTTTGAAAATTAGGTTGTTGGTATTGAGGGAATTGAGAATAGTTATTTATGTGATGATAGTTACTTCTATTATAGTGATTACCAGGAAAGTTTCCGAGGTTTGGATCATAATTTGTATTTAAGTATGATCCTGGGAAACATGGAACAAATCCTCCGCATGCTCTATTCATTCTGGCTATTGGACCTCCAACTTCAAGAGAAGGATAAATTTCATCCGTTGAACTAAAATGATTAATTCCATCTTGTTGAAGCTGTTGTTGATTATGGTTAACTGAGTTAATTTTACCACTATTATTATCATTATTGAAGGAGTTTTGGTAAGTTTTTTCAATAGAAGGCTTCTTTTTTTGTAACTTGGTACTTTTTTTATTTTGATTATTTTGAAGTAAGCTACTACTTGATTTACTTGCATTCAATACAACATTGGATTTATTTTCTGCCACAAAGTCTCTGGTATAAGTTCTAGGATGAGAATAATCTTTTGGCCTTGTTCTTCCTCTTGATTCCTCTTCACTATAAAAACTCAATTTTTCAGAGCTTGAGTTTGGTTTCAGCCCAACTTTTGATAAGGGAGACTTACTGGTAATTGAATGATTACTGTTAACACTACTAAAGCTGCCAATACTGATTAAGCTTTTATTTCTCGAGTTTTCTTGTGGTTTATTTAGAGATGGAATCTCTCCAAGGCTATTGGTACTTTTTTCGCAGTAAAGATTAGAAAGTTGTTTTTCATGAGCAGGGACAGAAACTGACCTCTTTGAATCGATTTTATTTAATGTTTGAAATGTGGGAGATTTATTCTGCGAATGGACAATTTTTTGGATTGGGAGTTTTCTCATAACTAAATTAGTTCCATCTTTTTTTTGGGATGGTATATCTGTCAATAGAGGAAGATTAGTATTTGGGACTTTGTTAGAATTAATCATGGAAGCCGTTTCAATACCATTATTATTATTATTATTATTATCTTCATTCAAAAACATTTTGGCTTCATTATCATTGTACTGGTTATTTTGGTCATCATTCAAATGAAAGTATTTGCTTTGATTGTCAATCTGGTTCAAATCTTGGAGTGGATTGTCTTGATTAAAATTAATTTGCATTCTCTTGTAAAGAAGTTCTAAGTTTTCAAGTTTCTCTTGAAGGCCTTTGATGAATACTTCATCTATGGATGAAACCAAATCTTCTTCTTTCAAACACTGCTCTAGAGCTGAGTTTGTATTTGATAGTTCCAAATTAAGCCTAGAGAGTGCATTGAACAGTCGAGATTTTGGATCTGAGTCTTCTTTTTGACTCTTTTTTTCATCTGATCCTTTAAATTTATTTAGAACTTCACTTCTACCTGAATCCTCACCTTCACCTAAACTTTTACGTTCATTCGCATCCTCATTCTTACCCTCATTTCTATGCCCATCTCCATTTTCACCTTCGCCTTGAGGATGCTTGATTTCTTGATCATTATTTTCTGGAGTATGGGCATACTTGAAATTTGGGTTCAAGCCATGGTATTCGTCTTTAAGGTTAGCATTTTTTGGAGATTTGGAAATTTTTCCTTGATCAGTATAGGAGGATTTATTTGGAAAATTACTAACAGGTCTTGATTTCAAATCTTTGGGTAAAACAGCAGATTCTGTTTCTTTGCCTGATCCATGAATAAGAAAATACATATTATGGGAATTATTTTTTGGACTTGCATGATTATAGCCATTTTTTAAAGGGATTTTCTTACGTAGTTCATTTAAAGAAAGATGTTTCTGAATGATAACTTGGTTCCTGTCGTATGGTTTATTGAATGATTCTGATGCTTTGCACAAACAAGGATTCAAAGTTAAATTCTTAAAGGTTTTTGCAATTTCATTTTGAATAGATTCCATCTTAGATGCGTTGTCTATTTCGTCTTGGATCTTTTTCTGAATCATTTCAGTGGTTTTAGACAGGTCTATATCATTATCTTTTAAATTGATATTAACATCTTTCTCCTCATCACTATCATCAAATTTTGGAAATAACTCATGAAAATCTTCTGGAAAGTCTTCATTGGATCTAAATTTCTTATTATACTCATAACTTCTATTACTTTTTGAATTCAAACCTTTAAAATATTTCTTTCTTAAATTGGATTTAAGCTCTTTACCATTATATCTGCTCCCAAAAAGAGCTCCCATTGACCCCGAACTTGACGGAAATACTTTTTCAAGATCCTGAGACAAAAGTTTTTCAACTTTCCCAATCTCTGGATTCTTTTCTCCACCTACATCGTCCTTATTAGTTTCAATGTTATTATCTACAGCATCCTCATTTTTTTTTATCAATTCTGTTGCTATTTTTTTTTCAGGGAATGCATCCTTTATGTGACAAACATTGTATTTATGACGTATATTTAATAGATTAGAATTGCTCTTGAGATCTCTTACCCGATTATCATTAATTTTATTAACCTTATTTTTACTATTAAAAATTTCTGAAATACCTTTGGATATACTTCTTGCCAAATCTTCAGAGATCACCAGCTGTTTCTGAGGTGCAACCTGTAGGTTAGTGGGAGATTTTACACTCGTATCGTTTACCCAACGAACAACTTCATTTGACTCTATTACATTCAATGATGTGGTAACTTCTTCATTTCCAAACTTTGCATCATTCAATGTCATATATAATGGGATTTGTGATTTTGGTGCACGAAGGATCACTTTAACCTTCATAATTTTTTCTTTACTGCTTCCTCTTTATCTCTCCTCCACTTTTCTTAAGTCCCAATAATTTCTTTGAAATAAATAATTCAATTACTTTTCAGGTACAGAACGATTCAATAATCATTCTGTTGCCATTATTTCTAATTCAAAAATTTTTAGAGAAAATTTTTGTGTGTTTTGCATATTATATTAAATTTTTGTTACTGCTTCACATTTTCTTATACTATTCTAGTCAAGGTATACAACACTTTTGGCGGGAATGTTTGGCGCCAGTGTGCGCATTTCAAATTAAAGCAGGGGTAAGATGTACTTTGTTTAAAAAGATTTTAAGAATTAAAGAAGGTTTTGGGAAGTGTTTCTATAGATTATGGAAAAGGAATAGAAATAGGATTTTGTATAGAATTAATTAGATGATTAAAAAATGGTATAAGTTTGAAAAAAATTTGAGAAATGCATGTATGCATGCAATAGGAATATTAAAATAAGAATGGTGTGTTTTGCTTTTTCTTTTTTAAGTTTTTTCTGTCATTAATAATTTTGGTACACTAAAATGATGGGAATTTGGTAGATAGTAAAAATATTGGTTCAGATATAGTGAAAGAGTGGGAATAGACTTACTTGTTGGAGTTTAGTTCTGATCTCAACATTTTGAGGCTCTAGTGTTGCCGCCTTATATAGATCAATTCTGGCTTCGTCCGGATCATTAAGTTTAAGATAAGATGTAGCTCTAAGGTATAAAGCCTTGATATTATTCTGTAAAAGAGTTGAATTGACGATGATTATTAAAGGGTGAGGTTAGAGAATAGAAAAAAGACTGACCTTATCTAAATTCAAGATTTCTGTACAGTATTTTGGGACAAACTTGTGCTCTTCTAGTTTAATCATGCAGCTGGAGGGAGGGTGAAAGAAGATTTGAGTAAAATAATAAGAAAGAACGAGAAACTTACTTTGAGATATTAAGAAGCGCAGAAATTTTAATAGGTTTTGAGTCATTTTGTTGCTCTAAAGTCCATTCTTCAAAGCTGTCTAGATATTTGATAGAGTTTTCATAGTGAATCTTTGCAGTATGATAGTCTCCAAGGTTATAATAGTGGTTTCCGAGGTTCTTAGAATCTAGAGAAAGTTGCATTCTTTGAATTGGAGAAGTAAAGATCCTTTTAGTACTTGCAACAATATCAGGAACATTTTCTTTTTTGATTATTGAAAGTAACTGAATAATAATCTGAAAGATATCGGGGAATGAATTAGAATTAAGATAGATATAAATTGAATGTTTAGAAGTAAAGAAAACAACTTTATGGCCATCCCAAAAAAAAACTTACTTTAAAATTTCCAATATCATTTTCACCATTATCTGTGGTTGGAGGAGCTTCTGTGTTAAAAGATGATATTTCAGAAATAAATAGAGGGTCTGAACTTTGAAAAGTTGTAATACATATAGATTCTCCCACAGTTATTCCACATATTTTCTCTTCAATCAGAGTATCAACTATCCCAGACCCAATTACAAAGCTGTATCTAATTTCATTGCGAACTTAATTAGGAGCAAGGTATTGAGAAAAGTAGTCAAATAAGATTTATAATATTGAAAAGAGAATGTAATTTAGATCTTTGTAATCAAAATAATTCTCTAAAACCTCTCTAAATAAACTTACCATTTGGGATTCTGGAAATTAATGGATGACCTTTCAAAATGGTTTTGTATTTAATATCAACCAAGTCTCCAATCTCAGGTTTCCCATTAATAGGATCCTGCTCTGAAGTCATCTAACTAGACTATTGAGGAAAAATTTGTGTGTGTGCGTATCTCTATATTTCTCTATGAAATACGTACTTCCAATATACCTCTTGACCTTCCTTTTCCTTATCTTTGTTTAGTTTCTTCCTCTTCTTGAATAATTTCTTCTATACCGTTACTTTGTATTATTATTGTTTATGTATTACCCGCCAAAAAATTGACCAGGCGGGTAAATTTAGGAGGCAAATTATCAAAGAAAGACTAGAGGATCTCAAGAAATAAGGATAAAAGTGGAGAGAAGAGATTTTGAAGGGATGGGTAGATACATAATATTGGATACAGGTGCAATATTGCGATTAGGGAAGCATGATTTTATGGACGATGTTTTGTTGACAGTTCCTTCAGTAATACGAGAGGTAAGGGATAAAACAGCAATAGAGAAGATGTTTTATTTACAGGATAGAATTCAAGTAATGGAGCCTTCTGAGCAGGATTGTGGTTTTGTAAAGAAATTCTCCAAGGAGACTGGAGATTTTGGTTTTCTTTCAGAGACGGACTTTCAGGTGATTGCCTTAACCCTAAATTACCACAAAAAACATGATGAGATTTCAAAACTCAATAGAAAGCCTAAGCAGATAAGTTTTATCACTAAAGCTGAAGAAGAGGTAAAGTGTGAAGAGGAAATAAATCGAGTGGATGAGGACTTACATGAGGTAGATACAGAGACTGATGAGCAGAATGAACAAAGTACAGAGGATGGAGAAGGCTGGGAAACGGTTTCAGGACAAAACGGTGGAAAAGAAGAAAGCCAATCGGAAAATGAAGCTTCCAAGACTCTGGAAGATGATGTATTTTCTGGAGGTTGGATTACCAAGTCAAACATTACCAGTGTTATGGGTGGCTTATCATCAGGAACCCAGAGTAACTTTGTGGTGGCATGTATGACTACTGACTATTCTATGCAAAATGTACTGCTGCAGATGGGTTTAAATTTGATAGAAATACATGGATTATCCGTAAAAACTATTAAAAGGTGGGGGCTTCTTTGTTGTGGATGTTATACTTATGAAAGGGATACTAGCAGGAAGTTTTGTGGGAAATGTGGAAATGCCACTTTGGACAGAGTTCCAATTAAAGTCTCCTCTGATGGAACAATTGAATTAGACTGTTATAGAAAGAAGGTCAATTTAAGAGGGACTATCTATTCCATTCCCAAACCTAAAAGAGGTGTCAAGAACCAAGAAATCATCTTGGCAGAGGATCAATTGATGATGGGAGGAAGGCAAAGGTTGTTAAATCACCAAAAAAAGAAGTGGGAGAAGGCTTGCAAAGAAAGGGACCCTTTTTCCAACAACGGAGCTGACCTAGAAAGCAATTGGGGAAAGCAGTTCGGTAGTTTCAAGTACCCTGAAATCAAAATTGGGATGGGAAGAGGGAACCCAAATTCGAATAGTTGGCAGAAAAGGCATAATAGTAAGAAAAAATGATTATATTTAGCTTTTCTTAATATATATATTCATTCTAGACCTCTCACTACTAATAATAAATAAACATCAAAACTCAAACCAATTTATTTTCAGGCTTAAGGTATACTGGAGAGTTAAATCAGGTTTGACTCAATCAAAACCTTTAAGGTACAAGTTTACCATGCTGAGGTTGATCGGCCATTCAAACATCCTGGAATCGAATTAATTTAGTAAGTTCCTCCCATTTTCTATAAATCTATATATCTTTAAAGTGATTATAAGTTTAATATAAGGGAGAAATTGAGCTTAATTGACTGCTCTTACTTAGAATCAGATAAAGATCAACTTAAATGAATATTAATGTTTTTTTTGACTTAATTTTGTGCCTTTCAGAGTCAATATTCACATTTATACTTAACATGCATGCATAGATTTACTCTTCAGCCCCCCCCCCCCCCCCCCCCCCACCGGCATCTGATTTGCCAATTTTTTAGTTTTTGCATGCAACCGATTCTGCCACGTATATAATTTACAAGAAATTGCTCCCCACACAAAAACCTGCCGCCAATTTAACCATAAATTTCATTTATATTACATTTTATGCATTTTAAATAAGAGGTATAAAAAATTCAGGGCATTTTGGCGCCAAAATTAGGAGAATGACATTAATTAGGAATTAAAGATGGACGCGTCTAAAATAAAGACGAGAATAAGAAGAGTTTAAATAGGAATTTGGTAAAAAAAAATTAAGGATTAAATTTCTGTGCGAGTTTAGTACAGAGTGTCAGTTTTTAAACAAAAAGGATAGTATTACTAAGAAGAAACGACAATCTAATGACTACAGAGCCAGAAGTAACAGAGCAAGTCCTTTCGAAGAAGGCATTAAAAAGGCAAGAGAAACAGGCACTCAAGGAAGCCAAAAAGGCTGAAGCAAAGAGTAATCAGCAAAATCAACAACATGCAGTTCATTGGAGTTCTGTTTTGGCTTATTCAACTGAGACAACTCCATATGGGGTAATACCATTTAATGGTAAAGTTGAAAGCAGAACATTTTCAAAGATCAAAAATTTGAACTCCAATCAAAAAGGAGAGAAGGTATGGTTAAGAGGCCGAATTACAGAATCTAGATGCAAGGGATCTCTGGGATTTGTATTGTTAAGGCAGACTTTTTATAGACTACAATTAGTTGTTGATGCTAATAATTGTGCCTCTAAGGAAATGATTAAATGGCTTGGATGCCTTCCAATTGAGAGCATGATTGATGTGTATGGTACTATAGTAGTTCCAGAAACTCCAGTTATTTCATCCACTCAGGATGTAGAGATTTTAGTTGAGAGGGTTTATTGTATCTCCTCAGCTTGTAGTGAGTTACCTTTCCAACTAAAAGATGCTAATAGGGTTGATACAGAAGATGAGGATTCTACAATCATAAAGGTTCTACAAGATGTTAGACTTGATAACAGAGTATTGGATTTAAGAACTTATTTAAGCCAGGCAATTTTCAGAATACAGTCAGAAGTTTGTAAACTACTTAGAGAGTTCCTTATAGAGAAGGAATTTATTGAGATTCATACTCCCAAGCTTTTGCCAGGAGCTTCTGAAAGTGGTGCTACTGTATTTAAAGTAGATTACTTTTCAAACACAGCTTGCTTAGCTCAATCACCTCAGCTTCATAAACAGATGTCAATTTGTGGAGATTTGGAAAGAGTCTTTGAGATTGGACCTGTTTTCAGAGCGGAAAATTCAAACACTCATAGACATTTGTGTGAGTTTGTTGGTGTTGATATTGAAATGAATATTGAGAACACCTATTTTGAATTGGTGGATGTTTTCGATGCAATGTTTAGATATGTTTTCCAGGGAATCAATTCTCGTTGCAAAAATGAACTACTTATTGTTTCAGAATACAATCCATTTACTCCTTTCGTAATTTCCGAAAAGACTCCACGCCTTACCTTTGAAGAAGGTTGTAATCTCCTTAGAGAGGCGGGTGTTGACATTCCAGAAGATCTTTCTAACTTTGATATTTCAACAGAACAGGAGAGATTACTCGGTAAGTTCTTAATAGGCACCTTTTAGTGAGATTGTAAGAAGAATGGATTAGAGAGAAGTCATCAAATCTACAATATGACTTGAACTGAAGTTCAAGATATGGAGTTTCTCATTCCTCTTCTTATTTCACTAAGGTTAAACGTGCCTAGTGATATCTTTTATTAAGATCAATCTAACTTTGTTTCAATCATTCATTTTTTTAGGCTCTATTGTAAAGGAGAAATATAACTCTGATTTCTATATGATGCTAAAATATCCGCTCAAAGTTAGACCTTTCTACACAATGCCTGACTTTGATGAACCAGAGGTAAGTAAGATATTCTTGCTTCCCAAGAGATATAGAAAAACACAAAGAGAAATAGAGATATTTAGAAACTTTATTGGAAGATTTGCCTCTTTACTGAGGGATGATGATTGTTCATTCACCCATAGCCTGTAAGCTCAAACATGTATATGCACCATTTTTGTGTGTAGATACAGCTATGTTTGAAACCTTGATGACAACTTTTCATGCATCACCAACTGACCTCAGTTTGGATCTTCAAATTCCAATATTTTCTTCTATTTCTTCAAAAGTCTATATAAAACTCTTGGGTAGAGTTCCTAACTTTGCATGCAATTAATTCCCGCCATTTCCCCACATTTTAGAAATGGTCAAATTCTTTTGACTTCTTTATGAGAGGAGAAGAAATTTTAAGTGGAGCTCAGAGAGTACATAACTACGACTTATTGGTAAAGAGATGCCAAGAATGTGGTGTTCCAGAACACTCACTTAGAGATTACTTGAACTCATTCAAACTTGGCGCTCCTCCTCATGGAGGATGTGGTATCGGACTCGAAAGAGTCATTATGCTCTTTTTGAATCTTGGAAACATCAGAAAATCTTCAATGTTTCCTCGTGATCCCAAAAGACTTAGTCCTTAAGGCCTTATACGACATACTCAAATTGTTGATATGACTGATTATACAAATTTTGCTCAATCATGATTTATGTAGTACATATATATTATTAAATTAATTATTTATTACCTAAAGATTACCTGAGAAATTTCAAAAAAAAAGTTTTTCTATTTCTCTTCCTTTGCTTCACCTTAATTACTCTTGACATTTTTTATTTGTACTTTACAACCAAAATTATTCTCCCCCTTAACTTTCTTTAATTTTACTCTCTATTGTATGCAGAGACGCATACGTAGCTCCCCGCCTAATTAAGCTAATGGAAATATAAAATATAAAGAGGTAAAAGGTAACCAGACATAATATATAAAGTAGAGATGAAGTAAAATTAAATAGTAAAAGTGGAAATTCAATGGTCAAATAAGAGGCAGGAAAAAGTTTAATAAATTAAAAAATAAACAAAAGGGGGTAAAAAGAGGTAAAATAGAGAAAAAACGTTTGTATAGACTAGACTATAATATGATCACAGGTACCTGCGGGGAATTAATATAATTAAGTGACTATAAAAGGTTTATGACTCTTATGTACCAGAAAGAAAAAAAAATTACTTTAAGAAAGAAATTTACAAGTGGAAGAGGAATTTGGTAGAGTTGAGCTTCCAAGTGGTATTTGAATTTCATTGGGAAGTTAATTGGGCAAGAAAGAGCTTAAAGGAGAGATATATTAAGATTTAATTTAACCTGAAAATTAAGGAGTTCAGAATTAAAGGTGAAAAGGAAGGCATTTAGCTTATTTAGTTGAAATAATAATATGGAAGAAGGATATGATTGGGACCAAATTAGCAACTTCCAAATAGTGGATGGAATGAACATTTCAAGTTCATCATTATTAGACGATGAATTGCTTATAACATCGCCTGATTCTTCAAATAGTGGTAATAGCGTTTCATTGGATCAAAAAGAATTCTCTAGACAGATTTGCTCACCACTTTCCCAATTTTTGGTTGGTTCTGACGGTCCCAATTCAAAAAACGGAAGTCAAAAACACTTTTCACAACACCAACATAGCAATATTCCCAATAGTAATGGTGAAGGTAACTTTGGCTTAAATAATAACCATTCATCATTAGTTGGAGATTCCCAACATTATGGAATTCAGACGGGACTAACAGGCTCTGGAGCTAACATTAGAGATAATTCTATATACAATAATGGATATCAACTCAATGATACTGATAAGATTACTACCACTGAAAAAGAATTTACTAAGCGTAAACGCCCATATAATAGTGGCAATAATAGCAGTAACAATATTAATGTCAATGGTGGTTCTTCAAATAGAATAGGTGGTAGCTGTACTCAAAACGGTTTATCAGGAATAGGTAGATCCGTTATAGGTATTGGTGGTATTGGAACTGGCGTTGCAAATAACTCATTAACCAAAACTCCAAGTAAGACTCGTACTAGAAAAGTACGAGAAGCTTCTGAGGAATTTGGAAATGCTTCAGGTGGATCATCAACGAATTCAAAATCTGGTTACTCTTCTAATACAGGAGAAGGAGGTTGTTCGTTCAACTCATCATCGAATATTACTGAAGATCTTAACTCTGTTAAGTATTATGAAGGATTTAAGCTGCCTCTTGGAGACCTTGGACGAAAGATGCTTCTTAAGAAATTACGTGAAATACATACTCAAAATCCTACAAAAATGGAGAAGGCTCTTACTGATCATGGTTTATCTTACACTAGAATTAGATTTGCAAGCGTACAGCAACTCTTTAAAATCTCTTATGTATGTGATGTATTTGATTATGCTCTGAGTATACACTGTGAATTTGGTAGGCCAAGACATAGAGATTCTTCAAAAAGTGTCCAACTTTCTTCAGTTAACTCAAATTCAAATTTAATGTCCCAATTGTCTCACTCAAATATTTCGTCAAGAAGGGTATTAGATTCCCAACAGCATAACAGACTCGGAGGAACTGCAGTACAAGGAGGTGTTTCTGATAAATTTGAATCGCATTCTACTATCAATAATGGAGGAGTTGTTCCAAGAGCTCAAGGACTTTTAGATGATTCTTCAAAAGGACTAGGAAAGCTTGACAATGACTTGGATACCTATACTCCAGAAACATCTCCATGTAGCCATAGATCTTATTCTTCAAATAAGAGTCTCTATTCAAAGGATTCAAGCTTTATTTCCAATACACCTTTAAATAAGATTGACCATGACATTACTTCACCAATTTCCATATTCTCTACCACAAGCGGTTCGCCAGCATCCCAAAGAAAGAGAAGAGGATCTGCAAAATCAAACTATAATTTTTCACCTCCCCCTATTCCTGTTACAAATTCTCCACTACAATCAGGAGTCCCAAAGGACATTTCTTCTTTGAATACAGAACTTTCCAGTTATATGAACAATCAGAGCCTGTTAAATTATAGTTTAACTAACAACAATATTTCCAATAATAATGTTAATGGAAGCTCGTCCGTTTCAGGATTCGGTGCACAAAATGATGTTTGTAATAACCACTTTTCTGAACAACATCATCAACTTCACCACAATATACCACATTATAATAATGTAAGTAATCACCTCCAATCTGGAGGTCGAATTCCCTCTCCATATCATAAGAAACATGAAGAGCATGATCCATTAGATTCCATTGTCCCCATTAATACCGGCTCAGATAATGTTCTACATAAGCCAGCAAAAAGACAAAAAATCAGATCCAAAAAAAAGAATACTTTGGCAGATATTAGAAGTGACACTCCAACACATACAAATTTTAATTATACAAGTTCAAGCCAACCTGGAATGAATAATAGCTCAAATATATTCAATTGTGGAGATATTGACGAGATTTACTGCACTTCGACTATTGACACTGAAATTACCCCCTTCTATCAACCTGAGTCCGAAACTGCTCATCTTGGTGAATTCGATACAGCTCATCATCAAGATTCAATCCACTTCATTTCCTCTTCTGAATCGCATGACCAAAATATTCCAATTTGTTCAGCTTTTGGCTCTCCTTTTGATTCTTCTTTAATTATCAGCTCTTTTGACACTGAAAGCTCCCAAAATTCTGGAACCATTACATGTGATAGCCCAACATCATTCTATCTATATTCTCAAACAAATGTCTCTTCCAATTATGACGAGTATATGGATTCTCCTTGTCTAAATGGATTTCTTACTCAGGGCTTAAATTCTATAGAAATGTTTAATTCGAGCGAGCTTGAAATGGACAACTTTGATATTGGATGTCCTTTGATTTCAATTTAACATTTTTCTTTGGAATCCATCAGTTTCTGACATTCTGACGGGTATTAATTATTATTACAATATTCTTTCTTGGTAATAATAACCTTTTATATTCGGTTGAATCTTAATAAAAAAAACGACTCTTTACCGATACCAAATTGATAGATTTTAATCTTTTGAGATATTATTTTACGTTAATTTCTATATTGAACAATAACATTCAATTATTGTTATTTTGAAAATTTGATGTATTTAAATATTTAATATTGGAGCTGTCAACAGAGTAATTTGTTGTAATCAGCTTATGCTATATTTCTTCTCAAGTGAGATTCAAAGCCTTGGCATTTTGATCTCAGAACTTACTTTTTAAACGAATTTGCTGTTTGGGAAGTTAATTAATCTTCTGAGGATAAATAATGCAAAATTTTCCTTTGTGTTTGCATATGAAAAAATTGTGGCCAACACATTTTTTTGTTATTTTTTATTTTTTCTTATTTTTTTTTGTTTTTACATATAAAACATTTATAATATGTAAATATTAATGAATTCCCACTTTTGATTAAATATTATTGATATTTTTTATTTCAAAACTTTAAGGCAAAAGGGGAGAAAAATTAAAGAATAATTCGCCAAACCACTTGAATTTATGCTTTAAATCAACATAGTGGAATTAGGACTATGAACAATTTGCAAAAACTGGACTCTAGATACCTTAAAATACTGATTTCAGCAATTCTAATTATCGGGCCTTGCATTCTGTACTTTATTTCAACCTCAAAATGGCTTTTTTTACAGCAAAGTTACTTGATCATCACTTTAAGTTACATACTTTTTGTACTTATGACAGTTTTCATGATATCTACATTCCTGAAAAATCCGGGAGTAATAAATCCATGTTCCAAACTCAATAATCCACCTTGTTCCTTAGATTTACAGGTAAATGCACAAATTATTAAAGTCAAATTCTGCTTTCAATGTAAAATCATCAGACCTCCAAGGAGTGTCCACTGTAATATCTGTAATCACTGTGTTGATAGGTTTGATCATCATTGTCCCTGGGTAGGGACATGTATAGGAGCAGGAAATTACAAATTATTTATGTCATTCATCTCAACCCTGTTTTTACTTGAACTAGTCATGCTTATTGGATCATGCAAAATGGTTAACCACTTTACTTACGAAGCTATAAAAGTGCTAAATCTGGGAAATTCGACAAAAATCTTTGTCCACACAATGAATAACTCTGCTGGAGCTTCTGTAGTTGTCGGGTTTGCCTGCTTTACCATCCTATTTTCGCTATCTCTCCTTATATTCCATTGCTACATTGGCGCCATGAACAAGACCACATATGAAGAAATTAAAAAACTTTACAATGAAACTTCAAATCCATGGTACTCTGGAATCTCAAGAAATATTGCTGAATTGTTTTTAAGTCCATCTCCAAAACTGACTTAATAATACGTTTATTTGCTGTATTTTAAAGTATACCATCTATTTATAACTGATCTAATCAGCGCCAGACACTTTCTGTTTAAACTGCCAAGAAGTTCAATATTAAAAAAATAACTCATTTAATTATCTCTTTATAATCACTTACTCATTAATAGAGCATTGGTTACTTGTTGCACATAATTATCAACTCCAGTATGGATATCTCCTACCCCGAAGAAACTGAAGGAAAAAATCCTCTTAAACTGAATCTTGCAAATCGGGTTTCTGAAAAACTCTCTAAAACTGGAATCTGGCAGAATATTAATGTGGAATGGTCAAAAAACTTTAATTCATATATTGTTACTGTTGCTCAAGTTTTATTTGGTTCCGAACAATATCTCAAACTTTCGACTTTTATTCCACTTAGTGACCTAGACCATATTCACACCTCTTTTTTCCAAAATCTGGAACAAGACTCAAAAGAAATTCTACCTTATATCAACTCCAAGCTCGATCATCAGTACGTCCTTGCTATTGTTAGTAATGACGATGAACTTATTCTTCAGTCAATCAATTTTGATCTTAAGAAAATTGAATAATTTAAATTTTATTCAATCAATCCAAACTTTATTACATTTTGTTAATTAATTTAATTTTCAACACCATATAATGCTATTCCTCCACATAAACACATACTTGCAACACCGGTACTAAAACTATTCATTATTTTCATCCACATGAAAATAATAATTGCATGCAATCAAATATATAAATGTAATACCGGTTAAAATATTTTAAAAATTAAGAGGCAAAAAGTTTCTCTATATATAATTAAATTAAATGTGTATAGTAAGACTAATAGGTAAACTAAAGTTATATTACTTTCTATTTGCTAATTTTAAGATAGCCTCTTCGTTTTTTAGTTCTAGTTCCCTCGTGATATACTCAAAATCCCGTTTAATATCGAAATTGTAATCTCTTTCCAATGGAATCTAGTGAAAATTAGTGGTTCAGAATAAAATTTTAAACATAAAGATTAATATTCAATATAACTCACCATGTCATTCAACTCACAATCAATCTTCTCCTCCTGAATCTTTGACATCACCTTCTGAAACTTGGTTGACGGCTCCTCAAAAACTGTAAAACATTTGCTTCTAGGTTTGTAATTCCTAAAAATCAAGTTTTTTTCTTTCATTTTACCACTTTTATTTTCCCACCTCAAAATTTTTTGTTAGTGAAAATTGGCGCCAAGCATATTTAAAGTCTAAATATACATTTTCAGAACAATATTAAAGATAAGAACAGAAAATCCTTCTTCTTGGCTTTCACCTCCAATAAATATAAGAGGAAGCAAGAATAGGGATTTAATTCATTTTATTTCAGAAATGTCTGAGATACACTTCCAATGTATAGGATCTAAGCACCTTCTTTCCCCTCCATCTCTAGTACTAACATATAATGGAAATAAATGCTTGATTAATGTTGGTGAGAATGTTCAAAGATACTGTTTTGAACATAAAATTAAGCTTTCAAAATTAAGGAGTATTCTTTTAACAAACATATCGGTTGAAACTATTGGAGGTCTTCCAGGACTTCTTTTAACATTAATAGGGGTTGGTGTTCAAAAGCTTCGAATTGTGGGGCCAGAACCCATTACTCAGTACTTGCTTATGTTTGGGTATGTAATTAAAACTCAGAAAAAACAAGAAAAGTCTCTAGTTACTGTTATATCCATTAATTCCCAAGAAATTTCTGATCATTTTGATGGGGTAAAGTCTGATCTAGAAATTGAGATTATACAGATAATGCAATCATCATCTTCTGGCCCTCTAAAACTTGATTTGGATTGCGAAGTCTCTCTAGAATGTTATCTAAATCAATCTTTGTCAGGAATTCATAATTATTTAAATTCTGAATGCAATGATAATCTAAGTTCCAAAAAAAGATGTACTGAGGGCTCTTCTTCCTGTTTCTCTACCCCATCAATATTATATATGTTCGAGTTTCCTGAGAAAAGAGGAAAATTTGATATTCTTAAAGCTAAAAAACTAGGTATTCCTCCTGGTCCTTTATACTCCAAACTAAAGAATGGAGAAAGTGTTCAATTATCTGATTCAAAAATTATTCAACCCAATGACGTTTGTTCCCCACCTATAAAGTTACCCTGGTCAATTATTTTTCATACCCTAAATCTTACAGAACTTGAATTTTTCCGCTCCATTATCTCCCATATTCTAGGCTCAAAAGGCTTTGATATATCAGATAATACTCTTGAATCTAATATTTCTTTGAATAATTATCACAATTCTTTATCAAACTTTTATATATTCCATTTCCAAGCAGACTATGACTCTTCTTTAGGTTCTTATACAAATATCTTAAAGCTTGATTCTTGCTTTATCCAAAATAGGAATTACTTATCCAAGGGAATTATCAGGATTGTAAAGCTAAATGAAAGATTAAATTTACTCAAAGAACAAGAGATTAACCCTTTTATGACTTCTTACTTTCTCCAAGAATTCCTGAACCACATTTCTCCCCATATATTCCCCATTTCCCCTGCCAAAGTTGACGAATTAGCTTGGAATCAACAGTTTTTCATTTCATCAAATCAGAAGTCTGTCCAAAACACCAACTCTCTTGCAAACATTCAAAAGAAAAGAGCCAAATTTGCTCCGATCTCACAGGAATCAGAAAATCAAATTTTATTCTTAAAACAAGAATTTGAATTCATTTTTTCTAATTATATAGAAATAAATCCAAAAACAATTTTTCCTTTACTTTACGTTCTTGGAACCGGATCTGCAATTCCTTCCCCATACAGAAACGTCTCTGGGTGCCTTTTGCGTCTTGACGATAATACGAGCATGCTATTAGACTGCGGGGAAGGCTCCATTTCACAGCTTTTCGTCCTATGTAAGTATGATTTGGACTTATTTTTTAAAGTTATTGCTTCAATTAAGATTGTTTTCATTTCTCATACACACGAGGACCATTTTTTGGGTATTTTTAATCTTATACAACTAAAGAATATAGTAAATATTAAGCAAAGAACCGAAAATGTCTCAAAACTGACCCAAAATAGTAGTTTCCATTATCTTAAGTATCATAAAAACCCTGAAGAAGTCAAAGAAATCTACTTTAATGATCAAATTAGAAGCAGAGATTTTGGGAACTTGGTAATTATTGGACCAAAAAAGATAGAAAATATATACAATCTATTCCAAGAGAAAATTACATTAGACAAAAGAAAAAGAATTGGGGATTGTGAAATCTATTTTATAGCTATAGATAAAAGAATGAATAGAAACTTTGAACATAAATCAAACCAAAATCAGCTATTAGATGATTTCTTTTTAAAGCTCGAATTCTTTCCAGTTAAACATATAAGATCTTCCTATGGACTGAAAATAATGCTTAAGCTTGATAATAAGGTAGAACATGAGAAAGATTCCCCATTATTCAAAATCGTATTTTCAGGAGATACAGCTACTCCATGTGCATCCCTGGAACATGCATCAAAGGATTGTGATGTTTTAATACACGAGGCAACTTTTGAGGACAGTTTATTAAAAGATGCTCAAGAAAAAAATCACTCTACTGTTTCAGGAGCAATAGGAACAGCCTATAATAGTTCAGCAAAGTTCCTTCTTCTTACTCATTTTAGTCAGAGATACTTTAGCATGCCAAAAGTTGAAATGGAGAATGAATTTTTTAAGAATTATTTTTTAAATAAAACGCTTTGTATGATGGATTTGATGGTAATTCCTCTACAAAATTTGGGAAAGCTGGTAATGAGATTCCACGATTTAAATGATTTAATTAGGGATTATTTGCCACAAGTTTAAACAAACCAAGACACTGTCTTTGTTTTTCTTTGAATCGTCGCTTTCAACTATCATGCAATCCCAAACGTCATAATCCTCAATGATAATTCTTCTGATATATCCATTATGTGACTTTTCTCCAAGATTGTAACTAATCTTAAAAGTGTTTCTTTCTGTGATATCTTTAATGGAAGATTTAAAAACATCCTCTTTAATTATATAAAAGGGAGTAGTTGGTTTGAAATTAAAGATTTCAAAGCTCCTTCTTTGTAAATGGCTTAATCTCCCAGCAGGAAGTCCACTGTTTTGCCCACCCAAATTTAATGGTAGAATTAGAGATATATATCGAGTCTCATTTTGAGATTCTTTATCGTAATTTAAATTCTTTTTAATAAATGTCTCACGGGACTCAGCAATAGTAAAAGTAGAATCTGCAATCATAGCATCTCTGTAAGAGTTAGAAAGATTGTTATTTTTGATTCGATTTGAAGTCCTCTTCCTCGAAAAACATTCAATGTTTAATTGTTGAATGTTTTCAAAGCTTTCTTTCAATTTGTCTACCAATTCAACAACTTCATCTGCACAGGATGAGTTTTGACGAGAATTAACTTGACAATTAATCAGAATAAACGGAGAAATAGTGACTTCACTTTCTTCTTGGATGTTGTTAGAGTTAAGATCAGAAAGTTGATTGTTAATTAAATTTCCTACATTATAACAGATATTCATAACTTTGATTTTCTCTATATTTGCCATATGGTCTGGGATTTCGGTAAATTGCTCAATTAATTTAAGCATTGCAGTATTAGCCTTCCTATTCTTGGTCAAAATTGAATTCATCCAACAAAGGTTAACCAGAAAATGCCCAGATTTGAAATAATATAACTGATCCATCTGCTTAGGAATTTGCTTCTCAAGACTCTCAAGCTGTTTTTCATAGTTTTTGCCAATTATGGATATGAATTCTTCTTTGCTATAAATAAAACCATTACTTGGGGACAGAATTGAGTCCTGATTTGAATTTGAACCAACATTTCCTCCTGAAGAAATAGTGATTAAATCCTCAGGAACAATACTTTGCATCCATATTTTTAAATAAACTGCTATTGCTGAGATTCTTTTATTGAAAGATGATGAAATAATGTCTCCCAAAGGAATGTGAGTTTCATCCTCGGGTGGTTCAATACCACCTAAAGCTTCCAACTCTCTTATCCAGTTAGAATAATTCTGAGAGATCTGCTTGTCAATTTGTACACCAAAAATGTGTAGGGAATCCATTGTGGTTTCGCAAACTGTCTTGATTAAAATAGTTATTTTCTTGAAAGTTTCTTGAGACGAGTAGTAAGTAACATCCACTCCTTTAATAAATTGGTCAAATACCTGTGTGGATAAATCGAACATTTTGTCTAAAATAGAAAAATGAGTTTGACTATCATTCAGAACACAAACAATCATAGGAAATGTGATTTTAAGATAAATCATTGAAATTTCTTTTATTATGTTGAGTGCTGAAAAGTAAAAGAATTGCTTTTCCAAATCCATTTTGATCAATGATATGTTAAAAGGAACAAAAACTGGTTTATTCTGTCCAATAGATTCCTGCACATACTTGGTAGTATTGAATATTTCATGCTCTAACTCTTTTCCGTGGAATGTACTTTTTAATTTCAACTTTAACTGAAATTCACAAAAGTGATCTTCACAAAGAGAATTGATTAAGCTTTCTATTTCCTTCTTCTTACTCACAAACTTATAGTTAGGCTCAGAAGACTTAATTATAGATTTAGAAGATGAATTTGTTCCCAATGTTTTCAATTTCAGAAAGTTGTGAATCTCGGCAATCTCTGGAGTAGAAGTAAGATTATAAGGGGAGTTTCCTTCAATTGATAAAGTACATAAAGGATTATTACATGGAGTTGGATGACTGATGAAATTGTTATTAAGACTATCCATGCAACTTGGAACAATCAAAACCGATTTATTTAAGGTATTTTGAGTATTTACATTATTAAACAAAAAGTATTTGTTAGAAAATCGGTCAACCCCTATAAAATGATCATTTCTTCCAATATTGTTCTTTTTCTTTTGACTGTTATATACATTTTCAAAAAATTCTTTTCCTATCTTTCCATCTCCAAGAGTATCAATAGACCAATTCAATATTTCAAAGAATGATTCACTATCTAAAGTACAATAATTGTTTTTTTCTTGTTTTTTTAATTGTGTTGGTGAATTTTGATCTGCTGTAATACCATTAACTTCCACTTTAGTCTCATCTACCAATAGGTTTTCACCATTATTATAATCATCAAAAGAATTTTCATCCAAGTAATCGCCGAAATCACTTATACTGGATTCATTCATCTTTGCAAGGATTTTGTCTAGGACCACGGGCCAAGAAACACTATCTATAACTGATCTTGAAACATTAAAATTATCTAAAAACTTGAGCTTGGATTCATTATTCTTGGAATCATTTTCTGAATCGGAATGTTCTGAATCATTTCTAATTGAAGAGTAACTTCTCTTGATGCTTGAATTAATCTTTCCTACTTGGTTAGAATCATCCGGATTATTTTTTTTAGTATTAAAAACTCTCTCAGAAATAGCATTAACAAGACTTTTTATTGTTGAAAATAATGTGCTTTGAGGAAAAACTTGAATCACTTCAATCAGACTACAAATCCCTTGCTGACTAATCAGGCCGGAAGCTTTTTCTTCTTTTAGTTTTCCAATAACTTTGTTAAATTCGAAATATATCTGATTTAAAATTTCCAATGAAATACATCTGGACTTCTCCAAAACAAAGCTTTTTGATTGGAATGATTGAATACTAAGTAATGAGCTTGAATAAATAGGTAATTCCAGGAAGTCTCCAAACGAATTACAGAAATCTGAAATCTTGAGTATTTTCTGACAAGTCCCAAAGCTTTCTGTGAAATTTCTGAACTTAACTAGAGTAAATTTGAGAAAATCTTCGCTTTTATTTGTAGAGCTTCGTCTTTTTTTTGGATTAACATTGGTTGTTGTACTAGCTCCTGAACTAGACTGTAATTTATTATTACTGAAAATCTTTTCTGAAAGTTCATTATTTTGCAACAAACTATTAATATTCGAACTAATATAGTTCTCATCTAAAGTAGAATCCTCACTCAAAATCATCTTTGTAAGCTTGTTCTTCATTGAAGTAATTATCTGATGTCCCAAAGTTTTTGATAAATTGTACTTTTTAGAGTAACTTTGTAAGTAAAACTCTATAAAGGGAAACATTAATAAAACTTCTTTCTCAGATAATCCTACTACAAATACGGGTTCTCCCCATGTAGTTGTAGGTTGATCACTAACAAGGTTGGCATCTTTATTAGCCTTCTTAGATGGACTTGATGTTTCGCTAGCTGGGTCCGAGTTAATTTCAGGAATCTGTTCAGAATCCTGCTCTTCAGTTGGTTGTTTAGGGATAGACTTTGCAGACTTTTCAACAACCTTTCCAGTAACTTGGTCAAGGAAGGTCTTGTATCCTATTCTATTTGAATTAGGGGAAGTTAAAGTCTTTATCAATCTTGAAATAACTTCAAATTTAATTTTCGCAGACGAAAACAATTTTGCATATTTACTTGCTGGCCAGCATAACCTATAACATGTTTTTGAACTTCCATTTTCAGACATACTATTAACCCAAATATACGGGGTATCGAATAAATTACCTCCAAACTCAATAGTCCAAGAATGGATTCTGCAAGTAATTTGGAAGGTCTTTAATTCTGACTGCTTTAAAATGGATTTTGGTATTTCCTTAATCTTCTTTGGTTTGTAACTTCCTCCACCCTTTTGACGGACTCTCTGTAACTTCCTAAAATTGTCTTTAAGAATTGTAGTCTTTTCTTTCTCGTAGTTGAGAATGTATTCATATGGGATTAAAGTGCCAATAAGAGTAAGTTCTTCACAACTCTGATCTTCAGCTGGTTTTTCCGTGCCTACCTCATTTAAACCACCATTTATTTCGGAATCTCCTACTTTTACAAAAGAATCAAGGGTTCCCTCCTCATTCATAAAGTAGATACTTTCAAATTTGTTTGGTAAACAGTCCAATGGCATCATCCTAGAAAGTTTGTTGTTATAAATAGAAAACTCCGCAATATATCTATAAGTTATACCGTAGTCTCCGCTTAATGTTACCTCTTCTGGAATATTATCTTCGGATGTTAACTCATGTCTAAGCTTAAACCCTCCTCCCTCACTCACATTACTTGACAAGCTTGAACGCTTCTTTTTGGTAGAAATTTTGGTATTATTGCCTTCATTGAAATTTGAATTCAAGTAAGTCATATTTACATCATCGATATAGTTGCTATTTTCATAATAGTTCTGGTTGTATAAATTATCTGAACCAGTTATTTCGTTGTAATTATTCTCACTTTCCTGGGGGAAAACATAATCTGGAATTACGTCCTCCTCCATTCTAAATTGGTTATCTTCTTCATTGTAAATAGAGTCCGAAAGTTTCATAGAAATTTCAAAAGAGTCCATTGTACTGCCACAATCAATATTCGAAGACATTTTTTCCGCATTAACTTGCAACTTTAAATGATATTTATAAATAAATATGTACCAATTAACTTGTTAGTTTTCCAAAAACTCTGTTTTTAACGCGAAAATATTTTTTACTCTGCTTCCTATATGCTATTTTATAATAACTCCAAAATACACATATGTATTTATAAATTTATACGTAATGTTTGCTTCTCAAATGTGCTTCAAGTTCATTTATACCAACAATTTAAGGAGTGTTAATATTCAACACAAAACTTCAATTGTGCAGAATCCAACTGAGTCTGAATTTTTTACTCCCTATTTTCGTACTTTCTCATAAAATACTTTAATTCCTACACCTTTGACTTTTTTTGCCAAGTAACCTGTTCTCCTCCCACGGCGCTACATGACTAGACAAGCTTATATTAAAACAGTAAGTAATGTAATAATTCAAAATAAACTTAATAATTATTCCTTTTTTAAAAAAAGTTATTACTACTTCCATTTGAAAAATTCATTTTTTGTTTTCCACTCATTTTTACAGCTAATTAAAATAGAATTACGTGAAACTGCTAAATGCATGCATACACGTGTATAGTTTTTTTAACCATATTCCGAGCATTTATGTGGAAAAGCAACGGTATGGAAAAAAATGATCAGCTTAAAAGGAATCATTTTTTTGTTCGAATCCAGTCGACCTCAGGGCGTTGTGTTTTTCTCAAAAATTCGTTGCATTTATTAAAATGATCACACCCTGAAAAAGCATTTGACAGGATTTGATATATCAAAGTGCGTTAAATTTAACCTAAATTACTTTATTTATATTAGAAAGTCAAACTTACCTATGAATTTTTTTTGTGAAAGTGGGGAAGGATGAGCAGACTCTAAAACCAAATGTTTTTTTCTGCAAACATTCGAGGCTTTAGCTTGAGCAGACCTCCCCCAAAGCATGAATACCACTGGCCTTTCTAATTTGTTAATATGTGATATAACCTTAGATGTAAAGGTATCCCAACCCTAAATAGTTGGTAAAAGTAATTATTTTGACATATTCAAAGAATTAGTTTCTTTTCTATATTTGTGATTGTACTATTCAAACTTACAAAATCCTTGTGAGACATTGGCTTTCCTTCTTCAACCGAGAGTAAAGAGTTTAAAAGAAACACCCCTTGTTCAGCCCAAGATGTTAGGTCCCCATGACCGGGATTCCCTTTCCCTATTTCTTTGTATATATTTCTAAGACTCGGAGGAATTGGGACACCTTTTGGGACTGAGAAACTAAGTCCCATGGCCTGTCCAGGCTGATGATATGGATCTTGCCCCAAAATTACCACTGATATTTTATTTAATGGAGTAGCCTTAAAACAACTAAACATTTTGTCGCTTGGTGGGTACACTTTAACATAATTTCTTCTTTCTTGTACCTTCTTCATACAATTAACAAAGTAGGGTTTCCTTAACTCATCTTTAAGAACCTCAAACCATTCATCTCCAAAATACTCTCTCAATTTTGATTCACTCGGATAATATTCTTCACTCTCTTTCTTAAACCCCTTACTTAATCCATTTTCTGTTCCTAACATACATATTTTCTTATTCTTTACTCCTAAGTTGTTCCCAGAGTTATCATCGCATTTAATATTATCCCCAGAAATATTCTCTGAGCCTCTTTTATTAAAGTATGACAGTATTGATTTCTGACCCATTGTTTTCTTCTATATTTTTAATTACATGTGATACAATAATATTTCAGCGCCAAATACTTGTATAACAAAATTTTAGAAAACATGGAAATTAAACAGAAATTAGGGATTAAAATATGGGGAAAACTAATTGAAGTTTCTATATAATATCTTTATGCTTTCACTAAAACTCCCCCTAACTTTTTTCTCAAAGAACCTATAAATGGACTATAAGTTAGAGAGAAAGCTGAGTAATATAACAGTGTAGTCTGTTATAAAATGTAAAAAGATACCCTAGCTTATTCCATATCGATGTTTCCAAAACAAGTTAGTTCTTCGTTGTGAAGGCAAGCAATTGGTTTTACTTCAAACTTGACTGAAGGGATATCTAAATGTTTAAGTAGCAAATACTGGTACTTATTCAAAGGACTACCTTCCTTGCATATGATAACCTTACCCTCCTCCGAACCTAGAGGAGTTGGCTTAAGCTGAGGAAATTGTTTTCTCATATAGAATTCTGCATTTCTATACAGGCATTCCAAGTCTGTGTTTGGCTCAATAACACAAGTAATGTCAGAAAATGAACCTTCTCTACCAAACTCCATCGTACAGCTCTCTTCTAATACTTTATTCAAATCACTAGGAGCAAGGTCTGTGAAGATAAGACCTCTTTCACCATGGAGAAAAGAAGAGATTTTATGAGCATTCTTCGCAGATTCTGAATCCGAGTCTGCTCCAAACGCAACCTGAAGAAGCTTGTTCTTCCCGATTAAAAGCTTTCCTGGTTCTAATCTAACTCTGAGCTGCTTCAAAGCAGCATTTCTCTGGTTCTTTAGCTTAACAACATAAACAAACTTAAATTTACCAATGTACTCGTGCACGTTTTCAATGATTTCTGACTTATCTTTTCTCTTCTTCTTTAGATCCTTAGTCACAAGAACCTTCTTTACTCTCTTTGATTTTGCCATTTTCCTCTAACCTGCTTTCTTTTTTCCTCAACCAAAAAAAACTCTTTTCAAATTTAATCAATCTGTGACTATTACCTATATATCTACATACCCTGTTTTGGCGCCAAATGTGTCTCTCCTTAAAAAAAATGCAATTATTGGGCATGTAAAAACAAATATAATCTAAGAGGAAAATCATTATTTAGTATTAAATAGTTAATTAAGTAGTTTACTATAGATTTTTGAATTTTTTATTGAACACAAAGTGGTCCGAAAGCGTAATACTAGATATTAGGAATGTTTAGAAAGTGCGAGCTGATCAGCTGAGATTAGAACTAGCATCTCTTTAAGGAGCTTATGAATCTTTTCTGCAGAGCTCGCCTGAATGCCGTACATAGAAGTCAGGGAATTAACAAGGGAATTTATGATGTGGAAGTTACAAAAGATGGCATTGTGTACATCGTCTGGAATGCTGTTACCAATGCTGTCGTTACTTCTACAAAGCTCAAACAATGAGACGACATACCCTTCAATGATTTTTGGTAGAAATCCAACATTGGAAGAGTTTATTCCGCTCTCTGACTTTGGGATGAATTTCTTGGATTCTATATACTCTTTAGCTGAACGATAGAAACCTTTTTGAATTAGTACAAATGTGTGAACAATCTCATTCAGATACTTAACTTCGTCCAGCTTAGTCTGAACTGTAAGTCCCTGGTGTAAATAGGTAGAGTCAGAAGATACTTTGTTTATGATAGTCTGGAGTTTATCAAAGAAAAGTTGTTGTCTTGTGTTGAGAGTAGTGAAAGAGTAACATACTGGTAGTTTTAAACAGTCCAGAATGGTGTCTAGAACCTCCTCCAAAAGATTTGCTTCCATGAAAAATAGAATTGAAGTAATATAATGGCCTCTATTCTTGGCTAATCTTGCTATAATGCTGTTTATTTCTTCGCAAATCTCTGAATAATCACTTGTGTTCATACTATCATATGTATCAAACTTAACAAAAGACTTTCCTTGTTCGATATAAGTGTGGAAACTGGCACTATCAGTGTAATCATCTTCTACAATATCATGTAAAAGACTGAACTCCACGTAATCCTGTAGGATTTTTGTTCTCATAGATTCTGGGAAAAGTCTTGCAAGCTTTGCAACAAAAAGGAAAGGTATATTGAAGTTTTTAATAGATTTCTGAAGGACTTCATATAAGCTCAGTACTCTTTCTTCTGGTTCAATTAGGTCAGAGAATGAATAAAAAGCTCCCATCTGGTCGTTTTCTGTTCGTTTCCAAAGAGGAATTAATCCAGCAATAGCTAAGTAAAGTACCCATTGAAGTTGTATAATCTTTAATTCGTGATGAGAGGAATATATCCACCTCATTGCTTCCCCAAAGTGTAGAGTATAGCACATAAGTCTTGCCATGTTTAGGCTTGTCTGCTCCTTAATGATCCTATCATTCTGACTTAATTTATTGTTTACCTCTCTAGATATACTTCTTTCATGCAAATAAGAAGTTTGGTTACGATTTGAGCTGTACTTTGTACTACTTCCCAAAACCTCTCCTCTCCTAGATGTATGAGTTAGTAAGAAAGGACTTACTTCTTCTTGGTGATGAATGGACAAATCAGGGCTTGAGGATTCCCCTCCATGAGGGGAGAATTGATCTCCCTGATTTCTGAGCTTATTGTACAAAGTATTTAACTCCTTTGCTGATTCATTATCGTCATTTGTCTTAAGGATAATATGAAGCTGATACCAAATATAATCCTCCACATTTGTATTAGGAAGAAGCTTCATCAAATTTAAAGACTGAGACGATGCATTAATTATGCTGAATATGATCTGATAATAAGCCTGCTCTCTAAAGTCTGCATCTTGGCTAGGCTTGGAGTAGAACATAGAGTTTAGCTCTCTATACTCTTTGCTGGAGTAAAGGTCTCTATTGAAGTCAAATTGAACACACTGTTTGATCCAGTTCTCTTCTCCAGAAATAATATCGTCACAAGTTTGAGAAATCAGCAAAGAACTGCTCGTTGAGAGAAGAATTGCTGCCAAGCATTTACATACCAGGGAGAAATTTTGAGGTACATGGGAGAATTTGAATGCCATATCCCAAAGTATCTGCCCAGAGCCTATTCTAAATGCCCAGTAGGCCAAAAACCAATAGTGAACCTGCTCACTAGGGAAATTCATGTGATAATTCATGTTTTGTTGGTCCGTTGTATCACTTATAAACAACTTTTTGCAAAAATTAATAAAGTTTTTTAAAGAAATAAGTACGTTACTACCTGCTCCTGAACCATATCTGTTTCCCAACAAAATGTTAGAGTTATTATACAAAACATTATCAACAGCAGAAACCTCTAAAGCTCTGATTGAATTTGAAATCATCTGACGAGTTGTGTAATTATTCTTTGAGGAGTTCCCTACTAAAAGTGTTAAAAGTCTCCATAGAGATGAAATTTCTTCCTTGTACTCTACAGGAGCCAAAATAGAACCCATTTCCTGAATCAACTGGATACGAGAATTAAAAGAGGAAAGACACATCTTCTGGATAGATATATATTTGTCTGAAGTCAAATCAGAAATACTAATATTAGGGATAATCTCAGAAAGAAGATAATAGTACTCATTAACAGAGTCTTCACTTCTTTTAGAACCAATTCCATGTTCCTGAATTGTCTCAAATTGTGGTTTCCTGTTATTAAGTAAAAGCCCGAATTCTGGCCTATTAGATAACTGAGAATTCTCACTACAGTATCCTGACACAATATTAGGTTTCTGGCCATCAAGGATCTTGGACTTCCTTTCATTCCATTCAGTAGAAAACAAATCAAAAATTTCTGAGTAATAAATTTGGAAAATTGAGGTTGTAGACTCATCTATTAAATACGAAAGGAAATTTGAATAGCTCGTTTGAAGATACTTGGGAAGCCCTCCAGACCCTAATTCACTATAGTTGTCTTTATCCTGTCCACATCCTCCTCTTTGAGGGGCCCTCTTAAAATTAAAAGCCTCTGCTAAGTATCTTCTCCTGGAATCGTAACTTTCCAGCCTGGAACTGAGGTATTGAATTGAACGCTCCAAAGTTGTGATCCCCAGATCATTTACTATTCCTTTCCCACTACTTGCTCGCTTGGATATACCAAAATACCCTGCCTCTCTTTGCTTATTTCCAAGGGAGTTTTTTGAAACATCCAAAAGTTCCTTTATTCCGCTCCAAACCACAGGTTTCAATATTGGAACAGTCCTATACGCTCTTTCCAGGGAGGAATTTATGTCCATTGAGAAGTTTGACATTTTTCCCCCTTCACTTCTTTTTTTGCTTTTTCTTCAGTTCCAGTTTTTCCAAACTTATACATGAGTTTGGCGCCTAAGTGTGGTAATAGGCTAAAAAAAAAATTAAACAATTTAAGGCAAAAAAAAAGCTAAATTTAAGAAAATGTACCAGTAAAAACTTCTTTGCAGTTTACCAATGAAGTGTTCCTGGCAACTAAAAGTTCTCTAACTCTTCACTGTTCCCTAAAAATCATGTAGTTTTTTACACTAAGTAATATTCAATACCAGCTATAGAAATGAGCGATACCACACCAATCTCTCAATTAACATACAAGGCATACCAACATCCTAATGACAAAATAATTAATTTTTTCACTTTTCACTCTCCTGAATTTTTCTTTACAAAAAAAAATGTGGCGCCAGAATAAGTAGTGTCTAATAGTCAAAAGAGATTATTAAAAAGGCTGAAATTCAGTTAAAATTGACGGAAAAATACTGAATACGGAAAAAAATACCCACTTTTAAGAGATCATATTAAGACATCTAATAGTTAGCTTTAAAAAATAACCAATCATCCACTTTTCCCCCGAGTATTATAACATATATGTCGAAGGTAAAACGGGAAAGAGCAATAGTTTATGTAGGCCACATTCCATTTGGGTTGTTTGAGCCTCAACTCAAGGAGTATTTTTCCCAGTTTGGAAAGATTTTGAGGATTAAGTTGAGTAGGTCCAAGAAGAATGGTCACTCGAAAGGATATGCATTTATTGAGTTTGAATCTATGGAAGTAGCTCAGATTGCAGCCTCAACCATGAACAACTATATTATATTCAAAAGAAGCCTCAAATGTCATGTACTTCCTAAAGAGAGTATTCACCCATACATCTTTATCAAGTCTAAGAAAAAAGTTTCTCCTGAATCTAACAAAACATTATCTGAAGAAGAAAAACAAGCCAAGACTAAGAAATCGGTCATTTCAAAGAAGAAGAAACTGCTTAAAATTACTAAAATTTTAGAAAAGGAGAACATAAACTACGAACTCCCCTCCGTGTAGTTATATCTCTCTATATTGTATTTTTTTATAACTTTTTTTTCAATTTATTCTCTTTTATTCTCCTTCTGTAACTTTTATTTTTCTTCTCTTCTCTTAGTTATCCTGCAATTTCAACTCGTTTCATTCCAATATCCCCTTTTTCTTTTATTTTTTTGAATTCTTCATCTTTCTAAGTTCAGACCAATCCAGTTACTTTTTTTTAGTTGAAATTAATCCTTTTTAAATTTATATACCGGTGTTTGGCGCCAAACCCTGGTAATAATAGACTTGAAAAAAGTAGTTAATGGGTCAAAATGGAGGAAAGAGGAGGAAACAACAAGAGAAGAAAGGCTAATTTAGAGAGATCTGAATTCGGATCTCCCTCTTTAGAGGTTTCTTTAAAGGACAAGGAATCATATACTCTCATAGAAAGATTTAATTCAAGATTTGAGAATTATTATAGATTACAGCAAATATGCCCAGAAAAGGAGTTTCAGGATTTTATGAATTCACTTTCCTCTCCACTTCCGACATCTCTGAGAGTTAATGTTTCTCACTCACTTCACTCATTATTGGAGTTTCTTCTCATCTTAGAATCAGAAAAACTACTTAATGAGACAAAGGCAGATGATAACAGTCCTATTTTTAAGGAAAAAAGACTAAGTAAAAACTCCAAGTCTTATTTATTAAACCAGTACTCCAGAAAAATGCTTAAGAGAGAGTCTCGACTGGCTAAGTTTCACGACCTAATAGTATCTCAAGACGAGTTTGGGACACTTTCAAGCCAGGAACTAGTTTCCATGCTACCCTGTATATGTCTAGATCCAAAACCAGGACACTCAATCCTAGATCTGTGTTCTGCACCTGGAAGCAAATCCACACAAATTTTGGATGTAATCCTTTCATCTAGAAATAACCAGCTTGGCTTAAGCTTACAAAAAGGTCTATTTATTTGTAATGATGTCAGTTCAAAAAGATTGGACACACTTTCATCCCGTCTAGCTAGAATACCGTCTCCAAATGTTCTAATTACCTGTATAGATGCATCCTTTTTCCCCAGTTTCAAACCAAGCACAAGTAATAACACTTGTTTTTTTAAATTTGATAGGATACTTGTGGATTCTCCCTGTTCTGGTGATGGGACACTCAGAAAGAATCTTGATATTTGGACAACCTGGAAACCTGAAAAAGCCTTAAGTCTTCACAAAAAACAGATTTCCTTACTTTCTAGAGCATTCAAACTTCTAAAGTATGGAGGAAGACTTGTGTATTCAACGTGTAGTCTAAACCCAATAGAGAATGAAGCAGTTATTTCCACTCTTATGAAACAGTTTCCAGAAGCCAAACTTATAGAACCCTCAAACCTGGATGAAAGTGAATTGAGTATTTCCAGAGGTCTCAAAACATGGGGAGTTTATTGTGATTTGAAAGAACAGAATGAAACCCAGCTTTTTTTTACTTTAGACAGTGTACCAGAAACTTCATTCAAGAAAAGCCTGACACAAAGTATGTTTCCAACCAAAGAATGGTCGGAATCTGGTAACTTTATGAAATGTTTTAGAATTTTGCCTCATAAAAATGATACAGGAGGATTCTTCTTTGCTATTATTGAAAAGGAAGGAGTTAAATATATGTCTCAGACTGAACGAGGATTTAAATCTTCATCTTGTAAATATGAGAATGTAGAATTGGATGATTTGGAGCTTATTTTAAGTTTCTACGGTCTTTGTAATCAGAGTGAAGAAGGATCTAATGGAGATTTTGAAAGTTTCCCACTTCAGATTAGGAGTCACCTAAAAAATGTCGAGTTTCTGGAAAAATCGTCTCTAGTGAAAAGGAAGTCTTATGATAAGACAATTTATCTCATTGGGAAAGATGTATCACAACTCATTTGCAATTATAATTTAGAATTGGATATAAGATCAGTGGGTATCAGAGCTTTTGAGTACCTTAAAGGTAGAATTTCAGGAGAGGGAAAATGTAAATGGAGAATTAACCAAATATCCTCCAATTACTTGGTTAGATTAATGAAAAGAAGACTGGTTTTTGTGAGTGTCTCACTATTAGATCTCTTGGATGATGAAAATAGATTCATAGAAGGGATTAAAATTCTGGATCTTGAAAGTAAAGGAGAGCTTTTAGGATTAAAGGAGCTTTGTTCTGAAACATCAGGTGAGAAGAAACTAGAAAGTGGAGGTATTTTAGTAGTTATTTTGCCTCCAAGTGTTTTGAAATATGGAGGAAGCAGTAAAGTGAATCCAAGTTTTCAAGAATTCTATCAGGGAGTCCCTCTTTCAGGAATTCTCTATAAAGACTCGGGAATAAGTCTTTTTGTGTCTAAGAATGAAATAAAGTCTATTAAACAGTTAATATTAATTTAGAATATGGTAGTTAACTAAGTAAATATAGTATAGAATGGCGTAGAATACTAAACCTAGTATTATTAAGTGTAAAACGTCTAGAGTCCCATACCTCCAAACATCTTCTGGAAATCGGGAGAGCCTTGGAACTTATCCATTTCTCTCATCATATTCATCATATTCTGAGGTCCTCCCATATGTTTAAAGATTCTAGGGTCAATGGCTTTTTGCATCTTTTGTATGAGTTGGGTAGGATTTTTCATAATAGATGACATATCCAATCCTCCCTTTTTCCCTAAGCCAAGTTTTCCAATCTGACCCACCATCTTGGAAAACATTTTGTGCTGAGAGAGGAGTTCTTGTACATCTTCATTGGAAGTTCCACTTCCCCTAGATATACGCTCTATTCTGGAAGCATTAATAGTCTTTTCATTATCTAATTCATTTTCTGTCATAGAGTCCATAATGACCATAAACTTCTTGAGCCTTTCTATTCCTGCCTGTTCGTCCTCTTTTGCAAGGATATTTGGACCCATTCCAGGAATCATAGACAAAAGAGCACTTGGAGAGCCCATATTTAACATATTCTGGAATTGCTCGTACATATCTCTCAATGTAAAGATACCTTGGACAATCCTATTGACCATATCTGGCTGTCTCTCCAAAGGGACAACCTCATTAATTTTAGCCATTAAGCCACTAATATCACCAAGTCCAAGTAATCTTGAAACAAATCCCTTAGTTTCAAAAGGTTCAAATTCATCGAAGTGCTCTCCAGTTCCAATAAAGATGATGGGAGCTCCAGTTGCAGCTACAGCTGACAAAGCTCCTCCTCCCTTTGCGTGGCCATCCAGCTTGGTGATAATGACACTTCCAACATCAACTGCACTGCAAAATGCCATTGCCTGGTCGTAGCAGGCCTGGCCAATATGACTGTCCATGACAAATACCACATCATCAGGGTTAGTTTCCATCACAACTTGCTCCATTTCGACAAATAAAGATGCCTCCTGTTTATGGCGACCGGAAGTATCTACAATAATTAGGTCGTAACCTTCCTTCCTGAACTCTCTGACACCATCACGAGCAATCTTAACAGGATCAGTCTCTGTGTAGCTTCCATAGAACGGAATCTTGACTTTTGTTGCATTCTGTTTAAGCTGATCAAAAGCTCCAGCTCTGAAAGTATCCGCACAAACCAAAGCCGTTTTCCAACCTCTTCTTTGATAATAGTTGGCAAACTTAGTACAAGTAGTTGTCTTTCCTGAACCCTGGAGACCAACAAAAACTATAACATTAGATTTATCTCTCTGGGGAACGTAGGGAGTTCTGCTTGGAGTCAGTATATTCACCAGCTCCTCCACAACAGCACTCTGGATCTGACGACGTCTGTTTGAACCTCCTGCCACATCCTCCTGTTCCACAGACTTCTTAATATTGTTTCTCAGCTGAGCAACCAGCTTCACATTGACATCTGCCTTGAGTAGAGCTGTTGCAATTTCTTTCAAACATAAGTCTATAGCAGCCTCGTCTACAATGGTACTTGATTGGAACTTTCGAATAGCCGAGGCTAGCTGTCCTCCCAAATCTGCCAGAACCATTGATTATACTTCAAAAAACAATTTCTCACTAAGGTGGAGTAGTTTCTAACTTGTTTGAGTAATTAATTATGGGTGAGTTTTGACAAATCCAAAGGATTTAATTTTTTTTTTAATTGCCTTTTCAGACAAATATAGCTGGGAAGAATTTCCCGCGACTTTTACAAAAATTCGAGGACCCCAAAAAATAGGTAAATTGACAGTGAAGAAGAAAAATTGTTTTCACACAGAAAAAGAAAAAACAATACCCTTTGAGAAAATGAAACATACAAAGTTTCAAGAGTTCGTAAAATCTTAGCTGGACCTGACTACAGTGATTCTCTTGTCTTAGTGTATCAATTCTATTCAATACTATTACCTATTGTTCTAAAATTAACTATAATGTTCTTGTTTGGGGAATATGGGGACTCAAAATCAAAATTTTGGCTTAATAATTTATTCCCAAATTTGTCCTCATTACCCGTTGCACTCTGGCTACCTGAATTCCTCTAGTGATAGAAAAAAGGGAGCATCTGAATGCGATACCCCTGCTAAAATGACTTGCACTGACCTTACCTGGTTCTATTTTAAGAAAGGAAACAAATTCTTCTCAAAGTGAAAATGGGATAATTAAGTCAGATGCATACTGGAGTGTTTTCTCCCCGTTGAATTTAGCTCTGAAATAGTGATAAGCAAAGTCCAACAAAATTCCTATATTGAATATTTGGACAACTATATTATAGTTCCTTGACTCATGAGGCAACCTAAAAAGAGGCATTGAGATCCAGTAGAATAGTGCCAACACTTTGAGTACAAATTCAAAGACTACAAATAGTGCCAAATGCTCTGAAACCTTTCTTGGGCTTTTAATATGAAACATATATAATTGAGGAACTAGGGCCAATGCTCTAACTGCATCGTCATAAGCCAAAAGGGAAGTGATTAGGCCAAGTCTTCTTCTGGTTCTAAACATCAGGAAGATGAAAGAAAGTGGAATGGCTAAAATGTAAAGTACAAGCCAATATAAGGAACGAGAAATGGATCCTGCAATACCAGTAGGTTTGATTTTTCCTGCTCTTTCTCCACTTCGAATAGCATCCTTATCTACGGAATTAGAACCCAGAACAGAAAGTATCCTTACAAGAATATTGAGACCAAAAGTATCATATTGATCTTCAATAGAGTTTGAGAACTTTCTCCAAACAGTATATAAGCATAGTACTGAAAGAAATGTCGAAATGATATCAATTTGAAATGACCAGTCCAACATAATTCCAGTATACAAAGAAAACCACACATTCAGAAGAGCACCACAAAATTCGGAAAAGCATAGCGCACATAAGGTTTGCATGGAAATTCCTAATGCACTCCTATCGTTGTAAACCTTATAAGTAATAACTCCATAGCAAGTAATACACATTAGAGCATGGAACCAACTGCAAGCATCATGAACCCAGACATACTTGTTCAAAGATAAATACAAAAAGTTCCCCTTATAAGAGCTTCCATTTTGTGAGGAATTTTGAGTGTTGCTGCTTCCTTGGTCCCCTGCTAAGGTTTGGGAGATGATTGCAAGGAAAATAACCAGTAAAAAACATGAAAAAATCACCTTTTTGTGAGAAGCACCTTTTAATAAAACCATCATTCTAATATATAGTTTTGAGCTTCACACAAACCGATAACATTTTGGATCGAAGCATTCAAGCGCCAGTTGCACTATCCGGTTAAAAAAAATTATCACTTAATTTTCAATACAATTTGACAATAAAAAATCAATTTGCTAAAATTGGTGAGGAGAAAAAAATCCAAAAAGAGCGGTTTACATTCAATATAGAAATTTCTTTTCTCTTTCTCTTTCTTTTTGTCTTGACTCTTTTTTACTTCTTTTATACCTTTTATCTTCTGGTTGTGTAATTTATTTTTGTGTGATATACCGCTCAACTTCCTTAATATAGCTTTAACTGAATGAATTAAACCTGAAAAAGTTTCACAAATGTACTTGCTACATATATGTATATATATATATATATATATACATATTTTTCGGTACTGTAGCATTATTTGTTGATACATTTATTGGAAATCCCGTAGTTTGATTTTACATAGTTCGAGATATCTGCTGCCTTCACCTCAGATGATTCTCTAGTTAGCATTCTTTGCACTCCTGCTCGTAGGCTGTTGTCAATACATTCCTCCACTATCATTCCTATTACTTGAGTCACCTTTCCATCCATTTTTGGATGGGGCATAGATGATGTTTTTGACTGGTTGGAACTTAATTCCTTAAGAACTCGTGAAGTAATATGAACAATTTCGCTTTCAGAGTTCATATTAAATCCTATTATAATTTTAGAGAAATCTATAACCTATGTTGCTAGTATTTGTAATTTTTCCACGGTAATTAAGCAATTTTAATATTCTTTTCTCTTTTTTAATTTTATTTCCTTCTAATTAACCTTGTTTTTACCTAATGAAATGGCGGCAAATTAATTTTAATATTGATAAGTAATATACTGCAAAGTATTACATTAAGTAGAATCATAAAAAAACAATACAAGTTTTCAAAAAAAAGTTGTTCTTTGGCCAAGTTATTTCTTATGATACTAGTATGGAAGAGAAAAATATGATCTCTCTTCTCATCTTACAATTTCTAAATTCATTCTAAACTTTGTTCTCTACAACTTGCCAAATTATTAAAACTAGAAACCACCCTCTCTCCGCTCCAACAAATATTTACTAAATTACGAGCATATTTACATGCGAATAATGCTTGAAAATTTTCTCTGTGTGTGGACAACATTTTAATACCGTCATAGAAACTATGCAAGTAGGTCAAAAATAAAGAATTGCATGCGTTGGCGGTAGAGTCAATTTTGAAAAACTGGGAAAAAATAAGGAAAATAGCAAGAATTAGAGAATATGTAAAAATTGTATGTAATAATTCATAAAATTGGGAGAAATAGAAAAAAATTGTTAATGATAGAAGAGCTTCCAAATTCGTCTGGATTCGAAATAACAATATATTTGAAATGTATTAAAAATGACATTTTCAATGGTGAATGGTCCCGAACCTTTACCTAAATGAAAATGATAAATATGGCAACAATTCAATGTGAATAAATAGAATTCCAACTAGAAAAAGAGGTTATCAAAGGAGAGAGTTGTTAAACTTTTGTTTTTAATTCATTTTGGGTCAAGGGTGAAGGTAAATTGGGGGTCTTAAAAGTTTAAGATTAAATTTTCAACATCTACGAATAAAATAAAAAAGGAACTTCAGGAAAAAGAGGATTTTCCAAGTTTTTGGATTCTCAAATTATTTTTTATTTGAAAGCTGCTTTGTATATAAAGTGTGTGATATTATTCACCCAGTAGGTAATTTAATATAAAAATAAGTACAAAATTTAGTATATTAAAGAGAAAAATTTAAAAGATTTAAATTATAAACATTATTTGTGACAATTGGATCAAAAATAGCTTTTATTAATCTTTGAAACAAACTATTTGGTTTTTGAGTAGCTAAAAGCAGAAATGTCAGCCTTTGTAGAAAGTGAGGTAAGTTAATCATAAGCTTCTGGACACCTAGGAAACATATAAGTATATTCAGCCGAAGAGAAAGTACCATTGGAGTTTATGGTTTTTTCTCTTCACTGCATTCTGCTTAGCAGGTGTATCCAACAGCAAATATGGGAGTATGATTATTTGCCTGACCGTGAGGGGTTCTCTTCTTCATTCAAAGTAATAGCAAGATGCACCAACCTTGTCCTATTGGACAAGACGAGCGACAGGCAAATTTGAACTCTCTCAATAACTAACTTAATAACTAATTTACAATCTTAACATATAGAAATCAGAATACATATTATCTAGAGGAAGAAGAACTGGAAGATGTCCGGATGAATATTGTAGATCAAAGTCTCCAAGCGGTCAGCCGGGAAAGTCAGTAGAGGAATTGTGTACATGTGGCAAACATGTATGCCCGAGTCCATTACAGGATTCAGTTTCTTTCCAAGCAGAGAGTTCATATAACACAGACTTTAAGCAGTGGGAACTACCAACTTTCCCAAAACCAGTTCCAGAGGAACTACCAAAGTCCGTTCCTTTTGAGTCTGACTCTAGCTATCACAGGGACTACCGCAAGTGGGAATTACCAGAGAAGGTGGTTAGGCCAGCAGAACAATTCTTAGAGTCCCCTGAGAACCGTGATTTCATGACCAGTTACAAAAGCAACTACAAACAATGGGAACTTCCGGAATTCAAGAAACCTGAGCCACCTCCGGAGGTAGTCTCCTCCCCTTACGGTAAAATCAACTCGGTATACAGAGAAAACTATCAACAATGGGATCTTCCTAAAAAAGTGGTCAATCCTTCTGAAGTTTACAATCCATCCAAGGAGGATAGAAACTTTGAGACCGTCTACAGAAACTCTTATCAAGGGGTCCAACCCCCAGTTTGCCCCGTTAGTCTCCTTCCTCCCATTCCTCATCCTCCTCCTGGTAGGCACACTATGTTCTGGGACTCAGTCTCTAAGAACTGGTACTAAATATTTCAATTAAACTTCTAGAAGAAAAAAACAGAAAAAGGGGCGTGGAGAAAGAAGTGAGAGAATAGGATATTGGGAACTTCGGCAGATCTGGCTTAGCCTCGCTCCCCTTTTGATTTAGTCTCTGAAATGACCTTCTCAACCAGTTAATCTTCTAACTACTATAGCTCCGTGCAGTAGTACAACATATCTTAGATATTAATCAATTTGTTCTTGGATTTATTTTTTGACTTTTGCATGTAAACTATTTTTTTGCATGCAATTACACATTTGGAGTGATTATCGTAGTATATAATTTTGTTGAAACTATAGGAAACTACCAAAGGTGGTGTTTGCATGCAAATATACCCCTCTTATTCTCTTTCTTCCCCTGTGACTCAGAGAAAACCTCTAATGAGAAATTTAAAATTTGTGCATTTACACACACAAACACAAACTAAATAAATCACTATTTCTTCACTTCCTCACTTTGGAGTTTTACAGGCTAATTTTGCCTTCTCTTCTCAAAAACTTTACAAACTCCACAAACATCAGCATAAAAACAGCCTTCCAATCTTTAATCCTCAAATTATCCAGTTCTCCTATCCTTTCTAGTCTACTCACTCTGCTCCATATAGTAATTTATTTATTTTTTCCTAGGAATTTGAACAGGTCTTTATTTAATTGACTAGACATACGTGAGCAAATTTTAGGCGCCACGACCCCTCACAATAAAGCTGAAAAAAAAAGAGGGAAATAGGACAACTTTGGAAGCGAACAATTAAGTTAATAATTAATTCGCTAAGCGGAAGGATTTGTGATGTCCTTAGATCCGAGTCAACTTTCACAGCTAGAAGGGCTGTGTGAGTCTTTCTATGGGTAAGTTTATTGTGACGGGCATGAGCGGATAAGAGCTATAAATGTGGGGCTTCGGCTCTTGCCAAAAGGAGATCTTGTAAATTCTTGCTGTATTTAACTTTTATTCCTAATTTTTTTTCAATTGAACTTGTAGGGGAGATGTTAATCAGCAGAAGCAGGCTCATGAGGTTTTGCTTCCCCTGACATGTAATCTTGGATGTCTGACTCAGCTCCAAGCTCTGCTTGCCCAGAGCAGCAATCCCCACGCCTTAATGTTTGCTGCAACTGGACTTTCTAAGCTCTTCACGTCTTGTTGGGCTCAAATTCCAGATAACCAGAAGGAGGAAACCAAAACATTTCTACTGAATTACCTGTATAAGTGCGGCCCTGATATGCTACGTTCAGCTCCCTATTTGGTCGGCCACTATGTACGTCTTTTGGCTCAGCTAGTTAAATTCGGCCTTCTTGATTCCCTCTCTCCCAGACCTACAATTACTGATCAAGTTGGCCAATTTCTCAGTGCTTCCACTCCTCATTGGATTATTGGTCTTATCATATTCACAACTTTGACTCAAGAGATGCAAACATCCACGGGGTTATATTTTGCCAAATACAGAAGAGCTGCAATACTCTTCAGAGATACCTCTCTCCCAGTGATATTCCAGATCGCAATCAAAACTCTTCGCCAATTTCACTTAGGTAGTGTCTCTGTGTCAAACCAACACGAAGAATATAGACTTCTTCGTCAGGTCCTCCAATTAACCCTCTGTTGCCTTTCTTATGACTTTATGGGTACAGTTCCAGATGAGACATCTGAAGAGCAGAACACCGTCATGATACCCCACTCCTGGACTATCCTCAGAGAGGAATATATACCTATCATTTTCTTTGACATTTATGCCAAGTGTTGCTCACCAAACAGTCCCATGCCTGACTGTGCCTCTATCTGTCTTCAGTGTCTCATCCTCTACTCTTCAGTCAGAAGATCCTTCTTTCCTACCCAGGCTGACAGAACCCGTTCTTTGGCAGCTCTTATGACCGGTACTGCTGGGATCATTCAAACCAAGATGGGTCTTGAACACGAGAGTTGCTATCACGAACTTTGCAGACTTTTGGGAAAGCTCAACACAGCGAATCAGCTCACAGAGCTCTCGTCATCTGAGGCATTTGGACTTTGGATAGACCAAGTTTACAACTTTACTATTAAGTCATTGGAGGAGTGGAGCGTCTTGCCAAACAGTAAACACTATCTCCTTGGTCTTTGGAGTCATATGGTCATTCCTCTGCTTTACCAAGGGGACAGGGCTCCACAGAACCTTGAAAAATATATCCACCATATAACTGTTACTTTCATCCAAAGTAGGATGAAGCTGGCTGAAGCCATTGCCCGTGGCTCTGATGTAGAAGATCCTCTAGAAAGTGAAGTTGCAAGAACTGAACAACTAGACGTTCTTTCTCAGCTTAGCAGATGTCAGTACCATGAAACAGCGGAATTCATTGTCCAACTATTCGAACAAGTCACTGATGCAGCTAAAAATGGTAGCATCTCTCAAGATTGCTTTATTTCTCAGATCACTTGGTGTGTTTATATGCACGGAGCTTTAATAGGGGGACACAGCATTAAGCTCAGAAGACCCTTACTTCCTGGCTCCTCTTCCTCATCGGGAACTAGTAGACCTGATCAAAAGAACCAGGTCTCACATCATGTTCTAAATGGGAAACTTGCCAGACTAGTATTTGGGCTTTCCCAACAAACTGACCAACTTGCTGAAACTCCTGAATCTCTGGAGCTAGCCTATCTCTATTTCCTGGAGCAGTTTAGAAAAGTTTGCCTTGGAGACTACGCCAAACAATTCATACAACCTGAGACTGAGGATGCCACTTTGGCATCTATACTCGGCGTCCAATCCGATGATGATGTATTAAGCCTTATAATCAGCAAAATTGGGAGAAATCTACAGACCAAAAGTAACATGGAGAGTGTAGTTCAAAAGACCCTTTCTCTCTTCCACGAATTAGTGGCCGGAATCTCAATTGTCCAGTACACAGACAGGACCACCCATTTGATAGTCTCAGGACGACTTCTCCTCAAAAATGAGCAGGTGAAGAAGATACTCTGCAACCATGCCTCTCCTGAGTTTGCTTTCCTGAATAATCCAAGGTATGGAAGACACAGGACTTCTTACTATTTCACACTTTCAAAGCTTTTATTCTTGGACTCTAAGGAGGAGGAACCTGGAACACAGCCTATTACAACTTTTGAAGACTTCATGAAACCTTTAGAGAAGGTCTTTACTTTAATATGGGACGAAATTATTCTTGGAAATAACTCTTCTTCCAATGGCGGTGGATATAACATTGTACAGTTCAAAATTCCATTGATGGCCCTGGCCAGAGACTTAAGAGGCATTTGCATGGCCTGTGTAGGCGCTGAAAGCTATAACCAATTATTCAATTGGCTGGTTAACCGACCCAAACAACTCGGACAAAGCAGAATTCACCTTTTCACTTGGGCAGCAGACAAACTTTGGGAGGATTCTGATGTAATGAATGCTCTACTTAAGTTTATGTCTGAGTTTGTAGACAACAAATCTCAGAGAATCAACTTTGACAAAGCTTCTCCAAATGGTATTCTCTTATTTAAAGAAGTCTCTTCTTTAATTTGTACATATGGTTCTAGAATCCTCTCTAAGCCTGACTCCTCCTTCCAAAACATTTATAAAGAAAAGTACAAGGGCCTGGCTACAACGCTGGCTATGCTCTGTCATGCTTTATCTGGAGGATATACTAATTTTGGTGTCTTTGAGGTTTACCAAGACCAGTCTTTAGAAAATGCTCTTCAGCTTGCCTGTAGAATGTGCCTGGTAATTCCTGAACATGATCTACAGTCTTATATCAAGAGTCTGAAATCCTATTACGAATTCTTGGAACTGGCCACCAGGTGCTTCATGTCTACCTTCATAACTTCCTTAGAGCCACAGAACCTTGCAACCATCTGTTACTCAATTGAATCGGGTCTGTGTGCCGTTGACAATGTAGTCCTCCTTGCTTGCTGTGCGACTCTGGATCACTTCGTTAGCTTCATTTTCACGACTCTTGAGAAAGAAAGGATAGTCCTTCCAAACGGAATGGGAATTTCGAGAAATAACGATAACATGAATTGTGAGCTTGGTGGAGGTCTCCAGGGAGGAGGAAGTCCTTCCTTAAGCTCTCAAGGCTCCACCCCTGAAGGAAAAGCTGTATATAGGTTTATGACTGAACAACCCAATGCTTTGATTAGAATAATGCAACTAATGTTTAATTTAATCACCACCGGTGATCTCAGTACTTGGACTTTCTCAAGGTCTCTGTTAGGAATGATTCTTCTGTTCAGTAATGAATTCCAAAATATCCAACAGCAGCTTATTAACCAACAAATTGACGAGAAGAAGGCCAAGTACCAAGCCCTCATCCAAGACCTTCTTAAAGGGACGGATGGAACCCTTTCAGCAGTTAGCAAAGACGCTTTTACAAGAAATCTCCATTTCTTTGCCCACTCAATTCGTTCCAATTCTCTTTAAAACACAGCCTAGGAATTTTTGCTTTGATTTGCAATACTTGTATGTATGCATGCACATGTATTCCTCATATTTACATAATGGGCGGGAAACTACGTCGAGTCGGAATTAGTAGAGTAGGGAAAAATAAAATAAAATCCTGTGAGCAAGTATTATTTTAATTTTCTAAGGCTTAAAAAAAAAATTAGAAAAGTAATAGGAAATATTAAAGGCTATTTTGTATTTTTTTGATTTTAGGTTGTTTGATAGATTGGGGAAGGATGTCGATGGTCCAGAGTAAATCAAATCGTAAGAGAGTGCTTCTCAAAGTGATTATTTTGGGAGATAGTGGTGTTGGGAAGACTTCTTTAATGAACCAATATGTAAATAGTAAATTTTCGACTCAGTACAAGGCCACAATTGGGGCAGATTTTCTGACAAAAGACATAATAATCGACAATAAACTTGTGACTTTGCAGGTAAGTGAATAAGAAGCGAGCTGTGATCAGAAAATGAGACTTCAAAAAGAGAACTAGATAAAAGAGGCTAATGAGTTAGATTTGTGATGATGAATAATAGGATTTTTGGGTCAAATATTCTACAGATTGGAGTCTCTGGCGCATGCTTTTTAATATATGTACTATATATATTTAAAGAATATAGCTAGTTGATGATCTTCAGCTCGTGGATGATTATTAATTGATTGATTAACTCTGAATATTGAATAATGAATTTGAATTAATTTTTCTTTTAGATCTGGGATACAGCTGGCCAAGAAAGATTTCAATCTTTAGGAGTAGCTTTTTATAGAGGAGCGGATTGTTGTGCATTAGTTTATGACATGACAAATCCAAAGTCCTTTGAAGGCCTGGATGCTTGGAGAGAAGAGTTTTTAATTCAAGCAACTCCAAAAGATCCAAATTCTTTTCCTTTTGTTGTGTTGGGGAATAAGTTGGATCTTGATCAGAAATCTAGAAAAGTTAGCTCCCAAAAAGCTTCAGCATGGTGCAAATCCAAAAACATTGAATATTTTGAAACCTCTGCAAAAAACGCAACCAATGTAGATGCTGCATTTGAGGAAATTGGTCGCAGAGCACTTTATAGAGAAACATCTGAAGATCAAGTTTACATTCCAGAGCCATTAACTCTTAATAATAATAACCAACAACACCAAGAAATCGGATTTGGGGGTTGTTCTTGCTAGATAATTCATAAGACCAAATATTTGGTAAGAAAAGGAGAGAAAAGAAATACTAGTTTTTTTCTTTGCTTTATCAATCCATCCACCCAACCTTTAATTCCACTTAGTCAATCGGGTCAATGATTCCTCCATCTGAAAGCTGAATTACGCACTCAGACTCTGGTAGATGCGGAGAGCCATAAACTTTGCATACTCTTTGTTCGCCCTTACCTTTTCTTAAACTAAGCCTTACATGTGAGGCATGACCAATTACATGCCCGCCGACAGGCTTTGCAACATTTGGCATAAAGCTCATCCCTCCTGCAGGATCTGCCATGACATGATTTGTCATTACTATCGCAATATTAAATTGATCGGCCAATTTATTCAGCTTACTTAATGTTTTATTCAAAATTTGTTGCCTTTCTGCTAACTCCCCTCTTCCCGAAAATTCAGTTCTGAATAGTGCGATAATAGAATCTACAATTAAGAGTGCGAACTTTTCCTCTATCATTTTTCCTGCTGCTGCGCTAATCAGCTGATTCAAATGCTCATGAGTGTATGCTCTCGCATACATAATATTGTCCAAAGCAGCATCACCTTGCACGCCAAATCTTTCTGCTATCTTCACAATTCTTTCTGGCCTGAAAGTACCCTCAGTATCGATAAAACAAACCTTTCCATTACCTCCGTTCATTTCCAAAGGAAGCTGTGCGGCCACACATAGTGTATGGCAAATCTGAGTTTTTCCACATCTGTTCTCACCAAAAATTTCTGTAATACACATACTTTCAAATCCACCCATCAACATCTTATCAAACTGTTCACTTCCTGTTGTGATTCTCAAAATATTTTGTCTTCTGCTCATTACCTCACTACCAGACTGAAAACTTGATGACTGATCCAACTTTTGTGCTGCCTCCACAATTTTCTCAACTTTTGCTTCAGAAAGACCTTTAATGTTACATAATTCCTTTTTGGTTGCCTGGATTATACTTAATACAGTGCATAATCCTGCAGTTTTCAACTTATTAATATCTGCAACATTTATTCCTGCTGACTGTAATTTGTCAATCTCTACAAATGCCTCTTCTTCGGATCCTTTAGCAGAGACTTGTTTAGCTACTGATTTTGACTGACAAAAAGTACTCATTTTAATTTAACTATTTTCCCTCCTTTTTTCAATTAATTAATTTAATTGAAAACCTTTTAATTAACGCATGCACTGCCATCCATTTATCAAGAAATCCTCGGATTATAGTCAAATTTGCATGCAGTGATTTATGCAATACCGGTAAAACAACTATTTTATTAGGATGGCGAAAAATTGTATATGTATTAACTGTAATTCATACTAATTATTAATCAAACCAAATATAAATGATTCTTAAGTAAAAAAAATAATAACCCATATTAGAATTTTTTGATTATATGTTTCAGGTTATAAATCCCTTAATCTTGTTTAAAAAACCTAAATATAACCTTAAAATCTTCGTTCTCAAACAATCCAATTAACATGTTTCAATGCAAAATTATAGTACTTGCGCGCGCTGACCATTTTGTCCCCCCCTCCCCTTCTTAATGTATAGTTTTTACATTAAGTTCTAAAATAAGCTGCTTACCCTCTTGGAAAGAAATCCCCCTGATTCTTATATATTTCTCAAAACCGCAATTTAAATTTCTTTGATTGTCTTTATATATACTGCTAAAATGGACCAACACCAACTTATGCTCCAAAACAGAATTGTTAAGACAACCTTTGCCATTAAGTCCAAAGAAGCAGCAATTCAGTCTGTAAGTATAATCGATTGTTTTATATTTTAGAACCGCTTATTCTAAATATTATTTGAAATATGAACTTTTTTTGCGTCGAATCTTTTTAGATTGATAGTATTAAAGATGACGAAAAAGTCTACAGAGAAGTTTCTAGGATGTAAGTTAGTTATCAAGGCACTCAAACAAATCAATTTTACTTTGAGATCCTTTAATCAACTATATATAGGTTTATCCTAAATACTAAATCTTCTCTCAAATCACAACTTCAACAGGAATTAGACGATTTAAAAACTCTTTTAAATAAAATGAAGGTAAGTTTTACACGAAAAAAAATACAAATATTTGAATATTCCCTTAATAAAATTCCCGCCTCCCACACTCCAATTCAATGTTATTTTCATAATCTTATTATTAGAACCTAGAAGCATCCTGGGAATCCAAACAAAAACAGGCAAACCAATGAAATATTCCATAACACTCTAAAAATATATATAAATTTAATTCATTCTTTTCTTTTAATTTTCTTTTTTTTTAAGTTTTCTCACCAAAAGCCACCCCTTTCACTCCTACATGCATTTCTAGCCAACTAATTCGGAAATTGAAAAGACTCGTATTTACAAAAATGCATGCAAACGAAAATCCTAAGGTTAAGATATGGGTAAAATCGAAGGGAGAAATAAAAGAAAGCTCTGCCAAGAAAATGTAAAATTAACAACTAATTTACGAACAAAAGAAAATTTGAACCATTAAGCAATACTCACTTCGGCAAATAACACCATAGTTGAAAACCTCACCTAACAAAAGTCAATTAAATAATTGTAATTAACTTACTCCACCATTTCTTTAATGGTGCACAGTCTGCATTCCAGCTCCAAGAACTCAAATAATCGGTACAATTCACTTTATTAAACTTTTTGCAAAGATAATTTCGCACAATGGTTTGGGTAACTCAAAAATAAAATATCCTCTTTCTATAAGCTATTAAAATGTTCATACCAAAACCAAAATACCAGCAAATTGTACTGTTCAATCCAAATTTCTTGCTCAAAATGGGTCACATGTAATAGATATAAATAAATAAATAAATATATATATATATATATACAATATTTATTTAAATATTTATCTGTAAAACCCTAAGAAAACTATGATCCCCAAAATGTTCGCTCTTGTAATTAGTTATTAAATTCAGGCTCTTAACTAATTCATAATTAAATACCTCCTATTTAAGCAGAAGCAGAAGTGTACTTGGTTACAGCCTTAGTTCCTTCAGAGACTGCATGCTTTGAGAGCTCACCTGGAAGCATTAGTCTAACTGAAGTTTGAACCTCTCTGCTAGATAAAGTTCTCTTCTTGTTATACTGAACCAACTTGACAGCTTCAGCTGAGAGACGGTCAAAAACATCGTTTATAAAAGAGTTCATGATACTCATACTCTTCTTACTAATACCAGTCTCTGGGTGAACTTGCTTTAAAACCTTGTAGATGTAAAGAGCAAAAGATTCTGTTCTCTTACGTCTCTTTCTCTTACCACCATCTGCTGGAGACTTTCCAGCAGTCTTCTTTGCTGCTTGTTGCTTCTGAGCTGGCCCCTTAATTGATTTACCACTTTTTCCTGACATGGCGATTTTATTATTCAAATAGAAAAATTCTTAATATCTAAATTTTCCTATTTTATTAAGTGGAAAGCGCGGGCAAACTGCCTATTATATTAAAATACCCACATGGAATTGCTCATTTACTCGTTTTTATGTGTTTTGTCTATTTTATGCTATTCATGCAAAATAATGGGTTTAAAGATGAATTTGTTATTTTTCTTTTTTGATATACTCATATTTTAAGGCACAATTTTATATTATTAGCTATTTGCTTTTGGAACTAAATTGTTTAATTTTTCCAGCTAATCTTTATTTAGAATACGATTTTATGTAATATTAGTTATATTAAGTAGTCCACTTAACTTATGTAATTGTAAAAGTTTTCCCGCATATTTGCATGCATGCAGGTAATTCCAATATAGACAATAGATATATATTAAAGACCTTCGTTAATAATATTAAAATTTGTTCTTTGAATTGGACTACCAATTTAGCTAAGTTCTTAAATAGCCTAAACACTATAATCGATATTATTATGTGAATCAACTCTCTTTTTTATCTTACTGTAATTAATCATTATTATTACTGTCATTATTACTACATACTTATTTATTAAAAGATATGCATGGTATCTTAGCACTAGAACTATGATTTATATGGTGGTTGTGTGACTTGTTAAGTTGTACAAATTTAATTACATACATTATTACTGTATACGAAACTAGAATACAAATCAATAAAAGCTAAGATCGAACTAAAAAGTGGGTATCTTGACTTATCTGCAAGAAAGGCTGAAGAAAATATTCAATTATCTAAATAGAACGGAATTAACCATCTTGCTATTTATATATTCTTATTTTTAGTTCAATTATATTTAATTTTTAAACTTAAAATCTTGCGGTATATCTTTTTTCATTTTAATTAAAATAATTAACCAAATAAAAAAAGAATAGCTCAAATATTTTTTTAAATAGAGATATTTAATATTGTGAACATATTATTAATTACATTATACTTAAATCAAATTCAGAAATTGTAATAACAACGGGTTTTCAATATGGATCCAAAGAGAATTCAAAAAGGAACGGAAAAAACACTCTCTAGTATTGGAAAAATTGGGGGAGAATTTAAAGTAGAGAAGAAACCAGAATTCATAAACAGGCGTCTTTCACTATTCAAAACCTTACATGAAAAGCAGATTGCATTACTCCAAGAAAAGGCCTCAAAAAACGAGCCAATTAAAATCACTTTGCAAAATGGAGACCAGAGAGATGGGATCAAGTTCCAAACATCTCCTATGGAAATTGCGAGGCAAATTTCAAAGAAATTAGCAGAAAATTGTATTGTGGCAAAAATCAGATATAGTAAATCATCATACATTGAAGATGATGAAGTTCGTGGTATTGAAGATGACGAAGCATGTTGCCAATTACATGAAGATGAAGATCAAGCCAATGGGTGGAGACTTTGGGATGCAACCAGACCATTAGAAGGAGATTGTGAATTGGAGATCTTAACATTTGATTCTATTGAGGGTAGCGGTGTTTTCTGGCATTCCTCATCCCATATTCTTGGTCAATGTTTAGAAAATGAATATGGAGCACAAGTTACTATTGGACCAGCTTTAAACCCAGGATTTTATTATGATTCATATATGGGAACCCATAGTGTTAGTAATACTGAGTATTCTGATATAGAAAATTGTGCCAAAACTATTATTTCTGAAAAACAGCCATTTGAAAGATTACAATGTAATAAAGAAGAAGCACTCGAACTTTTTAAAGATAATCCATTTAAAGTTTCATTGATCATGTCAAAAATTCCTGATGGGTCCCAAACGACAATATATAGATGTGGGTCATTCGTAGACTTATGTACAGGCCCTCACATTCCTCACACAGGAATTGTTAAGGCTTTTAAAGTTACAAAAAACTCTGGTTGTAACTGGCTTGGTGATACTGGAAATGACGCATTACAAAGAGTTTATGGTGTATCTTTCCCAGACAAGAAACGCTTAGATGAGTACTTGCATATGCTGGAAGAAGCCAAAAAGCGTGATCACAGATTACTAGGATTAAACTTACAATTATTCTTTTTTGACACAAATGTATCACCAGGATCGTGTTTCTGGCTCCCAGCAGGAGCAAGGTTTTACAATAAATTAATCGAATTTATTAGAAGTGAATATAGAATTCGTGATTTTACTGAAGTTATTACTCCAAACATTTTTAGTTGTGATCTTTGGAAGACTTCAGGGCACTACTTTGCTTACAAAGAAAATATGTTCATTTTTGATGTAGAAGAAAAGGAATGGGGTCTGAAGCCAATGAATTGTCCAGGCCATTGTATTATGTTCAAGCATCTAAATCCATCATATAGACAACTGCCCATTAGACTATCTGATTTTGGGGTTCTTCATAGAAATGAGTTTTCAGGTGCTTTAAATGGTTTAACTAGAGTTAGAAGATTCCAACAAGATGATGCACATATTTTCTGTACTTCAGAACAAATACAAGAGGAAGTATTTAAAGCTCTGGATTTCTTGTTCTTTATATATGGTCAATTAGGATTCACATTTGACCTTTTCCTTAGTACAATGCCAAAAGAACACTTGGGGACTGAAGAACAATGGAGAGAGGCAGAAAATGCCTTAAAGTCTGCTTTGGAAAAAACTGGGAAAAAATGGAAACTAAACCCCGGAGATGGAGCATTCTATGGTCCAAAAATTGATATTATGCTTTGGGATGCTTTGAAAAGACAACATCAATGCGGAACTATCCAACTTGACTTCCAGCTCCCAATTAGATTCAATCTTCAATACAGAACTGACGAAAATATCTCAGAAGAATCCTCCAATCAGGAATTGTCCCACCAAAATGCTGATCAGAATGCCCAGAACTCCCTCAAACAAGGTTATAAAAGACCAGTAATTATTCACAGAGCAATTCTTGGTAGCGTAGAAAGAATGTCTGCTGTTATTCTTGAGCATACTGGAGGGAAATTACCTTTCTGGCTTTCTCCGAGACAAGCCATCGTTCTTTCGATTTCAGAAAAAACTGTTGAATATGCCAAAACTGTTGAAAAAGAACTTAACAGACGAGGTTTTGACGTTTCTGGAGACTATAGTGCTTCCACCATCAATAAAAAAATTAGAGAATCTCAACTTTTACAGTGGAACTACATGCTTGTTATTGGTGAGAATGAGGCTAGAGACAAAAAAGTTACTCTCCGTTGTAGGGATGTCAGTGTTCCTCAAGAAGTTCTTACTTTGGATGAAGTTATTCTTAAATTCTCTTCTATGGGATTCCCATCAAGTATTGATTCAAACCTTTCTGGTTAATAAACCAAGCACCTGTTTCTTTTTCTTAAAATAAAATGAAGCTCTCATATCCATATTCTGGAGTTTCTCATTTTACAATCAAAATTTTGAATCATTTTTTTTAGTATGTTTCCAACTTAGCTTCGTCCCAGTCGTCTATTTAATAAAATTTATCTCTTCCCCTCTACCTCCCCCAATATCTTAATCTGACCCATTTTCTTGTCTCATTCTTAATTCTGATCTTCCGTTACTCGTCTTTAATCCCTTTATTTAAACCATATTTTGTTATTCATTTATATCTCTGTCACACACACACCCCTGTATCTGTTTTGCAAAACTGCATGTTATTAATGCATGCAATTTGCGTCCACATGACGCTTGCAAGTTACGTTGCAATCCGTCATGTCTATAATGACAAAAATGAATAATTTAATTAAACAAAAAGATTGAATGTAATTAATGAAAAATTAATGGAGAAAAGGAGTTATAAAGAACAAAATTTGGGATTCAAATATATTTTAAATTTTTTTTAAAGAAAAATCATTCAAAGGATACGCATTTCAAGCAAAATAACCCAATTTAATTGTGAAAATCTATTCTTCGATTATTGATTTATTAGGTTTTGTAAATTTCCTTAACCATGCCCTCGAAAAAACAAGATAGAGGTGGTTGTGTGCTTGTATTCGAAAAATTTCTCGATGGAATTGGAGTAAGTTTCAGATAATTCGTAAAACTTCCGTTTTGTATAATAATACTCTTCATAAAACATTTAACTTCCTATCGTTTTGAAAAAAACTTTCCGATATTTCAAATATTAATCATTTTTTCACAGTTTTTAGGCGGACAATTAAGAACAGCATATTTAGCCACTTCTGAAGTTGTGAAAGAATCCATGTATCCAATGAAGGAAAATTGTATTAAACGATATTCTGGAGCAAATCCAACATGGCAAAATATTGGAAGTAAGACAAGTGCCCCAAATAACAATCCCATTACTTTCACCGATACCAAAGGTACTGAAACTATTTTTTCGCAACCAAGTTATAGATCAGGTTTATAATTTTTTAGCTTATTATGACGGATTCTTAGTTTAAAATAACATGAAATTGCTTAATTTTGACATTTTTTTCAAAATTAGTAGTTATTTATTAATTCTATTCCTCATACTTTAGTTCTTTTGTTGTTACTTTCTTTCTCCCCTTCCTACCATGAGAACAGTAATCTCTTATAGTACATTCCTGACACTATTTTAGTCATTTTAGTTTTGTTTTCAAAGAGTTTCTTTGCAAAATTTTAATTATCTTACCTTTGGATTTATTGGTTTACAAATTGTTTGACCATAACCAACAAAAACTTTGTTAATTTCATCCCAGTAGACTCTAAAAATGTATATTTATATTTCAAAAAAAGTTAAAATCTGGGAAATAATAATACTCAATAAATTCAACTCACCTTGGAAGCATCTTCTCCATCTCTTTGGACGTTTCAACAGGATTTTTTGTTTTTACCCAACCAATTCTATTGAAAATACGATGCATATGGGTATCCACGGAAATTCCGACAACTATTCCAAATCCCTGATAATTAATTTTAATCAAGTTATTTATTTAAATATTAAGGTACCTATGATCAATATTTTCCCTTTTTAGTATAAATGAACTTACAATCTGCAAAATTAAATTTGCCATTTTTGGCCCAATACCTGGTAACATTACAAGTTGTTCATATTTGTCAGGAACTTTACCTGAATAATTTTCTATAATGATTCTAGAAATTTCTTTCAAATTCTTTGCTTTAGTGTTGTAAAATCCAACTCCATATAACATATCTCTTAGTGATTCAAATGATTGCTTGTTAATAAATTCAGGACTTAGACCATTCTTAATTAATCTATTCATACAAGCAGCAGTTACTTCATCTTTTGTTTGGCTAGAAAGAAATGCTGCCACTAAGACATGAAATCTCTATATTTGTGAGTTAAGAAAGTCCTTTTTTGAAATTTTGACTATTTTTACCATCCACTTACCCATAAGTTATCTGGCAAATTCTTGTTTGCTGAATTTATGAAAAGAGTTGAAAAACTACCAAGTAAATACATTTATTGTGTCTACTTACCAAAAGAGCAACAACCAAAATCATCAACAGGTGCCAAGTTCTGAAGATGTTATTCCAAGTTAATATATTAGATTAAAAAAATTTGTATTAAATTACCTTCTCTCTGAATGCGTTGACTTCTGTTTAAAAGCATTAGTTAATTTATACAAAATTCACGTATTCTTTTGTACAACTTTACCTTTCCAAATGATATCGAAATGCTGAAGAGGAAGACTTTCTAAGTTTTCCTTTTTAATTTTTCTAACCATCAATCTTTTTTTTGTAACAACCCTGAAAACAGTATAATTTGTTGAAAAAAAAAACGATAAATGACGTTAGGAGTGATTTGGAAACATGTTTCAAATTCATTTATTAAAAGCGCCACATGTAAGTTTATATTATATATATATATATATTTAGTATTAACCATGGTCTATTTATTTGTATCTAAGAATTAGTATGTATATTGGTTCTGATAATTCCCAATTTTGTACTCTTATTCTGAGATTCTATATTAAACTTTTTTATACAGAGATCCAGAATGTTTTGAATTGAACCATAAATGGATAAGAAATGATTTTATGCCATAACCTTGTCGGTTTCAAATCTGTGAGTGCATTGAGTCTGACAAGCCTTTACAACCATTCCTTGAATGTCCTTCTTTAAACCATCGAATGTGCTATTACAACATAAATCACAAACCTCAACTTTGCATTTCTGGTCGGTCTCTGTACAGACATCAAAGGCTTTACTAGTTCCAGAAATACAATTGGCGAGCTGATTAATATATTCCTTAGTTGAATTTTCAGCAGAACTATCATTAACTGAGCAGGTACTCTTACATGAATTATAGTATGTTCTGTCGGTAATCATATTTGTATAGTAGTCACAACATTCAGTACAGTAGTTATTAGTACATGTAATTGCTTTTTGCGAATTGGCTCCAAACATGGTCTCACAATGTTGTTCTCTCTGTAGGATGTGGACGTTTAAAGTACAGGGCTTGTAAATAGAGTTAGTTTCTTTATTTGAGGTCTGAATATCTTTGTCTGAATCAACTCTAAATGGCTCAAGGGAAATCTTATCAAAGGCTGTTTCAGAGCAGTTTTTGACACTCAATCCGACTCTACCATGGGTTATTTGAGTGTCTTTTTCAGTAACCTTAATAATTTCCTTAGTGCTTCCATTATATTTAGTTGAGTAGACAAAGATTGTTGATCCTTCAAAGTTCACAAGTATACGATTCCATTCATCTTGTGTAAAACCAAACATAGACTTCTTTAAAAGAGTGGTTTTACCCTTAATTTTTTTGATCAAAGTAGTAGATAAATTTGAAACAACAACCTGATAATAATTATCTTTATCGGTATATCTGAAAATACCCGAAACCTTTCCATTTGAACAGGGTGGATTAAAGTCAAAGGAGAAATAACCATTTTTACAAGTATGGGTTTCCTTTAAAAGGACTCTAGATTCACCAGAAGTTTTGACAACCATTGCATTTGTTCTTCCCTTATATTCTTTGACATACTCCCAGTTACTATTATCGTTGCCATTAACAACATCATAAGTTGTCTCAAATGTGGATAAATAACATTGTTTATAATTGGAACATCTTGGTGACCTTGGAGCTGGTGACATGAAGAATTTCTTGCAAGACTTGGCTTTAATTGAAATATTATCAAAATAGACACCTCCAACAACTCCATTAGAATAGAACCCAACAGTACCTGAAAGTAAACCTTCATCAACAACTTGTAGTTTAATATTTTCAACTTTAGAGTAGATTCTATCTCTTTGGACAGTTATTTCTATCTTGTGGAATATTCCCTTCTGAAGCTTAAAGCCTTCTCTTGTATCCAAAATATAAGTAATACCTTCTTTAAGTCTTAATAATCTAATTCTCTCTTCTTCTTGATTAAATTCAAGCAAATAGTAATTGGACAAATCTCTTACTCTAAATGAAATACCAAAAATACCTGAAATTGGTGGGTAAACTTCAGCTGTTAAGGTGAAATCAAAAAATCTTCTATTCTTAATTTGTGCAAAGGTTCCCCTTGGTGAATGCTCGGATGAACCGGTTATTGGAGAATTCTGTCCAAGCAATTTAGTTCTCCCGTCAATTGGAGTGGTTGTGTAACCCCAATCACTTGGTCCTCTTTGGGTTCTCGGCATATCATATACAGAAAATGTTTGTTCAAATGGCATTTTTTGTGTATTTAATGTGAAACTTTGGAATCCAGTCTGTGAAGAATGAATTGCTTCAACATCATCCAACTTATCTAGTAACTCTTTAGTTACTGATTTATAAACACCGGTAACTTTTAATAATTCATTTGCAATATTATCAACATCATCAACAACATCTAATATCTTTGGTGATTGTGACTTTGTTAACATTTCTGCTGGTTTTAATCTTCTTCTCATCTCCAGAACTGCAATCTTTGACTCCTCTTGTGTTGCCATACTTAATGATTGGTCAACACCATATGACTCATCAATGTATTGTGAAGCTTCTTTCAAGATTTTACTAATAAAAGGCTCGTTCATAGCTCCTTCCCATAAATCGCTCTTGATTGTTGGATTAGCTTTAACTGTAGTTTGTAGTTTTTGCCCTTGTTTTACTGACTGGTTCAAAGTAGTAGCAGTAGAAAGCTGGCGGAAATCATTTGATCCTTTTGAAATTACATCAATTGGGCATTCCTTTGAAATAGTACTAATTCTTAAACTTCTTGTTGGAATACCTGACAATTTTTCAGATTCGATTTCATTTTTTATTGATCCTTCGTATGAATTCTTTGGACCTTCCAAAGCAACATTTAGCATTCCTCCGGTATTTGCAGAAATTACTCCAACGTGTAGAGCAGCTCTACAAATTGAACTCTTTTCTGAGTATACTCCGTCGCTTCCGTATACTTTAGTTTTATACTCTCCACAACCTGGTGGACATTGTACAACAATATTTGTATTAATTGGTCCCTCGAAAATTGGATTTTTGTAAGCAACAGTATCACAATCAATATCAACATGATTGATTTGCTTTTGACTTAATACCACATTTGTAGAACAAACAATTCCAACAATATTTGAGTTCCTTAAATTGAAGAAGCTTAGATAATTTTCACTGAATCCAAGTCCTACTGCATCATTTCCAAACAATGTTGTAGCAGTTGACTCAGGAGATGCCAAAGAAAGAACTAAGCTGGACAAATCACTTGTTCCATCTCTTAAATCTTGATAAGATCCTGTACATTTTCCGTCTAAACAACCATAGTCAACGGCTAATGGAATACCGCTTCCTTCAGATAATTTGAATCCCATAATTCCTAATGCTGTTTTAATTCCAGATATCTGCTCAATATTTCTAAGTACTAATGGTTCCATTCCAACATTTGCGCAGTACCTTCTTATATCTGAGACAGATGTGACAGGAATATATGATCCTGGATTTCCACCATCATTCCATATATAATATGATGCTCCAAACTTGATATCACACCATACTCGAATAGGTTCGGGGGCACATCTTGGTAATATCCAGTAGAAACCAGAAATCGAATTTGGATTTCTTGAAGCAATTGCAAAACAATCTTCTGCTGGAAGAGTTGACTCATCACCCGGTTCACGTCCAATTCCGACAGAAATTTCATTCTTAACAGCTCCCAAACCTTCCTTTAATTGTTTAGCATTTGAAATGTAATCCTCTAAACGAGACACATACTCTTTCTTGTCAGTAAAACACTCATCAATTGACGGAAGTAGAGTATTAACTCTATCATTTAACACTCCGAGATTTCTTGTTCTAGACATAACATCTCTAGCTGCACTCTTAACCATTTCTGATGCCTTGGAATTAAAATCTTCAACATAATTCAAGAAGTATTTATCTCTAGCATCTTTTGACATAGCTGCATCTCTGCAGAATGAAACAACTGATCTTAAATTATTTGTAACTAATTCAATTTCTCTAATACCATACAAATATTTGTTTGAGTATTTACCGTATCTTGGATGTGGCTTTTCCATAACGATTTCAATGAAATCTGAAATTACTCCATTCATCTCATTCAATGTTGTATTTGATGGATTTCCTTCAACTCTTGCAATTTGTTTTATTTCACCATCAACCTTTGCTGCGATAGAGTAAGTGAATGGTGGAAATTCCCAATCTATTCTCAAATTCTTAAGTTGATAGGTTGTATTAGCTGACAAGTTAATAGAAACTTTATGCTCACCAGCACTTTCAAAAGCTGCAGATGCCCAGTATGTTGCTATATCGCTATCTATTGCTGCGCCTACTGTATGTAATGCATCCATTGTGGATGAGGCTGTTCCATTTAATTCTAGCTTTGTTGTTCCAACTCCAACACCAGCTTTGTTTATTTGATTTACACATGCATTTGTTCCTTTAACCTGTAGTTGAGAATTATCATTAAATTCCCAAAATGATCGACCATCTTCAGCTTGTTCTGCAACATCACAATCTTGAATAAGTAAAGGAGATGAGCCACTAAAATCACCATTTGCTACAATTAGACATTTTGGAGGATTACTTGCTGCACTGATAATTTGTCCATTTGGACCCATTTTCCATAATTCCCTTCCATCTCCCGCAGAAATACCATATACACATGAATCCAAGTCTACTTGAGCAAACTCCTCCTGAACTTTACCTCCAATTACTTGTAAACAGTTGTCCCCTCTCTCATCTGTAATTCCAGAAATAATCATGGCTAATGGAGACCCTGATCCAAGGGCAACCAACTGTCTGATACCAACGTATTGGTTTGGCCTTGCCTTCATCTGAATTTTCACCGCTCTAACATCTCTTGAATGATCAAACATAAAGTCTTCAGTGAACTCTTTCTCGTTTTGAGTTGCTCTTCTGTTTGGTACGACAATTTCGTAATTAATTCCGTCTGGAGAAACTTGAATTTGAGTTTCTCTTGCGCTTGAACTCCAAACTATTTTCAAACCAATTGCTTTCGCTGTTGCTGAAATATAGGCTGTGTAAACAATCTGTTGTTCTGTTGAGAGACCATTTGCAGACCTCCACTCACTATTTCCCATATTCAATGCATTTGATGGGTCAAATTCTCCGTTAAAAGTGCTCCCCACCAAAGTTGAGCTAGAAGTTGCCTTCTTGAAGAAGTAGTAGTTTGATTCACCATCTTTTGCAGTTGTTATAAGAGAAATACTCAGAAAAGACAACAAAAATGAAATTGTCTTCCACCTCATCATAAACTAATTAATACTTCTCTTTTCTACTAAAATAATGATTTAAAATTACTTGTGTTAAGAACACAATAAAATTTTAAAAATCATTCAACTTTTTTTCAAGTTTTCAGTTAATAACTGTAACAATTTGTCCTTCTGAGTTTTATTTTCACAACGGTATAGGAAAACTGCGCATGCGCATGCAAACCCTCACCGGTACTAAAAATAATAAAAAACATTTTTTCAATTTTTATTTTACATGTAATATAGTAAAATTTATAATAATAGCTAAAACTCTAAAGTTATAATTTATTCATCAAAAAAGGATATTTGTGAATCTAAATATAATTTTTTTTTGATAAAGAAAACTTTAATTAAATTAAATTCGAATAATCATAAATCATCTTTCAAATCAATAATTAAATATTTTGCAGAATTTCTGTGCATTCAGCCTCTTTCTTGATTTCCTCGTATGAGTTTGTGTTAAAACTTTCATTATAAGCTCGTACCTCATTATCTCTATCAAAAAAGCTTCCTCTAGTCTGTTTCTTTTTAGGGCATCCGTCCATGCTTTTTGACCTTTTTCTTTCTTTCTTGCAACTATTCCTTTTCTTTTCATTCTTTGAATTAGATAATATTGGCTTTGTGTTTGCTTCAGATTCTTCTTTTTTATTATTCAAGATATTAGCTTCAATAGATTTTTTTAAAGCTTCCCTTTGAAATATGTGAAACCATAAAGCTCGATATTCCTCGTCCCTAGTACATCCAGGACAGTACCAAGTTTTTTGTGGTTCATTAACTATTTTTAAACATAGGAAATGGAACCAAACACCATAAATACACTGATTTCCAGATTCACATCTTATCATATTATCTAGTACAGGCTGTTTACAGAAACAGAATTTAGATGATTCATCAGAAATAGAATGGAAATCACTGGGCTCAATTTTTGGACTACCAGTTTGCACTGTGCTAATTTCTTCCTCAAGAACTTTTGCTTGAATACGTTTGCTTTTGCGGACTTTTAAAGAATTAGAATTTTTTTGCAGGTCATTAGACTTTCCAAAATTGTTATTTGAGTTTTCATTTGATAAATTAACCTTTTGAAGTTTCATAAATGCTTCACTAATATTGTTTCGAAGCATATTTGTCATTTCAAGTTCATCCTTTGCCCATTGCATCTCTATTGAAGCACAGTTTTCAATCATCATAGTAATATACCTCAAAATGCTGATATAGGATCTCAACTTATACTTTTTCTGTTCAACTGAATCGATTTCAGAAACCTCTTCAATACTAAATCCATGGTTTCTTTGTCTTTTGGAGTCCTTAGTTAAAACACATTCTTGAAATTGTTGTTCTAAATTCCACATAATCCTTGAAATGTCATCTTCGATATACTCAATACACAACTTTGTATTGTACTGAAGTCTTTGGCTTCTACAATTAGGAATATGAGAGTCAAAGAAATTGGCTCTCTGATTATTGTATTCCGAATTATCCAAATAATCAGGTGTAACATCTTCTTTCTCACTTTCCACTACATTTCCCGGAACAGTTTTAACTGAATTCAAAAAACTAGTCGATATGTCATTTGAGTAGAATTCTGTCTGGTAGTTTGGTTCTTTCTTTTCTTGGTCTTCTGGTGAATACCAATTTGTTGGGAATATATAAGGGTAGCTATGATCTTGATTCAATCCCGGTAAATCTGTGAAATCTCCCGGACGTCCCCAGGAATTATCCCAGTCGCTTTCATCGGAAGAAGTTGATAAGTCTAACATAAAAATACACTATTGTTCCATCACAAATTTTAAAATGAAAAAAAATTCGGAAATGGCGGGAAAGTTTTAAAATCATACTAAACATTTGTACATTTTGAAAATCTACATGTTTGTTTGCAACACCTAAAACCCCATTTTTTGGTCTCCAAATCATAAAAAGAGCCCCAAATTTGGGTGTGATTTGATATATATTCGTCTTCAACATAAATTGAGGACACAAACTTTTTTGTGGGTTTTGTATTCAAGCCACTTAAGTCGCCAACGACAGTTGGCCTTTCATTCAATTCTAACTTTGAAGTACTGGACCGACTATTTCCTTCATATCTTTTTGAAAATTCTTCTAACTTCTTGAGATTTTCGCTATCTTTGTTTGATATACTTGACTTATATAGCATTTCAGATCTGGTCGGCAATGCCTGTAAGTGAATGCTTTCTCCTTGTTTATATTTATTATATGCAAAAGCCTCCATAAGAAGTATCTTTGATACATCTCCAGAATTCCTTATTGCGTTATCCCCTCTATAAGTATTCCCAATATTTGAAGACTTATGAAGTGGGTCTTCTCTCATTGATCTACTTTTTGGATCATAAAAAGCAGAATTCAGATCCAAATTACGCAAGTACTTTGCAGTATCTTCTCTGATTCTCAAGTTCCTTATATTCGTCCTAGTCTTATCTGATGAAGTACCAAAAGTTGTTTCATCAAAGTCTCCTAGTTTTAGCTCATCCTTTTCTTGATATAATTCCTCATTTTTACCTGTAGGGTCATCCTTATTTTTTGACAAAGATTCTTCCACTTTTTTCGCCCTCTTTTCTCTTGCTAATTCTTCCACTGCCTCAAATTGCTCAATTATTGGCTTGTAGTCCTCAGGCCTAAATCCTTTCCATCTATCCCTCTTTTCATCCAGATTTTTTGTTTTTTTTACTTCTGGAATGATCTCGTCAGGACAAATATCCACATTACTCCACTTGGCCCCTATTTTTCTTGGACGTTCTAAACAATCACGTGCCTGGTGAGTCATCGAACCGCAATTTGTGCAAGCTCCTTTCCTATACTTGACATGAATCTCCCTAAGTACTCCTCTCTTCGTACCGCTATCCAAATCGCATCTCTCCTCATTAGTTTTAAGTCTTTGGTGTTCTAAGCTGCTTTCTTTCTGACTTACATACCAAGGAGCTTTTGCGATAAACTGTGGAATGTGAGGATTTAACACGTCATCTGATGTTGTTGCCGGAATTTTGTCATTGTCAATATCCTCCGAAACCAAGTATTCTCTTTCACCTAAGTTCATTGAATATTTCTAACCCCTTGCATTATTCTATTATTAATTTAACTCTTTGGCGCCAAAGTACACTGTCAGAAATCAAATAACATGCAGAGTCAAGTATAAGGCAGGATGGGGGGAAATCATTTTAAACTAATTAAAACTGAATTATAATACCTAAAGCTACTTATCATCTACTTTGGGCCACTCACTGAAGAGAACTTTGACAAAATAGTCTGGCCAAAGTGAAATACTAAGCCCAGAGATTAGGGTAATCCAAAGAAGAACGTTATTATATAAAGGGATCCAGAGCGTATAAACATCGCTTCCAATTGTAAAAGAAGCTGTACAAATAAAAAGAGTGCAAACCCAACTAAATAATGAGAATGCCACGGCAAAACCAAGTAAGTAGTGGATGTGGTCAGCCATTAATAATACCTTGACGTTTACAACTAAAATGACCAAATAGTAAATTGTAGCTCCTACTATAGACTGGTTTGAGCCGAACATATTTGTACTGTTCACTCCAAAGAGAATGTACGGGATTGTAAAGATAACGAAAATATGCCAGGCTGAGTCTAGTAAATAAATTAAGCAGATCTTCAAATTTAGAAACCTATTTTCGGAACCATATTTGTATAAGTGTGGTTTAGAAAGAGATTCTGATTTGGTAACATCAAAGTCAAATACTGAAACTACAATGATCGGAACTGAAGAAAGGATCACATTATATACTTGGTACCAATAGTCAAAATAAAGTCTAGTTCCACTCCAAAGAGTGAAAAACCCATAAATAAAGACGGGAATACTAACTGTCAGGTTCTTATAAAACATATATAAAGCAAGCTTGCATATCCTTCTATATGCAAGCCTTCCGTGGACAAGAAGTAACACCTTGAGGTCCTTAAAAGACGTGATTCCATAATCTGCAGTCAGAAATGCTTGGTTACCTTCAAGTCCTCTAATTCCTATTCCAATATTGGCTGTTTGAATCATATTGCAATCATTTGCTCCATCTCCCACTGCTAGAGTCACTTCATCCATATGTTTCCTCACAATTCTGACTATGTTTCCTTTTTGTGAAGGTGCAAATCTTGCAAAAATTACAGTATGGCATTTACAGCAGATTTGTACAAATAACTTTTCAATGGAACTTATGCTAGAGATTATATCTTCAAATCTTTTGCATTCAGAAGTAAAATCACTGTTTGCAAGTGATCCTGAGAAAATCTCTGCTAGAATTGCCCCATCAATGATAATTGAGAAGTTAGTCTCCTTCTCCGAGTTTGAACTACTGGGTTTAACTCTCCTTAAAAATCTTTCACTCTTATCCAATTCAAAATTTATCCCCACTGATTTGCTGATACTTAAAAGACTTTTTTTAATTTCAGATCTGTTAGAACATGTATTCTCTGTAAGTTCTAGAATTTCATATCCAGGAATTAGTAGTCCTGCTGAAGCAGCAATTTCCCTGGCAGTCTCAACCTTATCTCCAGTAAGCATCCAGATTTTGATTCCTGCATCTCTCAAGCATTTAATAGTTTCGGGTACCTCATCCTGTAGTCTGTCTTCTACTCCCGTTACACCTTGAAGTTTAAGATCTCTCTCAATCAAGGAGGCGGCTTCCTGTAGAGATGATTCTCTTCCTTCAACACTATTTATGGCTACTTGATATTTTTTGTTCCAATTAGCAAATTCCTCCTCTGTAATCTCCTTCTCAGTGATACAAAGGACTCTCAGAGCCTGATTAGCCATTTTGTTTCCAATATCCAGATCTTTCTGAAAGTTTTCAATATCTGACTGCAACAGCAAAGGAAGCATTGTAGAGTCTGCTCCTTTTGAAAAAACCATGATCCTTTCTCGGTAAAGTTCAGAGATAATACCAAAATCCTTATCGTTTTGTTTAGAGTTCAGTCTCTTTATTCTTACTACAACACTGCTTCGCTTTCTTTCACTGTTAAATGGAATCTTTGCAAGTACTTCCACATCCAAAAGTTCCCCAAAAGCGTCCAATATCATATGCTTAGTTTTTGGGTTTAAGCATAAAAGTGAAACCCCCAAGTACTGAGCTCCATAGCATAATGCGGCCTCGTCTGGGAATTGAGCTGAGTATAAAGGGAAATTAGAACTCATTTTTTGTCTGAAGTTAGAGCCGTTATTAGAACTGGATTTGGAACTTTGGCTCGAAAATGACTTAAGAGTTGTCCTAAAATTAGAACCAAGCCTAGATTTAAGCTTGGTATTGGTATTTGAAGTAATATTTAAGTTTGGTGTATTATTTGTAATTGAAATTGTATTCTCAGGAAAGAAAGCAGATTCTATCCTTCCTGATTTATATAACAAGTTATACATCTCACCCTGGTTTTCAATCATTATGGAGTTATTAATTGCAATATTAATCAGGAGACTTCCGATTTTAAGACTCTGCTCTGTCCTGGATCTGATATCCGAAAATATTTTCTTATCACTGATACTCACCTGAGGAATTACAAAATCCATACTGGGATCCTCATCCTTTGAAGAAGAGGTGTCAATTGAACCGTAGTGAACTCCTCCAACACCCAGAGACTTGAACTCCATAATATTTCTTGTAAGAGTTCCTGTCTTATCTGAAAATATATACCTAACTTGACCAAGATCTTCGTTTAAATCCGAGTTTCTAGCAACTACAAAAGCTTTCTTCTCTGGATCGTACATGGCTCTATCCCTGGATATGAACTGACCTTGTATTGCCTTTACAATCTTCATTGAAACCACTAAAGCAATTGGAATAATGTTTGCTAGTAAAACAATCCATGTGCAAAATCTGACCACTGGGACTAGAGAAATTGGAATGGCTTGGCCAGTGGCTCTATAAGACGTCTCATTAACATCGGAAACTCCGAGGTAAGAAAGTTTGTCAAACACTCCATCCGAGATATATTTGTAGGTTAGTAGAGAACCTGTCAAGCAAAGACAAAAAAGAATAACTAGTACCACCAAAACCATTCTGTTTGTAAATTTATCAACATTACTCATCTTTTTGCTAGGCTTCAAAGAGTTCATCTGAATCTTTGACTCATGTCCCGCATATACTATGCACCCTATGGCCCATTCTGTGGACCTTAGGATACATCCTCTTAGAACAATGTTGTCAACATTGATTGGGAATTGAGTAATGGTGTTTCCTTGGGTAACCAAGCCTTCGGAAATAGGAGGCAATCTTATTATTGCAGTGCCATCAAAATTATGCAAGTCCTTTCCAGGGGGTGAGCATTCTATTAAACCTTCCAAGTATCTTGCTCTCTTAATTACATCCTTAATATTATTTCCAAGCATTCTTGTTGACTCCTTGTGAGAAAACCTTCTTTTTAAATTGGACTCTCCATCCAAAGATGAAGTATCTATAAAAACGTCTCCATCCTCTGAAGAAGTTGAAAGAAGAACAATATCAGCAGGAATCGTCTCGTGGTTCCTCAGTATCACAATATCCCCGACTTTGAGCTCTCTGGAGGTCGACCTTTCTGATCCTTCGATATCCAAGAACCAGGATTTGTTTAAATCTGATGTCTCACTGGTGTCATTCTTAAAAGATATCACGTGTTTGAGAGAGGGGCTCTTGTTCTTGGGCTTATTTGCTTCTTCCAAGTCACAAGCTAAGGTCCTTCCATGAATATAATTAATAAATGGAAATCTCTTAATAACTATAACCTCTCTTTCATTTTCAATCTTGTCATTGTGGTGTCTGTTAAGATCTTCCCACCCATCCTTCACTGCTCCAACAAATAGAACGAATACTAAAGGAAATGCGAGTGTAGGTATTCCATTTGTTGACGAAATTGAAGGAAATATTTGAAGCAAAGAAATTACAAGAAAATAAAAGTTCACAGGTCTGCAAAACTGCTCAAAAAGGTATTTTGGTATGAAGTTCAATGCTGTGTATCTAGATGTTCTAATAAAATTCCCCGAAAAACTTCTAACTTGTCTGTTGTTAATTACAACTAGTCTTGGTCGGCTGCTCGTAATAACGTAAAACCAATGAATTTGTCCAAATTCAAGTCATTTAAATCAAATAAAACTTACCTTTCTTTTACCACAGAAAACCTCTTAGAGGCTCTCCCCAAAACAAACATATTTGAAGCTCTGAGAAAATATTCATTAATTTCGGCTTTAAGTTTTCCTTTTCAATGGCACTTTTTCCAAGACCGAATATTTAAAGACGCATTTTTTATGGCGCCCAAACTTTTAGAAAATTAGTTTTCACAATGTGTGAAAAAAAAGGCTTAAGCCTTCCACCGAAAAATGATGAGCTTAGAAGAGAAGAAAAAGAGTCATTAGAAGGTGAAGCTTTGACTCTGAGGCTCAATTTCAAGGATTTGGACGGTGTTGTTGAAGAACTTAGTGTTAGTTCCTCAACTGAGGTGGGGTTTGTTAAACTTCTAATAGCTAAAAGTAAAAATGTACAAGCAAAGAATATCCAAATATTATACAACGGAAACAATATGATTAATCCCATGTCTTTGTGTGACCATCCAGGAGTTTCTCCACCTTCCATTGACGTGGATGTTTATTTAAATTCAGTTTAAAACTAATATAAAGAATAATCAAAAACAGTAAAAATTTCTAAGGAAAAGATTTAATAAGCAGTATTCAATATATTATAAAACCTGTCTAACATAGGATTGGTAATCTTCTATGAACTTCCTCAGAATTTGCTTAAATTGAGGATCAATGGTTTGAGAGATTTCATTCAATAGTTTAAAAGTCTCATCTAGAAGTCCATTACCAGGCATAAATGATAGGAGCACGAAGTAGTGATAGCCAGAGAATAAGTAAATGCTCTTTCTTGTGAATGAAATTGCATCTGGATTATTCACTAAACTTGAATTTTTCTGTGTGAAAGCTGCTTTAGTTCCAGAAAGAACCAAGTCTCTCGTAACCATAACAACATTTTGGGGAACCACAATAGAGTTTGTATCCTGGCCCTGTTGATACTTTTGACCTATTTGTGTTTGTTTCTTGTTATTTTTGTTGGAATTTCTCTCAATGAGAACTAGAGGAGCTTCTCCTTTTATAAGTAACCTAAAAAGTGCTAGTTGAGAATTTAGCAGTGGTTCTTCTTTATGAGAGTTATTCAAAATTGAAAACCACAAAAAGGATGTTGCCACCTCAATTCCCATTTTTTCCAGTTCTTGGGATATACTCGAAGAGGAGCTGAGATTTGAAAAAGTTAGTACCTTTAAGTATATACTTGTGATTACCTCAACTGATTGAATATATATATCCTGATCACTAAATAGATGCCTATCACCGTTATACTCGAGCCAGTGAATGGGAGTTGAAAGAGATGGTAGCAAGCTTGAGATAAGAAAACATAGAACAGGGTTTTGGATCCTGGCTAAAGCCTCTCTAAATAAAAAAGCTGAAGGCACCAAATTTACATAGGATTTTATTCCAAAACTAGATGTCACCCCCACGGGATTTAGAATTACCTGATTTAATATTTGTTTTGCCTCATTCATTTTTTCTCCCTCAGTAGAACAAAGTTTCACGAGGAGTTCTAGAGTTATTGTTTCTTTTGAAAGCTGATTGATAATTTTCAGGAGTGAAAGCTGTATGGACATTCTGGCCTGGTGAGCCTCTACTGAGAATGCTATGTCTTCCAAAACAGTCTGTCTAAACCTTTCGTCAATATTACATAGAGATGCAGGCGATGGCCAACATAATAACCATAGTTTCAAAATATAAAGGAAAATCTCTGGGATTAGTGTCCCAAAAATATTTGTAAAATCTTCCGAGTTCCCATAAAGATTTACCAAATGGCAAACTAAATGAGAAATTTCTTCACAAGCTTCAGAATATTTCCCCCCTTGAAACTCCTTTTGTCTGATATTATCTGGCTTAATTAGAGATACCAAAAACGAGTTGCAAATGGGAACTATATAATTGCATATTTCAGGACCTATAATACGTATAAACTTGTGCATGAGTGAGAGAACGGAAATCTGAAATCCACCACTTTCAGAAATTAAAAGGGAATTTGAGCTTCTTGCAAGCAATAGAATAGTGTTTAAAGAAGCTCTCCAGAGATGAGACAAAGCTGAGACCTGCTCAGTCAGTGTATCTGAAATTGAAGAAATCATTTGAACCAGCTCCATAGCACTTCTCCATTTGAGAAGATCGATTTTAGTATCAGTTCGGCTAGAATTCTCTGAAATCTGTTCAATTAGTTTGTGAGATAACTCCAAAATAGGCTTTACAATCTCCTCGTATTGGAGAACCACCTCTTGTTGCTCTGATAAACTGCTTCTGGATTTGAGTTTACTGAACAAAAGAAACCCAATTGCCTCACATATGGTGTTCAAAGATTTGGATCCCAGTCCAATTTCAAAAGAATCAATGCAGTGATCTTTAATTGAGCCTTTTTCTGCAAGCTTAAAAATGAAGCTCAATGTCTCATGTGATCTGAGTACTATTACTAACTTTGGAATGTAGTCAAAGAGATAGTTGCTGAAGGACTTTGCAATCCCAACTACTGACTTGGAAGACTGATATGAAATAGAGTAGTGAGGATTAAGAAACCCACAGTTAGAAAGTAGGATATCAAGAATTTCGTTAAGAATCTTCCTGGTTTCATCATTCCAAATGTTGAGAGATCCTCCACAATTGCTCCCAACGAGATATGTGAAATTTCTAAATATCTGGAGAAGAGAGTTTCTCAGGAATATTTCTCTATGAATACCTGATTCTGTTGCATTGTAACATTTACAGTTGAAATACATAATCTCGGAGCACTTTAAAAGAGATCCAACAAATCTTACATAGTGGCTAGAAATCAAAAGTTTTGATTCAGACAAAGAAGTGTTTCTAGACTTAAGTAGCTTCTTCTTCTCAGTTAAGGAGGCCTGTCCAAACTTTGCAATTAAAAAAGAAACGGAGTCAACTTGGTTGAAGCTCATTGATTGGATATCTTTAGTTATATTTTCAATAATCATATCCATAAATTCACATACAATTTCAGGTTTAAGGTCTAAAAGAGAAAGGAATAAAGCACCAAAATCTGGAGAATTTTTCCCCTGTTCTACAACTCCAGGTAAATCTATCTCGGTTTCACCTCCAGTTTGGAAGAAATAATGAGAATCTGGCTTCTTTAAAGCATTTAGTAAGGCAAATAAGACACCAGAAACAAAGTTTGAAAAGAAAGATGTATTGTTCTTTAAATCTTGAGAAAGTCTTGATATATAGGATTCAGTAGATGAAAGTACCGATGAAAAATGTGTCAAAAACTTGCAAGTTTCTTGCTTAATTTGCATAAATTCTGAACTCTCAATTGAAAGTATAATATTAAGAGAGGGAAGTAAAGTCTCAAGAATCTCCATTCCTGTTCTAAAGGCAACCAAATCACTTTCTTCTGTTTTTTTAGACTCAAGCTCTGATGAAAGGTTCTTGATAGCAAAAAAAAGCTCATTTACGACCTTAAGAACAAAATTAGCTCTAAATGTTAGAAGAAACAAGCAGAAGTCTTTGTAAAGATCTCCGAAAGAGCGTTGTTCCATGGAGATAATGGTTTCAGGATTCTCCAATATGGGCCACTTACCCAAGATCTGGGACTGAAAATAATCTGGAGTGATGTTTTTTATATTGAGTGTAATCTGGTTATCTACTAGATATGAAATATTCAAATCCTTGAAAAGCTGGATTTTTAACTTTGGAGGCATTCCTTTAAGAAGAATTGCCGATAAAAAGTTCAAAGTCTCAACAACAACTGGAGAATCAATGGGATTCAGAAAACTCAATATTATAGACAAAACCTCATTGTTCACAGCATAACTTATATCAATCCAATCAATAAAAGACTCCATCATCTTCATGGATGAAGAAAGCAGCTCGATTATATCCTTATTAAGAGTTTGGTTCTTGTGTTTGGAAACTACAAAAATCCAAGCTTGGACTATATGGTTTAAGTCACCATTTACCCTCATAATATCTTTAATCTTACGTCTTATTGAAATCTCTTCTGCAGATTGCATCCCAATATTACTCACAATCATGTTATCAAAAGTACACAATATCCTTATAAACATATCTGGCATCCAATCGTGTGCTGTAACTAAAGAAATTATGTCCAAAAAAGCGGATGGCCAGTTCTCTGGATAATCTACATATATCATTGTCACATATAACTCAGAAATCTTGTTCTTTAAATAGCTTTTTGTATTTCCCATACGAATTCCATCACGAAGGTACTCTACCAAAGCTTCTCTAATCACCTTCTTGTCGTCCATGTTTAGTTTACATGGACCTGTCTTACTCTCCTCGCCAGGAAAAACTCCTATCATCTTGATTAAACTCCCAATACTCCAAAACCTAATATCATCGTCAGTTCCAGTATTAAAGTGTTTCAAACATATTTTCCAACCTTCAGAAGAACCCACCACCAACTCGCATACCTCCAAACTTTTCAACTTCTCAGATGGAGTTGATCCTGGAGAATTTAATGTTTTTATTGCTTTCTCAAGATCATCCATTATTTTGTCAATTACGACAAGTATATTGGGTAATATAATCCACATTAGGCGGGAAATTTGGAAAGCCCAGAGAATATAAGGCAGGAAATAATAAATGAGGAAAAAAAAGGATTAGGCACAAAAGAGCAGAATTAAAAGGAGATTGGAGTTAGGAAATTTAAAAGTCAAATACCAGTATCAAGGAGTAGTGGGAGGTGCACCTTTAGTCCTCCTACAGTCCGTATGTCGCTTTTGAGATTGAAGTTTTGAAATTAAAATCCAGAACGACTTTTTCAACTTCCTCCCCACTTTGTTTCTTAATCAGAGTGAATTAGTATATTTGACTTACATATTGAAGTATGGATCGTACAACTTTTATGGACGGCTTAAGAGCCTTCCATGAAAGCCAGGGTCGGGCATTTAGACCCCAAAAGGTGTCAGGACACACATTAGATCCTTACAGAATGTTCTTGATGATAGTCGCAAGAGGTGGGTATTCTAGAGTGAACAAGAACTCCAGATGGTTTGTTTTTGGGAAGCCAATGGGGATTGAAATTCCAGAAGGGAAGCAACAGGAAGTTGGATTTGGTATCAAGAATTATTATTTGAACTGGTTAAGGGAGTATGAAAAGGCTTTGGATGATAGTACAAAACTTGCAATGGCAGCCGAATTTGCTGCAAATAATCCAGATTTGGTTCCAAATCCTGGCCTTGCTTTGTCTTACTATACTCAAACTCCTTCTAATACAAATGAAGAAGCCCCTTTAACTCGTTCTGCTGCAGCCTCACTTTCTAGAACTAAAGGAGGAAGGGTTAGTGAGCAAATTGAGAGTTCCAGTGCTGACAAGATTCAGGAAATTCCAGACCCTTCACAAATTATTGACTCTTCCGATGCTTTCTATGTAATTCCTTGTGAAAGTAATTGTGTACATAACAAAAAAAGTACTTCAAATCTTACAATATACGACTTGGACGAGCCTTATGTTCCGAAATACCCTATTACAGACGATGTATGGTACCTGATGGCACATTTTAGGAAACCAAATTCAAATATGGAGGACAAAATCCAGATAATTAACAATCTAATGGCTATTGCAGCCAATGAAAAACTTAACCTAAGCAGCTTCCCATCCATATTAAATGATTTTTCAGAGATTATGACTATCTGTACATTTTCTATTGACTCTCTTATACTTAAAAAGGAGGAGCTTCAAAATGAGAATCTTCTCGATATTGATCAGCTGAAAATCATCATTGAAAGAAGAGTTTGTCTTTTGGATATTGATTTAATTCAGAAACATCTTTTGGCTTCATCATCCAGCCTAGTTTCACTAATTCTCAACAAAAAAGAAAACTTAGACTTCATTTGCGATATTAGTACCAACTCAAATATCAACAAAAACTTTCCTAGAATTTCAACACATCTCTCTAACCAAGTTGAAAATGACCAAGAGGGAGTGAATCAAGGTGGAAACCCCTTCAAGATGAGTGATTATTCGAATTTTTCAGGTAATGACTCTTTGAATCACTCTAATACATTGAAATCTTGTTATTTGAAGGATCCTGAGGCCATTAAGTCTCTAGAACAAATAAGTAACTTCTATTCTGAACACTTTAAACAAAAAAAGGATTTAAGTGTAATTCACTTGAAGGCTCTTTTGACTGCACTACTGACAGTATTCAGAACCAGCTCTGGAATAATCTTTTCATACGAGAAAAAGTTTCATTGTAAAGTTCTTCCCTTGGTCTTAAAATCTTACCATTATCTCCAAGAACCAAATCTTCCCACTGAGAAAATAATACTAAAGCTTAACAATAACTCCAATGATTTTACCATAAACTCAGGTCCTCAGATAGATTCCAAATCGGATAAAAAAAAAAATAGTTGTAATTATGATGATTATTTTAGCTTAAACAAGGAAAATGAGGCTTATTCAGTTAATGAAATCAGTTTAAATACTGAGATAAGTAGAGAAACTAAGCCTTGGAAACCTCCAGACCCCGATTTACTTGAACAAGTTTTAGATTACTTAAATTCTGAAACTATGAGTATTTGGACTGCTTTGTCTTCAACAATAAATTCTTTCAACCAGCTCATTCCTGTTGTTTTTGATGAAGGGCTTGATGAAATAATGGGTCTTGTAAATAACTTTATAATGGAGATTTTCAGATCTTGTAGGACATGTTGTCAGTTTTCAATCCCATCATTGGCAAATTGTATGAGAGAAGTTAGGGAGAATTCTTGTCTGCTTCCTTGTTTAATATATAATAAAGAAGGAATTCAATTTCTGTCTGATACATTAGAATTTGGATGTAATGTAATCCTTAATATTACTTCAGTAACAGCTCAAAGCAAGGTTAAATGCAACCAAAAGCTTCTTAACTCTTTCTTTCAAACAATATTAAAGTTGTCATCAACATGTATCGGATTTTACTCGTTCCTCAAGGACGAAGAAAACTTTAAATCTGGTATGTTTTGTTCAAATATTAAATCTATTAAAAGCTTGTATGAGGAATTGGTGCTACCAATTTCTCTAGCAACATTGACTACAATTTCAGAAAATGTTTCCTTTGGGAGAATTTTCCAGTCTTTTTCTAGTCTAAACTATCACTATCTTCATCACCACACCCAGTTCACTCAATCGTTGATTGAAAACCAGCCAAACAACCAAACAATCAATCAGGAGATTCTGAATATGAGTGATAATAATGACTCATTTGTTAAAGACCAAATCCTGATTCTTTGGGGAAGAGAAACTATTGGTCCTGTTTTTGAGCTGCTTAAATCAGAATTGGATGACTTTGTTAATAATAAAAAGGAGCAAATCCCCGTTTCGTGTTTAATGCTTTCTCAGTATATTATTTATATATCATCAGAATTAATGTCATGGAAAAATTCACAGGACCCCAACTTACAGAAATTACACTGTAAATCTTCTAGAGAAATTGCAATCGGAATTCTGTCTCCTTTCATCGATGTCTTAATTGAACTGGCTTGGATTCCCTCAACTTTTAGAAACCTTTTCTGGTCTATAATTTCAGAACTCTCCAACTTTGGAGTTTCTAACCCTTCTGTAACCTTAGGTATCACTAAGTTCACAGTCCAAAGTCATTCTGGCTACTCAGGATCCAATCTACAGATTGACTAATTAGGAAATTAACATAGAACTATTAAGCTTAATCTATTTATTTACTTATTTTCAACTATTATTTTCACTTTCAAATGTTGCAATTTTTGTCTTGGCTGTATTTAGTCAAGCAAGTCATATAGAATCGTTCATTATTATTCAAACAAATAATCGCAGAACCAAAATATCATATTCTAAGACTCATATGATCATCTATGTTTTCTAGCTTTAAATCTAATCAATTAATTTGTTTCATGGGAAAATACTGGTAACTCAGGGGCATTGTTGCTATTAATCATGCTCTGTTGAAATTATTAATTTAGTCATTTTCAATATTTGGATTTTCTTTTTGATAAACCTACCACTAATCTGTTAGATCCCAAATGCTGGCAAGATTTGTTTAATATTTGCTCTCTCTCATCTCTCCATTGCTGAACTCGAGTAGAGATATCTGAAAATATTTGTTGAAGTCTAATTTTATGGCCTGGAAGCCAATTTTTCTCAGAAAACTTTTCAACTTCGTCAATATCTTTGGGTGTTATTGTGCAAAGGGCCTCAAGCTAAAATTCAATTTCCAATTTAATTATAGTCAAAAATTCAGGCAATTTGAAAATATAATTTGAAGGTGAGATGTTTAACCTTCAAATTTGCCAAAAAACTTACTGTGTCGAATCCTGCAGCAATAAAGTCCCCTATAATCTTTGAGTTAATAAATTGTGATCTAAAAAAATCTATTACTGCAAATCTTTCCTGCTCAAATTCATATTCTAAAAATTTGTTTAAATCAATTCAGTTTATTTTAATATTTAATAGTAAAAAAAAAAAGTTGCATGCAAACACCGGTATCAAATTTTTTTTTTTGCATACAGTATATAATTACTTACCAGCATTCCAAATTCTTGAAAATCCTGAAAGATGTTCTCCATAATTCTTACACATGAAATCTACTATAAAATATGGGATATTTTCTGGATCTGATTCGTCGAATTCCTGTAAGAATGAGAACAGAAATGAATTATGTTAAATATTTAAATTGGGTCAATTATCCTACCTGAAGCAACCTCTCGGTAATCTTCTGCATAGCAATCCTTCTGGCTGGGAATCCTTCTTCCATTATTACTCAATTATAATAAAATATTTCTCTCTTCTTTACTCCAGAATATGAAGGAAAATTCAAAAAAAATTACAAATTAAAAAATATTTGTGTGCATGCACATGTAATATTTGTATGCAACACTTAAATATATAGTAATTCTAGTAATTAAGAAATAAAATTAAACTTTTCCTTTTAGAGGTGTTTTTTTTGTTTGTGATGATGAGAGTGAGTATGATGATGTGTTTGTTTCTGTTGAGCAATGTTAACACTTGAGCTCAAATTGCATTGATTCCCTACACACTGAGAATCATAAGTTACTATTGGTTCAGTTTTCACCTGTTTAATGCATTTTTCTCCTTCTTCCATAAAACCCTAAAAATGTCAATTTAACGTTTTTAATTTTTTTTTTTTATAAACTTACAATTGGACACTTAAACTTTGCCTGAGCAAATCTCAGACAGTGATTTTTTTTCAGTATTAAACCTGGAGGACAAATTCTTTTGTGGCCTGAATACTCAACCATAATACATTTTTTTCCAGCTTCTACAAATCCTTTTGGACACCTTGAGAATGAATCAAAATATATCTTATTTTCACATGTATCATTTGGACACTCTTTCTTTAGCATTGAAAAGCATTGTCCATTTATCATCATAGAATCCTTGGGGCATGAACTTAATGTGGAATGATACTTTTCCCAAATACAAATTGCCTTATCTAGTCTAAATCCATTAGGACAAGTTACTTCTGGCTCAATAACTTTCTGAGTTTTGCAATCTTTGTGTTTGCATATCTTTTCTTTATACAATACACATTTGTCTCCATTTAGAATATACTCTTCAGGACAAATCATATCTTTTGGAACAATCTCAGATTCTTTACAAACATTTTCATTCATTAATTCTGTTCCACTAGGACAAACTTTAGTGGGAGAGATTGTTTTTAATTCTTCACATTTATCTTTGTAGCATTCTTTAACCGAATATGTGAGACAGCTTCCATTAAACATAATGGACCCTTTTGGACAAGAAATCTCCCCGTTATTAAATAGTTTCTTCATACACACTGGCCCTCCATGGCTTAAATTTTGAGAATTCTTTTCGAAACCAGAGGGACAAGTTAAAATTGGAGGCAATGTTTTACGAATCAAACATCCTTCGACTGGGCAAATTGCCTCAACCTCTCTGATGCAATAAGAATTCTTGAGACTACTTCCAAGATGACATTTAATTTGGGGGAGATGTTGAACCTTTTTTGAACAATTTCCTCCGGGAAAAAGTGAATATTGGCTCGGACATTCAATAATTGGAGGATAATGTACTTTTTTCTCGCATTGATTATTTAAACATTCTTTATATACATACTTAGCACATAAATCATCCTGAAGAGTAAAATCCTTGGGACAAGTAAGTAAAGAGGGGGTTCTTTTGATAATTTCACATTGATTGCTAGATATCAAAGTTCCTTGTTTGCATGTGATTCTCGGAGGGATCGAAATAGTAACTGAGCAGTTCCCTCCTGAGCATTCTTTGGATACCTGGTGAACACACTGATCTCCTATCAATTTGAAAGGTTTAACACACTTCAAAATTTGAGGCCCAATGTTTACTTTCTCGCAAAGCTTTGTCTTGGAATTCAGGCTTTCGTTTTCCCTACATTTTAACTCTGGAGATTGTTTATGTATTACTTCACACTTATTGTGAGAACAAATTTTGACGATTCTTTCAATACAAACTTGTTGGTTTGTACTGGAAAGCTCTCCCCTTTCACAGATCTTTTCTGGATAGACTTCATGCCTGAATATACAAATACCATCCTCAAAAAGAAATCCTGGAGGACATTCCCGAAGTGAATCAACAATGTTTCTCGAAGTACAACCTTCTGGAGGACAGACCTTACTGGTCATTTGAATACAGTTCCCTTCCTCCATATTATATCCCTCTTCACAAATCAATTCTGGGGCTTTTCTATATATAGAAGCACATTTATTATCCTCAGTTAAATATGAACCTGGTGAACAAATATTAACTTTTGGGATCATAAATTCTTTGAAGCATGTTTCTAGGGTTTTTTCGTGGTCTGAACAAATTCTGGTCATTGGAAGGTGTTCCTTCTTTAAACACTCTTTTCCAATATTAATAGATCCCAAAGGACATGAAATCTTTGGAGGAAAAGCTTCAGTTCTGGAGCAAGTTTTCTGATTTCTAATGATTTGCGAACAGATTCCTGATCTGTTTTGTCCATAAAACCCAAGAGATGAGGTGTTTATAGTGTTCAGCCCACTTTCACAAGGAATGGAAACTATACTGACTTCGGAACAATCATATTCAACCAATTTCTGACACTGTTTTATTTCACTTAAGTAATATCCTTTGGGACATTCGTAGGAAGCATCCATAAAGCTCTCAACCAAACAGGAATCACCAACTTTAGTCCCCTTAAGACATTTGTATTCAAGAGGGAGAGGTTTTCTGGTCCCACACATTCCTGAACTAAGTTCAACAGATCCTTCTGGACATTGAGATTTTGACTCTGAGATATTAATCTGAACACAATCTCCAAATTTCCCTTCTCTTCCAAATCCCTCTGGACAAATAGAGCTGGGTTTTAAAGTCTTGAAACACTCATCTCCATTATCCAAGAACCCTGGAGGACAAATCTGACTTCTTTGTATTGTTTTGTGGCAACTCATGTCTAAGCTATTAATTTCATATCCTACTGGACAGTTTAGCTCTACCTCAGCTCTTTTTTCTTTTTTACACTTATTGTTTATTAAAGAATATCCTTCTGGACAATTTGATTTAGGTTTAGTTTCCATGATACAAAAATTTTCATTCAAAGAGTCTTCTCTTGATCCATTTGGACACACTTTTGGTATGGTCTCTGTATATACGCATTCTCCTAAGAAATTTAAAGTATTGGGTTCCTCACAGACAAGATCTGGAGATCTAGTAGTGATTTTAGTACATTTTTGTGTCTCAGGATTAAATTTGTATCCTTCTATACAATGTTTTTCTGGGGACTCTATAACTGAACAGTAATCTCCAGAATCCAAAGAATTCAAAGGACACTTTCTTTTTGACATATCCTCACTCGTTAAAACACAAACAGAATTTGACAATTCGGAACCCGAAGGACAAATAACCTCTGCTGGAGAGAAATTAATCTCCTCACATTGTGCATTAACTAGATTCTGGGAGTTTTTACAAGATCTCTTTGGAGAAACAAAACTAGCACATTCATTTTCCCCTACTTCATCGTACCCTGGTGGACATACATGTAAATTCCTTTCGTATCCAATGCAAGATGAGGTAGTTTGATCGAATTTGGAGTTTGGAGGACAAATAATGTTTGGTTCAATAGTTATTATTTCCTGGCAAAAGTGGCTTTCCGAATTATATTTTGTACCTGGAGGACATTCCCATTCTCCTTTTACTTTTTGTAGACAGGAATCCTTAGATCTGAAAGAATTAGCAGGACATTCCTTTTCTGTTGTAGTTTCTGAAATACAGAGGTTACTAGATTGGTCAAAGTATGAATAGATACTTGGACAAGAGATCTCTGGTTCCACTGACAGGGTATTAAGACAAACTTTATTACCATTGTGGATAGTTTTCTCATATCCCTCAGGACAATGAAAAAGAGGCTCTTGGTAATTAACACACTGATCTTCAACTTCAACAAATCCTATGGGACAGACTCTAGTACTAATCCCGGAAGTTGAAACACAAACTTGACCTTCTAAAGTAAATCCAGAAGGACATTCAAGTATAGGGTTCGAGTATTTAACATATCTGCAAAGAGATTGGTGCTTAACATTCTCAAGCTGACTACCTTTAGGACAAATGTATTCTGGTTGAATCCATGTAGCACAGTTATTCTCGTCAATATCCTTAAATCCTTCAGGACAAATCTTTGGCTCAATATGATCCTGGATACACATCTTTAAAGAAGTTTCAAAAACAAAAGATTCTGGACAAGCTGCTGTTGGGAGTGTTGCTTTTCTCTCAATACACATATTTGTGCTAAAATCAAACTTTAATGGCTCCTGACAAGTTTTCATTGGCTCTCTTACTATTGCACAGCTATCTCTAAAATGAATACTTCCTTGTGGACAAACAGCCTTAACTTCCTCTCTATAGTAGCACTTGCCTTTATCATAATCCATTTCCATGCCATCAAGACAATAGTTTTCTCTTTCAACAATAACTTCTTTAACACATTGTTTGTCTTGCATCTGAAAACCTGTGGGGCACTCCTTCAGTAGAGGCTCTGCTAAGTAACATTCTGATCCCTTAGATACAAACCCCTCTGGACAAACAGGAATTTTTTGTGTCTCAATTTGATGAACACAAACTCCGTTAACAAGTGCAAAATTACCTGGGCAGGTCTCCACAGGTACTCTCACATATTGAGAGTTGATTTGGATACTAAAAAAAAGAACTGAGGCCAAACAAATTTTTGCAATTCCTGATAAACTAGTTAAATTCATTTTTAGATCTCCGGTTTTATATGCCGGTATCTTAATGTTCTGTTTCCTCATCTTTATGAGGTTGGTTTCCCTCTATTTTATTCAGCAACAGAAAAACCTACTTGCAAGCCAAGTAAAATTTAATCACGCCTGTACACCCATCTTTGAATCCTCTTCTTACTCGCATTTTCATAGTTATAATTTTTTCATAGTCTCTACTTTACGATTTTGACATGGACAGTTTTGGCGGGAAAATGTGTAAGATAGGGAAATTAATGCCAAATTTAACGAGGGTAAAGTTTAAAAGTTGATATTTAGGGTAATAGGAAAATAGACTGGGATGATTCTCATCGGATTTTTGGTCTGTATTTTTTCTGGGATACTTTTTTCAGTTTTTTCATTATTTTTTTTACTATGTTTGGTTATTCGTAGAATAAATAAGAAAAGATTGAATAATTATGAGACAACAAGAAACATTGCCGTTTTAGTTGTTGGGGATATAGGCAGGAGTCCAAGGATGCAGAACCATGCTTTGTGCATTTCTAAGAGGTTTTGCTCTAAACCCGATTTTTCAGGTAAATCTAACAAATTACTTAAGAGATCAAGCAGCAAGGATTCCTTTGAGTTAGACGACAAAATTAATAACAACCACGTTTATCTGGTTGGATACAATGATACTACTTGCAGCTCAGCTATAACTGGTGACAAAAATATTACTTTACTAGGGATAGGGAAAACTTTTGTGGATCAGCACAGAAAAATTCTTCCTTTGTGGGCTTTCTTATCAATTAAGGTGGTGGAACAGTCATTGAGAATTTTCATAACAATCATGCAAATTCCAAACCTGTCTGGGATATTATTACAAGTTCCTCCATCTATACCATCAATCCCTATTGCTTTATTTGTTTCTTTTATAAGAGGAGCTCCTTTGATTATTGACTGGCATAATTATGGTCATACCTTGCTAATAAAGGATGAAAAAAGAGTTATTTCATCTTCTATACTCAAGAGAATATACCAACACATTTTTGTTACCAGCTACAAGATCTTGGAGTTCACATTAGGTAGGCTTTCAGATTCTGCTTTTTGTGTTTCGAAAGCTATGCAAGAGGACTTGAGTAAAAGGGGAATTCAGGCAACAGTGGTTTATGATAGACCTAATGCCGACTTTAAACCTCTTGATTCTGTTTCAAAGAGACATTCCATCTTGTTAAAATACTTTGGTAGCTTAGAGGATGATATTTGTCTAGAGGATTACAATTTAGAGAAAGGATATACTCAGGAAACTCCCCTAATTCGAAAAACTGAGTCAGAAATAAAGCAGAGGAAAAAATCCAAGGAAAACAAGAAATTTACTCAGAAAAACCAGAAAGATAATACTAAAACAGAAAATGTTACAATTTACGATGGTTCTTCTTTTACAGATGTCCAAGATATAGTATCGGGTGCTTTAAATAGATCTGTTTTAGATATTTACCAAATTAGTGAGAGCATTAAACTTTCCAAAGAACGAATTAAGTCATCTACCAGGGGCTCTTTGGTTTCTGAATGTTTAATAGAGGAAGAGTTCTTCCTAAAGATGGAACCAAAAGTTTTGGATGAAATCTCTTCCAACTTCAAAAATCAGAATTTAAGTGATCTACTAAGTAGAGATGATTTATTCTTTGATAATCATATTATTGAGACTTCACCAGTAACTGAATTAGGAATTTCTCGTGTTCAGTCTGGGGAAATTTCGCTAAAGGTACAACTTAAGAAGAACAGACCTGTAATTTTGGTGACTTCCACTAGTTGGACTCCTGATGAAGATCTAAATTTGTTACTAGAAGGACTTTTGGAATATGATGTACTGGCTTCAAAGCAGATTAATAACAATAACTTATCTGAACAACTTCCCGACATCTTTCTAATTATTACAGGAAAGGGCCCTGACAAAAAGTTATGGTTGGAAGAAGCTTCCAAAAGCAGAATGAAACATGTAAAAATTAGGACAGTTTTTGTTGAAGCTGATGACTATCCTAAACTATTAGCCTCTTCAGATCTAGGAGTTTCTATGCATTACTCATCTAGTGGGCTAGATCTTCCAATGAAAGTAGTTGACATGCTTGGGGCAGGAATTCCAATAATTTACTTCTCTTACCCAACTATGAATGAGCTTTTAAAGAATGAAAAGCTTGAGTTGTTCTTCTCAAGTTCCCAGGAACTTTGCTCTAGACTTACTACTTTACTTAAAGGTTTCAACTCAAGTCCTGAAAGAAAAGTTTTTCCTTCTCCAAATCTGAACAGAATTCTCAAATCAAACAATTTGATAAAAGAAACTTTCTATCAAGAGTGGAACAATTCAGCTGTGTATCATTTCGATGAAATGGTAATTTAATACGGATGTAATCTAAAGAGCTAAAGTTCTCTTCCATGTCTGAATAATTTTAGAAACAAGGTAAGAGAATGAAAATAATTAATTTGAAGATAGTTTGGAAATATTATAATAAAATTATTAGTGCTATAATTAATTAACTAAATAATTATGATTGATAATTATAGGTTTATTCCTTGTACTCGTTTTCTTGTTCCTCTTCCTCGTCATCATCGTCAAAGAATTCTTCCTGTAGTCTCTCTTTTAGCTCTATGTATATTTCATTGGTTGTGTCTCCTCTAAGAATATCTTTGAGAAAGTAGCAAACAACTTGCATTTGAAGCTGTTCAAGAGCTCCCCTAATCACTCCACATACAATATTACTATAATTCAAAGAAGATGAGTAACAAGGAGGAAGCTCGACGAAATCTGCTAGAGGGTTTTCATTAAATACTAAAATGCATGAAGTTTCTTCTGAATTCCAGTCCTTAGTTTCAGCAGTGATTCCAAGAAACATTTTAAAACCAATACAAGCTATAACCTCTGCTGTATCTCTAAAACTGTCACACTTTGAAATTCCAGATTTGGCAAGAAATTCATCCACAAGACGAATACCAATGTTGTATCCAATTTTTTCAAGCTTTGAGTTAATAAGTTCAGCATTATCGAGATCTTTAACAAACTGAGCAACTAAACTACCATACATGAGAGAAAAAACTTCCCCATTAATTTTCTCAGTTTTTTGAAAGGCAAGCTCTCCAAGTCTGAGATACTCAGAGCGTTTCTTGTGTTGATTTGATGAATTTGACATTTCCTGCAATTAAAAGAAACTTTGGTGGGAATTTAATCAAACTCAAACTAGGCGCTTAACTAGGGTAATGTAAAAAACGGACATAATATTGAAAGAGAAAGTTGAAAAAACTCGGGAAAACTGAAAAAATAAAAAGAATTCAAATACCAAGGTAAAAAGGAAAATATTTCAAAAGTCTTGTATGGTCAAAACTACAAAAAAAATTTTTGTGGGAGAGGAATAAATTAAATCACATAGGCACAGAACCGCCTTACTTTCAATTCAAGATAGGTAAAAAATTGAATTAAAATAAAGAAAGAGTTCACTAAAATAGGAGAAAATAAGGGAATAATTTTAGATCCTTTGCTTGATTCGTGTCTTTGTACATTGCGAGTGATTCGAAACATTTTCACTTTTTAAAAACGTTGTGGGGTACATCATTCAGGCGCCAAAATGTGGGTGAGTTTTGGTATTAATTAAGGTATCTTGTTTTAGCATTGTGAAAACATTTCACAAACCATACATAAAATTCTGATTTTTGAGTTTTAAATATTTTTCACTTCTTATTTTTCGATGGTTGTTACGGTATCTTTAAGAAACTCAAGTGATTCAGGGAAACCTTTGGAATTGGAAAGTTTGAAAGAGAACCTTTCAAAGGGTGGCCAAGACCACATTTTGACTTTGCTTGAATCAGGAGATTCTGAAAATGTGAAAAGACTCGTCTCCCAATTGATGACTTTGGAAGGTTCTTGCGTGGGTGGTGGTTTACTCGGATATATTAATAGGGCAAAAAAACTTTTAAAAGACTCAAAGGATGGTGTGAACCCAAGAGAGGGATGCTATCCTGAAGTTCCAGAGGTGGTTAACTTGGAAATCGGCTCCGATGACTTTAAAAGATATGAAGAGCACGGTTTTTCTGTCTTGAAAAACGTGGCCTTTATTATGGTAGCTGGTGGTTTGGGTGAAAGACTTGCATTTGAAGGAATAAAGATAAGTATTGAGCTATCAATGGCATCCAAAATTACGTTTTTCCAGCTATACACAAGTTACATTAAAGAATATCAGAGAAGACTGAAAGAAGTTTTTGGAGAAGATATTTCAATTCCTTTGATTATTATGACATCTGATGATACTGACACTATGACCAGAAAGTTTTTAGAAGAAAATGATCATTTTGGCCTAAGAGGTGACCAGGTATATATAGTAAAACAGCTTAAGGTTCCTGCTTTGATAGACTCTGAGGCAAAAATTGCTTTGGACCCTGAGGACAAATACTCTATCTTAACAAAACCTCATGGGCATGGCGATATTCATACTTTACTACACGGTTCTGGACTTTTGAAAGATCTTTCTAAGAAAGGAGTCAAATATTTGGTATTCATTCAAGACACTAATGCTCTAGTTTTTAATTCTGTACTTCCAGTATTGGGAGTAACAGCAATTGGATCATTTGCGATGAATAGTTTGACAATCCCCCGTATTCCATGCGAAGCAGTTGGTGCTTTGTGTAAGCTCAGATATCCAGATGGAAAAAAGATTACTATTAATACAGAATATAACCAACTCACTCCTTTACTTAAGAGCTGTGGTTTGGGGTCAGATTTTGCGGATGAAAAGACGGGATACTCTCCATTTCCTGGAAATTCTAATGTTTTATTCATTTCAATGGATTACTACCTAAAGACTTTAGAGAAGACTGGAGGAGTTGTGCCTGAATTTGTGAATCCCAAGTATTTAGATTCAACTAAAACAGCATTCAAGAGCCCAACTCGTCTTGAATGTATGATGCAAGATATTCCACTCTTATTTGAATCTGAATACAAAGTTGGATGTGTACAAATGCAGAGATGGGCTACATTTTCTGCTTGCAAAAATAGTTTGGCTGAGGGAAGAGCAAAGTATAGCGCAGGAGTCTCTATAGACACTGCCTCTGTAACTGAAGGTGATTTCTATGCTGCAGCTTCACAGTATTTGAGATTAGCATCAAAAGAAAAGGGTGTTGTTTGCAGGATTGAAGAGAGTGAAAAAGACCCAGTTACCGGAAAAGAAGATAAACACTCTCTGATCAAACACGAGATGATCGCTGGGATACCAGTTAGAGTTGGAGCAATGGTAGTTTTGCATCCCTCATTTGCATTTAAATACTCCGACCTTCTTCAGAGGATTTTGGAAGGCCCTATTAATATCACAAGCAAATCCTATGTACATATTGAAGGTGATGTGGTGATTAACGGAAAATTCTTTGTTGATGGTTCAGTTAGAATTGTGGCAAAGAATGGTTCCAGGATTGTCATTAAGAGTCTCGTTGTTAATAACAGTGGCACCATCAGATATCAAATTTCAGAACAAGAGATGGCACATGCAACAAACAACCAAAAAATCAGAGGCTACGGAATCAGACATGAACAAATAAGAGAAATCGTTGTAGATAACGGGGAAGAAGTTATTATTGATGATGGAAACTAAGTCAATTAATCTTTGCATCTTTTTTAATGTTTTTTTTAAAAATTATTTTTACTATTTTAATTTTTATGTAAATTCCTACGTGTTTGCATGCATAATTCCCCCTTTAAATATAATTTTTCCCTTAAAACACCCGCCATAAATAGGCGGGTAACACAATTGTTGCAGGTTTATCCATGAAACGTATTTAAAAAAAAAAAAATTAAATTTGTCAAAAGGCTACGAATCATGTAAAGAACACAAAAAAAGTATGGTTCTAATATCCTGGGAATGTGTGTGTGACCGGACTTATCCAGGACAGTCCCTGTACATAGTAGGAAACCACCCAAGATTGGGAGTTTGGCGAGTAACTAATGAGCAGGAAGAGGAGAATAAACCTATTCGACTTATAACTGACAAACTTTCCTATCCTGTATGGAGAACAAACAAGCCAATTAGGATTCGAGGTGCGTGCCTTTTGGAATATAAATTTGTTATTGGAAAGGAGAGTGGCCCATGCGAACAATTAGAATGGGAGCCAATTGAAGGGAATCGTTACTTACAAGTTGACGAGAATTTTCCAGAGTATAGGTACGTTATTCAATGTAGCTGGGGAAATATCTCTAAAAGTACGATGCGTTTTGAGGAGAATTTGGATAATAATGATGGAACTGATGATCATTCTTGTAGAGTAAAGTCTGGTGCAAGGCAGAGTCCAACAGGAAATGCGAAAATGTACTCAGAAGAGGATGATGAATCTGGAGATGGAGGGACTCACGAAAGCTCTGTGACACCTCCACTAATACTGAGCAGAACAGGGTCTAGATTAAAACTTCTCTTGGACAGATCTAGATTAATTTTAAGCACCAAGGGAGACATTAACCAGTATTATACTTTGGAAAACACCATAGGAAGGGGGTCTTGGGGAGAGGTAAAAATAGCTGTTCAGAAAGGGACTGGGATTAGGAGGGCAGCAAAGAAGATTCCGAAGTACTTTGTTGAGGATGTTGACCGTTTTAAACAAGAGATTGAAATTATGAAATCGTTGGACCATCCAAACATAATTAGGCTATACGAGACTTTTGAAGATAATGCTGATATTTATCTAGTTATGGAATTATGCACTGGGGGAGAGCTTTTTGAGAGAGTTGTTCATAAGAGAGTTTTTAGAGAAAGCGACGCTGCAAGGATCATGAAGGATGTATTGAGTGCTGTAGCTTATTGCCATAAGTTAAACGTTGCTCACAGGGATTTGAAGCCTGAAAATTTCCTTTTCTTGACTGATTCACCAGATTCTCCATTAAAGCTTATTGACTTTGGTTTGGCAGCCAGATTTAAGCCCGGGAAAATGATGAGGACAAAGGTTGGAACTCCATATTATGTGAGTCCACAAGTTCTGGAAGGACTTTATGGACCAGAATGTGATGAATGGTCAGCTGGAGTAATGATGTACGTTCTGCTTTGTGGATATCCTCCTTTTAGTGCACCTACCGATTCTGAGGTAATGCTTAAGATTAGAGAAGGCACATTTACATTTCCAGAAAAGGATTGGCTCAATGTTTCTCCTCAGGCAGAGTCTTTAATCAGGAGACTTTTAACTAAGTCTCCAAAGCAGAGAATTACTTCTTTACAAGCACTTGAACATGAGTGGTTCGAGAAGCAACTCTCCTCATCTCCAAGAAACTTATTGCTCGATAATGTAATTTCAAACTTTAGAAGATTCCAGGGACTTTCAAGACTTAAAAAAATTGCTTTGACATTAATAGCTCAAAACATTGATGAAAGAGACATCCTAGATTTACACGATACATTTATGGAATTGGATACTAGTGGAGATGGAACATTGAGTAGATTCGAGATTATTGAGGGAATTAACAGGATAGGATGCAGTCCTTCAATTGGTATAGAAGCTCTTCTTGATGAAATTGACCCTGAAGGCACTGGAACTATTTCCTATACAAACTTCATTGCAGCTTGCATTCAAGAACGTCAATTGTCCCACGAAAGTGCATGCAAAGCAGCATTTCGTGTGTTCGATATTGATGAAGATGGACAAATCAGCAACAAAGAATTTCTCAAGGTTATGTCTTTATCTAGCAAGGTTAAGAAATCTGATGATGAGCTAGCTCAAGAACTGAGTGAATTTATGAAATCAGGAGATCTTGACAAAGATGGTACCATTAATTTTGACGAGTTCTGCCATGTAATGAGGAGAGTTCCGTCCAAGTTCCTCCTTGGAGAGGCTTCTGATGATACTATCAATATGATGAAAAGATGCTCCTCTAGAACTAACATTAATTTATAGTCTACTCTTTCAGTATCAACTAATACTATTTCAGGGCTAATAAGTAGAAAAAGATTAGGAGGCCTTAATATTGACTGTTATAGCATTATGTGTTCTTTCTTTGTTTACATTATTTGTATATTATTAGAATTAGAATTCAAAAATTTAGAATTTACATTCAGTCTCATAATTGGCCCAAAATTAGGCATTTTCTAGTACATTTTCGTCCCCTGCCCCTTCTCCCTTCTCTTTGTAAACAGTATTTCTTTGTTTAACATCAAAAGAATAGTTACCCGGTAGAATTGAGACGGATTTAGTTATGTCAAATGTTTTATAAATCCCGACAAGTCTGTCAGCTGTCTCAAACATGTGGTTTCTGAGAGAAACCACGATGAACTGAGCATTCTTGGTCTTTTCTTTAATGAAAGTTGCAATAATACTGACATTTCTAAAGTCCAGAGCTGCATCTACTTCATCCATAAAGTACAATGGTGAGGGTCTAAATTGGTGTAAAGCAAAGACCAGAGCCAGGGAACTCAGAGTCTTTTCGCCTCCTGAAAGGTTATGGATTGGCCTCCAGCTTTTCTTCGGAGGTCTTACTGAGAAGATAATACCGTCTGAAAATGGGTCCACACTATCAATCAGTTCCAACTCTGCATCTCCACCGAGAGTGATCATTTGGTAGATTTCCTTGAGTTGGGAAGCAATTATTTTGAAGCCCAAAATAAACTCGGAGTGTCTGGCCTGCCGAACAGTATCAAGGTGTCTCCTACTCTCATCTCTGGCATTGGTTGCCTCTTCAACCTCTTGGCTCCTTCTATTGAACTGCTGTAGCTGAGTAGAATACTGGGAAAATATATCCGAAGAAGGTCTGAAATTCTTTGCTGGACCTCCATTAGAATATTGCTCGCATATTGTTTGAATTTGTGCCCGCAAAGATTCAATACGTGGTTTCAACTTTGTAGACGTCATATCCCCTAGTATTTTCTCATACTCAGTATCTTGAACGTCCTGAGCAAGGAACTTGCTCTTAAGGGACTCTAATTCAGGATCCTGACCCACTGGGCCTTGTTCATCTTTTTCAGTTTCTAATTCTGGAATAGAGGGAATAAAAGATGCATCCGACCTTATTTTTTGAAGCTTTTTTTGTAGTTGCTTGATGCCTTGATTTTCAAGTTCTGAAATCTTACTGGAAATCACATTTAGCTTGTTGGAGAGCTCTACATCATGAAGCTCGAGCTTTTCAATTTCTTTTTCAAGCTCCTCAAATCTGGTCTGGAATGAGTTATGCTCACTTAAAAATGACTTCAGTTCCTCTTCAGCGAGTTTTTTACTCTCCATAATCTTCAGAGCAACTTCCTCAAGGGACAAAAGTTCAGACTCTGTCTTTCCTATAGTTTCTCTAAGAGCCTTAGCTTTGCTTTCAAACTGTTCTATAGACTCGATAGCTTTGAGCTTCTTTTTTTCCGATAAACTAATTTCTACCTGGCTCTTGCTGATTTCTTTCTCCATAGCTTCAACGCTCTTTGTAAGCTCCTGCACAAACTCAGATTGTTTCTTCATTTCAGGACCTCCAACTTCATTCATCTCCTTTGTATAGCGATCAACAACAATTTGCTTTTGCTTCAATGATGCTTCTAAAGTAGATATTTGTTTCTTTAATTCCCCAATCTCTGTCTCTAATCTTGAGATCTCTGCACTAGTCTCAGCCTGGTTATTCGTGGGAGATTCCTGTTCAGTATCGGTATGATCCTCTGATCGGGATTTTTCAGTCTCTTCTATTAATACAAGCTCTATTTTTACTTTCTCAAGAGCAATTGAATACTCATTAATTTCATCTTTAAGACTTTGTATCTGGTCTTCTAAGTCTTTGCATTCAGATTTCATTTGGTTACATCTGTTCTGATACGCTTCAAAATCACTCTCTAGCTTTTTGACTTGTTCAGCTGTGAAACCTTCTGGAACCTTTCCTTCCTTTTTACCAGTTTGTTTCACTGCCGTAACATTGGGACCACCTCCCGTCATTGTTCCGCTGGAATCAATAAGTTCCCCATTAATAGTTACCACCCTCCATCTCTGCTTTCCACTGTAGGAAATTTTGGTTGCAATGTCAAGGCTATCGACAATTAAAGTGTCCCTCATCGCAAAATACCAAGCAATCCTGAATTTGGGGTCTTTGAATTTAACTAGATCAAAAAACCTTTTGGACCCTTCTGGGGCTTTAAATGAACTCTCCATACTTTGTCTAATACTAGCAGAAATTTTCTCCAAGATAATACAGGAGATTCTCCCTAGATTGTACTTTCTCACATAATTAACCACCTCTTGTGCATCTTCGGTAGTCTGTACAACAATGTTTTCAATGTGTGAGACTGAGGAGGTTAGTGCAAGCTGAAACTCTTCATCAACCTTCCCTAAATCACCAAGCCTACCGTATATTCCACTTTTTTTGGATTCGGAAAAGTACTTCATCACAGTTTCTGATAATGACAACTTGGAACTTTTTTGTTTTGATTCCGAGACAACCCTGGTTTCCAAATGATTATTCGAAGCTAAAAAGCTCCTTGCCTCATCTAATTGAATTTTTTTAACAGACAGAAGACTACTACTCTCACTTAGCTCCTTTTGAAGCCTCCCAAGCTTCTTTGATTTTTCATTAAGAAGCGTCTCACTGTTTTTCAGGCTCTTAGAGACATCATTTTTCTGCTTATTCAAGGTTTGAATCTTTTTAACAGCATTTTCCTTTTCCTTCCTATTATTTTCCTCACTTTCTTGTCTCTGAATTAGTCTTTGTTTCAAAATATCCAATTCAACGTTTAACATATCATGGGACTTCTGGAGACCCAGAAGTTGTTTTTGTAAAGGCGATAGTTCTTGTTCCGCCTTATCCTTTTTCTTTCTAGCCTCCTCAATCCCATCCTTAACGTTTTTCTGCAATAATTCCAACTTCTCTTGAGCAGAATCAAGGTCTTTTGCAATCTTTGGGACTTGCTTTTGTTTTTTTCGAACCTCATCCTCCAAGTCGACAATTCTTTGCTCCAGTTCTGGAATTAATTTTCTTTCAACTTCCGTTGACTCTTCAAGCTTCGTAAGTCTCTTCTTTGAATTTTTCAAAGTAGCTCTCAGTTCCTCGTCTTTGAGAATTACATTCTTTAACTCACTCTCCTCCTTTTCAAACTTAACTTTCAATTCATTAATCCTAGAATTAGTCTCCTTACTCTCTATTTCAAGCTCAACTCGCTTATCTTCCAAAGCCTTCTTTTGATGAGCTAGTTCTCGCTTCAAGTCCAATTGTTTGTTTTGTTCGTCTTTCAAGGCATTAATCTGTTTTATCGCATCTCTTTGTTCCTCCATATGAAGCAATAGTTTGGCAATGTAAATTTCTCTTTCAAGAGTAAAGAATTCAATGGCCATATTATATGGAGCTTTCAGAGCATTAAGCTCCTTCTCAGCAATCTTAAGTCTGTTCAACTTTTCTTGACGGAGCTCATTAAACTGTTCCAGCTCAATTGAATGCTTTTCTATATCCGGAATAAATTTGCTACTTCCTATAATATCTTCGATATACTCTAGTAGACCATCCTCGTTCCCGTTTGTAGATTTTGGTTTCATCTGAGCAATTAGCTCAACTTCCCCTTGAAGGATGAGAAACCTATTATGCTCCAAATCGGTCCCTTTTCTACTCAATAACTTTGTGACCTCTTGATAGCTTGATAATTTTTCATTTATATAATATTTTGTTTGTTCACTATTCTTCTGTACCTCTCTCTTAATGACAATCTCAGAGTTTGGGACAACTTTGTAGGCATGCTCATCGCCAGGTATATCTATAATTTCCTTAAAATGTACAGCGACACTTGCTTTATCGTTGTTTGGATAATGCTTGGAGTTATGAATCAGCTCAGAAACTTTATTCAAGCGCATGTGCTTTGCTCTTTTCCCAAACACAAACAGCATAGCGTCTATTACATTACTTTTACCACTTCCATTTGGGCCTACAATTGCAGTAAAAGATTTGTGAAACGGCCCGATAACTTTGTTGCCTCCATAAGATTTAAAGTTTTCCAAAACTATTTTGTGGATAATTAGACGTGGTCTTTCCTGCTCTCCTCCAATTAATTTTGACTCTTCACTTTCTATACTCTCCATGTAGAAAAATCATTTCAAACCTTTGAGCTCTCTACTTGCTTTATTTTTCCTTTCTTTCAAATTATCTTTTTACAACTGTGGGGAAGGCTTGGCGGGAAAACATGCATAATGGGGAGCAAGTGCAAGCAGTTAATACCGGTACTAAGGAAAAAGGCAGGCAATAAAGAAAGAAATGGCAGCTAAAAATTATACATATAAGTATTTCCAAATACCCTAAAGTATTGGAGAAATTGAATACTAAACTAAATATTTAACTTGGAAGTAGGATTTAATATAGTAAATTTGAATGAGTACTAATCCAAAAGATACAAGGAGCTCAAGAATACTCCATAAAGCGGCCTTCTTTCTAGATGATTCAATTGCTTCCATTTGAAATCTTTTTCTTGTTAAGGCATACTTTTGCTTGTCAGAAGCAATTGATATTCTTTCGTAGAGCTTCTCCATAGATTCAATTAGCCTTTTGGATTCAATATTACTCATTACATTGTTAATGTTAGAATTATAAGACAGGTTTTTTATACTGAAGTTCACAGTTTGTTGTACTGAGTTCATTAAATTTTTGAAGCAAAGTTGATATTCTGCGTTTTTTTGAGCATTAATACTAAAATCGCCACTATTATTAACTTTATCCATAATTTTTGAGTTTCCATCACTTTCATACAAAGAAACTCTAACTCCCTCATATTCCGATTCTATTTCAAATGATCCAATAAAGTGGTCTCCTGTAACAGTACGAAAATGAATGCATTCTGTATATCCTGGATTTAAAATGAAGTAAAGGGCATTTGTATCAATAGGGGATAAAGCAATAAGAATAATTAGTGTAATATAAATAGACCCAATTTTCATAGGTATCCAAGCCAGTTAACTAGAACTTAGAAATTCTGTTCGATTACTAATTGACCTATATTTTTGTTATTTTCTAATACTTTTAAATAATATTTTTGTTATTAATTGGCATGGTATTCTCAAATCCACACACGTTATTAAATTCCCAAATTTATGCCTTAGTTTCTCCTTTCACGTTACCCGCAAAACGAGACAAGATCACAGAAAATATTAAAATGTCAGGCGGTCATAAATTTTCATTTGGCGGTAATCGAGTTGGACATATTTACTACGCGGTAATTACTCGAGACGTAGTAAATTAACGAATTAAGTTGGTTTGATTTTTTCCAATTATAACAAAAAAGTCTGGATAAATATAATTCTGGAAAATGGTAAGTTTCATGGAGAATTAATGGTTTTCTACGAGCCGTGTTAACGTTTGCTTTCTTTTAGGTTAATATTCCAAAGCTTAGAAATACTTTCTGCAAGGGATCAGACTGTCGCAAACATACTCCTCACAAGGTATCTCAATATAAGAGAGGAAAGGAGTCACCAAGAGCTCAAGGTAGAAGACGTTACGATCAGAAACAAAAGGGTTATGGTGGTCAAACTAAGCCAAAACTCAGAAAGACAGCTAAGACCACAAAGAAAATCGTTTTGAGATTGGAATGTACCAAGTGCAAACAGAGACGCTTCCTTGCTATCAAGAGATGCAAGCACTTCCAATTGGGAGGTGACAAGAAGAGAAAGGGAGGTCCTGTCTACTAAGTACTTTAGTATATTAGAAAATTCTTTATTAGTTGGATGCTCCTGGATCCGACCCATAGTTTTAAATAATAGGTCCCTTCTAATCTTCTGTATTTCTAGGAGTTTCAGATCTATTCAGTACTAACGGCTAAAAGAACTTCTACTCATTTATACATTTAGTTAGGGAAAATTGACTCGAGGTAGAGAAGATTTGGTGGATTAAGAGAAGTTAATTTAATGTAACAGAATTCTAACAGACCAAAGATGAGTTAATAGCCAGGGAGATACGAAAACAATTAGAATGTGGAAATTGTGCCACCGAGAGTAGGGAAGCACTTCTCGTCAAATTTTAGTGATTCAGGTGTGGAAACCTTGTTTGGATGTGATTCACTCTGTTCACTGCAAGTTGTGGTGTTTGAATTTGAAAGAGAGTTTGAAAGAATTTCACTGATTAGATTTCTAGCAATATTGCATTGTTCTTCAGTACCTTGGAGAACTACATGACTGGAATTTTTGGGTACGTTTATTGACTCGCAATTAGCCTTGCTCCTGATTTCATTAAGTACACTTCCCTTGGTTCCTATTATTAGCCCCATCTTACCACTTGGAATTTCTATGATTTCCTTGGTTTCGTTTGAAGAATTTTCCAAAGTTTGCTTGTTAAACTCTACAAACTTTTCCTTAAGCTTCAAAACCTCCTCCTTTGATCCAAGGAGCGAAATTGAACTCTTCTTCTTTTCTGCCTGAATAACCTGTACATTTGGGAAACTAGAAGTAAGCTTCCTCAGATGAGATCTCTGATTTCCATAAAGCTTGTCGTATGTACAATAATCAAGTTCCAAAACTTCTAAATGTGCCTCTTTTGCCAGAATCTCATCAATTAAACTTTCTGCCTTGGCTTTGGCCTGTTCTGAACCCAAAACCTCAATTACAACAGTGCGACCTTCTTGTCTCTTCTGAGTTGAGATCTCTACAGAAGCTTCCTTTTCAATCTTCTCACGCCTTGAATGGTTGAGAACTCTGAGTTGATCCTTGTGAATTGTCTTAGTGAATGGAGTATACTGAGCTCTTTCCAAAAGATTGAGCAAAATTGGCTTGGCCTTTTTGATCTCTGAAGCAGGACCAACTAGCATAACTGAAGATCCAATTCTGACAATTCCCATTTTATTGGAGTCTCTCAATTTAGAGAACTCATCCAAGATACTTCTAGACATTCTTGTGTTGGTGTCTTCCGATGAATCTTTTCCGGGTGGACTGAAAAGTCTTCTAACTGCCTTATTATCGGCTTGAATACTCTCAACTTCTAGACTCTTAATCAACGTCGAAAGCTTGTTCTTGGCAACTTCACATTTATCAGGCTTTCCGAATATCAAAATCTTGCTATCAGGCTGTGAATCTGAAATATCAGCCAAACTAGTGACCTCTCTAGATTTACCTCCAAATTGAATACGAACGCTTGTATCGGTTTCCTTTTCAATGGAACGTACAGTTGGAAGGAAGTTGAATTGTAAAGCTTTAGCAACAATTAATGAAACAGGGATTGAGACAGTGTTGTTTGAAATATCGGAGTTCTTGTTGATTAATTCAACCACAGTTTTTGTGGACTCTGGCGAACCTAAAATAATCAAAGAGTTCTCCATACGATTAATAATAACAGAGAGTTCATCCTGTAATGATTTCAGGTTAATGTTTCCTGTCATTGAGTAAAGTTTCTTAATGACGCGTGGGTCTAGTGAGACGGTTTCTTGTGAACTGAAATCTAATTGACGAATACTTTCCCAACATTTCTCAATGTCCTTAAGTAAGCCCGTGATCTGCACTGAGTTGCCGGTAGACTTCTCAACCAAAGCACCGAACTTCTTCTCCAAGTTCTTGGCCATCTTAGAACTGGAACCGAACAAAACATCCAATAGATTACCTTTATTGTTTGGAAGTTCAAATACTTTTGTTTCAATTGAATCGCCGTCAATTGAAGAATCCTGCTTTAAACTCTTGACCTTATTTACCAATCTCTTTTGTTTGTTGCTATCCATAGCTGCCTGTGAAAGCTCCCTGTTGATAGAAAGCTTGCGTTCTATTCTAGTTCTAAGTTCATTACATTGGTTTTGGAAGTTGCGGTAGTTCTCATATAGTGAAGCTACTACCAATAACTCCTTCAAGTGCTGGTGGAACTCCTCGTCATAGCCCTCATCATCCTTAGATACTAGCTCAAAGTCACGGAGCTGCTCACAAATGGTGTTCACACTGAGTTGCTTTGGCGGCCTCTTTAAGTTAGATGACTCTTTGGACAAAGTTTCAGAAATCTCTGCCAAAAGCTTGTTCAATTCCCGTTCCTGTTCCCCTTTCTTACTCAGTACCTCCTCTATTGGTAAAACTGAAAGATCCAACATGCCACGTAACCTAGAATTTGCCTTGGAAAGGAATTCTGACCTAGTTTTTGACATTGGATCATTTGGAAGCATTGCTTCAATTTCTTTCTTGGTTAATGGTTTTCTTTGTTTTGTAACTCCTTGACCTTCTTGTGAATTTGAATCCACATTCTTCTTCTTCAATCTCCTCTTTAGATTCTTTTTCTGAGTTGCAGAAAGTCCTGAAAAGTCTATAACTACTGGAGTTTCCTCAATTACTTGAGGCTCTTCAATTTTTTCTTCATGCTTATGCCTTTGTTCAACATTAGTCTTACCATTTGAAGGAGACTTTTGTTTACCCTTCCCTGAAGCCCCTTTACTTTGATTTGGTCTCTTCTTTGCCATCTCGATTCCAATAAACAATTAGATTACGTTACCAAATAGATATATATATCTATTGAATTATTAATCCCCAACGAAAACCAAAAAATATATATTTGGTGTTACACTTGAAAAATTCGCGTCTGTTCCTATCTCTTCAAACCCAATCCAATTTTCTTTACCCCTCACTCTTTACAGCCTCACAAGAAGTCGTGAAGCGCAAAAACTTTATAAATTGGTTTTATTTATTAATGTCTACAGGTTCGAGCCATAATTAATATATCTCAAGTGGGGTCTCGGCTGGCGGGAATCCAATATCTTGCTTAAATTTTACGGATAATATCGTCCGTTAACTATTTAATAGTGAGATTCCAACCCATTATTACAAACTCTCACAATTAATGTTAAGTCTCGTAATGTATCGACTTATTTTTTCACAACTAATAACTCAATTTTTTTAAGATTTTTAGCATTTTTTCTACTTTAATACCTCTAAATGGTGATCTTGGGCTTTAGAAGTAAAAGCTTTTTAAAATGAAAAAAAAATTAAAAATCTGTGTCTGCATGCACCGTTAAATCGTAATTGGGCACTTTTATCATATTTACATGCATTTTTTTTGTAATATGAATCTTTAAAGGTAGGAAAGTTGTATAGAATGTAGTAATTTTTTGCTTATTTGTTTCATATCTCCATAGGAATTAAATCGATAAGAAGCTTTTATTTTGTCCCAGACAGAACCTGAAATTTATTTGCTTTTGGCAATTAAAAACCGATTTTTTCCTAATAAATGATTTCTAATTTCTCAAACTCTGCACTTGGCGCGAAATGCCAAATCAAAACCTGAGATTTCTGTGTATTATATTATTATTTGCAAAAGTAGAATAAATTTTTGATAAACAAGGGTTAATATTTTCGGAAAGCAGTGATTTATATTCTTAATGTCTTTTTCAGAAAAAAGTAAATATAATTCCTATTCAAATTGTTCAAATCCTGTTAAGGAGGGAAAGAAAAGTCTTTCAAATACTTTTTGCACAATTGCGAGCAAGGCAACTTCACTAACAAAAAACATCTTGTCTACTTTTAGGCTATGCTCACCCTACAAAACAGACGAGAGTTTGAAGCGTCCAAAGATCCTCATTCTAGGGACGGGATGGGGATTTATGAAGCTGTCAAAAGGCTTAGACGTTTTTTCTAACGATGTTAAAGTAATAAGTCCAAACAAACACTTCTGTTTTACGCCTCTTCTTACACAGATCGTTTCAAATAGGCTTCCAAAAGAAGTGTGCGAAATCCCTCTAAGTGAACTCACGTTTAGAGGAAATAAAGAGATGATCAAACATATTAAAGGGTTAGCTTTGGATATTGATAAGGAAAAAAAACAAGTTATATATTTTGATTCCGATCAGAATAAGCAGGAAAGAATTTCCTATGACTATCTTATTATCAACGTTGGTAATGAAAACTCAAATATTATTCCTGGTCTCAAGGAAAATGCACTTTACTTAAAAAATGTGGAAGACTCCATAAAGATGAGAGATGCAGTTGTTGGCTGTATTAAGGAGGTTAATGCCAATTGGGATAAAATGAGTGACGATGAGAAACATAAAAAGCTCACATTTATTGTTGCTGGAGGAGGCCCTACAGGAGTCGAAGTTTCAGGTGCATTTGCAGAGTTAACCAAAGATTTCTTTTCTAAAAATGAATACAAGAGACTTGCTCCATTTCTTAATATTAAGATTGTAGAAATGGCAAATAAACTATTACCCATAGCTAGTGATAAGGTTTCAGAGTATGCAAAATACATCCTTAGTTCAAAGGCAGGAATTGAAGTCATGTTGGAAACCAAGCTCAAAAGTGTTTCCAAAGACTCTGTTACAATTGAGAAGAAAGGCGGAGTTGAGGAGGTAATTCCATATGGAGTTTTTGTTTGGGCAAGTGGAGCCTCTCCTAATTCATTTACAAAACAAATCTGCGAAAAAGTTGAGGAGCAGACATTCTTTAAAAAGGCTATTTTGGTTAATGAAAGACTTCAAGTTCATGGAATCCCCAATGCATATGCACTCGGAGATTGTGCTCTAGTTAGGCCTAGTAAACTGGCAGATAGGTCAAAGGAGATTTACCAGAGTGCTTTAAAGTCATCATTTGGGCCTACTGTTAATTACCTTAAAAACAACTTTTCTGCTGAGGCCTTTCCTCAGATGTTTAACTTATCAAAAGCCGAGAACCTTCCAAAAAATGATGAGATTCTAAGTGAAGAAAACTTAAAGACTTTACTTGAAAAACTGGATTCTATGTACCGCTCTCCACCACCTACTGCTCAGGGAGCATCTCAACAAGGAGAGTACCTTGTGAATCTGTTCAACAATTACCCATCAGAAAATGAAAAGCAAAAGTGCCCAGCATTCATTTACAATTGGAAAGGTGCTACCTGTTATATTTATGATGATAACATTGTTTTCTACACTCCATTCGGAAGCATGTTAGGTGGATACCACACACAGTTTATCTGGCGATTAGCGTATACTACTTTAAACCCAAGTTCGAATTCCCGAATTTTACTTTCAAGAAATTGGTTTAATCCATTTAAAAAGTTTATTGGAGGGTATGCAAACGATGAAATTTACAAAATGAGTTTTTCTAATTAAGCAAAAGAGATTATATTGTTTTACTGTGACTCAAAACTCATTTTTTTTACTAAATAGATGACTAATTAATATAGGACTTAATGTTCGTTTTCTACTTTTTGTATTCATTATGTCTATTTTAAAAGGCTAAGCTGCTTCAAAACACTTGATCACATCCAAACAGACTGATTCTGAGTTGGATCTGCAGGTAATCTTAACAAGGCAACCAAGTTCAACATTATTCACAATTATTGCAGTACATAAAAAGGGAGTTTTTGCAAAATAAGTCCCAGAAAATAATAGAGTGTGGTTGGAAGCTTCTGGGTTAACATTTTCTGTGTTATCACATGCAGCTGCGTTAACTAAAGCCAAAAGTCCATTAACAGCTGATGAAATGTTCTTGTACGAAAATGAAAACTTGGCGATATGTTCAATTCCGTTGGTTTCCAAAATACTCCAAATGTTTTTGAACTCTCCCTGTCTTAAATAGTTGGGTACTATACAGTCAGAATGAGAAAGAGTTACTGGGTCAATAGTAAATATATCATTATATCCGCAGTCTTCGTCTCCATCCTCGCAATATAAATAGTCCAATTTACATGGGACAACATTTGATACATTAGGGAAATGATCTTGGGTGGAATTCTGAGTAAGTACAAAAATAGACTCAGCTTGTCCAGGGTCTAATCTAGGAATAGGGACGCTTGCCAAAATCGAAAATCCATCAAGAGCAGCCTCAAACTCAACATTTACATCTTTTAAAAGAACATCATTTAGAGTATTTGCAACCAAGAACTCTAGAACGACAAATTTACCTTCATTAAAGAAGTGTTTCCTTAAATTAACCAGGTATTCGGATTCGCTCTCAGTTAAAGGAGCAGAAGTTGAAGTAAATAGATAGCTACCCAAGTCTTCAGTTGAAATGCAGTCTGAAAGTCTTTCATATATCAGAGAAATATTGACTCCAGGAGAGGCTTTTTCAGATGAGTTTTCTGTTCGGTTTAAGTTTCCTTGAACTCCAGAAGTATTTAAAGCCTCCATAGAGGCCGAAACTGAGCTTGTGATAGAAGTTTGTTGGGAACCTTTGGTTTTTGACTCAACAGGATCTATTGGGATAGATTCTAAGTCCAAAAGAGTTTCAGGGTCGTTGGAAACAATTTTACCGAGGATACGGGAAAGACTGAGAATTTTGTCGGTTTCCATAGATATTAGCTGCTCTCCAAAAAGCTTTGAGTTATTTAAATCAAATGTATTATCATCTTGATCATCAAGTGAATCTGAAGTTGAATTGTCATCGATGATCATAGTATAAGTATTTGTTCGATCTCTGACCTCATCATCATTGTCTTGGGAGCATACTTGAAGAAGGGTTCTAATATCTTCTTTAAGTTCACCACAGACCAGAGCAATCTGAACTAAAGCATCTATACTGGCAGCTCTTACTGCTGAACTCTCCAATATTAGTCTATTGTAAATATACCTAATAAATCTAGAGGGAGCATTGGTCTTTGGAACATTCTTTCCTAAAAATCCCAGAATTCTGATTGTAATTACTGGATACTCACAGTCCTCTATAGTCTCGCAGGCATGGTAAAGAATACTTTCCAGAATGTCAGGAATTTCTTTGGAAATATCGAATAGTGTATCAATTACAAAAGACTTAAAATCGAGGCTTCCCTCTTCTCTTAAATTGGTTGCTAAGAATGAGAGGATATTCTTATGTTTTGCAGGATACTTTAGTATGAGATTTTTAGTGGCTTTGATAATGTCTTTTTTCCCTCCGTCACTAATATCAGTAATAAATGCAGGGATCTGCTTGACAAGCTTATCTAGATTGCTTTCTTGAGCTATTTTTAGTAAAATAGTGAGCACCAAAGTTGCCATGATTCGGTTAGAGTCATTAAGTAAAGGTTCCAATTCGTGCTGACATTTAAACACAATATTCGGGTTCACATTGGCTAAGTCATTCAGAATTCTCACGGCAGCGAACTTTGCCACTGAAATATTGGAATTTAAGAGCATTTGAAGTGCATTTGAAATCTGTGATATATCAATAAATCCAAGCGCTTTTTGATCCTTTTTCTCGTGTAAATACTTCAAAATATCGCAGATCCCTCTAGAAGCTTCCAAAGATACAATTTCGCTTCTGCTCTTAAGCATTGTATGGAAACAATCCAATATCCAGCTTACGTTTTCCCAGGAAGAATCTTGGTTGCTCAGTAAAAAGAACAAATTCTTCATTTGCCTGAGCATTATGCAATCACTGTAAAATGACTTTATAGGTAATTTGTAGAGCATCTCTATAATCTTTTGCGTTGCTAATCTATCATTGTTCCTTAATTCGAATAAAAGTACCAATGCATGGTATTGTACCATCCCATCCCTGCCTTGAATACATTCACTTATTTCATTCAACCAACGCCTAGGAATATCTCCGTGACCTCTTAATGCTAAATTATAGCCACACATCAATGCACTACTTGCAACAAAAGAGTTCTTATCAACTATTGCAGACTTTAAATATCTCTCAATTTGGCCGATCATCGTACCATCAGCCATTTTACTTATTACCCTGAGAGAGTTTGCTCTATAACAATCATTATTGCTATTCATATCCTTAATTAAAGAACTTATAACTACAAATGCTTCACTCTCATTCACTTTTAAACTCTTTATTGCCAAGTATACAAGCCTCCTTAAATCCTGATTATTCGACTGAAATAATCTTGTGATCCCAAAAAATAAATCTGACCACTCCTGGTCAGTAAGTTTCTCTCCACTATTAATCATATTCAAAACCTTGGTTAAAACTGTGCAGCATTTCTTTGAGTTCAAAAGGGCTTCGCTAAAACATCTTGTTTCTTGTAATATTGAGCTTTTTTCACCCAAAAAAGGATTAACTACAACCCCCTTATCGTCACTCTTCAAATCCATTTTTTCCCCAATTTCCCTCCTATTTGGTGTGAAGAATTTTTATTAAGAGGAAAAAAAAACCTTTTTGATTACTACAACTCAGTTCTTTGTGCTTCCCCTCAATTCTCTCACATCTACAGTTTAAGGTTGCCGCTATAATTAATCTTTTTTTGCTCAACTGAAATTTCAAATTTTTTATTTTTAAGAGTTAAATTCACTAATCAGTTAAATTTCCTTTAGGCTAAAAAACCTTCTAATAATTTTGCAAACCATCTCAATTATTTGTTTGTTTTTCTTTCTTCTCTCATTTCTCCAAAATCAAACAATTCTTCTGTTTGATCTTCAATCTTTTTTCTCTTTCAAACGTCTTGAATTGCAAATAATTCTTTTTTTGAGTCTAATTTTGAAAGTTTAAGATTAATTCCGTATATTTTTATCTGCTACCTTTAATTTTTCCTAAATATATCAAGAAAATTGTAGTATGTGTTCCCGCCAAACCCCACACCAAAATACTAAAGGCAAATTGTATTGAATTCTTGAAGATATATTGAAGATGGTTGAAGAGAGATTGGATTTTATCGAGGAATTTACGAAGACCAGAGAGGATCTACAGAAACGCTCTTTTTCCAATGTAGACTGGGACGTGGATTATCTACTAATGAACGAAACGGTAAGTTAAGTTATACCTATTTAACGCCAGGTATACAAGGGTAAATAATTAAATCAAATTTGCAAATATTGATTTTCTAGCTACTGCCTTGTAGAATGGTATTGACACAAAAAGAGTGTGCTTTTATGTCCATGGATAATCAATCAAAAGAAAACAATGAGGTATGTACGGGATTTTAACTGCACAGTAAATAATTAACTTTGAATTATAGATTTCTGCTGGTGAGGTATTGCAGCTCCCAATATGGCTTGCAAAAGAACTACACTCCAGGGGTTTTGTTGGTATTAACTATCCTGATTTTCTTTCGTCAAAAATGTCAAATGCTTTGAAGACTGACCCCTGTAGTGTGGATTTAAACAATATTTCACCTTATTTCTTTCAAGTTAGTGTAATCCTACTGAGCATACTACAAGATGAATTGTTTCTCAAAGTAATTTTGGAATCTTTTCGAAGTCGCCTTGAAAAGTTGTTTCTGGTCTCAATCTATCTGCATTTTCCAAACTCTTCTGAATCTTCAAAAATGAATAGTGACCATACAAAGGTATTTCTTAAATCTCTTACCTCTATTGAAAAAGATATGTTAGAAGAATCTTCCATTAGATACTTTCAGTCCGCCAATGCTCTATATTGCAGAAGAATCAAATAGACACAATATAAACTATATATAAAACAAGGTAATCAGTGTTGAAGAAGAACACGATTAAAAAAAACAAATACAGAATTATAATTAAGATTTGTGAGAAAGTTTAAGGACTAACGTCTTTTTCTCGAATAACGAGCCTCGCCACCTCTTCTATCCTCCTCGTGTTCTCTTCCTCTTTTCCTGTCCTCTTTTATTGCCTGTTTTTCGAGCTCATCCCAACTTAGACCTTCTTCTTCGTCGCTAGAAAGCTCCTTAAAAGAATCATCTGAGCTTTCCTCCTCAAGATCCGAAAGATCTTCGTCATCATCGTCGTCATCATCATCATCATCCTCGTCTTCATCACTTTCGGAATACTCCTCATCCTCATCATCATCTTCTTCGTCGCTTCCATCCTCTCCTTCGTCACTATCCTCACCTAAGAAGCCGTTAAAGCCTCCATTCTGTACGAAGTCCTCAATATCACTCAAAATAGTTTTTAATACAGCATTCCAGTTAAGGTTTTGCCTTCCTTCATAGTACACAATCTCCATTTCGTTAAGCCAACGTTTAATTAGGTCGAAATATTCGATAGGAATCGAGTCAACTCGTTTAACAGGTTTTGTATAGTCTTTAGGGACAAAAATCATATCAAAGTTGCGGAGTCCCTGCTCAACTCTCTCAAACGAAACAACTTCAATCTCATCTAATGAAAGCACAAATGGTGGGAACTCTAATAAATGAACAAGGCAAGATGCCGTAGGAAATAGCTGGACATTTGAAACTCCAGCCCTTCCGGGTACACCATAGAATCCAAGATCTCTATATGGTATCTCTGCCTCAAAACTATTCTTACTAAGCTCCTCGATTCCCTGTATGAATTTTTTATACTCAAGGTTATATCTTTTCTTTGTCTCACGTTCACGTTGTTCTTCCATTATTTCATCTGGATCGTATACATTCCTGCCTCTTCTCTGTTCTAAGTCATCGATCTGGTTCCCAACCTCTGAGTAAAACTGTATGTCCTGGGTTTTCTTTTTTCCAAGCCAAATTGAATGTTTAAGATGTAAATGTAAAATTACAATGAGATCATTCTCCACAGGTTGAAAGATCGCATGTTTAATGCTGGTATATAAAATATCAATTGTTTCACCTTTGGATGAGCTAAATCTGAATCCATTGTTGTGGGCCTCTAATATACCATGTTGACGTCTACCCTGTCCTATTGTAGGTCTGATTCCAACATCCTTAAGAACCACTCTTTGTTTAGACCTGTTAAAGTCAATTGGCTGCTGATTTTTTATCATATCTTGCTCTGCCATCTCCTCCTCAAGTGTACCTTTTTGTTTAAATCTTTTAATTAACTCTTTAATACTTCGAAAAACTGTATTCAATGTTTTCCCATCTTCAGAACGAATCATCAATTCTTTGATAAATACAGGGGTCTTTAAAGTGCTTGGCAACTGTTCCAAAGAAATTCCTGTTGGTAACAGAAAATTAATTCTCAACACAAAAGACTTCCTTCCTTCTTCCTGAGTACAGACAACATTTTTAAGTAGTCTAACGTGGAAAGGAACTAATAGACCATAAATTGGCACAAGAATAGTCTCTTTTGCTGTGTCAACATATATTCTATTTGAACTTCTCTCTTTAGGATACTCTTTAACAGACTTGTAACTTGAAATCTTAGAGTTAAAAAAGTCCTCTTCTGAGTCCGAAATATCCCCTTTTTGGTCACTTTTTTCCTCCTTTTTACCTCCAAATCGCTTCTGAAGCTCAAGAAGTTTGCGTTTTCTAAGTTCTCTTTGCCTATTTTCTATCTCCTTGAGTTCTTCCGAATGTTCTGAGTTATTTACTCTTCTGGTTGTTCTTCTTAGCCTATCCTCAATTATTAAGTCTTCCTTCGACCTCCTTTCTCTTTTAACCTCTGAATCTTTGATTTTTGATTTTTGATGTCGATCGTCCTTGATATCATCTTCACTGTCTTCTTCTGTCTCATCATCATCAAATTCATCCTCAGACTCATCAACCTGCTTTTTTGCTGGCTTTTCCTTTTTAACTTTTGGAGTCTTTTCCTTCTTTACAACAGGCTTCTTTTCTTCAGGCTCTTCATCATCTAGTTCGTATGAAACATGCTCCAGTTTCTTACTACAACCCTGAGTCAGGACTTCCACCTTTCCTTCTTCAGATAAAAATACAGTATCACAAATCCAAATTGCATACTTTTTACCATTGGAATCCAAATTATTGAAGCCTATCGACAAATTTAAAGTCATTCCTTTCTTTACTAAGACATCAGGGGACGATCTTGGGCTGATTATCAAGGATGGGTCTCTGAACTCAATTCCGATACAATGTCCCATAATCTTAACAAACTTTTGAGCAAGCTCAGTTCCTTTTTCCTCAACTATTTTCTGGTAAATACCAGAATATAAATCAATAAAAGAAGTTCCTTCCTTTATTCTTGAAGTTAAAGTTTCCATGAGCTCTAAGCAATAGTTATAAAGTTTCTTCTGTTCCTCAGTCAAGTTTAAAAAATACGTCCTTGTAATGTTTGCACAGTACTCTCTATACTTTGATCCAACACTTAATATTATACAGCCTGATGTCAGGCACAAGTTTTCATCAGAGTTCTCCACAGCTTTTAGATCAAAATTAGACCCACTTTGTACAAGAGAATAGACCAAATCTATGTCTTCTGGATCCAAACCATACTTTGTTTTCCAAGTGTTGTTAATCGTCTTATCATCCAAAGCAGCTTCTGCACGCCTTCCAATACTCTTATGTGACTCTTTCAGTTCCTTATCCAAGATAGTCTCGATTCTCTGGAGTAGCACTCCTTTCAACATTTGAACGGACAAAACAGCGGCCTTTTTGCATAGTTCCAGCTCTACTTCGTCTTTGTGGCACAGAAGGTAGTCTACTGATGTTGTCACCATCAGAGATTCCTTGTTGCTGAATAGGTTATCACCTGAAAACAATTCTTCGCACTGTGATGCAAACTGGCCGTCCTGCAATCCAATTGCCTCTATTCTTCCAATCATATTTGTAGCTTCCGAGATGCTTGAAATAAGTTCCTTATAACTCTCAAATGATTCTTTCAGATCACCCTTCCTCTCAATTAGAATTAGCTCTATATCTGGGAAATTATTTGAAGATCCTTCTACTAGTTGTTGTAGGATTGATACCTTCTTTTGACTTGTTACTATTAAAAGCTTCTTTTTACGGAAAAACAAAATTAATGTGTCAGAAAATTCGAAGCCAAATAGCCAATAATGGAGTGTCATACTCTTATAAATTACTCCATCCTCTCTAGAAGAACCTTTTCCACACAAAACATACAGAAGGTCTACCTCTCTTAAGTTTTTGAACACATTCCTGTTATCGTATGTGGCGTTCTCCTCAAGCCATATAGAATAAAGGAATTTGATCCTCCTTCCAAAAGATGCAACGTCTAACTTGACCTGATCTTTGCCCATTTATCAATAATTTTGGCGAAAATCTCTATTTTCTTGTTTTCGCCTTTTTACTTTCCGGTCTCTGTTTATCCTCTGCAGTGTACCTCTTATCAAGACCCCACTTTGTCAAGCGCCTAATAATTAATTATATGCCAAGTAGAAATGAAATAATTTCTTCGTTTTTATTAATAAATTAAATTTAAGCAAAATATATAAATAAAAGACTAAGAATATCTTACTTTCTAACTTAAAATAATTTTTTGGAAACTTTTGTTCTCCAAAAATTATTCCTGGATTTTTTGTAAAACATTTAATACCGTTGTTTAATTTTTCTTGTCTCCTAATCTGCATGCTTTATTTCTTTAATCTATATTTTGAAACAAAATTGGAAAAAAACATGGGTAAATAAATTTAATACCCAAGACTTAATGTTAAACTATCTAAAATATTATCGACTACAGAATAAAGTATTATCATTTCCTATCTTTTTCTTTCAATTGGAATTTTCTCAGTATTCTTATTAACATTTTCATTGATCAAATGTAATTTTTGGAATTGTTCTAGTTGCATCCTAATTGTATCTTTGTGAATTTCACCAAGATTAGAATCGCTCTTCAAGAAATCAATGTCTTTTTCTTGAACTTGAACATTCAGAACTCTTTCTCTTAAATTAGGCTGAGGAGTAAATATATTCTGGTCCTTCTTGACCATATTTTCTGCAATAGATTGTAGGGCCTTGCTTTCTGGATCAATTTTCTTTAAAAGCTGAACTAAGTCCTCGTGACTCCTACCTTTAATTAAATCATAATTTGGCCATTTTGCATTGATCGATTCTTGTTTAACCATATGGTTATACTTGTTTTCTGAAATTTCCAAAGCTTTCTTAGTTTCCGCCAGCTGTTTTTCAATACTTTCAATCTTTCTCTCCAACTCGAATTTTTCACTCTCTAGCTTCTTGTATAATGGGGAAGAAGTCTGAGCTTGAGGAGAGCTTTTGTCTTCAATATTTGTTGATAATATTATAATTCTTTCTCTTAGCATTCTTATTTGCTCATTGGAATCTTTGAGTCTCTCTGATAAATGTTTGTTGTCTTCTTCCATCATGATAGAAACATGTTTAGCAGATTCTAATTCTGAGCCTTTAGACTTATAGAGTTCATCTAATTTCTCGAGATGAGTACCAATCTCAAAAAGAGACTTTTGAATTTCATTCACAAATGCCAAAGCTGAATGGTCATTACTTAAAATTGAAGCGATAACCTCAATTTTCCCGAATACAACATTCACAATTTGTACTATATTAAGAACTAAGTCATTTTTAGTTTCTATTCCAATCTTATTGTTAGTAGGAAAAACAGAATACTTGATATCTCCTATCTTTTGGTGGATTGTGCTCAATTGTTTTGACAGTGTTGCAATTAACTGCGATTCGTTATTTGGCTTATCCTTTTTTGAAACAAAGTCATGAACTGCTTCTCCTAATTGAAACAAACTTTCTCTAAGCTCCTTATTTTCCTTCTCCAAATCACTTTTTGAGGAATTCACGCCTCCCTTAAATTGATCCCCTACATTATTTGAAAAACTAAAATTTGAATCATGAGAACTAGGGAATTCTGGAGTCGTTATTCCTGTATTTTCAGGAGCACAACATAAGATTGAACCAATTCCACCTGAATTTGGGCTTTTTACGCCAGAATTTTGTCCACCACTTGGCTGAGCACCGCAAGTCCCCATCCAGGGAATAAATGAGTTAAGTAACTTTGTCCCTATTCCTGTATTGTATTTTTCTCTTTCTGGAGAAGGCATTGGGGAGGGGGAAACGTTCAAGTTCTGTGTTATTGGAGGTCCTGGGACTGAAACACCATTAATACTTTGGTTTTGAGCAGTAAATGTTGACATCATCAATTCTTGAGCTGGAGTAAGTTGGGTTCCTAAGCCAGGAGGATTTCCCATTGCTCCTGGCCTTGGAATTGGTACTTGCCTTGGAAACATTTGTGATTGTATATTCGGAGGTATATGGCTTGATCTTTGTGGCGAATGTGGAGTACTGTATACTCCCATTCTTGGAGCTGCACCTGGAAATACAGGACCATTTTGCCTTGCTGGCATTCCGCCGGCCATGGGACTTGGAATTGCCCCCCAAGGTTGAGCATTGAGTGGCATTTGTTGCATTTTTGGGATGCAAAGTTCCACTTCTATTATTAGTTACTTTACCTATTAAATACGTAAATCTACAATTCCCGCTCCTAATTTGATTTTTTGCTTTTCTATTATGCCATTTAGCCTTGTATTAATATGTTATTTTATTGACCTTCAGTATATGTCTACAAAATGTCCATATTAGAATTATTATAATATAAAAAAAGGCTGAAATAATTAATTAAACTTTAATAGATTAACTAAGAAATCGTTAAGAAACAATCATTAAATGAGTAAAATAACATATTTGATTTCTAGCTATGATTCCAATTTTTACCTAACCTCATCTCCATAATTTTTGCATGCACACCTTTTGGCGGTAAACTAGTTTTTAGATCAGTAGGAGATATCAAATAAATAGGAGAACGAGCTTAAATAAAACTTTATTTTTGCGCCAGCAAAAACTTTGTATTTAAGAGTTTTTAATTAGAGATTTAACTTTCTCCTTAAAGTAGTAAAATTTTGACTTTTATTTATTGACTCTTCTAGTTAATTTCAAATGAGAAAAACTACAAATATAGAAAAGAGAAAGTGGAGTAACCACCTTTCTTAAAGGCCTGGGAAGTTGCAAATTTCTTTAACCAACCACACATTTTAAAAGGATTTGTGTCTTTTTGTGAGAGGTTAATTTCTTATTCAACGCCGTAATTGTACTTTGCTGTTATAGGTGTGGCAAAATATAAACAGATATTTCCATGGGTTTCTAAAAGTAACTAGAACTTTATGGATGATTAATAAAAGTTATTTTCTTTTACTAAAAAAGTTGATTTTGACGTATACAAGATTTATTAATACTTTAGTAAAAAAGAAGCAAGGGGGATTAAATAATAGCTTATTGGACACACAAAGAGAGTGTTTGAAGTTATCTATTGCAATTAGGAAATATCTATCTTTTTTTTAACCCACATGGAATAAGTTGGGAGTTTATTGAGAACTAAGAAGGTGAGATGAATAAGATTTTATTATGGGAGTTCGAATTTGAGATAGTATTTTCGGACAAATTAGCGAAATATTACACAAAAGGTACGATCAACCAATATAAACCTATTCATAAATTGTACAAAAACGAAGAAAATTTAACAAAAAGAAATTTCGAATATTAGAAATAAGCATTAGGAACTATCAAAATAAAATACATTAACCCGTGATTTTTTTTGAATAATTTGAACATGTACAATGAAGTTGCACATGAATTGATTCTTGTTAGCAAATTTTATAGATGGTGAAAGGATTAGTGTTTACATACTATCTCATATAATGACTCAATGTAATTCCTCTATCCTGTCTCAATTTACATTGTTCGCTGCACTACTAGAAGATTGCGAATGATTATCACTTATATTAGTAGCATTATCTCTAGATTCAACGGATGTGTGCCTTTGGACCGAACTTCTTTTGGCTCGGTCTGTCCCAGAAGCATCTGAGAATCCTTCAGAATGATGGCTTGCTTCTGAGAGACGGCTTCTTCTCCTGAGTTCTCTCTGCCTGATTCCCCTTCTTATATATCTATCATTCATCTTAATGGATCTAGCTATAGGTGAAAACCCAACAACAAGACCCAATAGAAGGCCTAATATCAAACCTATAACCCATGAAATTGTTCCAGAGTGAGCCATAAGACCAATAGAAGCTCCTGTTCCTAGGCCACCAATACCTCCTAAGGCTGCTCCGAGCCTGCCGACCAACAGTACCGACATGAAGAGATTTGAGAGAGATCCACCAAGTGAAAGCGCTCCAGCAAAGCAGGATGAAACAAGCCCCCCGACAATCATACCAACAAAGACACCAAGACCTCCACTTCCCACTAACCAGTATCCTCCTCCTTTCCAGAAATGATTTGACTTGAGGCCAAGAGAGAACAAGGCTGACTGCCAATATATAGCTAAGAATGCCATTACCAAATAGGCCACGAAGGATATAATAGATCCACTCCAAACCGGCCAGCAACAGCATCTGGTAAAGCAGAATCCACATTTTGTTTCTTCTTCAGTTAAAGGAGCATTTCCTGAGGAACTGGATGTAACCGGAACTACTTTAGTTGTCTGAGAAGATTGAGAACTCGCAGTGCTTGCACTGGAACTTGATTCTGATTTCAATATTGGAACACTTTTGGTCATTGACTTAAATCCTCCGGTGGAATTTAGACATATTTTGGTGCTATTATTTGCTTGAATAAACGCCAAAGAGTATTTTGAAGACTTTGTTGTTTGCATGCTTGGAACACTAATTATTGAACATTCTGATTTCTCATCATCGAAATTTAATAGTCCTGGAGCTCCAGAAGATCCAATGATTATCTTCTCCATATTTTTCAGTTCTGAAAAATGGTTTGAAATCACAGTTCTATTGCTAGATATTGGTATTTCAACTTCCTCCTTTTTTTCGATTTGCTTCCTGTTGATATTTTCTGTATTATTTTCTGGTTCCTCATTGTCGTCTTCCTTTTCCTCTTCATCTTCTGTTGTGCTCACTATATTTTTGTTTTCAATCTTAGAGCTGCTAGTCGGACATTTTTTCAAAATTTCTGGGCATTCCAATTCACATACAGACAAAACCATGATTTCATTCGAGAGGGTTCCAATATCAGAAGACTCTTCGTTACATGCTAGAGTACAAAATAGGTTCTTTAAAAATGAAGAACACTCAGAATTTTCACCTCCGTTTGATTTAGAATATTTTTCTGCCATGGATAGTAACTTATCAGAACAACAGGCACATGGATTTTTAGAGCAATCATCTGAACTTGTAAGCAGAGGGGTTTCTGCATCAACCTTGGCTTCAGAGACTATTGGAACTCCATTTGTGAACTTATAAGTGCATACTTCCAAGAAGAAAAAAAAAAATAATTGGAATAATAAACTTTTTAATGCATACATTTATTTTCAGATTACATCTATCCTATTTCTTTATCTTATTTCCAGTTTAGTACTGGGTAATTCTTAGGATGAATCACTTTTGAATTACAACATAAAGAACTTAAGCTCCAGCAGTCTTCTACTGTGATTCTTGGCCAGAAACTTGTATCTTAAAAATCCCTACTTTCTGGTTATTCAAAAATATTCTCCTTTTTAATATTTATTTCCGCCTCGATATTCAATTTCTCGAAGAAGACATGTAATACATATACGTATGCCTAAACTGAGTTTTTTTTCCAATTTTTAATTTTTTTTAATTTTTAAATTTTGTTATTTTTACAACTATTTAAGATCTAAACTTTGAGTTCAGTTTTAAATTCTTTTACTCTCCTAACTGTTTTTTTCTAATGAATGATATTTGAATCAGCTATCTCTTAAAAAAAAAATCAAAAACTTCCCGCCTGCTTTTATAGATTTGCATGCACCTAGTGATGCTAATTGAAAAAAAAGCAATTTTTGAGAATTGGCGAGAAAAAAAAAATGATAATGGATTTAGAAGTTAATAGATTATTATTTTTTTAGATTGATTATAATGAATTTGAGAATTATACATGGGAACCAATAATTCAAAAACCTTAGATATTTAGTGTGTGCATCCAATATTCATTAACATTATATATAGCTATAATTTAGTTCAAAGACATCAAAATATCTAATAAGTGCTGGTCAACCGGGGTCTTGTTTAAAATTGACTCGCATATACTAATTGCTGTAGCTTCGTCAAATAATTTTGCTAGGTACAACAATAGATGAAAGTCGTTAAGGAGATTATACGAGGTCATAGGTACTGAAGTGAGCCTGGATTTGATAAATTCTGAGACGTCACTGGGCTTTTGAGCAATAACTCGATTTTCTTTGGGGAATTGCGATGAGGAAAAAAAAGGTTTCGGTTGGATAGGTGCGGACTCATTTATTCGTACTATTAGCCAGTGAGCATCAAATTTTCGAGTTGAGACACCCTTTTCTAGGATTTGAGGTAGAATCTCTCCCTTTTCCTCTTCTCTAATCACAATATTCGTATTATCCTCTAATCCTTTCTCATCAATTAGTTTGTCTCTTAAAAAAGCTAGTCCAAGGTCAGATACTGCAAATGCATTTGGTATGGGGTCTCCTCCTTTAACAGACTTACAAGGAGCAATTGTACAGGAAATAAAACTGCTGACAGGATAGCCAGTGTAATGTTTTGTTTTTAATGCTTCTAATTGAAGTTTCCCAAGAGTAACAATTTCATTTGAAGTTAGAACTTCGTCTCTCTCATTGTGTGTAAAAACCAATCCCAGACACTCAAGTCCAAGAGATTGGGCAATCTTGTCTACCGAGGACTTAAAGTGATCATTTTCCAGAATAAGCTTTCCAGGTTCGGTATTATCATCTTGTGGAGGCTCGTAAATTGCTTCCATTACAGCTCGAATGCCCATAGGGTATGTGCTGTCTTCTCTGTAGTATCCGTACATCCAACCAATTCTTTGTTTTAACATCCCTAATGTTGACCTCCAGTAATCGACAAACTGCATTGCTTCAGACAAATTCATCATTTCAAGGTGGTCAACATGACGATAAGGTTGGTGCTTTAAAGTAACTGAAGGAGGTATCTTGTTCATTACTCCTTTTGAGATAAAAAAAGATTTGTAAGATTGCTTTAGAGGTAAATCATCAGTTACAAAACTTCGTTCACTTAAAAACGAATCGAATGATTTAAAATGTGGTCGTTCACTTTTCTCCAAAGCATTATTTGTATTCTTAGAATCTAGAGAAGAAGAAGAGGATGAGTTATTTGAATCTAAAGGTTTCTTTTCTAGTGGAGGAAGATCACTTGTAGTCATATGCTTTGGCCTTTGGATATTTTGTGCAGAAATCTGAGGAGTTGCATCAGTAATTAAATAAACTATTGAACCATTAGAGAGCCCATGTTGGTGCATACTAAGAGAGTCGCCCTTTAGCAGTTTATTCCCATAGGAGTCTAAGCTCAGAAGTTGCTGTTCTTCAGGAACTTTAAGCGACTGAGCTATCTTTGACTTTAAGACTGAAAGGTTACATGTTGAAGGAATAGTCACCCTTGATCTTCCAGATGAGGAGAAAACTCGAATAATCCACTCTTCGTGCATTCTATAGGATTAATTTAAGTCCCAGGTGTCTTTTATTTAGAATAACACTTTTTATATTTTGATTAGATTTTAGTTAAACCTTTTAATTTGTAAATTAGATTTTGAGTTTAGACTATAATCTTACTTTATTGTTCTCAAGAAAGAGAACAGAGGCAATAAAAAGTATTATTTACCAGAGACTCACTTTTCTAGCTAATTTAGGGGGATAAGTTATTTTTTAATTTTTTGCAAATTTTTTTATCCTTTAACTATAGAGAATAAAAAAATTCAATGCCAATGTTTTGTGCACCCCCCCACCACGTGGGGACTGAGGCTCGACAGGCTTAAAGTACTAAAAAATAAAAAAGTGAGATTCAATAATTAATAAGAAAGATTTAATTACAATTTGTCTATAAAGATAAGGTAGCTTTATCTCTCAAGGACAGAATCAAATAGACTTGCTCGAATTGTTCGGCAAACTTCGTGCTGATTTGGCATAGAAATTTAAGAAGCCAAGTAAAAGTAATATTTAAAATATGCCTAGAGAATTGGTTACATTACAGATTGGACAATGTGGGAATCAGATTGGTATGGAGTTTTGGAAACAACTATGTACTGAACATGGCCTGGATGTTAATGGTACAGTAATCAAAGACAATGGCCCACTAGAAGATAGAAAAGATGTTTTTTTCTATCTTTCGGATGATAGCCACTATGTTCCCCGTGCCTTGCTGTTTGATTTGGAGCCGAGAGTACTGAATAGTATCAAGTCAAGCGAATTCAAACACCTTTACAACCCTGAAAATTTTTTTATTGGAAAAGAGGGCGGTGGAGCTGGAAATAACTGGGGTTGTGGTTATGACACAGGAGAGGAAGTTTATGATGAAATATTGGATATGATTGATAGGGAAGTGGAGGGTTGCGAAAGTATGGAAGGATTTGTTCTTTGCCACTCTATTGCTGGAGGTACCGGCAGTGGGATGGGATCGTATATTCTGGAACTATTAAACGAGCATTACCCAAGGAAACTAATTAAAACATTTTCAGTTTTTCCGATGTTAAATAATGAGAGTTCTGATGTAGTAGTTCAGCCATATAACTCCGTGTTGACCCTGAAGAGATTGGCTTTGAACGCAGATTGTGTTGTAGTGCTTGATAATACTGCTTTAAGTGGGATAGCTGAAGATCGGTTAAATCTGACCAACCCAACATTTGCTCAGACTAATGCTTTGGTAAGTACGGTAATGGCCGCTTCAACCACGACACTTAGGTACCCAGGATACATGCACAACAATTTGGTCTCATTAGTTTCTACTTTAGTTCCAACCCCAAGATGCCATTTTCTGGTTACATCATATACTCCTATTTCAATTAGTCAAAACATCCAGCAGAACGTTAGAAAAACAACAACTCTAGATGTTATGAGGCGACTTTTACAACCTAGTAATATTATGGTAAGCACGAATATGAGAAAGGGAACCTATATATCAATTTTGAACATTATTAGAGGAGAGACCGATCCAATGGAAGTACACAAGAGTTTACAGAGAATAAGAGATAGGAATATGGTAAGATTTATTCAATGGGGACCTGCAGCAATTCAAGTAGCTCTTTCAAAGTATAATCCGTATAGTAGTCAACATAAGGTGAATGGATTAATGATGGCCAATAATACTGCAATAGCTGGTTTATTTCAGAGATGTGTGGCTCAGTTTGATAGGTTAATGAAAAGAGGGGCCTTTCTTGATAACTATAAGAAACAATCAGTGTTTCAGGATGGTCTTGATGAATTTGAAAATGCAAGAGAAGTAACTGAAATGTTAATTGAGGAATATAAACGAGCAGAGAGGAATGATTACATGCTTGCAGGTTATAATCCAGAATCCGCTTCAAAAAACTTACTATTGGAAGGTTCAGAAAAGCGAGAACCTTCATTAAATGAATATTCTGACGACTTATCTAATTATTACACTAAGGAGAATAACCCTAATTACAACATTTATGGCTAAAGAATAAAATATTAATTAAATAATTCGGATAGACTATAAACATTAATTAGCACTAGCCTCGACTATTTTCCGCGCACTTCTCCTTTCTTTTCTTAGTCTTCTCTTTTCAGATCTCCTCATACACTTAGGATACTCAATTTTAGGATCTACCACCAATGTATGGATGCTTGGAAGCTGAATTTGAACTTGAGGCGAATCTTTACTGTTGATGTCTAAGTAGGGAATATCAAATTTACTTTGGCTGGAATTTATAAGTTTTGCCAGGCAGGACCTAGTAACCTCATATGTGTATTCAGTTCCTTTTAAACCAAGAGTATTTAGTCTTTCAGGTTCAATTTTTCCTCTAAGTCCTACACAAGACATAGACAAACTTGAACCAGGATGCCACTTGACCATTTCGCCATTATTGGCCAAAATGATACATGGAACATTCCTAATTTTGCATGCAATCAAAATATGATTTCCAATTCCGAGAGAAAAAAGCTTTTGAGTGAATATGACTCCAACAATATTCTTATCTATATTTCGCAAAACTTCGTTACATCCAATATAAAAGAGCCCCCTGGACCACTTTGTATCCTTGTTTCTTATATCCCTAACAATACTATTAAAAATAAATTAGTTTTTTTTCAAATAAATGAATTCACTTACCCATTAAATTTGCTATAAAATAATCCTTGAGCATCCTGGCTTAGTGCTTGCCTAAAAATTGGAAGTATTGTCCATACCTCTAAAGAAAAAATGCCCAGAATTGTAAGCCAGGCAAAACTTACCACTTCGTGCTGGTGCTTGTAAGTAGACTATGTCTTGTTCTTACAGGGTTCCTTGTTCGGCTACTTCCTTTGTTGCTCGCATTCATTTGACTAAATCTTGCTTGCATAACCCGCCCATGCATTCAGCGCCACAAATTGTGGCGGTATCTATGTATAAATTTGTGGGCTATAGGATCAGGAAATAAGTAACTTTAAATAAGAAAAAAACCTGAAAAAGGGTAGAATAGTATTTGAAAAAGAAGGGTTGGGAAGTGTTTTGGTGCCCATCGGAATAGCTTTGAGATCAGCTTTTTATCTGAGAGGGTCTTCTTGGATAGGTTGTATTTTTAGGGTTAATCCACACCCTTTATGATGAAAGAAAAATATAAGACATTTTTTAGTTTCAATGTAGATATATTAAAGGATGAAAGGACAAAGGGCAATAATTCCTCTTTGAAGAACGATGAGCTATCATTCGAAGAAATTGGGTATTTGAGATATCAATTAAAATACCATGAATTTAACAACCTTCAAGGTGTCGATAAGGAGAATGTAAGTAAGGTTTGCCAAAAAAGAACCTTCTGCAATTTAACTAATAATGGAGATTGGGTTAAAAAAGACATTGATTCTAGACGGATTTCTATATTGGAGTCAATTAATAATGAGAATAGCGAACTAAATAAAGTCTGTGAAGTAATTGAGTCACTGAACCTAAACTCTTCACAAAAGGAGCAAATTGGAATTTCTCCAGCAAGCTCACAAAGTTCTAATTACACTGTGTTCAAGCTGGGAAGTTGTGGTAATTTTGATAAAAGCGAGGAAGGGGCTACTTTTCATTCTGAGGGTAATTATTATTTGGTTTCAATGTTTAGTGCCTGTAAGTATAATTCTGAACAAGATACAAACAAATATGAAAAGTCCCTTTTTTCTATGGGATTGGTTTCAACTATGAATCCTTATCACGTGAGATCTCGCTCATTTAGAGAATCTATCATGCTTAATTACATTAATGAGAGATACAATAATTATTCAAAGCTACAAACTTTCGCTATCCCTTATATGCTTTACCAAATTAATCTGGCTTCTGCCAAAAATAAGAATGATATTCCTAGTTTAAATCAGAGCTCATTTAAAACAGGTTACTCTTTTACCTTGGAAATCAACCAAGGTTATAAACGAACTTTTATGCTTAAAAAATTGATTGGATCAGGAGCAAATGCAAGTGTATTTTCTTCCGATGTTTGTACCATAGTAAATGAAAAACTTGTGAGTGTATTTTCATGTGCAGTTAAGATTCAACATAAAGACCTTGGACTTAATATTAGAGAAATATATTGTGGGTTATCTCTCTATAAGAGAAATAAGAAACGCGAGCCAGATATTAATTGGAAGGCTTCTTTAGAAATTGAGAAACCTTTGATTTCAAATGAATATCAAACAAATAGTTTCAACGAGGCTATTAAAAAAGGATCACCATTAGTTCAGAAAACAGCTAGAAGTTCAATAAGCACGACTTATTTACCAGGAAGCAATATTCCTTCTAGTAGAAACTCGTTAAATTCGTTTGTTGCTCCTATGGAAATTTTAAATGAAAACCATTCAAGCGAAAATATGTGTAGAAACTCATTGAATAACCTTATACAAGCTTCAGGTGTAGGATTTTACGTAAACTCAACTAATACACCGTTAAATAATTTAAAAAGGAACTCGGTATCTTCTGTGAAGACTGCTAGCAGAGTTTCCATTTCCTCAAACTATACTTGCAATTATATGGACTCCTCTTCTGATAGAAATTCTTTGATCGAGCCAATTGAAATCGGAGTGGGCGTAACTGTATTTTGCATTACCGAACTGTTTATAGTTTCTCAAAGCTCATCAGGGATGATCCAGAACATCTTGACTAGGGAGATGATGAAGGGCAACCGAGAACAAGAAAAAAAACAAAAAAATAGAGAGTTGAATGACCACAATACGTCTGTAGGTATTTCTATCTTGCCTACATTCTTTGGATCACAAAGCCTACAGAACATACTAAACGAACACTACTTAAAGAATGGTGCAACTGTGGAAGAACCTATGTTATTATTTCTTACTTACCAATTTGCCGAAACCCTTCTTGCATTGAATGAAATGAAGATTTTGCATGGAGATATTAAACCCGACAATATCCTACTTTATCCAAATCCTAGTTTTGATGGGGAATGCTGGAGTAATGGTTCAAATTTGCTTACTCATCATCCACTCATTCCAGAAAATCATGAATTACCAATCTTCATGTCAATAATTGACTTTGGAAGAAGCTTGGATATTGGAGAAGTTTATAAAAACACATTTTTTGAAGGAAATTGCCATGCAAAAGGCTTCCTTCCTCCTGTGATGCTAGAAAATCTCCCCTGGATCCACCATATCGATATTTTTGGCATTGCTTCCACAATCCATTGTTTAATTACGGGAAGATATATGGAGCTCACAAAGTGGAGCGATGAAACTCTCAAATGCTTAGAATATGAACACACTATTAACAAAGATGGTGATTACATTCTTAAAGTGTATAATTATAGAATTAAGAATCAGAGTTCATGCCTCAAAAGAAATTGGAAAATGGAGTTTTGGAGCAGCTTTATGGCTAATTGTATCAACTTTTGCCCTATCCTTCACTCTAGATCTTTACCTAATACTAATAAATTCCAGAATCCTCTCTTTTATAACAATGAAGTTGAACCAACGCCAGAACAGACTAAAAGTTTGCATGTTTCACAATCCATTGACGAAATCTCACAAAACATCCGTTTTTTCCTCAAAAAAGTTCAAGCAGATATCGTCTCAATTTTCCAAGAAGATCAACAACTTAAGACCACTCTTTATAAGCAGCTCTTGAAAACTAGAAAACAACTCCAAAACATTTCTGCCTCAAATTAGCCATTTCTCTCAATGATTTCATTGAACCCTGATCTCATTAAAAGGTCTGTCACTCAAATGACCGCCATTAATGGGCGGTAAATGCATGCATATATGTGGGGTGGCAATAGTGCCGGGGTAAATAATTAGTACTAGGCCAATAATTCTTGGGTGAAAATTTTGCTCTTTTTTTGTTTTGTTTTTTTTTTACTTTTTTTAATTAAAAATTTGGTCTCCTTGCCAATTTTGACAGGGTCTAAAGGATGCTAGGAGCCCAACAACAAAAAAGAATAGAGTCCATTCGACAGGAATTGGACTACTGTCTACATAAGATGAACGATGTTGACAGTGTTGGAAGAGGTAGGTTTTAATATGTTCCGAGTAAATTTTTGGCATGGACTAACCTGTAATCTTGACACGGTTGTAGGGCTGGAAGACCTTAAGATTTTGGTTGCAAGGATGGAACTGGCGGACATCCCTGGAGTGCTCTCAAGCGGTCTTTTGGACTCGGAAAAGATGAGGCCTATGGGCAGGAGGTTTAGTGTCAAGGTAGTTGACTACATTGTCGAACGCTTTGGGACTGAACGCACCTTACCATATATAAACTCAATAATGGCATTCTTAATTCAAGGGTGTAAGGATATGGAAGTGCATGTCCAAAATTCAGCAGTCTCAACAATAGGATTAATTGCCAGTTCTTTTCTTACCGAAGAAATTTTTCAATTCAATCAAGACGTTGTAGATTATTTCTTTGACCCGTTAATTCATTTTTCAAAAAAGGAAAGCAACCCAACAATTCAAATTAGTTCAATTGCAGCGATTAGTTCTGCAATAGATGGGATGAGTACAAACCTAGTTATTATGAATCTTAATAAACTCATGGGAAGCTTAGTTCCGATTATGATGAACCCTAATACTTCAGAGGCATGTAGAGCAGTCGTAATTGATACATTAAGGAAGTTAGTTGTTCTAGTTTGGACCTTTTTACAAGAAACCTCTTTTGGAAGTTCGCCAAACATGTATGACCTTAAACAAAAGCAAAGCGTTGACCCAGAATTGAATATTAATGGGGAAGGATCCGAATTAAAGCAAGTTGAAGGTATCAGCGATCATCTAATTCTTCCAATTACTTGGAAACAAATATGTGGTATTTTTAACGGGATACTTAAAGAATTGCATCCAAACTATACCACAAATAGCAAAAATATTAATGTTAGAAGTGCATCTCTTTCTCTTCTAACTGAAGTAATGGTCTGTTGTTTTGTTGCACAAGCAGGAGCTCTCTTAGCTGCGCATAACAGCAATATTCCTTTACAAAAACCAATTGATGGAATCAAAACTTATGCAGAAGTTATAATCAATGTAGTAAATCTTGGAGCTAAGGATAAGTCACCCAAAGTTAGGGAAGTTGCTCAGTATTGTATTAAAAGACTTCAAGAAGCAAATGAAGCTTACATCCCTAATGGTGACGAAATGATGGGTTTTACTCCAAATATTAAAATAATAGAAAAGGAGCAGCTTAATAACCAAAATGTTTCGAAAGTTTCTAAATTTCGGAATAGAATTATGAATGAAGATTTCTTTAAAAATGCAACCGACGAAATCTTAGTTAAACATGTTTCACCTCCCTCCAACTGGAGACAAATTCAAAACAGCATTATGGAAGGCCAGGGCCAACAGATAAAGTTAGACACAACAACAAAGAGTAGTGAAGAGGACCGAGTTGATAGAGAGGAACAATATTGTGCGTCAGTTTCTAGCATTGCAGAAACTCAATCGGTCCATAGCAACAACAATGGTAACTTAGATACAAACGAATCAATTGGTCAAGTTAATACTAATATTCAAAAATGCCCTATTTCACATATTACTGAGACTTTAAACCAAAATCTTGTTTTACCAAGTTCTAATTATTCTTCTACAGTATCGTCAAATATCAACACTCCTCTTCCATCTCCTTTGTATATTGTTGCTCAGCCTCCTGTCATACAAGGCCATATGATGAACTATTCAGGTATAAATCAAGAATCAAACGAGAAACAACTAATTCTAGAAAAAAAGGTAGAAGAACTTAGTAAAGAACTAAAAAGACTTATCATAAGGCAAAACGAACTGGAGAATGTTGCCCATGTACTGAAGATGGTTGCGATACAGAGAGTGGACTCCTTGGAAGAGAAGATAAAAGGCTTGTCTGATTCTTTTAAGGAGACAACGAAAGAGACAAAGTCGGAAATAGACAAGATCCAAAGTGAGAAGATGGATTTGGAAGAAGATTTGAAATACTTGTCTTCACAGGAGAGAAAGGAGATGATTGGAGAATTTCGTAGGCAACTATACAACAAGGCAAAAAAAATAGTAGTTGAAAATAAGTAGGAATCTTTAAAGTAATACTTTTACTACCTAAGTATTTTGTTTTTTTTTTAAACCCTAGATTGAAAGTTAAAACTCGAAGATTAAATTGTTGTTAATCCGACTTCAAGCTGCTCATCTTTGGGATTTTCTCGAAGCTCTTATTGAACTTCTTTGAGATATTGTCAATATGAGGGGAAACTTTTGGTCCAACAATGCTTGTGTAGAAAGAGTTTATGTAGTTCTTAAGTAAAAAAATGTTTACTGCGACAGTTGTGAAAACAAAGAATCCAAGATTTCTGAGGAAAATTGATGAGAATGCCAATGCTAAAAATAAAACAAATGAGACAAATGGGAGTTCCCATGAAATAGTATCTATAGCAAATTCGATCTTCTTATTCATACATTCTGCAATAGAGCTACAGTGTTTTTCAAGCATTTCAGATGTTACCAAATCCTTTTTCTTAATAGCTTCAAGTTTTTCTGGAGCTACCTTGACACAAATCCCTCCTGCTAAAATCATCAGAGAGAACATTGAGCAAATAAATCCAAAGAAATTTCTCCCAAAGAAAATCATAAAAGCATTAAATACGGTTGAAGCAACAACGGATTTCCACAAAGATGACCCATTAAGGAATCCCTTCATCACGCAATCACATTCTGTCATTTTTCGTCTAACTTCCTTTTTAACTTAACTTAATTTATGTATTCTCAGAGAAAATTTTTGAAAGTAATTCAACTAACAATTGTATTCTCTAATGTCTGTTATGTCTTTCCCTAAAATAACCAACGAGAACCCCCAACCTATTTTTTTGCAACTTTTCAATAAGGGGGGTATACCTGAATACAAATACACAGAAGTTCGAGACTAGTTGGCGCCAGAAGCATAAGTGAAAAACTAACTACACAAAAATTGTAAATAGCTTGTAATAGAATTATAAGGGTCGTAGTTTCGTATTTATGAATATTAATAAATATTAGCTCGTAGATTTAGTTATTCTCTCGAGATGATAGTGCCACTAGAAAATCTGTTGAGGTCTTTATTATATTATTTACAAGGTTGTTTGGGTACTCAACAAGCTCAGAATCACCTAGATACCTATTATTAAGCTCAAAGTAGATTGGAGAGGGGCGGATGTTCACATTGTAAATAGGGATCTGGTTGTTGTATGCATAGTGTAAGCAACAATCCGTACAAAACACACTGAATGATGTGCCAATAAAAATCATCATATCAGCCTCATTCATCCATGTTTGGGCCTTTCGCCATTGATAGAAAGCATGGCTAGTGTATGACTCGTCGAAGAGTAGGAATAGGGGTAGTGAAGGAGAACTGCAAGAGGGACAAGACCATTTCAAGTAAAAGTTTTTAGAGATTTTATTTTCTTGATCCAAAATTTCTTTCCAATCTATATATGAATATTTTGAACAGGAATATTCACAATTGGGGTTAGTGCACCTAAGGTAATGAATTCTTCCATGGACTTCGATAATACTTTCTTTTGGGCAATTTGACTTCTGCATCAGTCCATCAATATTTTGAGTAATTACTCTAATTCTGTTGGGATGGTCAGAGCATAACTTCGAGAGAACTTTATGTCCTTCATTTGGTTCAGCTGTTAGAAAGCTATTCCAGAACTTGAAATTACTATAAAAAGTAGAGTACCATTTTACAGGGTCCTTTTTAAAACTTTCTATTGTTGCCCAGGCTTCTAGTTCCGAATTCCAAATTGCTGATCCATCACCACCGTTAGATTCCGATCTAAAGAGAGGGATTCCGGAGTCCAAACTGAGTCCTGCTCCCGTAATAAAAAGTATGTTCTTATTACTTTCGAGAATCTCCTTCTTCAGGCTTGTCAAAATAGCACCAACTCTTGTATTCATTTCTATTCATACCTACAAATTAATTTCCTTTGCACAGGAATCAATTTAGCAATCCTAATAAAACTCGAGACTATCAGGACCAAAAGAAGAGAAGGAGGTAAGATCAATATAGAAAAAAAATTGTTCGTCTCCACAACAAATGTTAATAATGTTGAACAGAGCGACGTCTGAATTAATAACATTAAAATATTAATCAGCGCTTAAATAGTTCATAGACTTCCTTTTCGCACTACTTAATTAAGAAATATCCATACTATCAATGGAATACCTCGTCAGTACTTAGTGCTTAACATTGATCATTGCCATATACAAATGGGCTAATTCCAATTCAATTTGATCATCAAAATTCCTAATTTCTTAATCGAAGTTATTATCTAAAAACTTAACCTCCATCAAATAAACTACAAATTAAAGTAACGTGTCTCAACTAAGAGTGTCCCGCTGTTGAAAATTTATTAATACAAGATCCATAATTAACGTCTGTGTGCTAGAGTGGTGTGGTGACCGAGTGGTTAAGGTGGTGGCCTGCTAAGCCATTGTGCTCTGCACGCGCGTGTTCGAATCACGCCCACATCGTTTTTCTATCTAGGAAATTTTTTTGGTTTAATTAGAAAATATCTAGATATTAATCTACAATTTTCATATCTTCTAATATATTTACTGATATGTTTAGTATTAAATTCAGTAAGGTGTAAAAGAAAAAATACATTCATTCACAAAATTTCTCAGTAAATGTTTCCTATTTACCAATTCTATTTTTAAAAAAAGTGATTTCAATACTTTTAAACAAATTTATCCACAAAATCTGATTATTATTTATTTTCTCATCCTTCATATTCTCATTTCTATCGATGTTTTTTGTTATGGCATTTAGAGAAAAGGCGCCACGCTAAGTTCCCGGTTTATTAACATTGTGAGTATTGGAGTCTTTGAAATGAAATAAGTCATTAAACTATAAATCAGAAAAATTTTTTAAAGATATGGCTGACTCTGGAACTACTAGACAGAATAATAAGAGCCCTAGTGACTTCCTGAGACAAGTAATTGGAAGTCCAGTTATTGTGAGATTAAATAGCGGAGTGGATTATAAAGGGTTATTGGCTTGCTTGGATGATAGGATGAACATTGCCATGGAAGATACAGAAGAATACGTAAATGGGGTATTTGTAGAAAATCATGGAGATACCTTTATTAGAGGAAACAACGTTTTGTATATCTCTTCTCCACCCAAGTAGAAAGCATTTTAGAGATACCTTATAATTGGAAACTTAAATTAACATTTTTCAACTCATCTAAAGCTAATTAATATATTATTTAGATAGTTTTTTAGGATCTCATGAATTTAATTTTGTGTTTATTATTTGTTTTCCTTATTTAAATTACCTGTATTTTTGTGAAAACTTAGAATTGCGGTTTAAAGGCTTTTTTTTGCCTAAAGTCACTTTAGATTAAAAAAAATTAAAATTTGAAATAAGAGAATACAAGAAAATGACTGAGATTTCGGGCTCAATTTGGAATGCAAATAACTGGCATTGGGAAGAGAAGGATTATTCAAAGTGGGCTAAAGAAGAGATTAACACAATAATGGAGTCTATTAAATACTCTTCAGAGTCAACAACTCCTAAATTTGAACTATCTTTCTCCAACTCATCCATTAAGGGTGAAGCATCAATCTCAGTAAGAAAGAAACAACCAATTCTAGCCTATGAGTTTTCAATTTCAGGAACATGGCTTGTGAATGAAATGGAAACTAAAGAAAAGATTCTTCTAGGCCAAATTACAATTCCAGAGTTCTCTGTAGACAATTATGAGGATTTTCCTGTTACTATTACGTGTAAGGAAGTTTTAAATAAGAACTATAACTCAGATCTCATTCTTTCAGAGATAAAAAAGAAAGTTGTTGTACAGCTCAGAAAAAAACTAATGGAGTTTCACAATAAACTATTAAATAGGGAGAATGATCAAAGAAAGATTGAGAGTGAAAAAGCAAAAAGAGAGGAAGAAATTAAAACTGCAGAAATTGCTAGGATTGAAAAGGAAGAGGAGAAACGAAAAATTTATGTTCAACAGATTGAAAAAGAAGCTTTGATTAAACAGAGAGAATCTGAAGCATCAACGAAAACTTCAACAGATCCTCAAGCTCAAGGAAGTATCTGGAATACAAACAGTTGGCATTGGGAAGAAAAACCAGAAACCAATTGGGTTATTGATAAACTAACAAAGATGATCGAAGAACTCTCTCTAAAAAAATTGGACTCAAGAAATTCGAATTTAATTCCAATTAGTTTTTCCGAAGTTAAAGTCACAGGAGAAGCATCTTCAAGTGTAAGAAAAGGCAAGAAGATTTGTGTCCTGGACTGTAATGTAAACGGAAGATTTAATGCAACCATTCAAGAGGGAACGTTTAGTTCAAACAAAGAATTGAATCTTAGTGGGTCCTTTTCACTTTCCGAAATTAATATGATGGACACACACGATTACGGAAGGAAAATTAACTTTGACTCAGCAGAATTGGGATTAAAAACCGCCAATATTTCTGAGTTTATTGACCTTAAAGAAAAACTAGAAAAACAAATTTTGGGATATTTGGATAATGTTATACAAGAGTTTTGTTTAGAGTTTCTAAATAAGTAGGCTTAGCTGTTATAATATTCGGATATACTACGTATCAATCTTTTACATGTATATATTACTTCGAGAATTCACTCATAGCCACATTGGTTTTTCCATCTCTTATATCATATACATAGAGAACAACCTTATTACCCTGAAGTGCCATGAGCATGAAAGAAGGAGTAGCATCTGGAGTCAATGCACTAAATGCCCCAGTTGCCGTTCCAGGGTTTAAAAATAGTTTACCGTTTTTCTCAAAAACTCTTAATTTATGTGTGTGGCCAGTTACTAATATATCACAGTCTAAACGTCTTTGCCATTGCTCCAACGAAGCAGGATCATCCCAGGGAAGAACCTGGTTTCCATGTATCAATCCTATTTTAAATTCTCCAATTTGTACGACCACATATTCAGGAAATACGCCATTACTTTCAGGGTCAGGATTAAAAATTGCAGAATCCAAATCTCCACTAACTATGTAGACATTTTTGGTAATATTTTTAAGCATCTCTACATATTCTTGTGAGCATACATTACCTGTGCAGAGAACATAGTTAATTTTATCAGTAGCTAGTAGCTCTCTAAAGTTTGATGGTAACTCTTTTGCTCCATAAGGAATTTTTAAATCACCAATCAATAGTACCAAATCGCCAAAGTCATTAGAGCTCATCCTAATAGGAGTTAATTAAACTTCGAATCTTCTTATTTAAAAAAGTTATTTAAATGATTTTTGCATATATATTTGCTTGAAAACTTATATTAATTTTTTTTAATCAATCTAGCTATGAGGATAATATTTCCTCTCAAGTGAAAAGAACTATTTTCTGAGCAAGAAGGAGTTGTATTACGAACTTCAATATATCTACTGTATAGTTTCCCACTTCTTCAGACACCTTAGTCTCTTGTAAGACCCAAGCTTTAAGTAAGACTCTCTCATACCCCCTTCAATACCCCCAACCATAAAATAGCCAGTGGATGTGGCGCCTAAAGTATGAATTTCCTGCATGCAATATTGATTTTTTGATCTAACAGAAGTTAATAGATAAATAAGAAAACTGTTTATTTTGGATATGTAACTTGGAATTTCCTAGTAAACTGGAGCCTTTCCTTCACGAAATATACTGTTAAAGTTAGGTAAATATGTCTAAGATGAAATTTTTAACGGATATATTTCTCTTTTGGATATTATCGTTGATATATTTTATCTGCTCATCTTTAGTTTTTAGGACTGAGGCATTAAGCAATTCCAGAGGTAATATCCCGCACTTAGAGTTGTTTAAAGGAAATAAGCAAGGTCTATTACGGCAGCACAGAATGGTTGGGGAGTTTTTAGAATGTACATATGTCGAACATATTGATCCGACTTCACAAGAAGAAAACGGTGAAACTTATTACCCAGGAACAGGGACTGATAGAAGTAAGAGTAGGGTTGTTTCTTTGGAATCAATTGATATTTCTGGTAAAATTATTAAAACTTTAGAATGTCAGAAGAATCTCATTAGAAATTGGATAGAAGATATCAATAAAACTTTAAAAGGAAATTTATTTTCAGTAATAGAAGTACGGGGATGGAGAGCTATGACAAGACCTCAAAGCTTATATGGAGAAGCGGACGAAATTTTAACTATTCTTGAGAATAAAAATTCCAGTCCTTTAAATAAAGTTAAAGAAGCTGTGGATGCATTTGATAAGTACGTCATGGAACTTTACGAAGCCTACTCAGAGTTTAAGAATTCTGAAGACAGACTTAAAGATGCTCAGACTGAAGAGGAAAGACGAACTAGGGCGCAAGTTGCTGTTTTAATTCTTGGTCAAAAGGAGAACAAGGCACTAGTCAATTTCACAAGGATAGTACGTAACAATTCAGATGACGCAAGAGAGTCAAAGAGACTTATGGAGAGACTTTTTTCTTTGCTGTCAAGTGAAAGCTACAGTAACAACATCCTTCAAGGTATAGAGCTTGTACAGATTTGCTTTTTCTTATTAAATGGTTTGAATGTTCTATCTGTATTTGAAGAACAGAGACTATCAAATAAGTTTCGAAGAGATATGGAAAGAAGAAATTTAACTTATCAGTATAAGATTGAAGATAAAACTCTATCAAAGTACCCAAAATTTTCAAACTCACCAAACTTTAAAAAGGTTACAGATTTTCTGTTGAGTACTGTTAAGAAATCAATTACCACTGAAAATGAAAAGAAGATCAAAGATGAATTTATTCAGATATTCGACAAAATTGTTGAAGACTTTGGTATCCGTTGTCCATATTTTCTTACTTCAATCTTGAGATCTGGAAGAGATAATTACTTTTTAAAAGGAGAAGAGATGTTTGATTACGACATAGTAAAGAATTGTCGTCTTGCATGGAGTGAAATATCCTCCTATTTGTATAAGGAAGGTCAAATTGTTCCTTCAGCAGCAATTAGACAAGCATTAAAGAAAGCTTTAAATAAGCATGTTAAGACTGTTTATATTTGGACTAGAAATGCTAGTGGTTTGTTTAAAAAAATTTTTGATCAATCTAGTTTTGAAAACTCATTTGATATCAGTAATGAAAAGAGGTTTATATCAACTTGTTCCGAAACTATTAATGGTGAAATTGGACTGGACACTCCCCATGCAGTTAGTTTGGACGAAATTGCAATTATATGTTTCAACTTCTTTAATCTTTTAGAGTTCTACACAGATCAATATAATTATGGCAATCAGGAAAAATTAGGAAAAGATGGAAAAACCATCCTGGCAACTAAGAGGTATGTAAATATTAGCACTTTACCATCAAAAATTAAAGCAAAGTCGTTAGATGTGGCTTTTTCTGAAACTCTGACCGGAATTTTGGACTTTCCACCATTTAAATCTAACGATCTTGATCGAACAGTTATAGGTATCCTTACGGAAAATTTTACTGAAACATGCACTCAACGTATAGAAACAGTGCTTGGTAAGTCATCTAAGTATAGAATAAGTAATCCTCAAATTATATGCGAAGAAGCCAGAATCATTCTTAAGGATTATAATATAATTTCTCAAAAACCTGAAAAAGTAGAGGGAACGATGGACATTTTTGAGCAATTTAATATTTTGGATACATCTCTTATAACAGAAACTACAAAAAGTGAATCTGAAAACTTAGATGCTGTTGGACATCTAAAACTTCTCCAAAGTAAGCTTGGTAGCTTACAGCCAAAGTCTCAGCGAAATCAAAGTAAAGATACGGGAATTTCTCCAATAAAAGAGTTGGATCCTATAAAAGCATATAATTTAGTACGTAAAATGCACTTAGATTGGATGGAGCAAATGAGAAATGATCCAAGATATAAAGGATTTACGGATTTAGAGCTGAAAAATAATTCTCCTTGGAGTAAACAAATGAGGCTTTGGCATGATTTAATAGTTCCAGAATTGCCCGAAGTTAGATATGCAGCATCTTATCTCAATGACAGGCCTTCTAGGTTTCCACTGATTTCTGGAGATAAAAGAGGAAAACATAAGAAAATCACACCTTTGGAAGAATTAATAAATGAAGATCTCGATCCAAGATATAGAGCTAGGTATTCATTAGTTGAAAATGGCCCATTTGATGAACAAGAATTTTATTACGATGACCAATATGACGATGTTGATGGAGATTCTATAGCTACTGAATTAGCTCAAACTAAGGAATATTACATTAAAACTCAAGATGGAAGCTACATAAAGAACAAAAAAGGAAGTTATATTAAAGAAAAAGATGGAAAATATACCCAAATTAATAAAGGAGATTATTTGAAAAAAGGAAGAAGCTACATTAAAAACAGAGATTTCGGGTATCATGCCGAAGAACTCGACCATTTTAATCCCTCAGGTGCAGATCGATATGGGGAACAAATTATAGCACAAAAAGTAAAGCCAAATAAAAAATATTTTGGTAGCCTACATAATTTAGGAAAAGATCATTTTCCCAACAGTTTATATGCTGGTAATGGGTGCAAAAATGAAGAATTACCTTTACTCTGGGGCCAAAGAGCAACCATTCTACACAAAAATATGATTAAAAATTTCAAAGAGGTCAAATATAGAGGAAAATATGGGCCGGGACATTTTATATCTATGGATGACATATGTTATATCTTTGAAAGAGATTTTAAGGTAAAAAGGAACTATTTCGAGGACATTTCCAAGGTTAATTTATTAGATTGTCAAAATTGGTTCACAAAATACCTTTCGAAGCTCTGGCCACCATTTAGCATGGAAAGTCTTAAAACCGATGTAAAAACCTTATGCTGGGATTCTGGATTTAGAAGTTGGTTGTAGAGGAATTTATAAAAATTCCATATTTCCTCAAGCATGTAGATCCACAACTTACATCGGCGCCAAATCTGTAGATTAACTGATATTATGTTCTATGAAAATTGGCTTATTATTAGATAATTAACTATTAAAATCTATAATTTAGTTAGAATACACATATTTTGATTCAAAAATTACTTTTTTAATATAATATGTAATTTTATCATGATTCAAAGAATTCGTCTTTTTAGACATGCATTTAAAAATATAAACACACAAATTCTAAGAACCAAAAGACCGGTTTTTAGTCGAATCAATAGCTTGAGTGGCATCGGAAATCGCGAAATTGTTGGTCAAAATGGAATTGAGCCAATATTTTCGGAACTTAGTAATGGAATGAGGGTGATTACAATTGACAATAACAAGAAAATAGCATCTCTGGGAGTCATCCTCAAGTTAGGTTCTAGATTTGAGTCAAAGAATTCTTTCGGATCGTCAAGAGTTCTTTTCAATATGATACTTTCCCCAGAAGGAAAAAGTTCACGGAATTCCTTAGCAAATAAACTAGCATCAAATGGATTGATGTTGGCAGGTTGTTTTGACAAAGAATATGTTTCGTTTATATTAGAATATTTGAAAGATCAAGGAATGGAAAATACTGAGGAGTTTCTTGATGGAATATTCAAATTCTACACAAAGAAATTCAATGATGAAGAAATAGAAATTACTAAGAAGAATGTTAAAGAGGAACTTTTGTTTGAGCTAGAGAACCCTAGTATAATGCTAAACGAACTTTTGCATTCAACAGCATGGAAAGAAAACTCTCTGGGTAAAAATCAAGCCCTTTTCCTTGACCAATTTTCGAGTCTAAATACCCAGAATTTAACGCACTTTAGAAATGCAAATCTTTTTTCACTAAACACTGTTATTGTTGGAACCGGTATAAGACATGATCAATTAATTAAAAAAATCATGAGTTCATCAAAAAAGTTTAATATTCTGGAAAAAAATTCCCTCAATAATTTAGAAAATAATGAATACAATATGGGAGCCCCAAAATATGTTGGTGGCTTAGTAAAAAATAAATTGCCTCATTATGGCTTTACAAATACAATGGTCGCTTTTGAAACTAATCTAAACTGGAAAGGACGCGAATTTGTCGCTTTGTCCGTACTCCAAGCCTACCTTGGTGGTGGGAGCTCTTTTAGTGTGGGTGGTCCTGGAAAAGGAATGTATTCAAAACTGTTCTTGGATGTTTTAAATAAATTTGATTGGGTTGAAAGCTGTAACTGTTTTGTTAATCAATATACAGGCACAGGATTATTTGGAATTCATGTTACTTCTTATCCAGGCTATTCATTAAAATCAATCAAAATAATTGCAGAACAGTTCGGTGAAATGAAAAATATCAGTGAAAGGGAGCTCGAAAGGGCCAAGAATTTGGTTTTAAGTACTATATATTCAGCTTATGAAAACAAGAGTCATTACATGGAGGAAATTTCCAAACAAATTTTGTCATACTCTGAGTATATTGAACTGGATGAAATAGTTAATTGTATTAAGAGTATAGGGATAGAAGACATCAAAAAAGTAGTACATTCAATCCTTTCGAATGCAGACAGGCCTACAGTAATTGTAGTTGGGACTGACGTGAACCAAGTTCCAGATTACAATTATATTGTTTCGATTATATCTAGACAGATTAACAATTGTTGAATTTAAGAAAAGAATATCAATTTTATAATTCAATAGTATTATTAAATATCTATATATTTAGCATAAGTTTATAATTTATATTTTGAATTCTCCTTTTTCCCACAGTAATCCTTCAGCAATTTTTGGCGGGTCTCCGTACCGCCAAAATATTGTCAAATAGTTGTAGGGATGATGGCTCATAGGCTACTAATACCAATTGTTGGAATTAGAAATTGCGATTTCTGAAGAAGCTCAAAATATCAAAATGGAAGATGAAAAGTTAAGCTCGGCAAATTTTAGCCGAGTTTCTGCCCATAGCCATATTAGAGGATTAGGTTTGAAGGATGATGGAACAGCATCAGATGACGGGTCTTGCGGAATGATTGGTCAACTACAGGCCAGAGAATCTGCAGGAGTAGTTCTGAGTCTAATACGTAACAAAAAGCTCGCAGGAAAAGCTGTATTGTTGGCAGGTCCTCCCGGTACTGGCAAGACAGCAATTGCCCAGGCTATAGCACATGAATTAGGTCCAAAAGTTCCGTTTTGCCCAATGGTAGCATCTGAAGTGTATTCAGCTGAGGTCAAAAAAACTGAAATACTCATGGAAAACTTTAGAAGAGCTATTGGACTTAGGATTAGGGACGTTAAAGAAGTTTACGAAGGAGAAGTTGTCGAATTAGTCACCGAAGAAACTGAAAATCCGCATGGAAACTTTGGAAAGGCAGTCTCGGCAATAGTATTGACTTTAAAATCAGCAAAAGGAACAAAAACACTTCGTCTTGCTCCTCAGTTAAACGATGTTTTTTACAAGGAAAAAGTCAAGGTTGGAGACATAGTTTATGTAGAATCTTCAAGTGGAATTGTCAAGAGATTGGGAAGATCAGATTCATTTGCCACAGAATTTGACTTAGAATCCGAAGAGTATGTTCCTCTCCCAAAAGGAGATGTTTATAAAAAGAGGGAAATTGTTCAAGATGTTACCTTGTATGATCTAGATTTGGCAAATGCTAAACCTCAGGGTGGCCAAGATATCATTTCTTTATTAGGTCAATATGTACGTCCAAAGAAGACGGAAATTACTGAGAAACTCAGGCTCGAGGTTAACAAGAGTGTAAATGAATATATTGATCAGGGAGTAGCGGAACTTGTCCCAGGTGTTTTGTTTATTGATGAAGTGCACATGCTCGATATCGAATGTTTTACATTCCTTAACAGAACTCTTGAAAGCTCTCTAGCTCCAATCGTTATTTTTGGAACCAACAGAGGCGTATGTACTGTTAGAGGTACTGATATGCTATCATCGCATGGAATTCCCGTTGATTTATTGGATAGGCTTCTAATTATTAGAACAGTTCCATACAACATTGAAGAAATGATTAGAATCGTCTCTATTAGGTGCGATATAGAGGGCATTAAAGTCGATAAAGAGTCTCTACAACTTCTGGGAGAAATTGGAAGTTCTACATCACTACGTTATATATGCCAGCTATTAACTCCTGCTTACATCATTGCAAGTACTTTTGGAAGAGAAAGCATTTGTAAATCCGATATCCAAGAAGTAGATAGTCTTTTCTTCGATTCAAACGCATCTGCCAGGAGATTAGCTGAAGACTCTAGTTCATTCATCCTCTAGTTAAAATATTATATAAATGCCTTCTTTTCTAATACTAAAGTTTATAGTAAGAATTAATAGCGATGCTAAAGAATTAATATTACTTTATCTAATACTATGTTCGAGAATAATTTCATAATTCAATTCTTATCAATAGTAATTGTGTAGGTTTTCTTATTCTCCCTTCTTAATTGCCACTCATCTGTGTTTTTACACGAAATCTTAACAACTTTGAGTCTGTAATATAATGAGCAGTTCAATGTTCTAGAAGGAATTTCAGCGAGATCTATTGTTTTGATGCAATTTCCTGAAATTCCAAGTAGTCCTCCTAAGAGTCCAGACTGTGTACATTGCCAAATTCTTAGAGCTTTTTCTGCTATCGAGTATGAAGCGAGGAATTCACCTTCCTTATTAAAACACAATGCATCAACCTGTTGTGTATGTCCTTGTAATACTCTCCATTTTGTTGCAGTCCTAAGATCATAAACAATAATAGAACGATCAAAACCTATTGCAAATCTTTGTGTATTTTGGTGGAAGGTGATCATTGGAAAGGCACTCACTAATATGAAAAGAACAGATGTAACTGCCGTTATTGTTCCTTTGCGTAATGTAGAGTCAAGTGGGTCCAAAAATCCAATGGAAATATCAACAACCATACTTAAATAAGGAAAAGAGTATTCAGGTAGACTAGATACAAAGTATACCAGCAATGATAATACGTTGCAAGTATAGTTTATTCCCATATAAGGATATGCAGTCCTTCCAGCATATCCGAGTATATAAATGTACGTTTTGGGATCTAACTGACCTATTAATTGAAGTAAATGTCTGCAGGAAGTCCAGAAAGGTGGATATTGTGCTAACGTGAGCAATCTTATACATAGACAAATAATACTATTTGAGACCTTAGTGCTCATACCTTTTTTATTGTTTTGTGGTTCTATATTGTTCTTTAAATCTTCGTTATCTACTTGGAAAAGATGAGCTGCCATGAAGATGTTGTTTTCCCAACTAGTAAGGCTGTTTCTCAATAAATTAGGAACACATGTATTCTCAATATTTTTTGCTTTTAGAAGACTCGTAAAGTTAAGAGAAAAAAGCTCTAATGCAAAAAGAAATCTCAAAGTATCCATAATACTAATATTATTATAATAAAAGTTTGCATCGTAATTGAGGCTACCTTTATATCCAGAAATTTTTGAAAGTCCAAAATTCTTAAAGTTTTCTGAACTTGAACTGATTATAATATTTGATTTGCTGGAATCGATGTTTAGGTTTTCCCAAGAATACCACTGTTCAGTATCATTCCTTCTAGCATATATTGGCTTAAGTAATCTTTTTTTCTCCAGTTGCTGTTTCTCAAAATTTTTTGAGAATTTTATTATGATCTCAATGTCATAGGTGGTAATGATACTTATCAAAAACGAAAGAATAATTTTCCCTATACAACTGCTATGAGTTCTTTTGAAAGGATGCTCATAAAGAACCATACTCAAAAAAAATAATGAAAGATCTTCTATGCTTAAATTAGAACAGTAATATTCGCCAGAATTCATAATTGGGAAGGGAAGTCTATAACCAATCATTCTACAAAGTGAAATACTACAGTAGGAATAAATTTTAGGATGGCCACGCCTACATGATTCATTCCAAGGAGGGATATCTTTAATTTCACTACCAAGTGTAGAGCATAAAGCTCCTCCAAAATCTGAGTTACTTGAAGTAGTGACTTCCTGTTCTAATAAATGCAAAGTCTCATCTTTACTTTCTTTATCTGCTGTAGATCCTGAAATTCTTAAGAATTCTCTAATTATCCCAGAAAGAGTATCGATTGCTATTTCTTCGCAATAAGACAACAATTCACTTGGAAGAGATCTAATTGCTAATTGTAAACAATATTTTGCAGATAGTCTTAAATATGGATTAAATACGTCTAATGTCATACCTGTGATTGAAAAGAGATGGAAAGGAATGAATCTGACTAACAGTCTTTTTTGTTCAACATGTTCAATTATCCATGATAATAGAAACTTATCTAAAAGCTGTATAGGCAAGTCCAAATTTGAATAATAAGTAAAGTAGTAATGTAAAATAACCATTTGAAGAGCAAGTTGGTGTGCCGAAAAGTGTTCTTGAGGTTCCTTTGACGGATCTTGTCTAAAAGACTCTATTTCATGTTGACATTCTAAATCGTTCCCAAACTCACAAGTATTGAAAGATTCCACAGAATCCTCAAATTCGAATGTTTTTTCCCCCTGATTCTTATAACCTAGAAATTTCTCATTAATATTTCTTTGGTTTAAAAATCTCTCTAACCAAATTTGATCCGAATCTTCAAAAGTGGAGAATTCTTGAATTAATCCATTAGAAAAGTTCAAGGTCGATTCGTATGTTCTTGATCTAAACAAAGAGATCGAATTTTCATAATTATCCGTAGAATCTCTTTTTATTAAACTTCTAGAATCAAAAGTTTCTCCTCTTTGAAGTGTTGTAGTTGAATTCAAGTTTACTTTTAAGTTTTGAGATAACTTTGAATTTTTCCTGTTTAAACCAGAATTTCTTGATCTGACTATTCTGTTCACTAAATGAGAAGTACAAGGAATTCCGGATAACTCTCCAATATAATAGTCATTTGTGTCTACTTCGAGATTCTTCTTCCTTTCTGGTAATCTGTTCCATTCAAAAAATGGCCTTCCTGGACAGCTACTAATAATATTTCTATTATTCGAGATATTAAGCCTGTTTCTTAGGGTTCTCACAGACATAGTTTTAATATCCAAATGTCTCATTATGTTTTCACTCCAGTTTTCGGAAACAAGGTATCTATAAGGAGGATTTCCTATTCCATCATAGGTGTGTGATCTAATCCTGGATTCTCTTGATCCAGAATATATGTTTCTGGAGCGATCTACAGATTCACAACGCTTTCTGGTACCCGAATTACTTTTTTTAGAAGTATTGAAGCAAAAGTCAGTTTTATCACGCAACTTTGATCTTAAAGTTTGTTTTATATCAAAAGTTTGCTTCTTCAAATTATTGCAGATTGGAATGGAAATTGCATAATTCACGCCTGTAATTAAAGTACTAAATCTAAGAATTGGTCGTACAGTAAGTGGAGCCATATTTGCAAAGAGTTTACTTAGAAATTCATTATTAGATCTCACAAAAAGAGGGAAAAGATGTTGTAGGTATCTTGAGGTTTTTGTGTTTTTCTGTTTTTTTTTTTCAATACTAACAACATCTGCTGATACATGAGGGTTAAATGCCATGAATGTAATACTCATACTAGAACGAACGCCAAGACATCCTTGATTAAAATTTTCTTGTTGAAAATCGAGTTTTGGCATATACCCTATTAATATAGATCCAAACATAACTCCGTGATCCAAAAATTCAATTCGGTTGCTAGTCTGTATAAATCTGTTTAGACTAGACATAATACCATATGATAGGTGGTAGTTTTGGTACTCGGATACTTTTAGTTCGAGGATAGAATTAAAGCTGATTTTTGCCAGTAATAGACATGAATCTTTGTCATATACAAAAACTATGTCTCTTTGCAATATAAAAATAAAGTTGGATGGTTTGTCAATACCAACTGAATTAATTCTGGACTCAATTGGGTCTTGTATTTTTTCTGTTTCTAAAGATAAACTTAATATTTCATAAGTGACTCCTTGGCATTCGGTATTGACCTTATCTTTTCTTTCATCCCAAATACATCTACTAATTGATTTAGACTCAGCTTTTGAGGTTATCTTATTTATCTTATTATCATTCACTTTTATTAAAAAACACTTCTTTTCTAAGGAAGAATGAACCAAGATTTGGAACTTGTCATATTTAGGTGTCCCAAGCTCTCCTAATCTGTTTACATCAAAAACAATTACTTTGTTAAGAGAAATCATATTTGTGAAAAACAAGCCATCTATCCAAGCTATTAGAGAAAATAGATTATTAGATATAACTTGTGTTTTATTTCCAGGTGAATGTTTATTTTTTGTAGAATTGATATTATGATTATGATTAAAGTTGCAATGTTGATCTTTATTTATAGATTCTCCTAAAGTAAATTTATTAAAAAGGTTCTCCATTAGATCCACTTTCCAAACTAGTACATTTCCACAGCAAGTTAGTCCAAAAATACAACCGTCCGTAATAGATTTTATTTCGATCACATTTGTTTTATGTCCACATGAAGATCTTGGCAAAGGAAGTTGGTAAACCACTCCGTTTTCGATATTTCCAAAAAAATGTTTATCTTCGTTACAATTCATCATACTAAAAAGTCCAAATTCTCCAGTTAGACATTGTCCCATAATTTTACCATTCGAGAGAGAAATTATGCAATAAATGGAGTTTTTTTGTTCGGTAATACAACAGGAAAGGACCGAAATATTATTTTTCTTATCATAATCAGTAATATCATCTTCCCAAACATTTCTCAAGGATTTCGTGGATTTCCAATAAAGCTTGTTTTCAGTCAATCTATTCATAATTGTTTTATTTCTAGTTCCAATAGTTTTTTGAGATTCTATATTATCTTTAACAGGGAAAAATTTGTTTTTGGAATCAGATATTTCTACATTATTTAAAACAAAAGAGTGAGGATCATTAAAACTTGTATAGTAATTCGGAAATGAGTTACTATTTGGAATAAAAGGAAACTCGTAGTATGAAGGAAGTTTTTTTTGAGATTCAACGATTGATAAGTCCAGGAATGCATAAAATATTTTGTCTGAATTCTGCTCAATATATGTAAAATTGGTATTGGGAAGTGTCTCACAACTCTTTTCAAATAAAAACCGAAAATTATTTCTATGAACCCAAATAATTTCATTATTTCCGTGGTTTTGATCATTATAATCTGTATTTTTACTAGATTTAGATGATTCCTCTATGTAATTCTCATACAATGTGTTGATTTTAAAGAACTGCCAATAACTTGCAAGATGGCCCAAGTAATTTAATTGATCTTTATCATTTATTCGAATATAGTCTCTGGAAATATATATAGGAATCGCCAATATGTCATTGTAGTTACCAAAATTATCAATTTCTCCGAGTTCATGTTCAGAAAAAGTAACATTTGATTCATATTTTGGGTTAAAATTTTGGCTAAAAAGAAAGCAAACTATTGAGGGAATTTGAATGCTATAGATTGTAAAGTCAGAGGACCACGCAAGAAAAGATACAAAATGTTTTTGTTTTTCTTCATATTCCATGCTGAGAGTTCTTATGGGAGAAAATGTCTTACTTTTATTGATACATGACTGTCTTATACCCAAGGAAATTTGAGAGAATCCTAGCCAAATTTGAAGCTTTTGCTTAGTTTCTGAGTTATCTGTATTTTGATTTATTATATTTAGAGTTGTCGCTCTTTTCAGAGGTGTTTGATGAACATCATACATTGAATCTTTAGAATCATTTCCATGGCATGAATTTTTTATGCCTGTTTCTATTTGTGAATTTGTTAAATTGGAATCTTCAAATACTGGTGTGTTTGGAACAAATAGATCCCCAAATGGTTGGTACCTTTGGTTTCTATTTTGAAACTGAGGTAGGAAGGTGCGTTTCCAAATTATAAGCCTATATTTCGCATTTACAATTAAATAAAAGTCTGTTACAACAATTTGAGTTGAAAACATCTCACTTGAGGGAATAGAATAAAAATTGATGGGTTCTGAAACAAAACATGGATGTAAGGAAAAAAATGTTGGAGCCAACATTGGAGACCTAATTGAATTAAATTGGTAAATATTTGGAAAATCAAATGAACTGGACTTGGAGTGGTCACTTGCATTACTACTTAGCTCCAATATATGATCATAACTTTCAAATGAAGATCCGTTGATATCTTCTGTTGAACTTTCAGGTTTGATTTGTTCATGTTTAAGTTCCAGCTCACCTAGATGATCTTCTAATATAATTTGATCATGAGAATAGTTTAAAGAAGAACGAGAAGCATTTTTAGCAGAATTGGTAAATCCAGCTTCGTCTTGGCTATATTTCATAAATGGTTTAGGAACATTATTTTTTTGAGGTTTTGGAACTGGGCATGGAATTTCACAGTGAGGAATTGGGATGAAGTGCCACCAAATTCTTATCAAATTACTTAAGTCCCAAACCAAAACTTGACCAGTATTTAGCATTGCAGCCACTGTATAAAAGTGGGCTGTGGGATACTTGTTATCTTCGCAGTAGTCAAAAAGTGAGATATTTGAAGACCATTTCAGAAGTTCAAAGTAATCATGATTAGTAGAAACATTAAATATCATAGATTCTCCATATTCTCCATATATATAAGTTGGTTTAAGGGTAGGATTTTCATTTTTGTCTTCATATGAAAAATGGACGGTATTCGGAGATTGAATTTTGTACATATCTGGTGTGTCCTCATCAATTCTGTTGTTGACCATGCGTTTCGAATATGGGCAACTTGCTATTTTGAGGGCTCCACAGTTTAGTCGTGACCAAGTGTCGATTATAGTAATACGTTGGTGTCCTACAAGCAATATGAACCTTTTGTCTGCAAGGCTGACTAACTGCAATACTTCGTGTTCTGCCGAGTCTGATAGTTGTGCAATACACCTTCCATTATCCAAGGACCAGTATCTTAGAATGTTATCCGAATGCAGTGTTAATAACAACTCATCTGTACAACTTTGTAATAAAGGTGAGGGAGACAAAATAAAAACCATACCGATCAGTTTAACTGGGCATAGTGAATTAGGAATAAGAACGCAAAAAGGGACTAGCTCCTTATCTGGAGAAATTCCACTCGCCTCTTCATTGACCCTTAAAATATTCCATAAATATACATGCCCAGACTTTGTACCAGTAGCACAAATTGAATCCCAACTGCTACAACAAGTCAAAGTGGTTTCATCTAGAATACCCCCATCCGGTGTAACACCACATGAAAGTAGCATTACTCTATATTAACAAAATGAGGTTTTCATTCACCACACAAATTTCAGATGGATCTTTCTAATACAAAAAGGAAAATGGCGCCACAATTGATTTTCATACTCCCTAATAGTGGAACAAAGTCACAAGCAAATTATTTCTAGATGAAATTGAAATAAAATAAATAAATCTGAAATATTCAATATATCCTAGATAGACTTCCGATTAATAGTTAATTTAATTTAAAAAGTCAAAGAGAATATTAAGCATATACATATATAATAAATGGAATATAGACAAAACAAGCATAAATAATGTCCAAAAACATTCTTTAGATGAGGAAATAATCTAAAAAAATTATGCGAATTTGTGTATTACTTTGGCTCTGATCAACTTAAAAAATATAATGTGGTGGCGCCTTAGACACGTATTTCAGGGCGTCTCGTAGTTACCTTTAATAATCAATTTCTTATTGTTAAAGGGGAAAAAATACATCGAGACAAGAATTTAGGGCAAAATAATGATTAATTATAATAAAGATTAAAATAGAAAGATCATAAGTAAAATAGCAAATTAATTAATAATTTCAGAGGCGGGTCAAATATAACATTAGAGTTGAATTATAAACAAAAATTAAAATAAACTGAGTTAATTTTCATATCGCATTCAGTAGTGACCTTTGGATTATTTAATAAATAATTTGTCTTTAGACTTTTTTGAGAAGATTAAATTCGAATAGAAACCAATGGGTCGCGTTATTAGAGGTCAGCGTAAGGGTGCAGGTTCAATTTTCAAGGCTAAGGTCTCTAAGAGAAGAGGACCAGTTAAGCTCCGTGCATTGGACTACATCGAGCGTCATGGGTATATTAAGGGTTTAGTAAAGGACATTACAACAGATCCAGGTAGGGGCTGTCCAGTTGCACATGTTTCCTTCAGAGACCCTTACAGATACAAAATCAAGAAGGAGTTGATGATTGCTGTTGAAGGACTCCATACTGGTCAATTTGTATACTGCGGAAGAAATGCAACGCTTTCTGTAGGAAACGTTTTGCCAGTTGGTCAGATTCCAGAAGGTACCATCATATCTTCTTGCGAAGAAAAGGCAGGTGACAGAGGCAAGCTCGCTAGGACCTCTGGTACTTATGCAATTATCGTTGGTCAGTCTGAAGACGGAACCAAGACACGTATCAGACTCCCATCTGGTGCAAGAAAAACCATCAGCTCTCAATCTAGAGCTATTATTGGTATTGTAGCTGCCGGAGGAAGAATTGATAAGCCAGTCTTGAAAGCAGGTAACAATTATCACAAATACAAAGTAAAGAGAAACTGCTGGCCAAAGGTTAGAGGTGTTTCTATGAACCCAGTAGACCATCCTCACGGTGGTGGTAACCATCAACACATTGGTCACCCATCTACTGTTTCAAGAAGTGCTCCACCAGGTCAGAAGGTCGGTCTCATTGCTGCCAGAAGAACTGGTCTGTTACGTGGTGGCCGCAAGACAGCTAAGGATAAGGCAGAGAAGGGAGTTTAAATTCATAGCGAGGTAACGCATAGATAGTTTCTGATTCCTGATGATTATTTACTACCAAGAGCTTGGGAATGTTTCCTTGATGTTATATAGTATTTAATTATTAGTCAGATTTTTAACTCTATTAGTATCTAGTCTAAGCTATTAAATATTTTAACTGAATTTGGTCTTTATATCGTGGATTCTCTTTATGCAGGAAATATACCCCCTTATTTTTTTCTGTAAATACTATTTATGAGTAGTTTGATTAAATAGCCAACGAATAAGGCCGAAAATGTCGTTAAAAGAGCAATTATCCAAATTGCAAGTTTGCATTCACCTATCGGAACATTTATAAAAGGATATTTAGGATCTCCTGTTGGAACTTTGGTAATGCTAATCCTGCATTCTTTAAGCTTGAAGAATTCGTCTATTCAAAATTTTACTTGGTTGGCTAATTTAAAAATTTTTAAACTTACCGGGAGATGAACATTGGCAGTGGCTTTTGTGGACCCACAAACATTGTTTGTGGAAATCATTATCACAAATGTAAACCCCTATTTCACATCCCTGTGAAAAAAAGTCGCATGTAATTATGGTAAAATGATAAAACTTACTTTTATTGTGTCCTTGCCGTCAAACCCTTGGGATTGATGGCATTTTGGTCTCGAGTCTATTCTAATCCTATCAGAGAATATCTGAATTTTAAACTTGTGAGATATAATTGGAAGTACTTCTAAGGACAGACGTGAAAGCTCGTGATCCGGAATACCCTCATTAACTGGAATAAACGAAGGTATTACTGTAGATTGTGCTGAGATAAAACCACATATTAAAACGCAATTTATAATAAATAAAATGTACTTTTTCATGTTATTTAAGATTTTCACATTTTTTGAATTGAGATCCGCCAAAATTTTTCGCCAGGAAATAAATTAATTAAATGAATTATAACAGGAAATTAGTATAACTATTATAGCTAATATCTTTTCCTAGAGAAGATAAGTTCATAGCATGGGTTCTAATGGGAACAAAAAAGAATTTTTGGGCAGCATTCAGTCTCCAAGAAGGCTTAGAACTGATACTGCAGAGGCAGTCTTTGGCGATTTTTGGGAAGCACCAAAAGATTCAAACTTCCACTCTAGAAGAGTGAAAAAAAATAGGCAAACTTATGGGCACGAATTGGATGAGAATTTAGGCCAAAAGACGATATCTGATTCTTCAATTGCAGAGTTCAATATTACAAACTTGGACACTCAAGAAAGATTGGTATTTTATGAATCACAAGGAGCAGAGCCGTATCTTAGCAAGTACCCAACCATAACTTCTCTGCTTACAGAAATGAAGCCCACAAAGTGGATGATCATTTTGAATAAAGCTCAATCTTCATGCATCCATAATTCTATAGATGAAAAAAAAAAACAGAAAGATTCTAAGAAAAACTTTTCAAGTCTAACTAATAAAGACTTACCATTCAACAAAATGCAATTTATATGGAGCTCAGATTTGGATGAGCATAAAAGGGTTAAGTTAAACAAAAACAGTCCAAGTTCACAATCATTATTGTCCGACCCAAATGATCTTTCGCCAATAATAATTAATTTTCCCCACCCAATTCAACTTCAAAACGTTTCTATTCCTTACGAGGTATTGGATCCAAGGTCTGTTCCTTGTGGCTCATTTGTTTGGTGGGACAGAAGAGTATGGGAATACAATTTTGTTCATATGGCTAGAAGATTGTCTACTAACGACGAAAAAAGTTGTAAAAAATTGAATATAGAAAACCCAATAACTCCAAAAAAACAAGGAAGGACTTCAAGTGAAGAAAATGGACAAAGTCCTCAACGTTCAAAACCAAGAGTAGAGGATGGCCCCAAAACAAATCAAAAATCAAAGTCTCCTAGGAATAAGATTAAGCAATGAGACCAGAAATTAAATAACAGGAAAATTACTACTTTCATTATTATCAATTCAGTTTATAATTAACTATTATAAGGAATAAATTAATTAATCTTCGTTACTTTCATCGATTAATCTGTTTAGCTTTCTTTTAACTGGCCTATTCGAAAGTTCAGGTGATTTTGTTTTTAATGGAGTGTTCTCTACGGTTGAAGATTCATGTTCTTTGTTTTCTTTGCCTTTATTAATCTGGAATTCCTTAGTTTCATTATGAGTTTCGGATTTGCCCCCGAAATCACCTTTTTCAGTTTTATCGTTGGAGCTCTTAGATATAGGAACTCCCCACTCGCTGGAAATTCTACATTCTTCTATTTTGACCTTCTTTGTATCGCGATTCAAAGAAGAATTGACTCCTGTACAAGTTTTTTCCTTTGGTTTTTCAGACTGAGATAATTTGGAGAGGGGGGTTTCATGAGACATTTTTCTTTCATTTGATTTAGATTTGAAGAAACCGTCCAGACATGTTTGCGAAGTCTTACTTCTGCTTTTCCTGATTCTTTCACAATAACTTGTGACTCTAGCTTCACTGAAATTTTGTTCCTTAACGAGCCAGTCTGTAAGTTCTTCATACTTGGGACTTGACCACTTTATTAATTCTTCCAATTCGTTCCTTTTTGTCACTATCGGTTTTTTAAAGAGGTCTCTCACCTTTGAAAATTCGAAGTTTTCTGGTACAGGATTTTTGGTTTTGTCAATGTTTTGTAAAATTTTTTCAATATTTTGGTGTTTTTTAAGCAGTTTATAAGCTGTGTTTGTTCCGATTCCCCTTATTGTTCCACAGTAATCACATCCACTCAAAATACAAAGATCAATAAACTGTTCCATAGTAATATCAAGCTCAGAAAGGATTAAAGGTAACTTGATAATTTGCATACCATTCTTTTGTTTACCTGGAGACTTATCGTTTACTTTATTTGAAGAAGATTCTGAGAAATTCAATTGTTTTATTTGTACCGGTGTCCCAAATGTCAGTGAATCCGCATCTTCTGTGACAACTCCATAAACTAGACCATCTTTGCAAAGTTCTGCACATTGTGCTTCGGCCTCCGATGGAGCATCTATATAGGGCATTCCGAGAAAATTCAAAAGTTTTTTAACGTCTTCTATTTGTTTTTTTGTTACATGAATAGTTCTAATTGACTGCTTTTTGATCAGTTCTCCATCCCCCATTTCTTGAGCTTTTTCCAACTCAGCAAGCGCTTTCTCTCTTCTTTCATCTCTTTTCGCCAATTCATCCTTCTTCATTTCCGGGGGAGTACCATCAAAAACAAAAACAGGTTTTATTCCTGCTTCCAGCAATCTGGTGGTTCTCGAAAGCATTCCGCTTATATGACTTGTAGATTCCCCTGAAGAATTCGTTAAGTTACCCCATTGGCTACCTTCCCTAATTGCTGCTAAAAATTGATAAATCCACATACTAGCATCTACTGCTACCTTTTTTCCTAATAATGAGCCAATTGTCTAAAATAAATTAATTGAAATAAATTTATTTGGATAGTAAAAGACTTCAAGAAGTCAAATTTGAGCTAGATATAGAAAAAACGGGTAAATATCTAACTTTGCAATATAGTTGTCTATATGTAAAACTTACTTGGTATTGGATACTTTTTGGAGCATTATCCGCAAGAAACTTCGTGAGGCCTTTAATTCCCATTATAAAATAAGTTTGAAATAGCTATATTTATCATAAACCTATTTTTTAATTTAATTTAGAAACTGGTTTTTTTGCTATAATTTTCACACCTTGTATGTAATTTTGTTTACCTTCCCCTCACAATTATGCGTTAAGTTGAAAAATGAAGAAAAAAAAAATGAAAAATCAGACACTAAATAATCTTCTGTTTTCTAAGGAAATTCTTCATATGAATAATTGAAAAATATGAAATAGCTGATACTAATAATAGTTGGATGATAGAATATATCACAATTCTTTTGTTTACACTCAGTGCTTGATGTAAAAACTTTTCTTGTTTTTCAAACTCATATTCCCCCTCAGATACTTGATTATTTACCTTGTTAGTCAGAGATTTGATAAACTCTTCTATATAATTTGCCTCATCTTTGCTTGCTATAGAATCTACATCGAGGTGCTCACTCAAGTTACCTGTATCAATTGAGAGTTTCCATTTCATTTGCTCTGATTTAAACCAATTTGAAGATTCGCATCTAATACATAACTTATGATCTCCATCTATTTCTGGAAGATATGCGACACTCCCTTTATGCTCATTTTCGTTTACATGCCTACTAAATACTTCAATGTTTTCTGGGTTTCTGAAAATAATGTTACAATCAATACCTAAAGAAAGTACGTTATGCACAAAAATGGGGGCTGAACATACCTAAATTATTCACATTCTCATATTTTACGTGAATTGGAACAGACTTAGGAACTTCTTGTATGAAACACTTTTCTGTACCTTCTTGAACGTAAAAGTAGAGTGCAGAATGTATCCCTGTGTATTTTATAAACAAAAATAATGCCAGTGCTTGAATAATAATCCGTTGGGAAACTTTCATAAGTTCAGGTTCATTAACAAAAATTATTAATTCGCAAATATTTAAAAATCACTTTATAATAGTCGTGTTATAAGTATTTTTGAGAGCAATTAAACTTGCAATTTTTCTAATTATATTTGGTCAAGCAGTTGAGGGGAAGTCAAATTTAGTATGTTAGAATGTATTTAGAAAATCAATTTAAGAATTTAGAAGATGAAATAAATACATTAAAAACTACTCACACAGACAAATAAGTGGTTTTGGCTTGCTTGGGCATCTTTATCATTGTTATTAAAACAAATTTAATTAATATCTTTACACAAAAAATATTGGCGGTAGGATAACTGTTTTGTAATATTTATTTTGCATTAAGTGATTTTATTTTGACTTTCAGGGATTAAATAATATTGTGGAAATTAAAGAATGAACAGCAACTTTAACCCAGAGCCTTTCCCACTATTAGTTTCCAATCAAAGTTTTCTACCGATATCAATGATCCTCTCATTTATTTGTAAGTTTTGTCGGATTTTTATGGTTAAATATTATTCAAGTTTTATTCTCTAGCATTGTTGTTTATTGCATTTTTTATTGTATATGAATTCAGATTCCCGAAGCTAAAAAGAAATTTCAAGGATGAACTAATTCTATCAATTGCAGGGTCACTTACTTTGGGCTTAGGGCTTACTTTTGCATTATTATCATTCGGTTTATATTTTTAGGCATAGAATTTAAGTTTTTTAAACTAAGTATTGTATCTTAAGTGTGAATCTAATTGTTTCAATTTTTATTTTTATTAAAGCGAACAGAATTAACTAAATAAAAGGATTTTAGCTATGGATTTATGCAATAATACTAGAAAGAAAAAGTCCAGAATTGCAAATAAATAGTATTTTTTTAAAAATAGGAATCAACAAGTAAGGGCTCTATGGTAAATTTAAGCAAAAAAATCAAAATAACTTTCAAATATTTCATTTATATTTAAAATTTTTTATAATCAAACATATTTGCATGTAAAGTTTAAACTTATGTTTCTAATTTATTATGTCTAAATGTACCGCAACCTTACACATTTGAGACAATAAAATACTTAAAAGTGATTAAATTTAACAATATTGCGCTAAATAAGATTAATCTGGCATAATTTCTCCTCACACTGGTGTCTCTAAATAATTAGGACCACTCCATTCACTTTTTAAACTTTACAGTAAATTGGCTCGTCTCGGAATATTATCTTTTTCCGATAACCTAAACCGACTTAAGTTTTTCTAACGGGGGGTTTTGGCAAGTTATACCTCGTTACTAGTTTCGTCCTTATTTTTCAAGGCTTAACTAGTTAAATAAACTAAAATTGCTTTAGCCATGCTAACTTTATAATCTCGCTGGATGCTCACAACCCACCTGAATTGGCAGGGTTTAGGTTCGCCCTCTACCAGCAAGTCGTATCTTTTTAGATACGTTTTTTCAATGAAACCAATGTATCTCTAATCTATTCAATACTTTGGAAGTGTGTATTTTTAGTTGTATAGACTCCTTTAGTTTAGGTGAAGTGTTATTACGGGATTTTTCGCATTTTGCGTTGACAGTCTGTGTCTCATAATGGATTGTATTCTTTATATTGAAGGTTGGAAACAATAGTTTGAAGTGATGAGCTTATTTTTCTATGCAGTACCGAAAAGAAGGAAATAATCTAAAAATAACAAAATTGCGGGACTTGACTTAAATTGAATTTTTGTGCAAAAATAGGTGATAAGAGAAACCGGATTTAATAAAAAGAGCTAACATTATTATTTTTATTATGTTAAATTTAAACTTACAAACTTTTAAATTATACAAATTTAAGTGACGTAATGACTAACCAAGTTGGCTTAATTTATCCTCCATTTGAATTAAGAACGACAATTGATAAGACTGCCAGCTTTGTAGCAAAAAATGGGGAGGCGTTCGAATCTAGAATACTTAGTGAGTCAGGGAGTATTAAGTTCACGTTTCTGAATAAGGATAATCCTTTTCATTTATATTACAAGAAACGACTTGAAGACTTTAAAAATGGTATTTCTATTGATGATGGCGGACCTACGATTCCTAGAGCTATATTAGATATGAATAGTAGGAAGGAGAAACAAGAAGTTGCAGAAAAGGAAGTATTGATGCTAACATCTTTCTGTGGAAACTTTGGGTTCATGGGGGGTGCTGTAATGGAGCCTGAAGAGCCCAGAAAAGATCAATACACTGTTTCTCATCCTATGATTTCAATAAAGGACGAGTCAGTAATAAAAATTACAGCAATGTATTTGTCTAGGAACGGGCAATCTTTTTTATCGGAGTTAACTAGTAGAGAGGCAAATAACCCTCAGTTTGATTTTTTGAAACCTGGGCACGCATTATTTGGATACTTTGCGGACCTAGTCGAAACTTACTCACTTTGTTTAATTCCAAATAAGAATTATCTAATGCAGATGAAAAAAGAAGCCGAAGATCTACAGATGATATTCAGGCGTTGTTATAAGAACAGCCTTTGGAGAAAGAAGGAAATTGACTCAAACAGTGATTTATTAGAATTAGAAAATAAAGACCATATAGACTTGGAATGGGTGGCAATCAACATTGTTGAAACTGTTGATTTTGAAGATATATGTACTGACCTGCCTGAACCAGTCGATTTTTCAACTCTTTCAAAGGTAGTTTTGGAGTCTTCCTTAGACACTCTAAATGAGCATGATAGGAAGGATCTTTTAGAGGACGAAATTCAAAGCGAAGAGAGACAGATTAACGTTTTAGTTGTAGAGAAGGAAAGAGCAAATGATATGGAAGTTTCTAATGAAGTAAATAACGGAAAAAATGATGATGCTTCTGAACAAGAAGAATTTAAAAATATTAAAATAATAAAGAACTATGTTAGAGTACCAAAAAAGAGGGGATATGCCACCAAGGCAGAAGAACAAAGCTTGAAAGGAAAAATGTACAGATGTCCAATTACAGGTCAGTCAATTCCAGTTGAGGAGATTTCAAATCATATGAGGATTCTACTGTTAGACCCGAAGTGGAAACAACAGAAGGACCAATTAATACAGAGGGCGCAACAAGATTCTGCCTTCACAGCATCTTCAAACATAGAAGAAAATCTGGCTGCCTTTGTTTCAAAGCGTCCCGATCTCTTCGGCACAATAGAAGAGGCGGTGGCAGGGAGCCACGGTTTTGAGGATACAGGGGGAAAGAACAAGAAACAAAAGTTTCAGTAGGATATAATTATATTGCTAGGTTAGCTAATTTTTTGATGTTCCTCTAACTATTAGATCTTGCAATTCCGAGATGAATCTATCGTTGTTTTCCGCCCCAACCACATCAGAAATTGAGTTCATCAGGATGCTTTTAAGATTCGGGTCATTTGTTGATCTTTGAAGAACACAAAGTACCACAGGTTCAGAGTCTTTTAGAGCATTAGGTGAGAGCTTGATAGGTATTATCGGAGAGCTTTCCGAGTCTCTTTCAAGTAGATAATTTGTGAATGCCAAAACAAGCAGTCTCGTGATTTGCTTTAGAGTCTCTACTTGCCTGGGCACAACCGAAATTGAATTGTATAGAAGAGCAAGGAATACCACCCCAGTAGAAATTCCCAAAAGGCTTTGAATAGATTCTTGGGTATAGAACTTAAGGAGGGCTGAAAGACTAGGGATTAAACAAGACGTATCTCTGTAATTGTTAGATTGCATCATTCTGTTTGCAAGTAGTGCTGTAGTTTCCAGGATTTTTGTTCCCAACTTTGCCTTAACCATCAAATCTTCCCTAGTGACATATTCTTCATCATATGGGTCACTTCCTTGATATATATTTCTCCAGTCATCGATAAGTTGATCTACATCACCTGAATATCCAAAGCCATCATGAGGTGCTAAAATGTCCTGGCCTTGCCGATATCTAAAAGCCCTAGGAACAAGAGCCATTAAGGGAGGCAGGATTATAGATGATGATCTGAAAATCTCAATCATTGGCTCATTGCATGCAAGAATGGACTCTAATAAAACTGTCATATAGCCCTCGCTAATATGAGGCATATGGAATAGACTCAAAACAAAGTGTCTTCCCTTCCTAATATTAAGGATTTTGTTTAAAAGCCAGCGCCTGGCGTTCAAACAAGCAATATTTCTTTCTGTAAAAGAAATCTCAGAAACTTTAAAATTATCTCCACTTCTGTAGCCTGTGTCTTCTGTGTTTGGGGATACTGAAGTATACTTTGAAAACCCGAATAGTAGCTGAAAAATTAAGTCGATGGTATCTCTTAATTCCTGGTCAAGACGAAGTCTTGCTTGTAAATGACCAGTTGGACAGTTTTCAATTTCATCATCAAAGTAACTGACATCTTGCAGAAGATCATTTCCTGCCTCTATTATAGAATAAACCAATGGACCAGGAGCTTGAACTTTATTGTCATCTTTACTCCCAAATTCAGAAGAATTAAAAACACTATTGTGTAATACTTCAAAAACTTGTCTTGAAAGTGCTTGATGATGGATATTTCCCGTATAAAATAAGGAATCTCCACTTATTGAACTCTTTGATTGTTCTCCATTTTCTCCAATATTTACTTCATCTCTCAACTCAGAATTATCATCTTTTGATAAGTTATGCACTTTAATAAGTTCTCTAGCTCCCCTGACCGTAGAATATGTGGACTTCCCGAATTTACGAATTCTATTGGGATCTTGGTCAGCAATTTGTCCCTCCTTAAACTTATTTTTTGATCGATCGCCCGTTTCTTGCCCCGCTTTGGGTTGCACTTTAGATTGATCTCTATCCTCTGAAGAATCACCATTACCCAAGGGGAGATTGTGTTTGCGAGCAAGGAGTCTTCTATTCCACTTAGAAGAATATGACTGAATTTCTGGTCTTTCTGCCATTTGCTGAAGCTGAATTCTCAAAATCATATCAAAGTCTCTTGAGACCATTAAATGATTGTTTCTTAAGGTATCATTAGAAAAACCAGAATAATTCCAATTTGATGGAGATGATAAATTATTTGAAATAATTTCAGACATGTGGGCCTTTGTAAGTGGAAAAATATAACTACTAAAAGGAATTTCAGGAACTGGTTCGGGTTCCTTAGACGCATCCTGATCGTGGTTTAAATTATCGTGATGACCTCCTTTATACCCCCTGCTTCCAGAATAGCCTCTATCATCATTCCTTTTTGTAGAAAAGTGTTGGTTACTCGCATTTCTTTGTCTTTGTTGGAAGGATGATTCATGCAGGCTTCCTTTATTATGAGAATGGCCAGAATGGACTCGATTACGTCTCACATTATTATGCTCAGTCTCATGATCTAGATAATTCTGCTGATGAAATTCTTCCTGAGTTATTCCTGGGCCTTGTTCTCTGGAAAAATTTTGACTCATTATTGCTGCCTCTATCTCCTCTACTGTTAATGGCGTTTTGGACTTCATCAATTCCTCGAGCCTTTTCATTTGATTTCTCCCCTCCCTTCCCTGGTGTTCGTGCCTCATTTCAAAATGATTCAATGTAATTGAAGGAACCCAATCATCACCTACTTCACCCACGTCAAATGTCTCGTCATTATGACGATCATCATCTAAAAGCTCGCTCTCATTAATCTCAGAGTAATAGTAGTCTTCCATTTGGATTGAGAACCCTCTGTTAAAATAGAATATACTAAAAATAGCAAGTTAATTTGGCTTAGAATTAACCTATGCTACTCAAATTTTTTCCAAATTCAAATAGAAATTTATTCTTATTTATACAGAATAATACACAATACAGTTTGTGTTTAAACATTAGCGCCTAAAATTGAAGTTTAAAAATAAAGAAACAAAATTTGTAATAGATGATTTATTCAAATAAATATTTATTATTAACATATTAGGCCTTTTCTATGCTTTTTTTTTACCCAAACTAAAAATAATCTCGGAAGCCTTCGAGTTATTTGCGGTAATTGATCTCAGGGAAAAAACTGCAGCTTCTCTTATTAAAGGGTGGTTCTCATCAACGATTGTTGTACATTCGATGAGCATTTCAATTCCTTTAAGCACAGTTAAAAGCTTTATAGATTCTTTTTTGAACTTACCATCCTGAATTAAAGTAAATGAATTTTGGAGTTGAGTATTTCCATAAAAAATTGTGGAAATTGCTTGAATGATAGAGGCCATAGAAATCTCCTCACTGATTAGCTTCCAAATAGTTCTTATTTCTTCATTTCCTATACTCTTGGATTTGATTAGATGTTTTCTAAATTTTAACATAACTCTCAATAAGTCTGCAAGGTTTATAAGTGCTTTACCAAAAAAATCAATATTACTTTCATTTTTAGGAGTATTAATTCTTAGAACAGAAACCCATCCTTTAACATTTCCAAACTTTGATACACTGAAACCTACAGGATTTTTGCTTCTCGCACTTGACAAATAATTCTCAATCTGAAGATTAATTAACTGATCCAGATAGGAAACTCCTTTCTCTATTTCTGAAAGGATCGTATCAAAAGTACCATTTAAGAGGAGAATTTGAGAAATTATGTTTTGATCAGCTGATTCCTGTAAGTTTTGTTTAAAATTGGTATTGGTTTCGATTTCTACACAAATTTCAAGTAAAATCTCCTTGTATTCGTATTCTGTTATTATAGTATTTGAAAGATATTTCTGAAGAATTAAAATTTCTTTTGTTATTTTTGCATCTGATATATTTTTATTGTTGCTTTCAAGCATTGATAATTTAATATAGGGTTCCTGCATTGTTAGATAAATGAGAGAGGCGTCACATTCGATGGTAGAATCTTCTGAATGTTTATAAAAATATAAATCACTAAATGTAGATGGGTTTTCAGAAAACAAATATTTGAAAAAGAAAAACATCCACTCTGATGACTTTAAATTCTCAGTATTTGCATATCTTAATGTATTAAAATACATTGAGATCGCAACAAAAACAAAACAACCAAATAACTCCTTCTTGCATACAACTTCATCCATAGTAACTGTCTTATTTTTAATTAAATTGTAAATAAGATGAAACGAACAAGCAACAGTAGATGTCTCAGTTCTAATACTTATTGAATTCCCAAGAGCCAAAGAAATCAGTTCAGACAAATATATATTAATAAAACCAAATGGGTATAAAGCTTTAAACAAGTATTTCTGAAATTTGATTTTTTGGATACGTGATGATTTATTTGGTTACTTACTCGGTATTCAATATTATTATCAACTGAAATATTTGCTAATATTTGAAGAAACCTGCTGGTGAGGAGCAAAAATTCTTTAAAATGTTCAGCATTATAAGAAATATCTTTTGGGGATGGATAGTCTAAGACTTTTAAAATTTCATATGAAACTAAGTTAAATAGTCCCATTTTTTCTTCATTACCAAGTTTAATATATATAAAATAATTCAAATTTTTGAATATCTTAGAATTAGAAATGATCCTCCTATTTTCAAGAGAAACAGTCGATATATTTCTAATTAACCCTAGTAAAACTGAGAGTTCGGATAGGAGTTTCAATTCATCGGGAGTGAAGCCTTTTTGTTTAAAAGATTCTATGATAAATTCAGAGAGCTCCAATATAACTCCTAATTTTTCGGAACATTTACTCAATATGGGCTTTTCATTAACAGATTTCTAAAGAAAGGGGCAATAAAGGTGTTTAATAATTAATTAATAAAACATTGTTACTTTAATTCAATAAATTACCTTTAATATTTCCTTTAATAAATAGAATGAATCACTATCTTTTTTTCCAAAACAATACTTCAAATCTTCTAGATAATCAAAATATCTCTTGCTCATAATTAAATAAATTTCCAGGCAGTTTTATTTGAACCAAAATATGTATTTTCTGACCATTAATCTTAATTTTAATTCGGTACCACAGATCTTAAAAGACTGGCGCCATATACTTATTAAGGCAAAAAGTTGGAATACGCAAGGGCGAAAAGAACGACCATAGAATAACGGTTTTGAAGGCTTAAAAAGTTAGCAAGGGATTTAGGCAAGAATAGCTTTCTGGAAATTCCTGCCTATAATTTTAAAAATGAAGGATATTCTGGTAATCTGCGGTCCAAGTGGAGTGGGGAAAGGAACTTTGATTTCCTACCTTATGAAGGAGTTTCCTGAGAAGTTTGGGTTTTCAATTTCTCATACCAGCAGATGCCCCAGAGGGGGAGAGTCTAATGGGAAGGAATACCATTTTTGCTCAAGTGAGGAGTTTAAGAGTATGATATCTATTGACGGTTTTGTTGAGTATGCGGAAGTACATGAGCACTTTTATGGCACTTCCAAACAAGCAATAGAAAACATTATTGATCAGGGAAAGATCTGTTTAATTGATATTGACGTCCAAGGAGTCGAGCAAATCCAAAAATCCTCTTTCGGAGATAGGGCATATTATATTGGTATTCTTCCAAAGTCTCAGGAAGACTTGGAGAAAAGACTTAGAAAGAGAAAAACAGATTCGGACCAGGCAATTCAAGTCAGGCTAAAAAATTCTACTCAGGAAATTGAAAGGATTAAATGCAATCCAAATATTTACAAATTAGTGAATGACGATTTGGAAACTGCGTGTAATGAAATTGGTGCACTAGTTAAATCATTTTGGGAAGATATTTCTCAATAATTTTTTACTGATTTATTTTCTTGGCAGTAATGTTTTTTAAAATTATGTCCCCGCTGCATCAAGCAAAACCAAATTATAATTCGAGTTAATTAACAAAACAAAATCTTAAATTTAATTAGTTATGCCTTCACTCTTTTTCTATTTTACTTTATTATTATTCTCAATTTCAAATTCCTTGGGTGAACAAAATGACTCATTTTGGAAGATGAAAACTAGTTTAGTTCTTACTTCTGACAATAGATTGGAAGGAGTTCAGTTATGTACATCAATAGAAGATGAACTTATGGAAAATGCAGAAGGCAGTAACATAACAAGTAGTTTGGATGATAGTTTGAGTCATTCAAATAGTTTGATAGAACTTATTATTACTAACCAAGAACAAGAGGAAGTTACCCTTTTTGTTACCGAAACAGTTTATAATTTAATTTACAGAAAGCCAGATCTGAGAAAGAACCCGAACACATTTCATAGAGCTCAAATAGCAGAAAATACAGATTTAGATTCTGTAAAAAATGTATCTTCAGGCGGAGTGGAATCGTCGGAGAGAGTAATTTACATTAAAAAACATCATCATTCACATGAAGGAGCGGGCCAAGCCGTACCAATTATTCAAAGTTTGAACTATTCGCATGTTGAGTTTTCTATTAGTTCAGGTTCTGGGTTATTCTCTAACTCAAATTCTAAGAATTTTACAAATAATTCGGAAAATGAATAAATTTGAAAAAAACTAAAATAACTTAGATAAAACTTTTCTAATTGATTTCACAAATTGATTAGTAAAATTAACACATTTTGAGCAAAATTTGAATTCATCTCAAAAAAAACGGGTACTGCTTTTATTTGTACTATTCTTTGAATCCAGAATTTTAAGTTTCTTATATTGATCAATAACTTATTGGAGAGTAATTTTAATCAAATTTCTATATTAAATTGTTATGCAAATTACTTTTAAAATAACTTATTGATGATAAAAAAAATACCTATTCTTAACTATTAATAATAACATTTAGAGACAGCTTTTGCGTAATTCTATACCTAACTTATCTAATTTAGTTATTAAAAGTTTTCTGTCACTTTGCTTCATTTTTTTTTAATATAGTCTTCCGCTTCTATGTAATCATTCAAATTGTCTCCAAATTCTGAACTTGATCCATAATTAAATTTGGAGCTATCAAATATAGTTTTCTTGAAATTTTTGTCTAAATGGGTCATAGCTGTTGTGTGTGGCCTTTCCAGTTGCTTATTTCCGTCACTAATTTTGGAATTCATCCCTTCATTTTCATAAATGAAGTTATATGGATCAACTTGGTTTTTTCTTTTAAAGGCAGCTGGGGTTCTCTTTAAATCAGCTTCAACTTGGTCTCTTTTATCAATAACATGAGCGATTCTTCTTTTTTCAGCCTAAAATACAGATTATAATGTAATAATTAACGCAAAATAACAAACCAACCTCTCTAGACAATTTATCTGTCTTTTTAATGTACTCAGGATATATATTCTTTTCATAATTTCTCAGTTTTTCAACTTCTTCATCCGAAACTACAACCTTACCGACCTTCATTTCATTTTGTTTTAATTTCAAATTTGGAACACCTGGTATTCTGTCTAATGGTAATTGCTGAAGCTTAAATTTACGGTGGCCATGCTCATCATATTCTTCTTGAATCATCTTTTCTCTTTGTTCCATTTCCCATTGTGCCAATTCATCTTCACTTGCTGAAATGGGCGGAAGCTCTTTAATTAACACATGCCTACTTACTCTCCTAGGATCAAGAGGGTCTTCAAAGCTACCTTTTATTCTTTCAGCTTCTATTAATTCGTTTCTAAGTGAATTAAGAGTATGTTCAAAGTCACCCATGTTGGGTAATATTCCTGAGGACGATAAAATAATTAATTCTTCTATTGGAATTCCTCGAATATCAGGAATATCTTCAAACTTTAACTCAGGGAACAATTGCCTAGAAAGATGAATATTAAACAGTTTGGAATCTTTTGGAGTTGGAGTTTCTTCTTTTTTGAGCATTTCCTCTACAAATTCTAACCTTTGCTTTAGATCTAAATTCATATCTTTATTTTCGTTGCTATTTAAAGCTTCTTTGATTATTTTGGGTGAAATGTATTTGTTTGGAGACAAAGTAATCATAGGAAATTCTTTATCATATTCATTAGACCATTCAATTATTGCATCCCTAAGATCCGCCAAAAACTTTTGTTTTGCCTTTTTGGATTTTCTTCTCATAAAAATATTTTTAAAACCTTTGGAGATTGATCTGGTAAGGGAAAAAGGTCGGTCTTTAACCGTAAGTAGATCTCTTCTTTCTGCAATGAGTATTTTAACATCTTTTTTTGTTCTTGGATGAATCGAAATAAGATCTTTCAACTAAAGAGAATTATCTTTGAAAAAGAATTAACTAATTGATACTCACCCCTGGTTCTAATATATTTGAACTGTGCGGAGATAAGGTTAAAACATTCTTGATATTTGAATCCAAATCAAAAAAGTGAGCCAAGTTATCAGGAGGATTAACTCTATCGTGCTCATAATTAAAGTTTGGAAAATCTCCCCAAAAATATTCCTCGACAATATCTCTAATTCCGTCTGGAGTATGCCCTAGTGGCATATCTAATACAGCCATATCTTCATCATTTAATGGGTCTTTAATTCCCCTTTTAACATTTCTGAATGGGGAACCTGCAGTTTCAAACATATGCTGTGCTTCTTGAGAAGTCTCAATAACTAAATAAGAAGATAAAAATAAAAAGAGGAATATGTAGTCAAACTTACATTCCAATTCCTGGTCATGCTTCAACTGTCTGGATTTCATTTCTGACAAATTTATATCATTTTGTTTATATCCTTTAAGTTCAGGATGATTACGAATCGCAATTTTTTTCGGATCACCAATTTCATAAGGATATTTTAACATTTTTTCTTCTCCAGGCTCAACCTATTTTAAATGTGTTAAGACTCTAAAGTTTTAATACAACAAACTTACCTTTTTATATATTTGAGTGTCATCCCATGTTTCAATTTGATCTTCTTCTGGGTCCACTAGTGAAAATTCACGCTCCTCCTCAATCTTTTCTTTAATCTTTTCTTTTTTGAACGCAACTTCATCCATAATTTGCTTCATTTCTCTTTCTCTAAGTTCCTCATTTTTTAGGATTTCCTAGATTGATAGGAATAATAACAAATATATTACAAATTTTTATTTACTTACAAATCTTACATCACTAGAATATGAATCACCATTGGTTTGTGTTCCTCTTTCTTCAACAAAATTTAATGCCGAAGATGTATTTTCCAAAGATCCTTTGGACAAATTTGAATTCGAAATTTGAGATATAATCTTGCCATTATTACTAACAGTATCTGGTGATTTTTTATTCTTTAAAGGGAAGATTTTATATTTCCTTTGCTGTAGATTTAAACTTGGGCTGATTATTTTGAAAGTTGTGTGAGGATTATTTAATGACCAAGTATTTTTCTTATTCAGTCGTTTTGGATTATTTTTTTTAAATAATGAGAAAAATGAGGATTTTTCTGTTGTAGGTTGACTATTCTTTGAAATGAAATCTGATATTTCTTCGTAATTATTTACTTTTTCATCTTCACGTTGGAATTCGAGATCAAAGTCCTCCAATAAAGGATATTCACTAAGAAAAGTCTTAGAAACATTGTTTATTTTTTTTTTTTCGTTTACAGAGTATTTACTTGTTTCGTCACAGCATATTAATCCTATTTTTTGAAAAATAATTCATAATATCGAGTTCAGTTACTCAAACCTACCAATAATGTAGAGTAAGACCAAAAGGAAAACCCTAAAATTCATGTTTTTAATATGCCAGATTATATGCACATTATTTTCAGGTTATCTTCTGCTTTGCAGATTTTTCTCCACTAACCTGTTACATGCATAAATCTAACAATCACGACCCGCCGTGGCGCCAATATATTATAGTGGCATGCTTTTGGGGATTTTATAACCAAACAAAAGAATTAAAAATAGCTTGCATATAAAACAAAAAGATCTAGATATATTGGAGGTATCATATAAGCGAGAAGTAACAGCAGAAGATTACATTTTAGTAGAAGGAGACGAGTAAATAATACTATGGATATTTTATGAAATGGATGAAAAGATAGACTTAAAGTCCAAGTATGAAAGGTTAAGGAAAAAATTTGCCCAGCTAAAACAGCAAACGGTGGTTCTGAAAGAGTCACTGGAAACTAAAGAAAATGAATTTAAGCATTTAAAAAGCGGTTTTGAAGAATTGGAAATTAAACACAAAGAATGTGTTTCAAGCCTTGATGCCTCACAATATAGAGAAACACAATTAAAAAGAGAGATAGAGGAAATATTGTGCCAATTAGAACAGTCTAAATCTCATGGAAACATAAAAAATGACCAAACAGCCAACCAAAATGGTAAAATGGTACAAGGGATTTTAACAGGACTACTTCCAATGAATGGGGTAATAATGAACTTCCAAAAGAATGAAAAGTTGGAGGAAAAAGTTGCAGTTCTTCAAGAAGAACTAGACCTAAAAATTTTAGAAAATGAAAAACTACACATTAAAGAATTTGATTTGAAAAGACAACACGAAAAAGCAATCGAAGAACATCTTGTTAATAATGCAAAATTGAATAATGAAATAGAGAATTTGCATTCAGAAATTAATGAATTAAAACTAAAGAGGAAAAACGAAGATGATATTTTAGATGAATTAAATCGACTTAAAGAAAAAGATAGGATTAATAATAAAAAGATTGCAGAATTATTGGAAAATATTAATCTTAATGGTAATAATTTAAGTAACAAGCTAAATAAAATAAGAAAGTTGGTTCCTCCGGTTAATCTTTTGCAACTAGAAGAGGATTATTTATCTTGGGTGAATACTTGCAGGCAGAAAGGTTGTTTTGTTTTTTTAAAATTAGAATCTCTAATTTATGAATTCCTCAAAAGGGTAGTATTATTTGTTGAAAACTGGAGTGAATGCGTTGGTTATTACATAAATAAGTTTTCTTTTCAAGATAATATTATTGAAGGTGTTTATAAAAAAATACTGATTCTTCTTAAAGAAGTTGATAGAAGTCTGATCGATTCTTCTGGCGTAGTTTTTCAAAACGAATTCATTTTAGAACAGAATTTTACTCAATCAACATTGAATTACAGCATGAATGACCAAAATAAATTAAATAACGCGGAAATTAAGAATGTATTGGTTGAAAAGTCAAAAAATGCAATGGATTCAATTCAAAACGCACTTAATTTACAAATTGTTGCATTTAAAATGGAATTTAATAAATTATCAGCTGAATTTCAAAGTGAAAATAAAAAAGCTTTATCGGGATTGTTCACTGTTATAAAAAATATTAAAAAGTATTTATCAGAAGTAAATTGCCTTTTTAACTTTTCTTTAAACCTTGGAAAAGAACCCGATTTATTGTATACCCACACTTTATGGACAAATTCATTTCATGTCGCATTTTTGGAATTAAGAAGGGATATGAAGGATCACTTAACTAAATTTTGTGCTGAAATTGAAGAAAAGAAACAATTTTTTGATTTTGTGAAAAGAATATTGGTCGAAGACATTAATTTTCAAGATGAAAATATCTCTTTGAGTAAATCGTTTATTAGTTCTCACAAAAAATTAATTGAACTAGAAGCAATGAGAAAAAGTTTATACATCAAGATGAATTTGAAGATTAAAAGTAATATTGAATTAATTTCAGCTGAATTGAAAGATGCCAACAAGATTTTTGAATCGTTTTTTTTCTCAAAAAATTCCACTCTTCCATTTTTCAATGAAGCATCGAGTGATATTAAGAATGATTTCTGTAGCTCTGTATTGGAACTATCTAGGTTTCTTGATGAAAAAAAAGATTACTTTGAAAAATTGGTTTCTTCATTATACCAGCATCCTTCAATAATTTGTCAGAGCGTCAATAATTTCAATGAACTCCAAATTACTATGAGGGAAACAAAAAGCAAGCTAGAAACTGCTCCTCCAAAGATTACTCTTCCAGAATTGCATATTCTAAATAAAAGAATAGAGCAGCTTGAAGAAACTAAAAACGAACAACTTAAAACTATAAATAGTTTGATGAGTCAACTTAATTCTGTAAATCAGTCTTCAAATTTGGATAATCATAAATCAGATTTGAATGATGATTTGCCATCTATGGAAGCAATTCCTGATTGTTCAAGTTCAGAACCTTGTAAGTTATTAGAATTGAGGAAAACAAAAAGCGGAAATCAAACCCAGAAATATATTCACGAAGTTTTTGAATCTCAGCTAAGAGAGGCGAATGAAACACTCGAAAATACTGTAACTAGGTTACAACTTAGAATCAATGATCTAAACGATGATATTGAAGTAACTAGGCAGTCTTACGACGAACAAATATCCTTATTAAGCCAACATATCTGTTCGTTATCCGAGAAGCTTGCATTCACAGATGCATCCACGTTATCATCTTTTAATCAAGAAATACTTTGTTATTCCTGCGAGAGCTGGTCTACTCTTGATTCAATCTTGAATAAAACTAAAGGGGCTTGCCAAAAATGTAAAACAAAGTTATTAAGGCCAAAATAAGTTAACTATAAGTTCGATTCTCAACGATAATTAACGCTTTATAAGGTAAGGATTGTAATTTAGAGATTAGTCAAATAAATGATGCTAAGATAAATCAAAACATTAAAACCTAAAAAGATCGAATTCCTAAAATTTAATTAATTTGAAATCTGTATCATTTGATTAGTATATAATATATTTTGTTTTAGTCGATTTTCAAAAAAAAGCCTTTTCAACCGTCTTGAACAGCTTTGTTTAGAAACTCAAAATTATAATTAGTATAAGCGGAGTGGCATGAATTTTATATATAAATTAATCTTCAAAAAATGAAGCGGTGGAAACTCGTGAATAAAAACTTTCTTTATTACTGTTTCTGGAATGACACTTGTGAAATATAATTGTTGCTCTATTTTGGTTGGAGAGAACTTTTATATCACTCCAACTACCATCCTTTTGACATATCCTAAGTGAAAGTAAAGATTTATATAAGAATAATACCATTGTACCTTCTGGGTGCAATCCAAAACAGGACACTGTGGTAACAAAGCCATTATTATAAGAATTGGGGTTCCTTGGATTTTTTCCGTGGGGAGATATCATGCAATGCTGCTTGTATTCAGTATTAATAAAAATTTCACGTTCATTGCAAACATGGTCTTTTCTTTTATAGCCATTTAAAAACTTTTCAGCTTCAATTGACCAGTAAAATAAAGCTTGTTGGGTTAATAAATCGTCTTCATTATCTGCTCTATTCATCAAAACGGGAGAACCTATAAAAGATAATGAACGAAATTCACTCATTTTTAAAGGAATAAATGTGGATTTAAACGATATAAATGGCCTCAATCTAGCATATAATATTCTGCTTATTCTAGAAACAAGCGCCTTATTATCACTGTCACCATTCTTAATATGGTTAATATTGTACCTGGTCACCTCTGAAAGATAGCAAACCGCATCATCCTTGAATTCGATTGCAAAGTAAATTCCATAATTATTCAAAGATTCTAACAGTGACCTACTTTCCAAATCTTTTTTTGATTTATCCATTAAAAAGTCATGTGTTTGTTTATACTTTAAAATGACCCATTCCCTAAGCCTCTGGCCGGCAATTTTTGGAATATCTGGAGGCACAAAATTTGGAAATGTTTTAAATGAAAATCGGTCACTTTCCTTGATATAAATGACATGCAATGGCATAACTTCATTTTCTATTCCAATAAAAGATATAGATGGAAGTCCATCTGGGCGAATTTTTGGTATTGATACCTTTCCCATTTTAGTTTCAACTAAAAGTTCATTCATTAAAATCCCTCTTGTTGCACCATCTAATTCACTATTATTTACACCTGCAATCATGCTCGGTACAACTATTTCTTTAAAGTTTGATTTATAAGATTTTTTCTTGGAAATATCATTGCCTCCTTTTTTAATAACATTAAAAAACTCGAGAAATGATTGTGTTATTTGGTTTTGGGAGTTTTTTGGGATTAAACTATCATGTACCGAATGACGGAAAACTTTTGTTTGTGTACCCCAGTCAAATAATTGGTTGCAGTTCCGTCCAAATTTAACAAATTTATCCAAATTACTTGTAGAATGATCGGGAATAACTTCTTTTTTAATATTCGGATTTTGTTTATTAATTACACGTAACTTAGGGCCATTTTCGAAAATTGACTTTTCTGAATCTAAATCTCTAAGGTCATCAATATTCAGTAACATTCCAAAAAATGTGTCAAATGGATTTTTTCCATGGTTTTCCGGCTTTTTCCCTTTATTTAAAATTTCAAAGAGTTTTTGTTTGAAATTTTCGTTATGATTATAACTGGTATTTTCTCCATTGTTAAATATAGTGCTGGAAGAAATCCGTTGAATTTTTTGAAAAAAGCTTATTAATAGAACAAACCCAATAAATGACCTGAATAATCTTAATTTAGAGTTGTATCTCATACTCGCATTTTAACCTGTTTCTAGAATACTCAAAATTCAAGATTAGTCACAGTAATACAACAAGAAGGGTACAACTTGAGCAACTTTACTTAAAACAAGCTTATTTAAGAGATTAGCCTTTTTTCTTTAATTTATTTACTGTTTATTTTAAAGTATCCTAATAGTCAATCCAATACCAGTATTTTTTGGCTTTTGGCGGGAACAGCCTTGGGCATGCTCCGCAGAATCTGAGTGTTAAAACCTGAGATAAAATTTTAAAGTAGTAAAATAAACCTATATATTGCAAAGTAAAGGTATTAAATGATGGAATGTAGTATTATAATATCATAAGCAACGCGAAAAGGGTTTAAAGCATTTAAATTCAGTTTGCGTCATTATAAATTGTGACGAAAAAGTGGAGGTTTAACTTATAAAGTTTGGGAAATTAATAGTGTGGTTCTATTACAGATCAATGTAAATTAAGAACTTCTTAACATTTACAAAATTTATCCAAAGTCATTTCAAGAAAAAAATGAGGTAAGCGCCCCTTGATATAAAGACTAATGTGTTTGAGACGCCGTCTTGTGTCTCGGTATGTAAATTATTTAATAAGACAATGATGACTGGAGACTATATGATCATTTGAAAAAAAGAGGTTAGAATTAATTTTTATAGGAGTAAAGTAATTAAATAACATTTTATTTAAATTATTTAAAGGCGCTAAGCCAATACCATTAATTCAAAAATATTGTAATTTTTCAGTTGAAAATAATAGTAAAGGAGAAAGACGCAAAGCAAGACCTTTTTTTTTAAGTAGGAATTAAGATAGTTTTATTTAAAAATTGGAAGATTTCGAATTTAGGCTAAAATGGCACCTCAGTTAATTTCCAAGAAACGTAAATTTATTAATGATGGAGTGTTTGAAGCAGAATTGAATGAATTCCTCTCTTGTACTCTTGCGGAGGATGGTTATGCAGGTGTCGAAGTCCGAGTAACTCCAATCAAAACTGAGATCATCATCAGAGCAACTCGCACACGAGAAGTCCTTGGTGTCAAGGGCCGTAGAATTCGTGAGCTTACTTCTCTTATTCAAAAAAGATTTAACTTTCCGGAAGGTAGTGTGGAGCTTTTCGCTGAGCGCATTGAGAACAGAGGACTTTGCGCAATGGCCCAAGCTGAATCCTTACGCTATAAGCTACTCAAGGGTGTTGCTGTCAGAAGAGCATGTTACGGTGTATTGCGTCATGTTATGGAATCAGGTGCTAAGGGATGTGAGGTCATAGTTTCTGGTAAGCTAAGAGCCCAAAGAGCAAAGAGTATGAAATTCAGAGATGGTTATATGATTGCTACTGGCCAGCCTTTCAGAGATTTTGTTGACAAGGCTGTTCGTAATGTTATGATGAAACAAGGTGTATTGGGAGTACAGGTTAAGATTATGCTTCCATATGATCCCGAAGGTAAAACTGGGCCATCTAAACCACTACCTGACGCTGTCGTGGTTAGAGAACCCAAAGAATATCCTATTAACCAATAGAACAGAATACTGTTTATCATAACTAGAATTATTATTTACAATTAGGCTAAGGTTTTTTCCGTGGAAAAATCTAGTCATTATCCCAATTTTAATTCTTATTTCAGTTATTAGTTATTCTTGTCTATTTTCATCTTTGTTTGAAACTTTATTTTCTTAATTGATATTTCAAATTTAATTTTCATTGGTCCGCGTTAAGGCGCACTAGACGATATTTCAAAAATAAACCTTTAGTTTACAAAATGATCTGGTTACAAGAACTCTGCGAAGCCTATTGGATAGAGATAATAGCATTATGGATTCTACTGGTTATGTTTATTGTATTATTGAGAGGGATTAGGAAAAACTATGAGGTTTCAATTGATTGGTTTAAATCTTCTCAAGAATTTTTAGAATCAAATTTTAGCAGATACGCATTAATACAAAAATCATTTTGGTTGGATTCTTGGAGTCAATTTGATATTTTTGCAACGGGAAGAAAGAATTGTCCATATATGTATATGAACGTTATTTGCAGGCCAAGACAGGATGTTCTTACTGGAATTTTATTCCAACCTTTGCTAAGAAATTACGATAAGGTATATATTGAAATTCCAATAGAGAAAATGGGGCCAATTATGCTATTAGTATGCAATAAAAGTGAACTTAAAAATACTTTAATTGAATATCCAGAGATTGAAATCCATTGTTTACAGAAAAAGGTAAAAAATTTACCTAAAAATAGTCTTGTTTATGCTAACAGTAACGCTTGTGTTGAGTTTCTAATGTCATCCAATACATTTTCAAAGTTTATATGCTCGCAACTATCAGAAAGGCTTGTGAATTATATTTATATCTCTGATCAAACCACATGCCCAAGGCTAACCAATAGTTATTCGAAAAATACAAGCGTACTAAAAGCATGCGTAAAAATCCCTTCTAAAAATGATATTGATATTTTGAGAAATCTTAATTTGGACTTGAATTATCTATTCAAGAATCTTCTATCTCTTTGTGAAACTCTGTTAACTCTTGAACTTCCAGAAAAGACAATTCAACATATAAACAGCAATAGATTGCTAGTTGAAAAAACATTTCTTAAAATGAACAATTGTGTAAATGAGAAAGTTGAGGCAAAAAGAAGGGAAAAAATTCGATCAGAAGCTATTAAAATTAGTAGAATGAGTCCAAAAGAACAAAAAAAATATCAAGAGAAAAAGGAGAAACAACAAGCTAGATCTAGAATTAAATTGAAAAAGGTCCGAGCTTAACATTGCGTAAACTAACATTTAGAATATTTTTCTATTTTATATTATAACAATTTTAAATCAATGATTAGTTGTAAGAGCTAAGTTTTTTTTCTAAAACCCTAAAATAAGCAAAATCTCTTAATTTTTTTCAACCTTTATAGCTGAATGTTAGATTATTGAGATTAGAGTTTGCCGTGGATGTACTATTATTTGATTTACTTTGTGATACATTTTTTCTGTAATTTGGGGAAGCTAGAGGTGAGAACCCAACTGGTGATGCAAGCCCTTCTGCAGATTTTTGCTCAATATACCTTACTACGGATGGATTTGGCGTAACTGTGTACTTAACATTGGAATTGATTTGGTTGTAACTTGTTGGGGAGAACATTTGCTGTGGACTTGCAGGACTAAATTTATTCATTGATTTGGCTGACACAGGAGATGCCAACGCGTCCCCCATTCCTCCATTTGACATAAGATTTGAGTTTGGCCATACGGTTCTCCAGGATGTTCCATGGATATTTGTGTTATTATAGACTCTTGATATTGGTGAAACTGCAGGAAAAGCTCCACCTTTAGCAATATTTTGCATTCTATGTGTATTAAAAGAATTGTCCACAAGATTACTATTAACTCTCACAAATCTTGGGGAAGATGCTTGGATATTCCTATCTTTTGACTCTATTTGTCTTTCTTGAGCATTCAATTTGTGTTTAGACTGAGAATGGTTATTGAGGGATGAAGTTGCAGCAACATTATTTTGCTTTCTTACTTGAATGTTTGATGAATCTGGAGAAACGATTTTTGAAAGTTCCAAGTTGGGGATACTTTGGGCCTGCCCTTTTTCTAGAATGTTTACTGCTTCAGATTCTAACTTTTGAACATTAGCTTGAAACTTTGAAGACGATTTTACAAGATCTTTGCTTTCACTACTTTTTCGCTTATATTGCTTATAATTTGAAGCTTCAGATTTACCTTCGTATTTTCCTGGCTCTTCTATATTTTGCGGAATATTTTTGCTACTTGAAAAGGACTCTTGCCTTAATTCGCTTAAAAGAGAAGAATTAAGAACAAGCTGGTTCGGGATAAAACCTGTATTAAAAGACAGCGAATTTCTTTTTGTAGAACTATCTAAGGCGGAATTAAAACTTGAAGCCGAGCTTTCGAGACCTATTTTTGGAATTCTAGATTCATTTAGGCTGATTTTAGCCTCCATTTCATATATTAATGTAAATATATTTAAAGCTCTTTCAATAATAAACATTTTTTAGACTTATTCCTGAATACAATATAAATTCTTTATATCTATCTATATAGGGAAGTTTCGCAAATTTTCCTAATTTTTACAAAACAGTATTTAGTCTTTCTATTTTGTTTCATATCATATTCTTACAATGATCAGTCACAGATAGACATCACACAACATATTAAAGTCACAGTTTGGCGCCTGTGCATTTTCAGATCAAAAAGTAAAATTCTGATTAATTCGAAAAAAAAATTTATTTGAGCATAGGGAACCAATACTTCTTGTTCTTAGCAATGAACAAATTATAAATTTCATCACTGTTAGCACAGAATCCCTGCAGATGTGCCCAATAACGCATAGTGGATCTCATCGTAACCCAACAAGAGAAAATAAGCCACTATTCTACAGAAAATTCTACAGAAAATCGGCAATACAGACATAGACACTCTTAAGCAGAGTTTCTAAATAGCAAAGATGAAATTAATTAATAAAGGCAATCCCATTCAAATAAGAGTTAGTAGTTTCTAGATATAAATTCTATCATAAGACGAATATTCCCTGATATTTGAATCAAGAATTAAGTACAATTTTCAAAAATGAAAACTGACGTAAGGCTTTTTGTTTAGTGACAACCTTAATCCAAACACTGGATAATAGTAGGCATGAAAACTTTGCTCCGAGTATCAATAATATCAAAGGAAAACAGCTTACTTGAGCTTTTTCTTCGGACGGATTTGACTTGTTCTGCCACACTTACGCTTACGGCAGTTTGTTGCTCTTAGTGGCAATCTTGCATAGCACTTTCTGCAAATCATCTTTTCACAGTTGTATTGACGGGCCAAGTTGGCTAAGGAAGGTTCAATAACACCACCTCTTAGTCTCAATACCAAGTGCAAAGTAGACTCCTTTTGAATATTGTAATCAGATAGAGTCCTACCGTCTTCCAATTGTTTTCCAGCAAAGATCAGACGCTGTTGATCAGGTGGGATACCTTCTTTGTCTTGAATCTTTGCTTTTACATTCTCAATAGTGTCTGAAGGTTCAACTTCCAATGTGATGGTCTTCCCAGTTAAAGTTTTTACAAAAATCTGCATCTTCTCTACGTCCTGGTTTAAAAACAAACTTCTTACTATCAAAAACTTTATTGATGGTTCGTCTTGCTTTAAAGCAATTTACTGGCTCGGCCCGCATCTTTTAAAGCTGTAAATTAGACTATGGCGTCTCGGCGTCTCAGTCTTTTGGCGGTATTTTTGGTTGCCTTCTGAAGTTTGTTTTTTATAGGAACTGTGAGTAACTCTTTTTTTTTTGAATTTTGATCAATTTGATTGTGTTTATTTTAGAACGTGCATCGATAGCAATAGCCATTAAACATTCAAATATGGCATTAGTTAAAGTTTCATTGAAATCTTACGATGAAAACTAAAATTTGATGCTTGCATCTCTCTTGCAACTTGTATTTAGTGATGCTTATGCCGATATTGAACATAATTGGTAACTTTGTTTTAAATTGTTGCCCTGAGGGAGTAATCAGGGCCCAATCATTAACAATTCAAAATGATTGTGGTAGTTATTACTCCCAAATTATCTATTCTCAACAGACTTTGAGGTTGTAATGCAGCCATACAGTTTCTCAGAGTATGTTGGTCAACTCAGTGAATTAATCTATATGAAATATACTTATTCTCTTTGATTATTCTGTTTTCTTATTCTCCATGCTAATTTATATTTTTTATATAGACTACTATTCCCGCCCGATCTTTTACTTATCTCTTTATGACCTGTTTATATTCGAGAAAAAAAATAATAGATTTATTGTTGAGGCGTATCTTTTAATATCAAAGGTCGATTGATGGAATTATAATTGTACTCAAATTGCATGAAATGCTATTTTTGAGCTAAATGGTATGTCAGTTGAAATTAACTAAAGATTCATGTTAAATATTTATAGAGTGTAGCTAAAAGAACAAGAAAATTTGCAGCAGTAAAACGCATTTTAAATCCCAATGATAGTAGAATTAAACAGTAAGTTTATTGAGATATAAGTTTATTTCGACAGAGATTTTAATTATTTTCACAAAGAAATAAACAAGAAGATAAAAAAATCAAAATACATGATAAAGAGAATGATAAACTAAGAGAAGTGTAAGTTTTCAGAAGACAATTAAATGTTGCTTTTAAATGACATTTCTTTAGTCCAAACGTACCATCCAGCTTGTTTTTCAATTATAACAACAATTTGGGTCCCCCTTTCCATATTCTATTGGACACTAATTTTATTAACTTTTCTATACAACACAAGTTAGATATATTTAAGGGGGCAATGGATTGTCTCGTAGCTAAGTGTATTCCTTGTATTACTGACTGTGTAATTGGAGAACTTGAAAAAATGGGTCACCGTTACAACTTGGCTCTGAAACTAGCCAGAGATCCCAGATTTAAACGTCTGCATTGCCTACATAAGGGGACTTACGCAGATGACTGCATAGTACAAAGAGTAACTGAACACAAATGCTACATAGTGGGAACAAATGACACCGAACTAAAGAGGAGAATACGTAGAATTCCTGGCGTACCAATCATGTACGTGACAAACCATAAGTACTCTATTGAGAGACTTCCAGAATCACTGGTTTCTGTTCCGTTAAAAAAGTAGCTTAACTTTGAGATAGTAACTATATTTTTTTTTGTGCAATGTATTGCGATTACGTATTTTTTTGGCGAATTTTGACATAAAGGTGACGCCGCCTTTGTTTATGTCTTTTGTCTATCAAATATTAATATAACGCAGAAATTGGCAGTGAAACAGATCCAGGTTAACACCTCTAGGAGATTTTTATAGTTCTAGTTTTGGTGTTTTTTAATAAATATTGAATTTGAATATGTCTGAAGACGAGCAACAATTCGACTCTGTTGATGCAGGAGCCTCCCATTGCTATCCAATGGCTGCCGGTTCAATCAAGAAGAATGGATACTGTATGTTGAAAGGAAAGCCTTGTAAGGTTGTTGATATGTCAACTTCCAAGACTGGTAAGCATGGCCACGCAAAAGCCCACATTGTAGGTTTGGACATATTTACGAATAAGAAATATGAAGATGTTTGCCCAACGTCTCATAATATGGCCGTTCCATTTGTAAAGAGAAGCGAGTACCAATTAATTGATATTCACGATAACTTTACGTCACTTTTGACAGAAAATGGGTCTACTAAGGACGACTTAGCACTCCCAACAGATGCTGAAGGTAATCCTGATGAAGTAGCACTTCAGATCCAACAGATGTACGCAGATGGTAAGGCAATTCTTGTTGGAGTACTTGCAGCATGCGGAACGGAGAAGATTGTTTCTGCTAAAGAGTTAGTATAAACCTATCATTAATTAAGTAGAAAAAACTATTTAGAAATTCCCCCTCTGTACCACGAGGTTTTAACTCTTTCTTGGTTTGTTTCCTAATTTTCTGTTTCGTTTGAGAACTTTGATAAACTACAATATTTATGATTTTTTTTTACTAGCAAGGCATTAGACTTGAGAATATCGTTCCGAGCTTCGGTAGAGAAGTAAGGGCATCAATCACATTTTCCGGTGGGAACATTAGTTCTATCTTAGATTCTTTATTGTTGTTGACCCTTATTGCGCCTCTGTGAAAAGAACTGCTTTTTTTCTTTGTGCTCCCAACACCATTTGAAATAGATATTATATTGTTAGATTCTAAGGCTTCGAGCATATCTTTGTATTCTTCAGGAGGAGTCATTAATTCTGCACATATTTGTTGGTATTTCCTTTTCAAATGGCATATTAATATTTCAGTATTAGTTAGTTTTGAAAATGAAAGCTTATTCTCTTCGGTACAAAAGTTTTCATTATAGCCTTTTTTCGTTTGATTTTGTTCTTCGGCAATTGCCAGAATAATTCCCATTAAAACATATTGCTGGTGAAGAGGAAGAGTTTTAATTATTTGTAACCTTCCCTGACTTGATTGGTGAATTTTTCCAATAACATTTTGAAAGCTACCAATAGGTACTGTCATATTTGTAGGCATTGATCTAGTTCTTAGTCTTCGTAGACAATTAGCTTCCTGTCTGTTTTGAGGACCCCTATTTAGTGTGGGGCTATTTTCTCTTGTAGATACATTACTTAAATTCTCAACTCCGATTAAATTGCTATCTTCACCTTCTTCTGTATTTATCTGCTCCTTTTGGATTTGGCTTTGCCTTTCAAAAACAAATTTTCCTAAGGTTAAATAGCATGCATCTAATGTTCTTCTACAGTCACCGTAAAGACTCGCAACTTTTCTAACACACAATTCAATACCAGCCTTGCTGATTATAGAATCGTTTTTATGGTTATTTGCCCAATTTATTCTTTGCAAAACTATATCTCTTAATGTATTGTGGCTATATGGAGAGAAAACCATAAGTTTAATCCTTCCATTATCATTAAGATCAACTCCAATTTTCTTTACCATTTCATTACCTATTTTTACTGTATTAGAAACGGCCAGAAGCACCAACCCAGAATCTGGAAAGTTAATTATTGCTTTGAATAATTCAAAGACAGCATCCCCATTACTCCGGTTCTTCCGAACTAAATCTATTTCGTCGATGAATACAACAAACTTGGTTCTTTTATTTAAAATTTGTTTCATGAAATATATTATGCATTCTTGGAATCCTTCATTCTTACTAATTATTTTAAATTCTTCAATTATACGAGCTCGAAAATTCATTAACTCCAATAAATGAACAAAAAGTGCAATTCCATTCAGTGAGCCCGAGTTTTTATTAAAATTTGAAGCAATTTTTGATGCATTTGTACGGATTACCTTGTAATTTGTAGGTTTTACGAACCCTAACTTCTTTGATGAATTATTTTCTAAAATATCTAAAATACGGTTTAAAGTACATGTTTTCCCTGTTCCTGGAGAGCCAGAAATATGAATAATCCCGGAAATATTTCCCAAGATACATTTTTTAAGATACTCGGATATTTCTTTAAATTCATTTGCCCTACCCAAAAATTCCCAATTAATAGGTGGCTCTGACTTTAAACTTTTTAATATTTTTCTTGCATTAAATTCCTCCAACTGGAAATTATCTTCAAAATTTCCCAGATTTTTGTTCCTCTCCTCATCCCCGGAGTTATTTTCGTGAAACCTACATCTTTTAGTTCTGGTGGACATGTTAATGATTATTCATTACTCCAAATGATTTAATCCAGCTTTCTATATAATCGGTATTTCTGACTCAGAAATGCGTAACTCAAGTTTGATAATGTTAGTCCTCCGTAAAAAATCTCAGACGAAAACAGCTTTAAATTAATTTTTTATCGATTTTTTTTTCTTTGCCGGCATGCCAACATGTGTGGGTTTATAGAATAACAAATGTCACCCCACGACATGCAATTTTTTTTGGCGCAGAAAATAAAGCAATACAAAACAAATTAAAAAGTTAACACTGGACGAATTAACCGAAATATTTTGAATTTGCAGAGATAAGTCTTTAAAGAAGGCAAAATTACTTTTATAGTTTTCTATGCTGGAATAATTGCGATATTTCTATTCGAATTATTAAAAATACTATTTGCAACCATATTCTTAGTCGCTTCTTTAATTCATGCAGAAAAAAAAACGAAAGCGCCATATTACAACATACAAGTTATATTCAGTGGATATTACGCAAAAATCCATAAATATTAGTTTTAAAATATGTCGAAGTTAGATTTTGATAAATGGTTTCCATCATACGCGAAAGTTAATTCTCACCTCATTAACTCTGAAAATAGAAGCCGACCATCTTTTAGGCTATTATGCATTCACGGTGCAGGAGGTTCAGACCAAATATTTGTGAAGAAAGACTTAAATACTGGCAAGGATTCTCCTAACATATTATTGGATTATATTCAGGAAAATGGGATAGAACTACTTGCACTGCAACTACCAGGAAGGGCAGGAAGATTTCATGAAACTTGTTATAAAGAAATTACAGAATTAATAAATGACTTTTATCCGGTTTTTAAGAATCACTTCCTCGAAAGAGTAAATCTAACAGAATTTATAGAAGCAGTACCATGGGTACTTATTGGCCATTCAATGGGAGGCTTAATTGGCTTTGAATTGATCAAAAGAATAAAGTTTGAACAAATGAAAGAATATTCCACTAAAATTGGAATAGATCAGATTGGATTTGAAAATAAAGTAGTAAAACTTTTGAGGGAGAAAAGAATGTTTCCTGAACTATTTATTATTATGTCTACATTTCCACCGAACGTTCCAGTATGTGATCGTCCGTGGAGAAAGAATGAAGAACTAAATGATGAAGAGTTTAAGCAAGAATGCAGAGAGTGGGGAATAAATGAAAATGTTTTTAAGAAAGGCATTTGGGAAGAATTTGAAAAACAATTGAGATGTGATTTCACAATGTTTGATAGTTTTGAAATGAATTCGGTAGATGAAGCATTGTATTGCAGTGATAAAACACTTTATAGTTTCATGTATCCATTGGGGGTTAAAGCTCAACTATGGAGCGCCTCTCAAGATAAAAAAGTCACAAAAAACATTATGAATAAATGGAAAGAACTGCTTGTTCATGAAGATCTACATGAAATCAGAGAAATAGATGCCGCACATAATTTCCTGCATGATCCGAAGACAAGGAGAGAATGGATGCAAGGACTAACTGCGTTATTAGACATAATAATCTTAGACCTAGAATACTATTAATAGAGCAGATTAAAAGAATTTATAATTTTATAAATCTATTAGAATAATTCACTTCTCGTATTAATCCTAACATTTAAAGAACTAAAGAGATGCTTTTGGTACCTTTCCTCTTGTAAAAGTATAACTCCATTAATTACAACTTAAATTTAAATTCACTTTTAGCTCAAGAACTGAGATAACCACCTAAAAGCCTCTGAATACCCCATCCTTCTGACAACGCTACACATAAAGACCTCCACAGGTCTTATTCCATTATCCCCCCTTTTTTCTCCCCTGCCATATGTTAAGTGTTCAAAAAGACCAAGACTTTGTCTAAGTTCGTCCTCAGATGCAGCCATAGGAATATCAATTTTGTTCCCAAGTATTACAAATGGGACATTCTGTAGTTCAGGTGTTTCAAGTAGATTGCTCAGCTCTTCACGCGTCTCCCCAAACCTCGATCTGTCAGAAGCGTCAACAAGAAATACGATTGCATCCACGGTCGCAAAATAGTCTTTCCAAATTCTTCTTGCAGTCTCATGCCCTCCTAAATCGAAAGTCTTAAATTTGATCTTACCAATAACGAGCTCTTCAGAATGAGGATGTAAAGTGGGCACATGGGTCGCTATTCTATCATCCTTAAGCATATGTAATAATGTTGTTTTACCTGCATTATCAAGACCCAGGAACAAAATCTTTGCAGATTTATTTGAAAGCCCAAACCAGCTCAAAATATCACGAAACCATGAAAATACAAACATTTTTTACTCTTGAAATTCCAAATTACATAAACAAGATCTGGAAGTTATTGGCAACTGATAACCAGGTGGCAGCCAACTTGTTAACCAATTAATTTAATAATAATCACCCCACTTCTGCAAGAGCTTTATCCAATCAGCATCACCGTCTCACAGATTAACAAATTCCACAAATATTTTATCTCCAGACAGTTTCTTTTTCCCCTCAGTTAAATCACTAGTTTGTAAATTTTATTCTACCCCTCACACATATATTGTGGCGGCAAGATGGGCGGCATGGGTTTTTAGATTATTTTAAGAGCGAGTAATTATGTAAAAATAATTCTATAGTACTGTCCTACCAACAACTTTACTATAAATAGACTTCTCTGATAATTAAAAAGAATCTAATTCGTATCACTGTTTCTGTTTAGTCTAATTTTGTCCAATTTGTCTTCAATGTACAGCGATATTTGTTTGTCTCTCAAGATTTTCTCCCTTTCTTCGTCTGTGGGTATGATAGATACCCCTATGCGATTGTCATAGGAGAATTTTCTTGCATTATATTTAAATTTAGCCCAGTAGTAATAGAATTCCGAGAATATTGATACAGTCGTATATTTAAACATGTCATATATCGTTTCCACAATATTTGCCACCTTACTTTGTTTTTCACTTCTCTTCCTTAATCCCTCTGCATCAATAAATGAATGTATCACATTTGGATTGATTTTTGTGTGTCTAACACTATTAAAATAGTGAATAAGAAACTTATATGGATTGTCAGCATAATCAATACTTTTGTAAATATTTTTATCAATGTCAGAATACGCATTAAGATCAGTTTCATAATATCTGTTATTCGTTAATTTCTTCTCAAAAAGATTATTTTTTTTGATTATTTCATCAATATTGAGCCCGTAGATCTTCTTTAGATATTTTCTCGATCCACTTAAGTCTCTATCATCCAACAATATGGACCTAAATGTTTTTTCCATGTTTTTGTCTGGAAGTTCCTTAATTGGTCTTCTTCTCAGGTCAATGACTGCTGTTGTAATTTTAATAAACTGAAGTAAGCTTTTGCTTTCGACATCTCCAGGAATATAAGGAATGTATCTTCTAAGTATTGGTACTAACTCGGGAAAAGACTGTGAATTACTTGGATAATTTTCTTCTGGGAAAGGAATTGGAGTTTGCTTTCTTTTAAAGAAGTTTTCTGATGCATCGTCAAACGCAGTTCTTTTCCTAAACTTGAAATTTTCTCTATTCTCCATTGACTTTGGTATAGAGTTCATTCCTCTCAATAGTGCTTCCATTGGAATTGGGCCAACTCCATTCTTTAAAATTTCGAAATCATTTAAAGTAACTTTAGGTATAATTGGCATATATCTGAAAGATTCTTTTGATTTGCTATCAAATACTTTTGCTATTTTGATAGAAGATGCTAATGTATTAATGTCATCTAAGTTGTATATTCTTCTATTTAATTCAGTATCTCGAACCACGGTTTGTTCCTGGTTCATTTCAAACACCATAATAGGAATTTTGTAGATGAATTGCATTACTTCAAATATTTCCAGATGATGCATCTCAGAATCATGATTTATATTATCTAATTCACGGTTTTCTGGGCTTTTTGTAAATTCCGCATTGGATTTGGCTTTCTCTCTTGAAACTCTCATTTGATTACATATTGAGAGAACAAATAAAACTACTTCCTGATCAACTCCTTCTACATGAATATATGCATTCTTACTTTTAGAGTTTCTTATTATTTCATGTTCCAATTCGCATGTTTTTTTAATAAGAGAAAGAGAAGAAGTAAATGCAACCTTGATCAAGTGCTTGTAAGAATTTGTGGAATATAAAAGAAGTGATAATGATTCAAATAAATCATCTATACTCGAACTTTTTTGGGATTTTCTTAAATCCTTTTTATATGGGCTTGGTCTATATCCCCAAAAACTTGAAAACTTTTCTTCAAAATAGGGCCTATCTCTAAAAAATCCCTTTATTTCACTCTGAACGTTATTATTGTAAAAACTTTCCTTTGAGAAATGATTCTTATAATTTAATTTGGAGGAATTATAAACTTCTTGATCAGTCTCAAACCTTTCAAATTTGATTTCAGTCCTTTCAAGCTCTTCTCCGTTATCCAGTAATAAATCAATGTATGCGTCATATCTAATGAAGATTAACGAAATCAAATTTTTGTTGAACATTTCTTTTATTTTTTCCTTATAAGTGCCAATTTCACGAATATTTTGGTCTTGCCACTCTGAATAAATTTTGGTAAATAAACCCATTGGATCTTCATTATATTCTTTTGACTTTATTAGCTCAATTGGATCTTTTACAAAATCTCTCAAAAAGAAAAATGTTGTTTCTCTAGCTAACCTTTCGTCATTTTCCAAATCTTTTTGATCTGGAATTGTGCTAACAATTTTTTTTGAAAGAGGTATTCTAAGAAAACTATAGTGGCAAACAACTATTGCTGCTATTAATGTCAGAATACCTCTGCTTGTAAGAATTGAGGCGCATGTAAAGAGTAATAACTCTCTATCAGAAAGTCTCCAATATGCTTCTTCATAAACTGGAACAAAAGAATAGTTCCTTTCCATTCGTCTCGCTTCTCTTAAGCCACCGGCTGGCTTATCCACCATCTCATAAAGTTGCTGTAAGTTTATTTGAGACCTCCAAATATATGGCGATATGGAATGAAATGCTATTGAAAGTTCTTTTGCAATCTGATATAGTGCATCTTCGGTAAAGGAAATTCCTTTCCTCCCCATAAAGTAGATTATTCGTAGTAGATTTCTGATAATAATTACAACTTCTGGGAATCTTGGAACTAGTTTCTGTATTAAGATGATTTGTTCGGAGCTGGGGGTAAATCGATTAAATACTTCAGATCTACTCACTTTATTTATTAAATTCTTGTATTCATTTCCATAATTGGATAAATGTATGCAATTTGCCACAGACGCACAAATATTTCTTATAGCTGGCATTTGCCCAAAAATTCTCATTAAATCATTTGGAACATTATTACTTAGTCCTTGTGAAGAATAAATACTATTTTTACTTATATTCAAAAATGGATCTAAATCGATCGGGTCCAGTAATGCCATTTCGCAGACAGTTATTACAAATTGTATTGGCCTAAGATTATTCATTTTAGTGTCTACAACTGGAAGTAGTGAAACTACTGTAGATATTATGCGATCATATATTAACATTTGAGGGATGTAGCTTGGGTTAGGGTTGTTTAAAAAAGGAGCAATATTTTTTCCAAAGCAATACAGAGCTCTAGAAACAGTAAATAAAGGTAACATCCAAAATTCTTTGGCCAAATTAAAGAGTATTTCCATATCTAATTTAAATACATTGTTTTTCTCTTTAGCTTTGTTAGGTAATAAAGAACCATCTTTAAGAGGAATGAACGAAAATTCAGGTTCACTAGTCATCACTCCAACTTTAGGTAAATTAACAAAATTATTCCAAGGCTTCAATGTTGGAATAATTATGTAGTCCAATTCAGATGCAAATTTATCTGGATATTTAGCTTGAACCATATCTTTTTCATTCAATGAATAGGGTTTAGGAGTTTGAATCAAGTATTCATTTTCAGATGTTCCAATTTTTATCATTTCAGCTCGGCTTTCAGGAACAAAATTTGAATTATACTCTTCTAGTAAAGTAAAATTTTTTTTTGTAATTTTATCAAAACTGGTTTTACTTACATTCCTATTTAAAGTAATGTTTGCTTCTTTTTTAATTTTGTCGGCCTCTGAATCTTCTCGATCTGTTTCTTTATTCAAATTACTGGCTGGAAATATATTAGTTGTATTATTCTTTTGTTCAATAGGCCTCCAACTATCTATTTCCAAGCTTTTTTTCTCTTTGTAAATGTCCCCAACATATATAATACTTTGTAAGTATTCCAGATCCAATCTATTTGGCAGATTATCCCAATCAAAATATGGATTATATTTGAAAACTTTATTTGTAAAAATCCTACTTTCATATACTCCAGCTTGATGAAAAGAAATAAGAGGTTGTACTATAATGTAATATCGATAATATTTTTTGTAATATTCTCCATATTCTTTTTCTGATTGAAAACCAGCATTATTGATCTTAACTTTATTCTGAAACTCACTTTGTTTATTATTTAATTTTTCTGCCCCATTTATTATTGGTGTTTTAATACCACTGACTAGTATATGGCCAAAAGAGTGGTTTGATGGTTTCCTCCAACTGGTCGTATGATCGGTGTAATTTCTCACTTCATCTTGAATTATTTCAAAAAGAGGGAATGTGTTATTCCCTTTGTCTTGAATGTTTAAAAATTCATAAACTGAATCAGAATTTTCCCCTAGAATTGTCTTATACTTAATCTGGAGGCCAATTTCGTTAGATAAAATTTTCTCGTTTGTCTCTGCATCATAAACTGGAAGAATTGCGTCCCAAATCCAATTTGAACCATCTTTAACCTCTTCATGAATATTTTCATTCAAGTTTAAAATATTTTTTTTGAAAACTCCTTGAGAAAACCCTGGAGGTTGTTCTTTTTTCAGAAGCAATCGTATAGCTTTACAGGATAAAGTTTTTTTATCTTCATTCCAAATTGTATTATTACCCTCATTATAAGAGTGATCTACACTGTTCAATTGTTGAATAATCTCTGTTATCTCCTCATCCAATTCGAAATGAACCACTCTTCTGGAATTTTTCAAAACCTTTTTATAAACCTTGATTTTAATATTGTATATCCGTGAAAATGCGATTAGCTCAATCAACGCAGGTCCTCGATGTTGGCTAAGTAGAAGGGAGTAATATTTTTCTGGATCAACAATCCCGACCTTAACATAAAGTTTTTTAAATTCATCCCAATTAAGTTTAATATATCCAACAATAAGTGAATGTATCATTGAAACAATACTCAAAAAAGATTCCCCATTTTCTATTGCAAGATTTCCATACAGTTGAACAGCCAATGATCTGTAAAGAGACCATTTATCTCTCATAACGTAATACTGAATAAAATCAGGAGGATAAATAACATTTGGATATTTCTCAGCAGCCAATTCAGCTTCGGAACAGATGGGATCTGGCCTTTTTTTCCATGATGCGGGTGCAAAAGAAATCATTTTTAATAATTCTTTCAAACTTGTATACAATTTATTAGGGTCAAATTTTAAAGGAATTGGCGAGAATGAAACTCTGCAGAGTGCATTCGCTATTTTGAAATTCGTCACCTTAAGAAGCGACTCTGTGCAAAATGCAATCCTAAGCAATGATGAGTGGTTTGCAAACATGCTAAGCTCATAAATCATTTTCAGAGTGATTCTTATTGGTAGTTGTACTCCTAACCTTCCTGAATAAAAATACAACCTCCCAAGATCACGGATATTAAGTCCTGGAAATGCTAATTCTGGTAGTTCGGTGTTCATTTGAGATAATTGTTGAAGCGCAGCAAGGAACCAATCAGAAGGTAAAGCATCTATACTAGATTTCCTTTCCGATGTTTCAGGAAATAAAGGACTTTGGTTTACTTTAAAAAAATTAATTATCTGATTTTCTGATACGCTGAAAATATGTGCATTTTGAAGTATGTATTCATTTAATTCATCAGAAATATCCTCATCCATGCATTCATAAAAATAGTTGCAGATGTCATCATAAATCATCTCAAGCAAATTGGCCGAATCATGCGGCCTAAATTCGTTATTTTCTTTTTTAGTTCTTTTTTCCTTAATAATCTTCGATTTATTATCATAATACTGATGTATTTTAAAATCTGCAATAGAAATCCCCATTATGGAACCTTCATATCCTGATTTATTAATGCAGAGACCTTCGCCAGAATCCATATCCATCGCAAAGAACATATTTATGCATGAGCTTATCATATTTTCTTTTTCTTCAAAATATCTAAAAAATGGAATTCCTAGCATAACTTTTACTATTGTATCCATTCTAGAGGTATTTATTGAGTTTAATGTTTTCCATCTAATTTTTATTAATGGTAATACAGCCTTATACATGCAAACTGCTCCATTCAAACTTGATCCCGAGAGGAATGAAAAATCAACAGCTAATCTCACAAATTCTTTAAGAAGGGCCCCCTCTTTTCCATCTAGTTCATTGGATTCTTCCTCGTTTGTGTGTTGATATTCAAAGTTAACTATTTTTTCTGGAATGTTTGAAGGTATTTCAGACAAAACATCTTGATCCCATTTAATGTTTGGCAATAAGTTGTCTTTTTCTTGGATTAACTCAACCGGATCAGAATTAGAGAGAGTAATATTCATTACTCCCTGAAATCCCTGAACTTTGTTTCGAAATTGTGTATCCCTTACACCTTTCCGATTTTTAAATCCCGAATACTTGAAGGAATCGTTATTTTTATATAATCCTAAAGAAACATTATCAAAGAACTGGGTTTTGTTGCTTTTTCCTAAATTTGAAACTACAAATTCATTAAATTCTTCATTATCTATGGTAGTGTTATTGGGTATAGAAACTGAAACCCCTTTATTTAATAAAAAATGAATTTGTTCTTCACGTTTGTTAAGAGAAAAATTGTTATTTTTGTTTGGTCCAGAATACTTGTCGTTCATCCACTTATATTCTGTCTTATTATTTTGGAGATTTTCTGAGTTATATATCTCAAATTGGTCATTCATTAAATTAAATCTATTACCCAAAAAGGAATAGTAATCTACTGGACGAACGCTATCATAAATGTTCATATTTCCATGTAATGGCTCTGATATATCTTCATTATTTCTTACGTAGATGTTTCCTTTAAATGCTGGTGCATTCTCCCTAGTTCTAACTAACATCATTTTCTCTCCATCTTTTGGGAATATTGTTGAGTTTCCAACAGAATATACTCTATTTGTACTTTTTGGACTAATTCGTGAATTATTATAGTATTTTTTTTCAATTTTGGGCAGATTAGTGTCGAATGGAGTTTGCGTTTCAACAGAATTAATTAGAAAGAGACAAACAATGAATATTGAAGAAATAGCTAGCAAATTAAATAAGCAAATTAGTTTCTTGTGGTGCATCTTTCCAATTTCAAGTTTATCTACCACTGATTAACAAAACTTTTTGAGCATGTAACAGATGCCGCCGGATGATCTAAATTTCTTATTTTTGTATTGGATTAAAAATATACAAATAGAAACAATACAAACTTTTATCTATTATTTAATTGTATAAAAAACGCCAAAACATACAGTTGGTTTATTTACCAACGTAAATCATAGTAGAAAGGAACTTTTTTGAAAAAAAACTAGACCAAACCTATTAAAAATATGCTTTTATTTTTAATTTTTTTTTTCAAATTCCTCTCTAAACTCGCATTAGATAAAGTATAAAATAAAGCAAATTGCAAAAGATTATCTTTAGATCATGCAAAATCCGAAATGATTACTGATGAATCCTCTATAAACGAAAAAGAACATTCTTGCATAGACAGCACTAACCAAAAAAAAAAACGAAAGATAGACAGCTTAAAACTAAAAAATATTGATGTTGTGTTTTTAGATGATTCTGATAAAATCGGATGTAAAGAAAGTAAAGAAACTTATGAAGAAAAAACACTAAAAACAAATTTATCAGTTAATCAACGCATACAAATATCATTTTTAATATTTCTCACTATGACTAACTTGTTGGTTTACACCGTAGCATTTTGCAAAGGAAGTTAAAATGGGTCGAGCAAAATTTAGGTAACCTTAATTGGAACTTTAATGTGGTTATGAAATGCATGATACCAGTCTTTTACATCAACCGGAATTGAAACATTCAGAGCTTTTCCATATGCAGGGTAGCCAATTGCTCGAATTGAATTGTAACCTTTTGGGTTTTCATAAGATTTTTGGCATGATGAATAAATTATCCAACCTCCTGAAAAATAACAATAAACATTATGGTTGAAAAACGTCTGTAGCTTACCTGGTGGAATAGTAATGTCATAATTAATAAGGTGTTTACAGCCTTTTTCCATTTGATTATATTCATAGATAGGATAGTCGTATTTCGTATGACTAATTTTGTTAAATGTACCATTTAAAAAAGGAGAAAAAAGTACTATTTCATTTGAGAAAGAAGTAGGCTTAGACTTTATTATCATTTGTGGAAGTGAGTACTCTTTATATGGATAATTTTTCCAAGTATTGAGCTCCATCCATGGTACTGCTCCATACAAAATTGTGATTGAATAAATTGCAATAAATAAAGCAAAAAAGAATGTTGCAAACACTATTCGATCAATAATCAACATTTTGATTGTAATAAATAATAATAACTCACCAGTTATAAATATACATGTTCTTAAATATTTAATCTTGGCGATTTTTTTTTTTTTAATGTTTGTATCCCTAGTTCTCATTAAATACACGATTTTGACTTTATATTTAACAAATAAATAGCAAATATCTCAAATTTTTGACTATTTGAGATTGTTATAATAATAAGAAGATTTAACTTTTATTCTAAAAACGATTTCCCCCACATTATTTAGTCCCAAATATTGTTTTTTCAATGCTTTCAATTGACAATAAAATTCTTTACCACACCTATTTTGTTAATTAATGGAGTAACGGTCTATTGCAATAGATAAAGTGTATTTATTAAAATTAATTTATACATTTACATATTTACACAACAAAACCTTGTTCACATTTTGTTCAGTCACTTAATAGTATTATATAAAGACATTTGGCGGTATATTAATATTGTTTTGATCTGTAATTTTACGCAAATAATTATTGCAAATGCTTAATAAAAGCAAAAACGATTATTTATAATGTGGATGCGATTTTCATGGATTGATTTCTAATGGAAACAATAAGGGATGACATAATATTTAAAAAGGATGAGTGCTGGAAAGAAAGTGAAAAAAAATTCCTTCAAAATGAATGGCGGAATTCAAAAGGATCTTTAGAATCAATTGTTTCCTCTTGTTCAATTGAAAATTCAGCATTTACTGCACGTTCGAAACAATCCCAAGGCTCTCATTCTGATGAATATTCCATCATGATTGATGATGATATCCCAGTGGACGAAATGTATTTCCAGTTTTCAAGTATATCAATTGTTAATCGAGTTTTTTGTGATATCTCGTCTGTCAAATATACAACTTACTCAGAAATTAGACATATTTTTTACTTCTTGAGTTCCTTCTTTTTTATTCTTTCTCTGTTGTTATTTGAAAGAAGTTGGAGTGGGGTTACAAAGGTAAAGGTTGATTATGATAATTTTGGAAAATTTCCACTGCTGTCCAAGAATAACTATTCTTCGAGTTTGAGCGAATACAAATACGAAAATAATTCCGAAAACAATAAGATTTATGAGTTTGTAGTTGATCGTACTTTACAGGAGCCTATTTTTGTATATTATGGGATAAATGGGTTTTTTAGCAATACCAGGGAATTTGTTGGCTCTAAACCTCCCGAACTATTTGGGTATGGTTATAAGTGTACGCATATACTATCTATTGAAGATATTCTGAGGTACAGACCAGATTTCAGAATACATCTCGCGGAGTTTTTTAGAGTACCTTTATATTTTAACTTTACTCAAATTGATAACATATTTTCCGTTAACGAAGGAAAATCAAGAATTTTCAGGATGAGTAGAAAAAATAATTCAATTAATAAAAATATTTTATGCGGTCTTCCAATTTATTCTGTATTTACAGACGAATTTGAATTAATAAAAAAAAGTCCTGGAAAGGAGAGAATACATATTAGAACCATTGATTTTCCAGAAGATCAATGGAAATTTAAAATGCTCCATAGTTTTAGGCAATTTATTTCTGGAGTGATCGACAGCAAATTTTTTAATAAATCGGATGAATCTGGAAAAAAATTGAGTGACAAGATTCCTAAATTATCTATAATGTTGTCAAGGTGGTGGAGCCAAAGTATTTCTCCAAACTTCATTAAGCCATACGGTGTAATTAGCTCATCATATGAATACGGCAGTATGGACGACACCATTTTGTATCCAGGTTCGTATGAGCTTAATTTTACTTCTAATATATTCCCCAATAATGCTTGGGGGGCTGAAAAGTATGTGCTATTTATGAATCTGTCAGTGTTTGGAGGAGAGCAATACTTAGCAGCTGCAATCTGTTTGTTTATAGCAATAATTTATGCTTTTATTATATACTTTAATCCAAACCGTGCTCAAATAATCATCATAAAAAATAAGATTGATCAAAATATATAACTGTTATTTAAGAGTTCTCATTTTGCCTATTTTTGTTTGGTAATAACTAGCGTCTTTAAATCTCAAAATTAAACAATAAAAACTTTCTAAATAGCCAACATGCTATTTCTTCGAATTCTGAAACAAAATATTTATTTGCATGTAGTTACCATAAAGCTCGTTTTAGGCGCCTACCCCACACATTGCATATTTAGTTTTTATAAATACATTTGTTTTCCGAAAACGGAAGTGAATAATTCAATAATCAGCATTGCTTATCTTGATATTTATCTAGATATATTTATTCTTTAGATTATTTTTAATGATGAATTCTTCATATGATTCCATTGGAGGAATGGGTATGATGGATAAATGCTACTTTACAGGGAAGAGTGAACTTCTAAATTGGCTTAATTCATACTTCAATTTGAATGTTTCTAGAATTGAAGACTGTGCAAGTGGGGCAATCTATTGTCAGATTGCAGATGCAGTATATTATTACCAAGTTCCAATGAAAAATGTAAATTGGGGTGTTAAACATGACTTTCAATATTTGCATAATTACAAGCTGCTACAGCAGGTTTTTGGAAAAGTTAACCAGCCAAAATATATTGATATTAACAAGCTTATCAAAGGGAAGTATCAGGACAATTTAGAGTTTTTGCAATGGATGAAAGGTTTGTTTGATGAATCTGGAGCGATCGATCGCGACTATGATGCTATTGGAAGAAGGAGCCTTGGTAAAGGGCCTTTTCCACATTATTCTGGGCAAGTAATTCCCATCACAAGCATTCAAAACTCTTTAGCTGAGTCTTCATTAAATATGGGAATTAATACTTCAAACTCGGTACCAACCTCTAGAAGGGCAAATAATAAAACTATTTTGTCATCGAAAAATACAGAAATGGAAAGATTAAAAAAAGCACTTAGCAAAGAAATGGAAGAGAAGGAGATTGTTGACAAGGAAAGAATGTTCTATTTCAATAAACTGAGGGCAATTGAGATATTATATGAAGAGTTAAATGAAAAAAAGATCCCTTTTATGTCCTTAAAAGACATTTCTGAAATATTGTACGATAGCAATGATATTGACCTGGAAAGTTTCTCTAAGAAAATAATAGATTCAGCATCGATAAATAGTAATGGATTAACAAGTACTACTTCTGGAACGGAAGACCAATAAAAATAGTAATTAAAGAATACATATAGTTATGAAATCCACAGTTAAATTTAATTTGTTGATATCTCAACCTTTCTTTCTCTTTTTTATTTTAACATTCGATTTTACTGCACTCAGTAGTTCAATTGACTCAACACTTTGGTCAAGCTGAACTTGCTCCAGAGTCTCGCATATACGATCTGATAAAGAGACTTTCTCTAATTTAGATTCACTTCGACTTTCATGTTCATCAAATTCGGCATTTTTTATTTCCAGATTATTGAGACTGGGCAAAATGCTAGAGTTAGGTGTTCCATTATTTGATATCTCTGGTTCAACATTGGGCATAATTTGCATAATTAAAGATGGTTTTGTTTCAAATTCAATATTCGATTCTTTTAATTTGGTTTCGAATTTATCAATGATAATTTTTTCTTTATTATCAGAATATTTCAATCTTTTTAAATATTCTCCTTCAAAAATTTGTTTAAATTCATGGTGAAGATTTCCACTGTGTGTCGTTGCTATTTGAATCGCATAATTGATTTGATTCAAACTTAACTTTACTCCTCCAAATTTACTGATTCCACATACTTCTTGCCTATCATTAATAGATATGCGAATAATTGCATCTGAAATGCTCTCTTCATCTGAATTTGGATCAACTATATATAAGAGTTCTTCCTTACTCTCTATGTATCCAATGGAAACGGAAAGAGGAAAATGATGTATATTAAAAGGAATCATCTCTAATTTTTTTATGGTATTTTCCAACCTCTGATAATCTCTTTGCCCAAAACCCTCGCACTTTAATTTTCTCAGAAAACTATCGATATCTGCCCCAGTATATCTATAATGTCTTAGCCCTGACAATGTTGCCATTAAACATGCATCAAATAAATTTCCGTCATCAAAAAGCACATGCATCTCACATTTCACTGACCAAGCGCAAACTCCCGACAATATACATAAAATCTCAGTATCAATTGCACCAGTTTCTTTTAGTATTCTTTCAATATAATTTGCAATTTCAGTCCCCATAGTTGTTCTACTATGACGAAATGTGTGGCTTGAAGGATTTAAACTTAAAGGCCCTACATCTACTGTGAATGAAATAAACCCTTCAGAAGCTCTTTCCTGGCTAGGGATGACCAATTCACTTTTCACTATACATAATACATGGGTTCTGCCTATATTGACTTCCGCCTCACCATAATTCTTGTTTAAGTTAATACTTATGTTTCTATACTCATTCCTTGTTCTACCATCAATTCTAAGGCCATATTCACGAATACCAATAATAAATGTATCCATTTTATTTTTGAAATAAATAATGCATTACATTAGCGACAATTACTATATAATATTCTTAATAACTAAACTTGAAAGCGCTAAAAAGTCTAAAAAATCCGTCAAATCAAACGGATTTTTTACTTTAATTTTATGAATATTTGTGATAAAGTAGATATTTCGAGACCTCCATCTTTTAAAAAGACAAAATTTAATCATGATATTATTGAAATTTTGTCAGACTCTTCTGAAGAGTCTAATTTAGGAAATGTTAATTCAAATTATGACCAGTTTAGATTAGAAACACCTATTTATTTAAATGAACTTAACTTTGAAAAAAAAAATTCGAAAAATTTATCCTTTAAGTCGTTTTTTGTAGTTAATGACCAAATATCAATCAAAAAATCATCTTGGCAAATTAAGAACATTTTTTTTTCAAGCTATATAAATGATGTCGAATGGGTAATTAAAGAAATAGAAGATTCTGAGTTAATTCATAAGAATATCGAATCCATCCTGTTTGTTTCTCATCATACGGGCAATTCAATAAGCTGTAAATTTTCTAATCATCATAAAATAAGAACTGAAAAGATTTCAATTCACTCTCCATATCTAAAAGTCCCATATGGAGTGTTTCATCCTAAATTTATTTTAATTGTTTTCGAACATCTAATTCAGCCCAAAATGAACTTCATTAGGTTTGTAATTACATCAGCCAATCTTATACGGCAAGATTGGGAGTTTAAATCGCAATCAATATGGGTGCAGGACTTCTTTCTTACAATTAAAAAAAAAAATTGTGAATTCTCAGAATACTTGCACGAATTCCTAAAGAATATTCTAAATGGTTCCAAATTACAAGAATTTTGGCTAAGCAAAATTCAAGAATTCAATTTCGAAGATGCAACAATAAAATTAGTTGCAAGTGTTCCTGGCTATTTTTTTGGTCATGAAATGTTCATGTGGGGTCATTTAAGAGTTAAATCTCTGTTAAAGAACGTTATTTTCAAAAAGATAAATAAATCTGAAAGATCTCTAAAAGAGCAAGAAAAGATCATTCTTCAGTTTTCGAGTATCGGAAGAATATCTGAGAAATGGCTATACAAGGAGTTAGTTTCATCGTTATCGGAAACACCCGAAACTAGGGTTGAAATAATTTTTCCAACAATTAAACAGGTTCTTAATTCGATAGAGGGAATTGAGGGAGGGGGGTCTTTACCTGTAAAGAAAGAATATATTTGTAAGCCCTGGATTACAAAGTTGCTTCATAGATGGGGAGAAGGGAGTATTGATGGAAATATTTCAACTGAAAAAGCAATACCTCACATAAAGACTTTTCTAAAATACAAAATGTTCAATAATGCTGTTCAAATTATATGGCTAATTCAAGGAAGTTATAATTTAAGTAATGCTGCTTGGGGGCAATTACAAAAAGATAAATCCCAATACTGTATCAGAAACTACGAGCTTGGAATATTTCTTCATATAGATCAATTTGAGTTTGAGAGATATGACAAATCTGAGAAGGAAGAAGAATTTCCAAAGTTTGTTTGGAAAAGAAAAACAGATCATTCATTTGATTCAAAAATACATAATAATCAGCCGAATAAACTTCTGGATATTCCTCTTCCTTTTAAATTACCTCCCAGAAGATATTCCAGTGATGATATTCCTTGGAATATTGAACTATTAATGTAACTTAGAGCTCATCCTTAGTTGTTCAACTTCCTCACATAACATAGACAGTTCGCTTTTATATAAATTAACTAATTGTTCATGTATGCATCTACTTTTTAAACCATAATTTTGTCCATCATTCAAACATTCTGAATATTTTGTGTATTTAAAGCTAATCATCTCATTCAATATAGATTTCCATAAAAACAAACATTTATTTTCATTATCATCGCGAATATTTGCGCTTTCTGGTTTGAAATATTCAGATGTTTGAACAAATTCAGAGTATGTTTTAGTGCACTTTGATAAAGAATTTGTACTAAAGGACCTGGACTCTTTTGGTGTTGATTCGTATTTTTCTATCTTTGCCAATAACTCGTGTATCAACTCTTCACGCCTTTTAAGTTCTTGTAAGACCCTCTCGAACTCTTTAAATAGATTAGTATTGTTTTCTTCTAGCTCTGCGACTGAAATTTCATTAAGCAATAAATTTTTTTCCTGATATTTTGAGCATATTAAATCAGCACTTGAATAACTCTTGTGAAAAAGTAAGCCTAATTTTTTCCTTGTTTTATATTGTTCCAATATCAATTGGCCAAAACTGATATCAATTTGTTTTTGATCTAAATTCATTTTACATTTTTTTATAGATAACTTTTTTGGTGCGTGCCCTCATTTCTGTACCCCGGCTTTTAATAATAAAACTGATAAATTTCATTAAATATCAACACAAGAAAAATAAAAGTTATACTTATAAATTGCTATTATTAATGGTGAGTTGCTTTCAAAGGAACCAATATGTAAGACCATTATTGAGCTGAACAGTAGGTAAACAAATTATTAAGAAAATTTAAACCCATTTTTGATAGAGTATTAGTACAGAGAATAAATCCAAAAACAATCACTAAAAGTGGAATTCTACTTCCTGAATCGATAAATAAGAAGAACAAAGGCTTCTTTATGGCAAAGGTATTGTCTACAGGAAGTGGGAAGATAAATCACTTTACGGGTGAATATTATAAATCTTCCGTAAAACCTGGAGACACAGTAGTTGTTCCAGAATATGGAGGGATTAGCATTCAAGAAATTTATGGAGAAATTGAAAATGATACTACATCGGATTTTATAGTTTATAAGGAGGAAGACATATTAGGAATTTTTGAAAACGATAGCCAAAAATAATTAAAAAGCATTAATTAAATCTGATTAATTCAAAGTGATCATTTGCGCACTAAAATTCCTTCAATTCTTCTTCAAGCTTTTTGTAATCTTCTAGTTCAGCTTCTATAAATTTAGTGTTTTTTTCCGAATCTAAAACGTTTTTACCAGTTGTTTTTTTATTTAAATTCGCTTCTTTTTCTGTCTTTCTTACAAATTCTGAAATATACCTGCCCATATTCGAATTTTCGTCAGTTCGAATCTCTAATATTTCACAGAGTTCTTTAACCCAAGATACCATCTTGTTCGAGCATCCAATAGAAATCTTCCCTCTTTCAGTCTTTCTTTTCAACGATTTTAATAACGTCTTAATAAATATATTTACATATAATAAGTAGTCGCTATCCGACTTTGCTTTGCTTTTTAGCGTATTGACTGACGTAATAATATCGCGTATCGTTGTTCTTTTACCTTTATCTATATTTTGATGATTGAACTCGTTTTTTTTTGATTTACGGCAAGAAATTATGATACATGGCTTAACTTGATCCAAAATTTGCAAATTATTTGAATTATAAGTAATATTTATCAAAGACCAAATATTATTAAGGATTTTGCTATATATAGCAGAATTAATTTCAGATTTTGTCTTATAGACTTTTTCTTTCAATTTTGTGTATGCATACATTGCATGGTTGCTATTTTTATTGTTTATTTCCCAATCTGAAATAATTTCAAGAGTTTTACCTTCATTAGTTTGAAATAATTTTTTTAACTCTATGCTTAAAACTAAATCTTCGTTATTTTGATACTGATTGTAAATCAGGTATGTTTCTTGAAGTAACTCAATTTGGTTTTCTTTATCTAATGCGCAATTTTCTACCCCACTGAAATCAACAAATTTTCCCGAAAGCAAAACTACACTCCCATTAAATATATCTTTTTCTATAATTGAAATAGTCTTGTTGTATTCCCTTATTTTATGAAATTCTTTATTGAAGCCATTTGTAAAACTCAACAGTTGATACGAATCGTTAATAACAGAAATTGAAGGGCATTCTACCTCCAATGACCTGCCTCTACATTTCTCACAAATCCCAAACGCTGTATTAAAAAAATGAAGGTTTTCTATTCTTTTGCATCCAAATACCTCTTTACATCCATCAATTATAGGTAAGATTTTATAGCTTTTATTACTTAACGAAACCTGGCTTTTAAGTTGATTTGTATGATCTATAGTACTAAAAAATATCAGATGATACAAAAATAAAATAGAATTGCATCGGAGTTGAAGTAAAGTTAATATTTTCATGTCCAAGAAAACTGGAATAATTTTTAATATGAACAATACTAAATCATATTTTTAGATAATTGTATCTGAATTGAGCGCCAGCATTTGCCATGCATTGTAGTCAACAATGCATTTCCGAATGTTCTCGTTTAATCGCAACTAGTCAGAAATACTCATTTTGTGAAATATAGAAACAGGTAATTGAGTGAAAAAAGGAAATTAAAACAAATGTCTTAAAAATATATGTAAATTTCCTAAACTATAGTAAGGATTCGGGGCGATATTGCAATTGATATTTCAGACAAAGCAGAGCTTTTTTTTGAATACTTATGTAAATCAGTAATATGTCCCTTATATTCCTTCAGAATCATCCTTTAGAAGTTAAATATTAGGTGGAGTGAAGATCGTCCAAATTTGTTACTCTTCACCTGCTTCATTACTAATATTGAAGTACCTAACTTCATAGGACCCTTTGCTAATTGCAACTACACGTAGAAAGTCTCTAATTTGTTGTTTCTTAAGGTATTTCTTAGTCAGATACTTCAAATATCTCTTGGACATAGGAACTTCACTTGACACAGTAATACGACCTTTCTGACGAGAAATCTGAATTTTTGTGCCCAACTGGCCACATTTACCATCAACTTTTATGCGATCATGGAAGAATTTCTCAAGCCCAGATGCATCAATGATGTTATCTTGCATAGGAGCAGTGCAATCAACAACGAAACGCTGAGTTTTGTGAACCTTTGTTGCAGGAGCCATCTTGTCTTTTGGAGTAACTTAGTAATAAATATGTAATAATTAAAGTTTTTACAAATACTTCCTTGTCAATTCCTTTTGGTTTTCTATGTACAAAAGGCGAATTTTGAATTACTATTACAGCTTATTTGATTTAAATTTATTGTTATAAATTAACTATTATTATATTACTACTAAAAGAAAAATAATTAGCCGCTATATATTTCATCTCGTCTCTAGTTATTGTTTTTTTTTTGCGCCATCTATTTCCAAAAATTTTAATTTATTCAAGTAAGACTTTTTGTTATATTTATAGACAAAAACGTGAAGTTACCCTTACTTGGGCGCCATGATTTATCTGAATAGCAGTTAATTATGTTGGGGGAAATAATCCGAGGCAAATTAAATATTTTTGAGATTCCGAATTACAATTATAAGTCCTGACTGAAATATTCAATTTAGAAGAAATTTAGTTCGTATTTTTTATATCAGCGCATGGATCTGTATATGAACAAAATTCGTGAATGCATTATTTTTAAATCCAACTTGATGAAGAGTTGAATGCTTTAAGTATTAGAATATAGCTACTCTGGTTTATCTGCATTAGTTTTGGAGCTACAGCAATTATTATCTCGGATATTAACAACATTTGGCTCAGTATTCAAGATGTTGAACATTCCAAGCACGGTTGACGACCCTAATTATCGCTATAAAATGCCTAAATTGGTATCAAAGATTGAAGGGCGTGGAAATGGCATTCGAACAAAAATTGTTAATATGGGAGATATTGCTAGATCACTTAAAAGACCACCTGCGTACCCTACCAAGTTTTTTGGATGCGAGCTCGGTGCATTAAGCAAATGGGAGGATAAGGAAGAAAAAAGTATTGTAAATGGAGCACATCAGCAAAATGACCTCCAACGATTAATGGACAAATTTATTCAGATGTATGTCCTATGCCCAAATTGTGAGCTGCCTGAGATTGATATAATTGTTAAAAAGGAACGTGTTAGTTGCAAATGTAATGCTTGTGGATATATTGGAGCATTGGATAATCATCATAAAATCACTACATATATTTCAAAAAACCCACCAGGAGGAGTTGAAAGTACAATGGGGAGCAGGAATAAAAAGGAGAGAAGGGAGAAAGATAAAGATCGCATATCTGAAGGTTGTAGTAATAGTAATGGCTCAACAACAGGTGATAACGAAAAACCTAAACATAAGTCAAAGAAGACGAATAAAAAAAACAGCAAAAAAACCGTTCATGATCTAGATTTATTTGAGAAGGATGTTTTAACATTTGAAAGCCCCGAAATAGTTGATGTTGTTGAACGTTTGACCAATTTTATACAAAGAAATGATGAAGTAAGTCCAGAAGACTTTTTTTCAGAGCTTCGCGTTTTACAAGTTTCTCAAGATTTTGACGAATTCATGAGGTTTTCTGTATTGTTAGCCGTGCTGTTTGGTTTGAAAGACCCGATTGATCCAAAAGTATTTAAATTAAGGATCCCCTACATTTCAAAGGTCGTAGAGGGTTCTTTGAGATCAAATGCAATTATTTCTATATTTGAAACATATTGTGTTGAGAAGAATCCAAGTACGCTAACAACATATCCATACTTGATACAACAACTATATGATGCTGATATTTTATCCGAAAAAGTTATCTTGAGATATTACCAAAAAGATGCTCCTACTTCTTGGGTATTTGGATGTTCTACTCAAGACACATTTGAAAAAGCTAAGAAATCATGTGAACCGTTCATTAACTGGTTGCTTGATGGTAGCAACGATGAATCTGATCTGAGCGATGAAAACAATGATGATTACGATACAAATAACTCCGATATCGGTGAGGAAGATTCTCATTCTCCTATTAAGAGCTCTTATGTAAAGGTCAAAAGCCTGAATCTTTCAGATAAACTTGATAAGTTTGAAAGTTGTTCTGGTTCTGAAGACGATAGTTCTCTAACTAAAAACGTGGAGAATACTCGGTCTCAGGATACTGACTCTGACCTTGATATTGACAATATCTAATTGGGTTATTATTAGTTAGTATTATTAATGAAAATTGAATTTAGATAGCTACTTTTAATACTTTTTAAACTTTCGAGATTGTTGGTCGGCACCCTTTTTTTATCGATCGTCCTCATAAGTGGCTTTGCTTCTATTTTACAATTCTTTAGTAATTTTTAGTCTTTCCCAATTTTTAATTTTAATCTCTAAAGCGCCGAAATATGTAATTAGGAATGACTAAGGGGGAGAGATAATTTAATTTAAACAGTTAATTTTTAGTAGATTCCAACAAGATTGAGCGCAATAATCTTATGAGTTCAGATGAAGTTGAAGGTAATCAAGTTAACAGCAAAGAGAATGATTTGTTTTGTATTTTAAGTAGGGAATACCTTCCTAAGGAAAGATGTCTAATACAGACATGGAATAATGAAATTAGAATAAGGATTCAGTATGAATTTACAAACCTTCTTCCTGTATTATTTCTTTCCGAAAATATTGAATTAGTTAAAAAATCTCAGTCTAATTTACAAAAAATTGTATTTGAACTGCTTACAAGTGTATTATTTTATTTGGATATTCCTTATATTACAGCTATTGAATTTCTTGAGAACTGTTCTATTGTATCTTATTTAAAAGTATGCAAAATTTTAGGTTACAATTTCATTGGAAAGGATGAACTTGACGTTCGTGAAATACCGACTGATTCTCTTAAAGAAGAATTTAATTTCTTCATTTCTGACCCAAGTAAAGCTATCGAAAGTAACTTACCACATTTTGGTTCTTTTATTGAATATCACATCACACCCTTAATTATGGATTCAGTGTGGCTTATTCAAATGAGTTTACGTGATAATGAATCTAACAAAAATTCAGTCTGGGTGGAATTTATGGCTAGACTTTGTAGAGGAAATATTACTTCAAAAGAAAGGCCACTTCCATCCATTCCAAAGAGTGTGAAACTCATTAGTATTAAAGATATTGTTTCATATCTTGATCTTGGAAAATCGGATAATATGAAAATCACAGAATCGTTAATTTCTTCTAAATTCAAGCTTCAGCAAAAGTATGTTAGGGATAGGACAAGATTATGTTTTACTGTAGATTCGTTCACAACTCAAAAAGAGTGTTTAAGTGGGTTTTCTATTTTGGGAGTATTCATTAAATATTTATTCGATCAGATTAATTTGTTTTCGAAACTAAGTATCGATGAGTTTATTTCTAAAATAACTTTTGAGAAAAATTGTCCCATTAATCCAGTAGGCGTATATTCCGAAAACAAATTCTCGGAAAATATGATTATTGAATGCAATCATTATACTGGTGCATGCCATTCAAACTATTTGATAAGATCTATTTGGAGTATTATTTTGAGATTTGATCTCTCAATACAAAGAAGTATCGGATTGATTTTTGAAGTTTTTATTTCAATAACTTCAAAGCGCTTTAACACAGATAAAAACTTTAATTATCCAGATACTAGAATATTTAATCTACTAGAAAAACTATTGGCTATTTTCCCAAAAAATATTGTTAAGAAGTCATTCATTATTTTTGTTGAGCATGTTTCTGTTATTTGTAAGTCATACAAGGGGCCTAAAATTTCGGAAAATATAAATACAATTCACATCGGAAGTGATACTTACAAAGCAAACCCATGGATTATTACTGACAAAAAAGTACTTAAAGAAGTTCTCGGATTACCGTTCTTTATTCTTACTTCATTTTTGATTAAAAAAGGATTTTTTGAGCTAAGTAACTATTTTAGAGAGAAGCTAATAGAATGGGATGAAATTTTTTGGTCCGAGTTTATTACTGGCCAAAATTCATCAAAGGAAACAAATGATTCTTCGAATTTATTTGATAGCCAGAAATATTTTTTCCCTCCGAAAACACTGGAAATTATTAATAATATCCACAAATATTACCACCTATATTTTAATTCACAATTAAATCAATTCGATGAGTTTGAAAAGGATTTGAACTTGGAATTATTATTAAAAGAAATTTTAAAAAATGAAAGAATAAATGAAGAAATCAATTTTTCAAATATTTCAGTTATTCTTTCAGAGTTAATACTCGCTCCATCAGTATTATTTGCAAATGCATTTTTTGCTGATTTTTTTCTCGAAGAATTTTTGGTAAATGAAAATGAAGAGATATACTACGTTTCTAAAATATCTAGGAATTCTGAAATTATTCAAGAAATAACTGACTTTACAAGTATGCCATTCAGCATTATTGGTTTATCAAGCAATATACTAAAAATAAAAATAGAAGTAATTATTAATGAAATTAAAAACAAAGTTAGAGATAATGAAAAATCACCGCACCTCCTGATATTACATTATAAAGGATTCTGTTTACTGGTTGAATGGATTCGAAAATACTGTAAATACTATTTATTCCAAAAGCATCCAAGTTGTATTCCTATTTTTCTTGAGTTGCTTTGGTTGTTCATAAAAGATTTTAACAAGGGAAAACTATCAGAATTGTTTGAATCAAAAGAATTGAATTTAATAAATGGGTATAAAGATCCACCTGAGCTATTGTTTGAAGTTTCATCTTCCATTATTTTCCCTGCAATTTCACTTCTACCCAGAAGCCCCTCAATTCCCGAAATGCTGAAAAACTCAATATTCAGTGAGATAGATATAAAATACAGATATCAAATTTACAGAAGGTTAATAGCATTCAGTTACAATAGATACCCTATGAATCACCAATGGATTAGCGTGAAAAAAATGCTTTCAAAGTATTTAAAGGGTGTTACTAAAGATATTATAATTGGTAAACATGATAATAAGCATTCGAGCAATACAAAAAGAAGACCACCTATTCAAATTAGGCTATTAATATCTAATATTATTGCCTTATGCTATACAAATCCCCTTGTAGTTTGTGATACAATTATTAATCAATGTAACAACTATGATAATATGATACCTCTTTTAATTGAGATACTTGGAAACAATATCGATGAAATATGTTTTGATGTAATGATATTTACAATCATAAATTTTATACTTTCAAGACCAACCTACATTATTGATTGCAGATCAAATAATAGTGATTTAAATTGTTCGAGATTTGGAAACCGTGGAATTGCAAAGTTTACTGCTTTGCTACTTACAAAAAGGAAAATACCAAGAGATATTTTAAAGAATTTTTTGCAGACTATTATTTATCGTATAGATGAAACTTTTTATGGCAAGGAATACACCATTAAAATTCAAAACAATTTCTTAGACTTGTGTTTTTGGAAACAACTGTTAGAAATTGTATTTTCAACTCCAATACTTGATTTGTCAGTATTGACTGGAAAACAAATTCAAAGTTTAGCGGGAGGTCCACTTTTGTTTCAAATCTTTCTTTCTCAGCATGAAGAAGATCATTTTGGAGAGTCCAACGAGAACTCCCTTTTTAGTTCTTTATTAGATAATAATTCTCATGCAAAACAAAATAGTGATTTATTTGTTTCTATCTTGAAAAATGGAGAGATTCAAAGTAAAGAGGTTCTCTTTAGAATCGCAAAACTCAGATATGAAATATTATGGGATACTCCAAGTAATTTGAACATGGATATTAAACTTTTAATTAATCTTTCTGACGAAATACATTGGTGTTGCATACAAACAATTGAATTCTTAAAAAGATCATTCGATCCTGAACTATATAGAAACTTTATCTTGAATATTTCAGACTCTAAATACAGTTTTAAAGATATTATAAATCAGACGTTTTTATACTTAGATATACCTACTGGGTGGTCTTTTCTTAGACATGGGATTAGGAAATTCAATATTAGTCAAGTTGATAAAGAGACTTCAATACCACAAAAAGGGTTTTTAGATATTGATCAAGAAGCAATGGACTGTATAAAGTATTATTTTTTGAAGGAAAATGATCAAAACTTTTTGAATAATGAAGCTTGCATGGATTTTTATATCTTATTTTGGTACCTTGATTTATGCGATATTTCTCTTCCTTTTAAACATTATTCAGAAAAGTTATTCGAATTGTACACTGAAATATTGTACTGCAAAGAAAATATAGATAAAATTTTAGTGCAAAATGTTGTTGATTATAAGATAGATACTTTTATTGAGAAATGTAAAATGGAATCTTTCTTAAACCCAAATAATGTTAAACTTTTACCAAGTTATATTAAAAACAAAAATCACTTACCGAGGCAAGTTAGAGAAGCAATTAAACCGTTAGAAAAGAAGCTCAGAAGGCTTTACAGTTTCTACAATGCGTTGGCTACGGAATATATTAAGCTTTCCAAAAGAAGTAATCTTATTAATCAATTCTTGGATTCTGACTGTGGAATTAGAAGATTTAGAAAAGAATTAAATGAATATTTAATAGGTGAGGACGTTTTTGGTGATAATTATCAACAAAAAATTCAGTCCTTTATGGTTTGGATTTGCAAGGATTTTATTGCACCTAGAGTAATTCATTCCGAAACTGATGCATTGTTCACATATTTTTGGATCGAAAAATTCATTCTTGACGAAGAAAAAGGTATCTTTTCTTCAAAAAAGCATTTAATAGAGTCATTTCTTATATTAATATCAAAACATGTTTCTTACCTAATAAGGTCATCAACTCCACGTGAGTCTCAATTACTAGGTTTATTTTTTAAAGAGATATTCTCATACATTAAAAAATTCATTTCTAAAATAAGTTCGGTCACAAATATTAGTAATCAACAAGAAGAAAGAATGCCCAATGTTTTATCAAACATTACAAAAAATGATTTTGATGAGTCAGATTTTGAAAATAATCTAAGTAGACAGAATTCAAACAATATCTTAGATAATGATTTAATTACGGAAGATACAAAATACAGTAAAATGACCGAAAATATCAATTTCGACAGTTCAAAAATAATTGAAAAAAAAATTTTTGAAAGTTTTGACCAAGAAATAAATCCAAATAAGGAAACATTACAAGAAATGAAATATGGATCATCTCCATATGAATCCGATAATATCGACCTATTGGAGAAAGAAAAAAATGAAAATATTGTTAAGTTAGAATGTGAAGAGGTAATTAAAGGAGATAGTAACAATGGAATGGAAAGTTTATCACAAAAAATTCCCGATTTAAGATTGAAAGGTTTTCTCTACGAATGTGAGAAGAACGTCATGATTTCTTTATCTTTTGGATTAGGATTACTATCGGAAAGATCATCAGAAACTCTCCCGGAATGGACGCATACTTTGAGTAGCGTTTGGATGTTATCCAGATTTTATGAGTCATTTCCCATATCAGCAATTACAGGTGAATATTTACTCAGGAAACTGCCAAATATTCTCGAATATGCAACTAAAAGGCACTGGAACGACCTAAATTTATCAATAACGTCTTTGATTTTGAAATTAAAACAATGCAAAGCAAGTTGGATATGGAATAGTAATGCAGACCAATATTCAAAGCAAGACGACTCCACTTCTTTTAATTCAAAAATGTCAACCGAATCTTCAAAAAAGAACGTTCCAAGCTCTTTGAATCTATATTCAGCAATACCTGGTTCAAAGAACTACAATGAAAAAATTAAAAATAATTCAATGCGTTCAGAATTTAAAAGACAAAGATTAAATATGAATGATAATAGCTATTCATATAAAACTAGCTATTCTAATTCCACAAATTCAAATAAAAGAGAAGAGCATCGAAAAAAACAAATTTAATTTTTTCAATAAGATATTTAAATATTAATGTATTTCTTTTTACTATTCTTTTTTGATATATGATTTTTTTTTATGTCCCTTAAAATGAAGGATAAAAAGAATGATCCCAAAGAAAATATTAATAATGGAACCAGTGAATAATTTATGTTTAAAAAGTGAGTAGTTAAATCTGTGAAAATACAAAAAAATATGCAAGAAGTTACTTTAGCAGAAAATAAATAAATGAATAATTCCGTATGTTTTGATTGACTATAGTGTTTTATAATTGTTGTTGGGTAAATGGCTGAATTCCCAGAATGAGCAATAGAAACAAGTAGATATCCCAAAATATACTGGAAAATAGATATGCTTTCAATAATGGGGAACATTAAAAGTACTATTCCAATAACCAAAATAATTGACAAAATACAAATACAATTAAAATAACCTGCTAGTTGGCCAAAAACTCCCCAAAATACTCTAAGTAGTGTCTGTAAAACCATTACAATACAAGAAATTCTTGTTAGCTGTAAATCCCCAAGACCAGTGTTTACCATCCCATGAATTTTCCAAAATAATTGAATATATTCGATGCACGGCCATGTTAGAAAAGTAATTAACCAAAGTAGAATAAATGGTTCGGAGATATAGTTTTGATTTGTAAAAAAATATCTCCTATTTAAAACGTTCTTTTCTTTTTCTATTATTTTAAGATTTTTTTTTTGCATAACGATTAAAATTATAACACCTAAAATTTGGAATATTGCTGAAAATATAAAAGTTAACTTTAGTAATTTTGGAACTTTTTCCAAAATAACTAAACTATTAAACATTTTCTTACCATTAAATATATAATAATTATTCAAATTATTTGGATTAACAAACGAAGACTGAATAGAAGGTATTATTGACATTGATGCCCCTCTAAGTAGCCAAAGTAACCCAATTATGTTTGAACGAGAATTTTTTGAGTATTGATTAACCAAGAATTCAATTGTGGACGCAAAAAGTAACCCATTCCCAATTGCGTATAATATGGAATATCCAAATAAGTAAATTAAATAGTTTTCTAAGAACAAATATGAAATTAATAATCCAGCATTACATGAAAAAACCCCAATGATTAAGCAATAAGGAATTCCAATAATACATTCAATATTTGGGCAGAAATAGTTTGCTCCACCTTGGAACAATACAAAAAAACAATCAATCCAACAAATCATTCCAATGCGTAAGTTATGCTTGCCTTTGAGCGACATATAGCTTGCAATATACGGAACGGTATTTCCAAATGTACTTGCAAAGCCCAGAGACCAGTGAATCAATGCGCATCCAATTAATGGTGGCCAAAACATTTTGTCCTTATTTAGCAGGTCTCTGATTAATACTCGAAAATTCATTATATTTTAATTTAATCTTCTTAAACATCTATTTAAATTAAAATAATGTTATAGTTTAAAGAAATCTAATATTTTTTTAGTAAACAAGTCGCTATTAATTTCTTTTTTTAATGTATTATTATTTGTTTTATTTTACATTGCCGGTATACACAGTTGTCTATAAAACATAAACCGGTCCTAATAAAGAAAGAACGAAACAATACTGTAATTGTCAACATTAATTAAATAAATTAATCGCACTGCAAATTTTAATATATTCTGTCATTTTTGAACAATGATTAATAATGGCTATTCAAAATGAGTGAAAGCCGAAGGTTTATTTGGTGCATATTATTAAAGCTAAGTATTGAAGATATAAACAAAAAAACTCCAATACATGAACTAGTACAAAATGCAGACAAAGCCCTTATAAACCAAGTAAATTGTGATGTAGACCGTTGTGAATTGCCGAGTGATAGTGATAAACTTAATTTAAAACGATTGATTATCTCAGTTTTTTCTTATCGAAAGGAACAATATTCTTATGTTCAGGGTATTCATGATATTGGAAGAGTTTTCATGTCATTATTTTGTGAATATAAGAAATCTAAATTATCTATTATAAAAAAAAAGTTAAAATTAAACCAAATTTATAATAATTTTGAAACCAATGTTTTATGTAAGCTTCTAATAAAGAAATTTAAAACAAAAAAAGGTAGGATGGATATCTGCTTTAAGACTTTTGATAAATTTCTTATTTTGTACTCAGCTCCGTATATATACAAATCAGATAGTATAGATCAAATAAATCTTGAATACGTTCTTTCAAATATTGTACTAGATCTACTCTATTTACTTAATAAAAGATCTCCTTCTCTATATCATTTTTTCCTTAACTTAAAAGCAAAAGATGATCGAGAATCAAAAATATTTATGTTTATTTTGCCGTGGATATTAACTTATTTTTCGCATAATATTTCAGTTAAACAAAACAAATTAATTTATTATATTTTTGATAATATCATTTCAAACCATCCACTATATATCATTTTTCTTGTTGAAGAAATTATATTTCAATGTAAAACGGAGCTTTTTGATTATATTAAGCAGAACTTTGACTCAGAAATAGCACAAAATAACATAGAAAATGAAATATACCCTTTTGTTCATTTTTTTTTTCAAAATTTGGATATTTCAAGTCTAGAGTGGAACTTAATAATTAAAAACTCACACAAGTCTCTATCTAACACTAGGCTTAATGTATTAAATAGCCATTTTTTGTGGGGAATTGAAAAAGAATATAAAAACGACTTTAAAATTGGTCTTTCTCTTAATACAAAAATTAATGAAAAAGCGATAATATATTTGATGCTAATAATATCAATTTTGAGTTTAATAATTTCGATGTATATCGGGGAGTTGAATTTTTTGAAAATAATCCATTATTAAAAAGAAAAAATGGGCTCTAACCCTTTGTTCATTGATCTATTTCTTTTCTTCTAAAAGTTGCAAATAATTAATAATCACCGAAATACTTTTTTTTTTTATTTGATAAGTATCCTGTTTAAAGAAATGGACGAAAGGTTATTACAGAAATACAAAGTAAAAGTTTTTGAATGGGGAAAATGTTTTGACAAAATGCTTGAAGCATTGAAATCACTAATTTACCTTTCAGAATTTGAGAATTTTGAATTTGATGAAGAAGAAAAACAATTGCTGGCATTATGCATTAAAAATAAAATTTCAGATTATAGAAATATGATCAGTCTGATATTAGAGGAACAAACAAAACAGTTAAACAGCAATGCTGATCTTGCAAAAATATGCAATGAGTATATTATCTCACTTAGAAAAAATATCAAAACATTTTTACAATCAGTTGATGAAACTGCAGATCACTTGATTGCGATATCATTTGCTGGAAAATTTTTTAAAGGAAAGATTAAGTCTGATATATCACGATATAAACTTGAATTTGGACTTTGCAGCCTCAGAGATTCAAAAAAAATACATGAAGAGGTTTATGCATTATTTTGCAAACATCCAGACAAAATAGGTTCATTATCCTTGAGGCTCATTAAGGATTTCGCATCCATTCTTGCAGAGAAATACGGTGAAAAAGAACTGGCAGTCCACATGTTAAATCTGGCCAAGGAAATACATCAGATTCAAGTAAACGAACAGGGAAACACGCAAAAACGTGCTCAAATAGAAGTTGATCTCCAAGAGATTAAAGATTGTATTAAAAAGTGGAAATAAAATAATTTATGATTCTACAAAACTTTAAAAACAGAGTGGGGCGCCCGCCCAAATAATCTTCGTAGTTTTTAATGCATATAGTTAAAAGTTGAAATATTAAGAGTGAGGGGATTACTCCGATACATGTGCACATTAAACAAATCAACACAATTAATTTTAACTTGTTTTTTTGACAACATTTATTCGCGGATCTTGATCTAGACGAGAACACAATTCTAGTGTAATTCTTTATTGTAACACCAAAATTTTCATTATATAATCAAAATAAAATATAACTATCTAGTACATTTAAATTCAAAGAACACTAAGCTTTAATATCAGGTGTTTTTAATATTCTTGCAGGGTTAATATCAACTCAATGCAGCAAAATAAACAAATTGGGAGTGGAATTGGATCTTATTCAGCCTTCAAGGATGTTGAGGTACAGAACCAGATTCAATCTTTGTCATATAAGCAACAGTGGATTGCAAAAGCGACCAGAGTTCCACCTAGAAAAGTTCATACAACCGACATTTCCAGGATAAAAAACAGGCTTTTTGCCTTTAATCAAAGGAACTGTGCATTATCAATTGGAACTATGGTTGGGAGTTGTAGACATATTTGTTCTTGGGCAAAGCTTCTTGGATTAACTGTTTCTTCATTTCTTTTTATATGGACATTGTGCTCTTTTTCAATTATAAAGTATTTGAAGGGAGACCAAAATATTGAATACTTTTATACAAATCTACTTTGTTTAGTAATATCGCTAATCTCTCTTTCCATGTTATCTACCTCCCTAATTATTCCAAGAATAACTACAATCAATTTAAATTCGATGGAAACCTCATTGTTAGCAAGTTCGGGTGTAGCAACTCGCAATCTAATTTCATACAAAACATTATCAACAATTTATTTGATTGTATCTCTATTGTCCATTTTCCCAGCATCAATGCTCCAAATGGATTCATATAACTTCACGACTACAATACTTTCAGCGATACTTGCTGCTCACCTTGCACCTTCATTTTTGTTCTATATTGCTCATTTACGTCGTGAAGATGGTTATAATGATGATAGGAACATTCATACGCCACTATAAGTGTCTCTTTATATTTATCATTTCGAATTAGGAATTCATTATAGCTGTTGCATTTAATGTATTCGGTAGACTTCTTCTAAGTTTCAAAAGAAATTAGTTGTATAATTTGAAACTTTTGATTTTGAGTATTTCACTGTTACCTGAGATCACCTTCCTTCACTTTGTAAATATTTTTCGCGGTAAAATATATTTAGAAAATAACTTTAGTTCATTCTTTCAATCAGAGTCCATTTAGTATTCATGGTAAAACGTAAGTATTCTCGTAAACTTAGTATCTAGTATAATATAAATTTTTTAGACAAAAAAAGGCGCAAGAATCGTTCCGATGATGATGATGATTGTAAGTATTTAACATTCAAAAAAAAAGTTTAACTCCCTGCTTCAAATAGCTGAAGATTATATGGACGATTCCTTCCGGGGAAAATTTAATATGAGTATTAGTAATAATAAAAAGGAACGAAAAGAAATTTCATTGGTATTGGCTGAAGATGATCAAGACAATGAAAGGTGAGTAGAATTAATTAAAAGTTTTATCTGTTCGCAATCATAAATTATTTTTTTAGAAAGGTAAGATGGTCAGATATTGCAATGGGTCCTTCAAAAACACCCCCAAAAAAATTTTGTGTCATATGCGGTTTTGTGGGAAAATATAAATGTTACAAATGCTTTAAATGCAGACCAAACTCGATCGTAAGATATGTTTGCTCTCAAAAGTGTGACATGATACACAAAGAAATTGATTGTTGTAAGCCCAAAAATATTTTTATTTGGTAGAAAAATTTATTCTTTCATTTTCACACTCATTTCTTGCGATTTGAGTTTAATCTTGATACATTCAATTGCAACCTGGTTCGCTTACTTCTATCAGAATTTACTTGAGTATGATCAACTTTATTTTGGGATTCAATCTTTTCATTCCTATTAATATCCGTTTTATTAGATATTTTATCTCCTAAATCTCTACTTGATAAAATTTCAAAATATGTTTTTTTGAATTCGTGGTAATTTATTGATAAGTCCCAATTTAATATTTTCAAAATATGATACTCCAACATCAACATTTCCCATTGTGGTACTCCACCAATATGTGCCCAGAATTTGATTCCATATTGAACATCATACATAAGTTTGTATGTTAATAGAGCAGCGGCTAGAACAAGTCTGTGTGCAGTCAAGGTTGTAACCTTTAATGTACCTTTGGATTTCTTAACAGCTCTTCTTATTAAAATAACCATAACACAGAAGTCTACGGGCGTTAAAGATACAAATTTTACAATTCTAGTTATGAAGTAATCCCCAATAGATATTTTTGGAGTTGCGAGTGAATGAAATGGAGTTATTACTTTTTTATTTTCTTCATTTTTGTCTTTGATTTGGTCAATTTCCATTATAATGCACTTTTTTATATCTTCTTCTACCATTTCATATTCTGACCAGGAGTTATTCATCCAATTCAATATTTGTGAATTTGTAAGAGGATAACTTCTATAATTGAATTGTAAACTAAAATTGCTTTCATAAGATTTATTCTTATCTTTTTCATAATCCCCTGATTTTTTTGATATTGAATTGGGAAAATTTTGTCTTACATTGCTCTTATTAAATAACTTAATTTCTTTTTCAAAAGAATTAGCACTCTCCTTTTCTTTTTCAGAATAACCTGATTCATATAGTGAAGATTTTGAAGTTAAACTTTCCAATAAGTCAGTGCGGTTTATTAGTAATGATAACTCATCATTCGAATTATTCCTAGTTGATGCTTCAGATGATTTACTCCAATAATTCCATATCACAGTTCCGTTATGTTTACCAGAATTCAAGTGACTCTTCGGGTATGATATTTTGTTGTTCTTAAAATCTAAATCACCTGAGGTATTTTCACTGAAGTTCTTTTCATTATTTTCAAAAAGTGTCAAACTACCAATTAATCTTGTCATAGCACCCAAAAGCATTTATTAAGTCAATAAACAAAAACTAAAGATTAAATCTTAATAAGAGAAGTTTTATTTTTCTGAATTCAGGTTTCTGTTTCTCATGTTTATAAAGATAATTTAACAACTCCTAACCTATTGTGAAAAAAAAAGAGATGACTGACCCAAAAATACGGAACCAATTTTACTCGTCCAGTATATTACTAGGGAATATTTTGTTCTGATACAATTCATTTCGACAGTGACTAACCTAGAAAAAATCTAATTCAACATCAACTTTATGGTTCGTCGCACCATTTGTTTTCTTCTCTTATTGCAGATTCTTCTTCTGGAGTAAAATCATTTTCTATATTAAATATTTGACGTATTTCCTCTGCCTTCTTCCCCTTAATCATAGTTGCAACTTTAGCACAGGATAAATCTAATAAAGGTTTAATGTCCAAATAATTCGCTGCCTAAGAAACGATAAAGACAATACGAATACTAGTAAATTAGAGCTCAACTTACCAACATAAGTTCAAACAAAAACTCTTGTTGAATATTTACAAACTCTTCATCCCATTCGCATACTATGTTAGACAAACTATTACTTCTTAGAGGCTTTGGAATTTCTCTAGAGGGATTGTCAACATGATATTCGCAATAATCGAGTACTTTACGTAATACATCTCCTCTTACATTTGGGAGTGGAACGGGATCATCAATACCAACATCTGATTTGTTAAGTTATATAAGTTCAAAACAATCTCAAAAACTAATAATTACATACCCTCTATTATATTTCTCACTAATGTTGACGCTGTTACAACACGTACATCAACCGCAAATTCCTCTCCTTCGGAGCTCACTAATCTTACCTTTGGAAAAATCATGGTTGATTTATTACAACCGATTTAAATGAAATGAGGTTTAAAACGCGGTAAAAGTTTCTTTTTTTACCTAAAATGAAAATCAAGTCAAAAGAAATAATGTAAAAAAAGAGATGTAACATGACCTATCTATTAATATCATTTTAGAGTATCAAACATTTTAAAGTCGACCAAATAGATAAAATTATATAGAGTAGCTAATCTAAACATCTGAATCATACACAGTTTTGCCAACAATCATATAAGACCTATCAGATAACCTAATTACTTCATTACCAAATCCACACAATGCACCTACTATAACTCCAATCGTATAACAATAATGCTTTTGTTTCATTAGAGAAATGTTAACATAGTGAATTTGCTCGTGTGAATCTTCAACGAGTCCAAATAAGAATCCAAAGATAATTCCAATAAATAATGAAGAACAAATAACAAATATTATTTGTGCCTTTGAATTAACCAATAGTGGGCTGTCGTTACTGAGAATAAAACCAGAAATATAATTAACAATATCTACGAGAGAGAATGCAATTGCAAATGAAATGGAAAGACCGAGAATTGTATAAATTGGTACTCTAACTATTGGTGTTATTCCAAGAAACCAATCATTCTCAAGGATAAAGCAGATAAAACCGGAAAATATAATCAGTGAAGCAAAAGTTAATAGAAATGTTCGCTTATTTATACCGTTCTCTTCATCTGAAATAATTGTTACATATACTTTCCAAAATATCAGTCCTCCAATTATTACAAATAGAAGGCCAAAGTACGTGGAGAAAAAAGGTGATAAACTTATTTCAACTAAAGTTGCATTAACAGTAGTTGAAACTATTAGACCCAGGAATATTCCCACAATTGTACTTAATAAGCCACGTTTAGAAAAGGCCTCTTCATAGTTGAGGGATCCAAGTGTTTCCAAGATTGAAGATAATATCATTAGTCAAATGTTCTGAATAATTTATTTTACATCAATGAATGGTTTATCTCTTCAATTAAGATGAGGGCTGAGTGAGAACAAAAAATTTATGGCGCCATGCACATTTAAGGTTGATTAATACTAATTAACGTTTGAGAGATGCCTCAGAAATTTAGATGTTTGTTTTTAAAACTTTTCTCGTGTAATTGTGAACTCATTCTTCTCCCGTAAATGTATAAACTTTCAGCCAGAATTGTTAATACTAATTGAATTCAATTCAGGAATTAAAAATTAGCCAATCAACAATCATAAGTAAATGCTATTTATATAAATAAATTATTAATATTGAAATTAGGATCGTGTTTTATTACTAATATTTCAAGTTTTTATAACTAGTAAAGCACTTTAACATCATATTGAATGTATTTATTGTATACAAATGTTGCCTATGTAAATTTTATTTTCAAATCTTATAGCATGCCTTTGAAATAGTATTGTTGAGACATTTATTCACGGCTTGTTTCATATCAATCAACTCATTAGTTTCTATGTGATTGAAAAATTTCTCGCAATTTGTACAAATTTTTTCTTATTTTATTTTTAGATTTGTTGGAAAATATTGTTTTGTTCCATTGGTGTATTTGAGAAAACTGATTTTCTTTTAGATCTAATTGATGTGCTTTATGAAAGAATTACAAGCAATTGACTTCTTATTATTTTATTCTGAGCTATTGCTTTGAATATAAAATGGTTTCCTATAAATTGCTCTACTTAAGAAATTAACGGAAATTTGAGTAGTAGCAAATACTTCTAGTTAATTAAGCCCAAGCCAAACCCTTCAAATGATTAATTTTCCGGAACTAACGGCAAATTCCATAAACTAGTGAAGTAAATAGATTGCAAAATCAGGTTAAATAAATAGTACACATTAAAAGAAAAAAGAGTGACAAATAAGATGTTAATTACCTCGTATCTCTAGTACTATGTATTTGAGAAGCAAGGAGAGACGTCTCGATGCCTAACCAAGAACTAGCATTCAGGGAATGTATCCATAATAAATGGAAAAGCACATATTGTCAAACCAAAAAAAATAAAGATGACTTAAGCAAGTCATCGGGATCTTTGTCTCATCTTACGTCTCTTTCTTTGGAGACGGCGAGTTCGCTTCTTCTTCCACTTCCATCGCATCTTGGCTCTAGCCTTCTTGTAACGGCTTGCTCCGTGACCCATTTTCTAAAGAATTCTCAAACTACAAAGAATTCAGAATAAATTAGTTGTTACTGAAGTAAAAATTTACGTATAATAATGCGGTATTTATATTATTTTATCTATAGTAATTTATACATAATAGAATTACAGCATTGGCGTCTTAGAATTTTGCGCCATACCAAAAGACGAAGACTTAGATTTCCCAAAGATTTGATTTACGAGTTAAACTGTAAGCTTTGGCAATTATATAAGATGATGCAGTATTGGGTCTCATCTCTATTTCAAAACAATATGTGACAATTGGAATCTAAAAAACAACCGTTTTTAATATGAATCAGGTCAAACACAGAATTTATTGTGATCTGTTGGACGGGGAATTACCTTTATTATTCTACAGAAATGCTCTTTCGCTTGAGAACCGCTACACTGACAAGAGTACTCCAGTTCAGCTTTGCTACCCTGACATGAGCATCACTCTTGGATTCCATCCCCATAGTTTTAATCTTTATCAACAGTTAAATCTTGATGCTGAAGGCGAAGGCATTTTTGAGCGTCCTTCCTTAATTGTTTCCACTGAATGTAAGGACTTTAACAACATTCGTGCAGATGTTTATCGTTGGGGAATTATATATGTAATATGCACATCTTTATTGCTAATGTATATATTGAAGATTATTATGGAGAATCAAGTGTATGTGAACGATATTATTGGTATTAAAATTAACAAATCAGCTTTTCATATCGTATGTTTATTAGTGTCACTTTCTCCATTACTAGCGGTGATTGAAAGATGCCCATTTTTTATGTTTATATATAAAGCTCTGTTTCCTTCAATACTTATCATTATACTTTTATTTTTTCTTAATGAAGTATGGGACTTATTATTTATACTCCTACTTTCAATAGCTAGGTTATCTATTTCATCTATTCAGTACAAAATGGTAAGTTCACTGTTTTCGTGACAACTAATGATGCACACATACAATCCATGTCCTCTGAATATCTCTTGAGGATTCCTATTTTTACCATCTTTCGGCTGAGGTGTTCACGTGACCACAAACTTTGTTTAACTGTTGCTTGTTAGGTCTCTCATGCATTCGTTTTAGATTTAAGTAGCATATAAATCTAATTTATTGTTTCTGTTTGTTCTGCAGTTTCCTGTCCACAAGTGTTCTTTTTCTCGACTAATATGGCCACTATGTATTGGTTCTACCAATCACCGAGAGTAATTCACCACTTTTGGGTGTTCAACTTTCTAAATGGAGATGAGTTGGTTTCCTTAGCAATTACCTGTTTCTTACTTAACATAAAGTAAAAGATGGAAATTGATAGAATAACAAGAGGTGTAAATATCATATATAAGTATCTTATTACTTTAATTGACTTTGAAAAATCAAAATATCTCGATATTACTTTCTCTTCCGTTTTCTTTGTATTATCACTATTTTTATTTTCGAAAATTATATTAATTTGATGCTTTTGTTCATTAGATATAAATTCAAATAAAATATCCAGAGGTAAAATGATATTTGAATCAAAACTAGATGGCTCATTTATTCCTCTGTTTCGTGAGATCTTGATTTCACCTTGTAGATCACTTGGAGTAAAATTTAAAATGTATTCATTTGATAATTGGTCTCTAATAGTATAGGTAATGAGTTTTGCATCCCTATATCCAAACCAAAACCAAATTTGTATTGGGAACTTATAATCATTTTTAGAATTAAAAGGGAACACTATTTTAATTTGATGAAAGTCGTCTACCAAACCACGAATAAATGTTGATTCTTTCAAAAAAAGTGAGGAGCTTTGTGATTTTATCAGAATTGGGTAGAAATGAATTGGAACTGATCTTTTTAATTTCCCTGAAGATTGAGATTCTATTGTAATATTAAAAGTTGTTTTTGTAACTTTTGGCAATATGTAAATGAAATTTCGTGTGTAATAATTGCTCATAATAGAGTTTCTTATTTCTCTCGATAAATCGCTATAACGAGGATCCATATTACATGAAGGCAGTAAAAGTGGATTATTAAGAACAGTTAGAGACCAATAAGGAGTTGAGCTATAGATTTTCTTTAAGATAGGGTCGTAAACTTCACAAGTTACATCAATTATTGGAGAAGAGTAGTAAATATTATTGAAAAACTTATTAACAATTTCATTACCATCAAAATATATAGAAAATGAAAACTGAGTATTTATATGTAACTTATCATATTTTTTATTTACAATGATGAAGTCTTCGTCGGGAAATTTGGCATTAATTGGGATTACCTTTAAATGTATTTCAATAAGATTTTTCAAGCGCAGTCTGATATATTTAATTGAATTGTATAAGGGAATAGCTAGTAATTCATTTCCAATTATTTTTGCAGAATCACAATTTGTCAATAATTCCCAAAACAAAATATCAGCATGATATTCAGAATTATAATCTCGTGAACTGTTAATCCCATTCTTTTCATTCATGCCAACCCAAAATATTCCGTAGAATTTAGAGATAATGGACGAATACTTCATCAAAATTACCCATAATTCAAAAGGATCAATTTTTTGATTAATAGATATACATACTAGCTGTTTATTAGAAGAGGATATATTCAAGTGATCAAATAACTTAGATTGAATGTTTTGATCATAAGTAATATTAATAAGTTTTAATGGAATATTCAAAATTTTAGATAATTCTTCTTTAAAAGGCATGTCTAAATCTTTTCGTAAGTTGTCCACTATTACACAAAAGTTTAGTTTATCGGGAGTTGAATTTAATGCTTTCCATTTGATAGGATTAAGATGAAGTATTGAACCGGCAAACACTTCAAATTCATATAATTTTGTTTTAAATATCGAATTATTTATGCTACCTATATTTAATGTATTAATATAATTGCTATGTTCATTATACTTTCCATGATTTGGAGCATTTAGTTTGAGGCAAAACGGCTGAGACCCGATTATTCTGTTTCTATTTGAATAAATTTGAATTATGAAGCATGAATCACTGGAATTTTTATACAAATCACTTTCAGAGTCCATTAATCTCCATGAATTAATCTCTTCAATTAGCATTAATGGTTTATTCTCTGGATTTTGTTTCAATATAAACTGGCAATTTTCATTCAAACTACTTTCTTCAAAAACTCTATTACCAAATAAGCCGTTTAAGTAAATTAAAATATTACTCCCTGCTTTAACAAAAAAATTGTGATTGCCGTTTTTAACTGGAATCAAGTGTAAACTAAGACCGTAACAATAATTTGGGCTTGGAAATAATCTGACCCCCATCGAATTAAAGAAAAAAAGTGAAAGCATAACTGAATAATCATCGTATTTGTCGAATTCTATGAGAACTACCTTCGAGTCAGATATAATAATAGGAGAGACCGTAATAATACTACCATCTGCTGGTTCAAATCTCTTTTCTTCATTAAAAAAAACGATAGTTTCATTTGATTTCCAAGTATTTAAGTAAACCAGTTGTGAATTATTTAAATATTCAATATCTAATGTACTATTAGTTTTAACAAAAACTTCTTTTGGAATATTAAAATAATAAAATGAATCTTTAATTACCCAAATTCCGTTTTCAACTGAATTAATAGCTTTTAAAATATTAAGTTTTTGTGTATACTCTAATTCTATCTTCTCTTTATAGCCAAAATTGCAATTTAACCTTACTTTTAAATAAGATATCCCGATATTTTTAGGGTAAAGCAAAACCGTATAGTCATACATAGAAATATTGCTATAAGTAAAATCTCCAAGAAAATTATTTATTTTAAAACGATCTATTTGTCTTCTGCCAGTAAATCTTGATATACAAACTAAATTAGAGTGAAAATCACATTTCTTACTTTCAGAATTTACTGAATTGTAACCACCCTCATTTAAATTTTGGCTAATGGACCAGGTAGTTCTGCAATTTGTTAATCCTGAAGGAAAATATTGGGAATGATGAAACTGTAAAGTTCGAGTTTCATCAGTTTTCCAAGTTCTTAATCTATATACCTTTGGATAACCCAAATATAAATACTCCTTTTCAGGTGAAAATACATCTATTTCATTAGGTACGTCAACGTAAATATCAATTAATTTCGAAAATAATAATGTTTTGAAAGTTTTGGTATCTTCATTTTCATTGGTTAAAAAACATTTTATTGATACCCTTTCTTTTCCTATTGTTCCAAGTGGTTCTATAATCAATTTTTTTTTGTCTCTAATCAATAAAATTTCTTTATGAACTTTATCTTTGGCATTTTTTTCAAGTTGAATATTCCATTCTAGTTTTGTATTCTGAAATTCTCCTGGCCCTCCTTTAAAAATAATGTGTAGTGGAGTTCCATATGGAAGCAATGAAAATGTGTCTGCGTTTGGCTCTAATTCAATAGATTCATATACTTTTAAACTTAAAGAGTTTGAATGCATTAATATATCAGAATTCAAATCTATTATTTTTGCAAAGAATTCTATATCAATATTTTTTTGTTTTATTTCCATAATTTGAAACGTTGTAGAACTTAAATTCCTTATTTCAATAGAAAAATCGCTAACTCCATTTTTTATCTGTTCTTCAAATTCTAAATTAGGATCATAAAATGAGTTTTTTATTCTATATTCAATTTCAATTTTGAATTCACTATTTTGCCAAGGTTCCAGAGCCACCCCTTCAGCATCATACATAATTACAACCAATATTGACCTTGATTTATCATCAACTAGGCAATTCCATTTTACGCATGGCAAATGATTATCGATACGTTGGTTTGACTCAAAATAATTAATATATTCATCAATCTTTGAGAAAGAAATGTATTGTCTGGGAATTTTTAAGCTATTTAAATGCCCATTTTTATGGTCAGAAGCATTATCATAAGTAAAATATGTTACCCATGGTGATGAGCTACTTTCTTTATTAATCTCACCCAAGTTGATTCTGTCCAACCAAACTAAATGCAATCTATTTAAATTATTAAATACCAACTCCTTTTTTATTAAGTATTTTGGAATAATTAACTTATCTTCAATATAGATATTTATTTTTTTGGTTTTAATATCACTTGAAAAGTTTTTTGAATCTAAGCAAAAAGGGAAAATATGTGCTATATCATGAGAATTATCGGAAAACTTGTTTTCAATTAAAAATGAATCTTCACTTTGCATTTTATCTTTACAGAAACTATATTCGATGACATATTTTTCGTCGGTGAATACGTTAAAATTATTTGTTCCATGTATAATTCCAAACTGATGCATACCTTCAAGCAAATTCCAAGATCCAATGAAGTTAATTCCATCACTTTCATTTTCAAATTGATGGTAATCCTCTAACTTTAATTGTCTATTTAACATATATGGGGAAATTAAAACAGGTGGTCTTGTAAAAATTCCTTTAGTAATAATGCTGAGTCCAGTTAAATCATCATTTTGATTATTTTCATCAAATTGATTAGAGATAAATACTTCAAATTTTATATTTACATCCTTCATATTGTATTCAGTTCCCAAATTAATAAATAAATCTATGATATTTTTATCAATTTGTTCGTTTTCGCCAACGAAATCTATTGAAAATTCGCTAATGTTCTGAATTTCCCATTTGCTTTTAAATCGGTTAAAAGATAGGATCAAGTTATTATTTTTATCATATGCTAAAGATATAAATCTATGTTTTTTCTTAGAATTAAAATGAAATACCATACAGTTATCATTTCTTGTATTACATGTATATTTTCCTATTATTGGTGATCGGTTAACCCAAAACATATTAATATGGTCAATTGATTTACAAAAAACTTTTAACAAGGATTTCATTCTGTAAACTTCCGATTGATATTCATCAAAAATCATCATTGAAAATTTAATAAAGCCAACTGCTGGTTCTCCATTGCATTCCAACAAGAACTTATTTATTTCGTCCAACTGAGAAATTTGAATTGAATGGTGGTTATTTATTTCTTTTTGTGTACCCACAATTTCTCTCTCCTCGTCATTGATCAGTAAAAATAGTTTGAACTTGCTATATTCAATTAAAAAGTTGGTTTTTTCTTGATAATCAATCAATCCGCCTTGTAAGCTAAAGGTAATTTTACTAGATTTCTCAATAAAGAAGTTATTCGAAGGAGTTTCTGATGATTCAAAATAACTCAGCACAATTTCGTTAATAATAGGAATAAATGAGATCTCTTGAAAAATGTAAATAGAAAGTCCAGTATTAAGTATTTTCCGTTTAATTATTTTTGAGTTATAAAAAATCTCGACGCCAAATTCAATAAAGCTCTCAAAAACGATACTTCCATGTTTTTTTAGTTCAATATTTATTTTTTGTTCGTTTATATCCATCTGAATGGTATTTGAATCATAATTAGATGCTAGTTGGCTATAAGGTGCAATTTTCAAATCATCTATAATCAACAAGCAATCATTAATACTCAAATCACTTTTACTTTTGAAATTTGATTGAAATTCAAGTAGATTCCCTGCCTCTACTATTCTGCATGGATTAAACAACTTCAATATATCAAGAGTATCCAAGTTATTAAACGAATGACTATAAAATGATGATTCATATTGATTATCTAATAACGCATTGAGGTCCCTTAAAGGCTCGGCTTTTATTTCAATGCTCAACGAACGTTGGGATATAGATGTATAAATGGTATTGTTATAAAAACTGCTGTTAGAAGAGAGTAGCTCTAAATTGAAACCATTAATGTATGCAACCAAAACTGGAATATTATAGCCATAGACATATTTAAGGGATTCACAATCTAAATTATTTTCTTTGAAATTATAATGGCTCGTTCCAGTATCGTAGACAATAACACTAACCATTCCCGTAATATAGTTTGTCTTTAATAAACCTGTATGGAAATCAACCATTGCTATTGATGAATTAGATGAGCAAAAGAAAAATGGTCCCTTTCCACCAGTAATGTTTTCTCTAATATTGATCTCTTGTTCTCCAGGGTATAAGATAACTGGCAAGTTTAAAAAAAGTGTACTAATATCTTTAACAATATTAATTTTTAAAGATGAAGTAATTTCTGATAATTTGGAATTCCTATTTAATTCTGAATAATTCATATCGCCTATTGAGTTCAACCTAATCACTAATTCACTGAATCCTACTGAATTCCCAACAATTTTAAAAAAACCATTATTGCTTTTATTTTCATAATCCTCACTCTGGAATGGGATAATACTTACTGAATTACAACCATTTCTGCAAGAAAAATCAAAGTTTGAGTTTATCGGAACGTCCAAAAATTCTCTTTTGTGATTAAACAATTTTAATTGAAGAAAAATGGTTTTTTTCTCAACAATAGTCAATTCATTATTTTGCAGTATTATATCAAAAAACCCGGACCTTTCAACCAACTGTTCACCTTCTATAAAATACAGTTGGGCAAAGTTATTAAAATTAAATTCGTCTTGGTGAGCTGCTAAGTTCAATTCATCTTGAACTGCAAATAAAATCCCTTTGGGAAATGACGAGTAGACAATATTTGTAAAGGAACTTCCATCAACTCTTCTATCTTTGCAAGTTGTCGAAATTATAAATTCGGCATCAGTATCTTGGTTGTTGTAATTACCAATTATTAACTTACTACCTTCAAATACTTGAGCTTCTGCCTCACTATTCTGGTCAATTTCACAGTAGTGAAATTCTTTTTTGAAAAAACCTAAATTGTTCACTGACCCTTCTTTCACCAAATGAATTGGATATAACGAACCAAAAGGAGCTCTTCTTACATGCGGGATAATTTTGAATGGATCCTCAACATAAATAGTAACAGAGGAACTGATTAATGTATAATCATCTTCAACAATTTTGACATATACATTTACAGATCCAACTTTGGATCCAATAACTAATATTTGGCTCCCATCATTCTTTTCCGATTTAATGTTATCATTTTCCAGCTCCCAGACAATTTTTAGTCCATTTAATGATGTAAAAGTATTAAATTCATTGTCGAATCCAACTGCATATAAGTTTTCAAGTGAACCTAACCTAATTCTTTTTGAACTGGTGCTGATTTTTATACTCTCAACCTTTGCAATGTGAATCTCACTGCGTAAATTCTCCCCTGTATAAATGTCGTATGCGATCATAGTAAAAATCCCCTTTAAGTGCATATAGGGCCATCTTGGGTTTACATTCACAACATCAGTACAATTGTTCCCAAAGTCATCAGTTCTTACAACCAAACTATTAACTGTTAAAAATTCATCTTCTTCAAATTTCCAGTTATAACAACCGTGGTTCACTCTGATCTCAATATTGGATTTATTATTCAGTGTCCAAGGTAAAAGTGCTAACGCAGGATCTATTTTATTTCTGGAATTAGAGCTCACACATAGAAATGAGTTAAAGTAGAGAAAGATAATCACAAATAATATAATATATTCTTCTTTATGAAGGAGCATATTATAATAAAATTAATGATTCCATTAATGGTTATACAAAGTATTGAGCATTCCCTAAGGTTTAATAACGATATGCATTTATTAAAACAAAAGATCAACAAATACCGCACGCGCCTATGGCAATAATACCGGCATTGAGACAATGAAAGAGACACGCTTTAAATAATATTAATATTAAACAATACTTTTTATTACCATAAACATTACTACAAAAGGCCAGGCACAGCATTACAAACAAAACTAAATCACAAACTTTTTTGAAAAAAGATTTAGTCATTCTTGTTTTTTTCTCCAGTATGAAATCTCAAATCAAGAAGAAGAACTTTAATAACAAGACTACTGAGCCTATAAGACTATACTCCAAGGCAATTGTTACAGGATACAAAAGATCGAAGGTCAATCAAACTCCGGACATCTCTCTACTAAATATAGAAGGTGTCAAGACCAAAGAAGAAGCAAAATTCTATTTGGGAAAGAGGTGCGCATATATTTACAAGGCTAAGACGATAAAAAATGGCACAAAGTTTAGAGTAATACAAGGTTTGATTAGAAGAAGTTATGGAAACAATGGTGCGGTATGTGCTAAGTTCAGAAAAGCATTGCCACCAAGTAGCTTTGGTGGTAGAGTGAGAGTTTTCCTTTTTCCAAGCAATATCTAATTTGAATTGACGAACTATTTATGGGATCAGTCGGTTAACGAGTGAACTCTAAGAAACCGCTCCTGTTTGAGTTAAAAACACATTTGAGATAATCCAAGAATCTCTTAGACTAATGCACTTTAATGTGCTTTAGGAAATGACATAAAAAACTGGTTCCAGTGATATTCGCTGTAAATTACGATAATCCTTGTCAATAAGTCATTAACTACAATATATGGTAATATAGATATTTAGGAACTCTTAATTCTGACAACTCGGATACTATTATACCTGGTTTTTGAATATCTCTGTTGATGTTTCTAAATCACTCGAACGACAATTTGACGAATTTATCGATTATCTCGCATATTGTATCATCATAGTAGGGCGATTCTAAGTCAAAATGCCCTACTTTGGGTATTATTTCAACTTGTTTAGGGTCGCAGCATCTAGAAAAGCGGTTAGTGAAAGTTTTTTTTTTGAGAATAGTACTTACTCATGCATTTTGTTTTTTAAAACATCGATGGAAGTAAATCCATCAGAATCTCCCATTATAAACAATTTGTGTTTTTTAGATCTAAGAATGTTGTTGAAATGCTGCTTAAATAACAAAGATGGCCAAAATCCAAATACATAACCTATTCCAATATAACCAACAACATTTTCGCATTCATCAACCGCCGAGCCAGCAATTGGAGCACCTGCGGAAGATCCAATTAAAATAACTCTAATACTGTTATTTTTGCCTTTAATATCATTACATATAGAAATTACATCAAAAACTTCACTATTCCCGAAAATTGATTTGTATCCTGTTGATTTACCAATCCCTCTATGATCAAAAATAATGCTTCCATACCCTTTATCTGCTAAACTTAAGGCTAAGCCAAGCATATTAGAACTACTACCACCCATTATCCCATATGGATGGACCAACACAAAAACTATATTTTTTATTCCAATTACTGGGACTTTTGATGGAATATTACCAAAACTTCTACAACTTAATTTTACTCCGTCATTCGTGAAAATTGAGAATTGTTTTGGATATAAACTTGAGTTTTCATGAGACATCAATATCTTGTTATTTTATGCAATTTTATTTTCTCCTAATAACTTGGAAATCCTTATTACCTCTACTTTTGAGATCCCATAATTATTATTAGATTCAAGTAAGTTTTTTTCAATTGCGGGAATTACTAATACCTGTAAGACAAACAAAATGACTTCTCTAAGATCTGGCATTTTTGAAACAACAGAAAATAGTTCAAAAATAAATCTGCTTTTCTCGATATTTTTTTTTTCCAACAATATTTGTATCATTAGCTCTTTTAAAAATAAACCAATTGATCCTGCCAATGCATGAATGTCGTTAATCTTGATAAATCTAATAATCCTCAAGTCAAAAATGTTATCAAAAATACAGTCCTTCACTAACTGAGCAAAAACCATAATTTTTCTTATATTAAAAGTATGTAAAATTCCAAGTTTTTGAGAAAAACAGTTTACAATTTCGCCATTTATTTTTTTTGAAATTACTGCAGGAAGTTCGGTCAATCCTTTCAGTACTTTGTAATAAAATGGGTTATAAATATGCTCAGAAAACGAAGAAATAACAATTACATTAATAACCGAGCTTAAATAGGTCCTCGACTGTGTAAGTTTTAATGAAGTTAATCTATTTATTGCATCAAACTCGTCACTTGCACCGATTAATGCAATAAAAATACTTTTTTGTATATCCGAGGTAAATCTCATTTTTGAAGCTAGGCCAAGCAGCTGATTATTGGTAATATTACTATTTACGGTTTCATACTCTTTATTTACAACACATTTCGGGCTGAGTTTTTTGATGCCCAAATTATAAAAAATGATCAATTTATTAATTGCATCCTCTTCTGGAGGAATTTTGTTTATATAGCCTAAAAATAAATTTTTGTTTGTTTCTTGCCATATGTAATCAATTAAAGTTTTAGGATATGTCACTAACTCTAGTATAACTGAATTCTGGTTTTTTTTTTTGCTCTTGTGTATCACCTGCAAGTGTTTCAATAGAACACAGTTTAATGACCAATTATGCACGGTATTTAATTGTCTCTCAATTATTCCTTCTCTTCTTCTTAATTTTTGACTTAATGTTTGGTTTTTCAAACTGTTTTTCCATTCGTTAAGCTCCTCAATAACAAATCTAAGCCTTAGTGGATTTCCAACAAATTCTGAATGGTTCTGTTCTATCTTATTTTCTAATTGGGATTCAAAATTATAGGCTTTTGAAATTACCGACCCAACACTTTCGATCATATTCTCGTATACAAAATTACTTTCTTCTCTAATATAAAATGCAGATCCTCTAATGATAGTTAACACATTATCAAAAAAACACTCCCAGTAAATAATATTTGATTTTGAACATTTATATCTATCTATTCCAGCCTTGATGAAATTTTCAATTACTGATGAAGAGACAAAGCCACACCTATAAATCGCTATTAATGAGATTGTAATGTGTCTCAAAATGATCTTATTATTATATTTTTCTATGTTTGATCCCAAGTTCTGTAATATATTACTCAAAGTTTCATTGTATATCTTATTTAAGACAATCATTAATTTTCGGTTAAAACAACCTTCTAATATAATTCCAACTGAAGAAATTAATGCAGAATATACCGTATTTAATGAAGCTGTATTATGAGGCTGACTTATGCAATTTTTTACAAATAACATAATTAATTCACTCTCAATAATGTCGGTAATTGCAATTAGCCGATGAACAACGTAATAATCATTGTTAAAATAGCCTAATGCTATTTGAATTGATTCATTTCTTAATTGAAATATGGAGTCATTTCCGAAATTATGGTTATTGTAAGCTAATCTTACTGTTGATTTGATTAGCTCAATTAACTTTCCCAAGATTAAAGTCATATTTCCTTCACTCAACCTATTAAAAAGTCCTTGAACTCTTTGCCCAAATTCATTTTTCCAATTTAATATTGATTGATAGTTTGATTGAGAAGAGGAATCAAATTTTTGAGATTGAATAGAGATGTTATTATTTAAACTTTTTTTAACATGTTTTGATTCATTTTCTATTTTTTTCTTTTTCTTTTTCTTTGTGTAGATATCTGATAATATTCCATCTATTAAAGTCATAAAATCGTCTCCAACACCTTCTTCTTTTTCTATCTTCTTGTATAATGCTTTACGTTTTTTTTCTTCATGAAGTTCAAAATCTTTTTTTCTTTTAATGATTCCAAGTTTTTTTTCTAAAAATACAATATCATTAATTTCATCCTCCATATTCAATAATTCATTGGTTAAATTCAGGCAATTTTTAGATTTTATGATGTTAAAATTCTCTAATTATTTGATTAATTTAGTCTAAATGCATGAATGAATATTCAGATCTATAGTATGACTAATTTTTCGATTCTAAATCACACAAACAAACAGTTTGACTGTTAAAAATTAAATTTTTACAGTATCAGAAAGGCGGGAATTGTCTTTTATTCAGTTACAGAATAATTAATGTACAATATTCGTATGAAAAATCATAATATTGTAATATTTGTACAATATATCTACAGACAGATATGAAACAATGGTAAAACCTGAGTTCAGAATTTATTCTTTTCCTTCAAGTGAGACAATTAAACCAAGAATTCCATTTTCTGAAGCTCCCTGTTCCAATTGTACAAATAAAAGTTACGAATGTAATTGTAATGCAATAAAAGAAGGCTTAGGAAAGTATGGAGGTTACACTATTAAAGAGCTTGATTCTTTAAAGTCTCAGTTGGATTCAGTGAGGAATGAGCTTGACCTTATTGATATTAATGTATGGCAGTCTTTCACAAGAACAACTAACATTGCTCAGGACGTAATTTATAAACTTAGAGATGTGCCTATTGAATTAGCAACTACAGGATGGTGTAAGTTATATGAAATACTTCACTACTTTAGGTGGCACGAGTACATGAATGAAGCTGAATATCATAGTATGCACTTATGTGAATGCCCTGGCGGGTTCATTTCTGCTTTGAACCATTATATACACTCTAATGTAATAAACAAACGCCAGAGATTAGGCTCCTCAAAATTACACTGGGAATGGAAGGCAAATTCATTAAATCCCTATTTTGAAGGTAACAATCCTAATTCTATTTTGACTGATGATATAATATATAGAGATACTTATAGAGCATGGAATATGGGGGCGGATGATAGTGGCGATATTACTAAGTTATGTAATATTGACTACATATGGCAAAGGACATCCAAGAATACCAAAAGCTGTTGGTTGGCAGATTTGGTTACTGCAGATGGTTCTCTAGATATTCAATATAACCCAAACGATCAGGAAAAATTAACATCTTCCATTCAATATTGTGAGACTGTTTGCGCATTGGGAATTCTTAGAAAGCACGGTTCTTTTATTATTAAATGCTTTAATATCCTCCATCATACAACTATATCTATTATCGCACTTTTATGCTATTGTTTTCAAAATGTCCACATTGTTAAACCGGTTATGAGTAAAGGTGGTAGTGGAGAGATATATATTGTGGCAATGGATTTTCAGGGTATCAGATCCGTTCTGTTAAAGGCTTTGATATCTCATTTTCAAGGAAATAGGGATAAATTTGATGAAATTTCTCTATTTCCAAGAGATTGGCTTCCAGAAGAATTTATTGAGCAATGCATCACTGCAGCAACACTATTTTCAAGGTGGCAAATAGATCATATTGCCCATAACCTCTTAAAATTCAAATCTTCTATTGTCAATGATCCAAGTTATAAAAAAATGAAATTTTTGAATTTTGAATCGTTAAATTCAACATGTAATAATCTTGATGAGTCAAACAATGTTAGTGAGCAAAACAAAGGCGAACTTTTCAAGGAACGTTATTTATTTGAATGTGCAATAAGTAAAAGGGAGAAGCGAATTTTTGCACTTGAATATATACAAAACTTGGGTATAAGTAGTATTCCAACATCACAATATATCCTTCCAAATTTACAACATAGAAAAGAGTACTTAAATTCCACAAGTTTGAGTAGAAGGGGAGGTGATAGGAACCGTGTTCAAGGAATATTTATTGATAGAAAATATGCATTTCAGCAATACATGAAACTTCAAGAAACTAGAAACAAATTTTATTTCCCAAGTATGTCTTTCTTCAAGCTGGTTTCTTCTAGAAATATCAATTCATTTAACAAAAAGTTGTTATTTTTCATTGATGAGATCGTTAATCAAAATGAAAATATTGATTCAGAAAGTAACAGTAATGGATTAAATGACGGTTTATCAAGAATTCCTCTTAAGAAGGTGGATATTGAATTAAATTTTACACAAATACTCCCAAAGGAAAGGCTCCCTAAAAAAATTTCTCCAAAATGGTTTGTTTGGTCAAAAGAAGATATTGCTTACCAAAGGCTTATTGATAGACTTAAATCACAAACATATATGTTTGAATCTGAAAACTTTTTTAAAAAAGTTCAAGATTTCACGTGTGTTTCCCTCCAAATGTCTCCTTATTGCGACGAAGATTTGATTCAAAGATTTTGTGAGACTATAACTGCTATTAATTCTCCAATCAAAAAAATAACTTTTGGTATTGACGCTTGTGTTCATAATGAATTCTATAACAACATACTAAGATGGACAACAATTCCATTTGATACATCTGAACTTTTAGACCAAAAAGAAAATAACAGTGTTATTTATTCAAGCATTCATGGAAATAAATTTGAAATGAACTATCAACAAGATAGCATATTAAATTCCAATATAATTGATGATTTACCTCTTTATTGCCAAATTCCTGCAAACATTCATATTTTGGGTTTATTTGAAACTATTAGAGAGTTAAAACGATCAGAGTGTAATGATCAATGTACAATAAGTGAATATTTAGGAAAAATAAAAAATTATGTAGAAATTTATAATGGAGTGGCATATCATGAAGTTCTTGAAGACCATAGTAAATTTCCATTAACATTTTTATTAAATATAGATTCAAAATCTCACAAACATGGCACAATAATCATTATCTCAGATGAAGAAACTGATGAATTATACAAAGATACGAACAAAACTAAATTTAATAGGTGCAATGATTTAACCTTTATCGATATAAGCAAGGAATTTAAATACTGTAATCAATACAAACAAATAATAAATGCAATTACTGAGGATTATAATATTAAGAAAAATGAATATGATTTGATTTACATTGATTCTTACTGGCATTTAGTCCCTACATTTTCTTTAGGGCAATTTGAAGTTGAGGAAAGTTTTAATCTTGTGACAAATATCATGATTGCTTTGAATCTTATAAAATTTGGTGGTAATATTATTATTTCACTTAAGACAGCCTTAACTAGATTTACAGCTGGAATAATAATTGTGTTAAGTTCTGTCTTTGATAAAATTGCATTAAGCAAACCTTATTCCTCTTCTTCGCCTTGCTATTCAAATTTTTATCTAATTTGTTCTGGATTTAACGATAATTCAAATACACTTTCTAGACACTTTTTCCAATTTCTATGGGATGTTTACTCAATAAATAATAGAGAAAATTCTTCGATGGTCCAATGTGTCCCTCCAACTTTATTTGCTTCAGATAACTTTCTTCATTGGTTGAAGGAATTTAATAATGAAGCAATTTTGTGTGATATTGAGCTTTTAGAAGCAGTGATTGAACAACAAGAATCTTCAGATAATCTTGAGCCATCCGTTTTAGATGGTGGAAAGAACCACAAAGATTCGGAATACTCTTCGAATTGGGAAGATTTCCCCAATAGAGTTAGAATCCAACGTGAAATCTTGAGATATATATTAATCGGGGGAAATAGTTTAAGCTCCGGTGAGAATTTCTTAAGTTTTAATGGAGAAACGATTAAAAGTGATGTTATACCCAAACATAAAGAAATACAGGAAACTTCTCATAATATTGATGAAAAAAATCTGGACCAATTCGATGTGAAAATTCTTCAAAATGATGACTCGTTTTCCAATTTTACAGAACAAATTAATGTTCAACTTGAGGAATTTAAAAGCAACAGAAATATTGATCCTTTTGAAGACCGAGCTGGTTTAAATGAAGAAATAGATGTCTTCTGCATTACACCAGAAATTGAACCAAATGACCCATTTGATCATAAATAACTCAAATTATGCTTATAAATATAACTTACTGCAATATTTTAGGAATAATTCGGTGCAATTGTCACTTCTTAATTTTCCTGACATTTTTTCAGCCGACTCAAATGCATCTTTATCTGACTTTGCAAACTTAATATAATTTTCGTCTATCGAATAGCTCCATGTTTTATAGTAGTTTAATATTTTTTTATACTTTGTGTCTAGTAATATTTGATTTTTGTTAAGAAGTGAAGAAAATATATGCCCATGTAGTCTATTAGTAATAATCACTCTTCCTTGTAGAATAAACTTAAGCCCAGCGCAAAACCTCTGCAGTGAAATCCCAATAGAAAACACATCAAAATTGGGCTCTTGACTTTCATTGGTGGAATCTGAAGTGATTTGTGTGACAGACTGGGATGATGAACATATTCCTTTTCTTTTTAAAATACTTTTCTCTCCATATGAAATGCCTTTTGAATAAATAGTAGGCAAAAAATTGATCCAATCATCGATTTTTATATTTAAGTTGTTATAATTATTATTGCGTTGTCTTTTATTTATCTCTCTATCATTCCTACTGATCCAAAGTATATCATAGGCTTCACTAATCAAATAATTTTGAACTTTTGCCTCTTCTTCTTTTGTGGTTATTAAAGACGTAACTATGTCAGGTGTCAAAAACAACTTTGTATTTGTTACGTTTTCATTTGTAAATAAAATATTATGTAAATAATCATATGAGTAAATGTCTCTAACAAAAATTGTCAAATTCTTATGCAATTTCAAATACTCGAAGTCTACTATGGTGTCCCTATTTTTCAATGATATTGACTGTGGGAAAATGATTGTATTGAATTCACGAAATTCTTCAAGAATTTTTTTTCTTTCGTTTTCATACTTTGGCCATACATCTCCTAAATTTCCTCCACCAGTTAGAAATATCGTCGGTTTATGAGGAAGGCTATTTGCAATCTTTAATGCTTTATTAAAATCACAATATTTGTGAGAATTGTTTGAAGTGCAATAGTATATTATTTTAATATCAAAACGCTTAAATATCAAATATTGGCTCCAGTTGATTCCAGCATCACCTTTATTTTCGTGGTCTGCAAGACCAAACACCATTCCATTTTTTACATTCTTGATAGTGTGTCTTAATATTGAAGTCACTATTTCACTCTGTACAAAAAAATTTTCCGAAATATTTTTATATTTTTTCATAGATTCAGACAGTAGTTTGGGTTTTTTTTCTGATAAGTTTATTAGTAATTCTGGATAATGATTAAACCAATTATCAATTTCAAACACTTTTTTTATTTCATTTTTCGATATTTGATTGTTCTTTTCTAAGCCAATAAAACTTGAGTTCATGTATTTTATTTCGTCCTATCGATAGATTATTCCAAAAATAAATACAGAAGCATTAAAGAAGAATTCATTATATCAACCTACCATGGGCGTTAAGTTTTTTTTTGGCAATACACATGAACAAGTATAGGATGTAATCCATCCAATAATAATGAATAGACTAGAAAGTGCAATTGATGCAGCATATGGATATTTATCTTTATTTTTGAGCTCTGTTACAACATTAGGCTGTTCTTCTATAACTTTTTCTACTTTTGCATTACAATTAATGTTTTTATTATGAATTTCATCTACATAATCTGCCACTTTCTTCTTTCTTTTAAATAGTAATTTTCTTTTTTTTGAAAAGTGAATACCTAAAATTGCAAAAATACTACCTAATATTTGTACAAAAGGAGGAGTTGTACAGTTAATTAGTTCCGCAGTTAGTACGATAATTGCTCTTTTTGCCAAATTAAAATAGGCGTGTACAATGGGACTTCCAACCAATTTTAAAAATGCCAAGGAAGAAAAATTATAGGTAGCGTGAAAGCATCCACTAATAAGTAATGGCATCACAGGAACATTGATGTTGAATCCTCCAAATGCAATGCTCATTATGGAGAATATTGTCAAAGAGGTGACCATTCCCCAAAATGATAGAATAGTAAAAGTATCGACTGCTTTCTCATTTTTATTTGCTGAGGAAACAATAACATTTCTAAGAGATATTGTGAAAGCCCCAACACCTGCAAGTATAACACTATATATTATTACTTTTGATCCTGAGTTCCCATTACTCAAAGTTGAAGTAACGACAAGTATAATACCAGTTGTACTAATTGAAAATGCGACCACTTCTCTAATTGTTAGCTTCCGTTTCAGGACAAAGAATGCCAATATTGCGGTTAATATTAATTCGCTACATTTTATTATTTGAACTAGCATTACTTTTCCTCCTCCTAGTGCTGTATTCGCGCAAATATTTGCAATTGCATATAACGCTGCTGAAAACAGCATTTTGTTACTCCCCCACCACCTTTCTTTTTGAATTTGTTTATTTTGTGTGTTTTGTTGCTTATTTAAACTTTTAGAGGTTAATTTATTTTTTTTGGGTTCTTTTTCATCATTCGATTCGATTTCAAATGATGTTGCAGAAAAATCCATTTTTCTGTTAAATGTATTTAGATGATATTCCTTATTTAAGATTAAATAATTAATGTTTACGTTTTCATCCATATTGAGATTCATGTTAAGTTCCGTTTTTTCTTTGTTAACTTCAATGCTATCGTCAATTACATAGCTGCTAGATTTAGAAACTTGTGTAAAGTCGGTTTGTTCAAATCTATTTTCGCATGTGCTTTCTGTAATACTACCTTCGATATTTGGGTCATTTCCATCAATAGCCATTACATTGTCTACTAGTTCTGCAGAATCTTGTTTTTTTTCACTTCTTCTATGAATAAAATGAATTATTCCACAAATGAAAATTCCGGTAACTGCTGCCAATAACAATTGTATAATAGTTAAAAACGACCCAAAAATTATCCTTGAGCTGATTGGTTCGTCATTTGATAATTTATTAAATGACTTTTTTGTAAAAATTGAATGTAAAGCTGAACCAACGGTCCAACCTAAAATAGTGATCGTCTCTATAAATATACCTTTGAAAACCTTCCGTCTATTTGCATTTATTGCAAATTTTCTCATTTTGTACTATTTCCGATCAACATATATATTGTAAAATTATTTTACTATTTGCAGATACAGTAATCAAAACTGTTATTTTGAAAAATATCATAAAGTCTAATAGACATGTGGGGAGTTGCATGCAAATGCAATACAAATTAATTCAGTTTATTAACGACTTAAAACAAACATTAGCAAACATATTAGTAAAACTAACTAAAAATCAATCAAGTTTGTTTACTTGTCTTGGTTTTTGAGGTGGAGCAAAATTAAATATATTATTGTTTAAATTATTCGGAAACGAATTAATCGTTGAGTTTTGCGCATTTATCGGGGAAAAGCCATGAAATTCAGAAGAAAATGCAACAAAACCTCCAGTTGAATTGTCAGAAGATGGATATGCTTTAAAAGGAATTGAATTATTTAAGTTTTTTGCGGAAAACTCAAAAGATTGTGCTTCTTCAATAGTACTGTCATTTTTAGGATTGCCGCATAAACTATTGCCACCATTATTCGAACTAAATGGGCCATTAATTAAAAATTGTGATGACCCAAAACCGGAGACTTTAGGAGCATTATTCATATTTGATAGCGAATTAGGAAAGCCAAACACACCACCTAGATTAATGGAAGGTTTTGAGCTTTCTTCATCTTTTTGTTCGAGATCATTATTACCTTGAAATTTAAGGGTTGAGTTTCCATTCTCAATAGTGGAACCGATATTTGTGCTGATAGTAGAAGCATTTACCTTAGAAACATCCAATTCATCTAGTTCGTGCAAACCATTTTTCACTATAGCACTTGACAAATGGTTGGCATCCGAGCTCTGTTTCGGTGGCGAACAAATATTAATAGGTTTCAATGGATTACTATCAGAACTGAAAGAAAAAATATTTAATTCATCAGAAATCTGATTTTTTACATGATCTCTTTTAGAATCGGGACTATTAAGGTTTAATGAAATATTCATTTCAGTTGAGAATGCAAATATTCCTTCTGAAGCCCTCTTTGAGTTTGGAGTTTCATTGTTGATCAAACTCAATGAAAAAAAGGAAGATTTAATATCCTTTTGTAGTATTTCATTTTTTTGTTTATTAAATTCTAAATTAATGGAATTTCCATTATTTGAGACTAATTCACAAGTTGTTTTATTTAAACTATTATTTAGCAAGTTTGGGTTGTTAGTACAAAAACTTGTATTGTTTAAATCAGGTTCAAAGCTTTCATCATCTTGAGTAATTTTTTTGTAAGCCATGTTTGAATTTGTTTTGGCAGAATCTTTATCAAATTTTGTTTCAATATAGTTACAAAAATCGATTTTATCACTAGGAGTTGCTTCCGACATATAATTTGGATGTTTTAAAACGGTTTTGTCTCCGAGTTCTGTAACAAAGCCAATATTTGAATTTTTTAAGTTAGTTTTCCCAGGAATATTCGGGGAACCACTCAGCAGATCATTTGTATCTATACAACCTTGCTGCTCTAAAAGTACAGTTTTATAATCTAATGTTACCGGATTCTGATTTTTTTCTAGTGGAAATGCGAAAGAGATAGCTGAAATGCATTCCTGTTGAGAGTTTTCAAAGTTTAAATCTTTTTGATCAAATTTATTATAAACTCTTGACTTTAAATCGTTAAATGAACAGTTTGTATTTTGTGGAAAAGCTGTTGATTTACTATTTGACAATTTTCCAACAAATCCCGATAATATTAATAATAACTTTTGTCTATATATCATATTTTTTTGCAAAGATGAATTCCTTGATAGCAATAACTGAGAAGTAATAATTCGGTTACCAGTTAGCAAACTTTTGCTTGAAATTTCTGTTGTCTTTACTGAATCCTTGCCTATTTTTTTGATAAATTTGGGCAGTAATTCCTCTCTTTCAATGAATGAAATTGAACCATTAGCAATCTCACAATGGTCAACGATTCTTTCTAGTCTTTCAATACAGTTTGTGAGTATTAAATTGGGCATTCCTTGCTTAACATAGTACTTATTTTTGGTTTCAAATGAATGACTGGAATGCTCCATTAACTTAAGCGAAGCGTTTTTTTCTTCTATTAGCCCAGGAATCCATGACAATTCAAAGAAAGTATTATTTTGTAATTTGGGTCTATTGTTCACACCTAGTTTGTCTGAAAGCACCTCATCACAAGAGTAACCCAAATATTTAGATCTAATTTGAATGTACCTACCTGGAGTATTATTCTGACTCACATAGTTATTAATTTTTAACCTTTGGACCTTAAGAATATTAGATTCATTCTCTGAACTAAATGATGGTTTATATAAATCGTCTTTGATTACTGAATTTGAAATATTATTAATAATATCAGAAAGATTAATGTTTTTTTTTGATGAATATATACGATGTTTTCCCTTTGAATCAGGTTGGGAATCAAAGTTATTTTTTTTTGATATCCTTACAGAAGAAGATGGGATTTTTTGTGAATTGCTATTTCTATGAGAATCAAAAGGAATCTTATTGGGAGTAGCATAACTTTGTTCATTAGAATGCAAAGTATTATAATTGTATTCTGGCGGTGGAAGTGAAGTGAATTCAAATTCCATACTCTTTCTATAATTTAGTCTTTCACAAAATATCGAGACTTGGGAAATTCTAGAAGCCAATTTAAGAGAAAGTGTTTCAATCGAGATTAGTGAATTCATTATTACTTGGTTTTTGTCAACACCATTATCAATTAAAAGTCCAAATAATTCAATATTATATTGAAATAAAATCGATATTTGACTTGAAGTTAGCTCGTTCTTTCTTAATTTTTCTTTAAGTATCTCAATTTTGGTATTTTTATATACGTCTTCGGAGATCTTTTTCATAAGGTATAAATGAAGTCTTCTAAGCTGAATTTCTATATTTGATATTTCATTGAATTTTGATATTAATTTATAAAAATTGGAATTTTCATTAGCAATGATTTTAATCTTATCTACGAACTCACAGAAATTTATTAATCTTTTAGCGATCAGTGGTGAATTTAAAACGTTCAAAACCTTTTCGTTAATATTGATAAATTTTTTTTCTAATTGTAATACTTGAGACTCGATTTTCATAATGGAATCAAACAGCTTTTCTTCTGATTTATTAATCATACTAATTCCTTGATTAATTGGCTTATATTTTTGAATCCTGAGTATTTGTTCAATTGCCTTTAATGAACTATTAGAATTATCTTTTTTCGAAGAGATAGAAAATTTTGTTAAAGGAGACTCAACCAAATGAAACATGTAGTTATTTGTTGGGACCTGATTTTTTGACTCAAGATCCTGACGACTCAAACTATTGCATGAAGTATAATTTGTAATTAAGGAATCTAATTCTTCTGATTTAATTGGTTTGATCAGCTTCGGATCTCCACCAATATAATGGGTAATGATATCGCCATTTGTCTCAGCAATAAAAATAATTGGTGGCTGAGAAATTTGTGGAGCATCGATTGTTAACTTGGGGTCTCTGATTGATCTTTTGTTGCAAGTACAAAGACAAGAATCAAAAATACCAATATCAAAATCAGTACAATTAATATCGTATCCTTCACACATTGCAAGCCTTACCCAATTATGTGATTTGTAATCATTCAAATTTTCTTTGTTAATATATGAATGGTTGGGTGTAAAAACAATCATTTGCGAAAACACAGCAGAGCCTATAAATAAAATTCCCCATTCTTTAACCCAAAAAGAAACGCAACGTATTTTTTTAATCTGATCCATATCATTCGAATCTACATTATCGAAACATAAGTCATTAATAGAATATGAACTTAACTCTACTTTCAGATCACTATCGATTTTGAAAAACAAAACATACCCATCCATGTATTCTAGTCCTCCAATAAGTGAGATTGACAAATATAGATCTTCTCCGTCTATAAATTTTGCTGATGTAATATGTAACTGGTTAATCAGATTCATTTTGGAATTTCCACCCTGAAATACATCGGTTATAGGTCCAATTAAAGTAGAAAATGGTCTAATAAATGATTTTGGAATATTAAAAAATTTTGATTGGGAAGAAATAATCATATTATATAATTCATTTGTTATGAGAATAATGTTTTTTTCGCTTTCTGATATTAAAATAAATTGAATTCCGCAAAAGTTACTTTTACAGGCCTCTACTAATGTAAAATTATCAGAGCTACCATCCAAAATAAGCTTTGTTCTGTAAAAGTCCTTCTCAGAAGGAATAAAGTAGTAAAAAGAGCATGATCCATCGGATTCTATCGTTATTAAATCGTGGTTTTGAGTCCAAGTTATTGATTGAATTCCATCATGGTTAATACTAATCCATTCGCTTTTTTGATCAAGATCTAATAAATTAAAGAGTAAAATTTTCGTATCAATAACAACCGTCAAAATAGTGGATGAAAAGTCAAGAACTATATGAGTTATAGCAGATTCATGGCCAAAATCGTAATTTCCCAACTGAGCATGCTTAATTTCATCAAGTTTGCTCTCAAAATAAGTTAAACCATCTGAATTAGACAATATAACATTCAAGTCAAAAATTGTTATTTGTGAGTTTTTTTCGACAATCAAGTACTTGAGGGGATTACAAATTAGTATTCTTGCAGGTTTGTTATTACAAAATCTGAATCTAGGCCCATGAATGAATTTAATAGATTCAGTATCATCATGTGTTATTATTTCCATTTAGAATCGTTAATTAAATGGAAAGGATATCGGGAATTAGTTATCTATTTCTATTTTTTTTTCTTATCGCTATTTTTTGTGGGGGGTACTAGTTAAAAAAATCCGTAGTTACCGCCTCATTTGTTAATTTTAAAAAAAACATGCAACATATAAGTACTTGGCAGCTACTTTTAAAAATCTATCAAATATCTAACTTTGTAATTGCATGCCCATATCTTGGAAAGATGAGATCTGGGCCCTGCTCCCATCTGTCATCTTGAAAGCTGTATAATTGTGTAGTTTTTACAGTTTCTTCCACTGTCTGGCCACCACAAATAATGGCAGAATATTTTCCTATTGAAACCGGCTGAATTTTTGCATCAATAACTCCTTTAATCAGTGGTTTTATATATGTTGAAGTATTTTCGTTCGAAGAAGGCGAAATATTAAAAAGTTCTCCTGAATGTAAAACGTTATTTTTTTCATCAATTCCGCCCCAGATACACACCCTACCATATAATGAATAGGCAATGGATCCAGATCTGACTTCTAAGAGTTCTTTTGATTGAATCAATTCCCATTGATTTCTTCTGACATCAAAAACTTCAATAGACTTTAATCTCTTATCTCCACAAGTTCCGCCAATTATTGCAATACTAAATTGGTCAAGTTTAACACACGATGCGGACGATCTAGGAATATTTAACTGTGAACAAACCGACCAATATTTTGTTCTAGAATCATAGAATTCGGTGGCTGAAATGATGTTTTCTCCATCAAATCCGCCGATTGCAAATATTCTTCCGTCCTCAAAAGTTGTAGATGCCAAATTCCGTCTCCCAATTAGCATTGAAGGCCCTCCTCTCCATGAATCTGTAAGAGGGTCGTATATCTCGAGACTGTCTAATGCCTTGTTAGTATTGTTGTACCCTCCAAACAAAGCACAGTTAGTTTTATCAAGATTAGTACTTGATCCATGAGCTCTGGGCGTCAACATAGTTTTTACTTTGCTCCAACCAATGTTTTTTTTTATTTCTTCTGAAAAACCTTCTTCTAAATAAATAGGAGTTATAAACAACTCAGAAGTATCAAGTATCTTTTCACCATTGCAGCCTCCAAAAACATAAATCAAAGAGTTATCATAAAGTTTAATCCCAAAGTAATTCATTTCTTTTAAAATGTCAAGACTCATTTGGGCCGTGGAAGGAGATGGAAGACACTTGGTATTATCCCTGAGATAATTTATTATTATTTTAAAAATTTCCGGATCCCTGTCAAAAAAAACATTACCACTTTTATCTGTTTGAATTTCAATATCAAATGTTTTACCTGAAAAAATTCTATCTAGCAAACTTCCCTTCGCCTTTCCTTCAGTTAATATACTCTTTGAAACCTCAAATATGGTTCCACCAACATTAATTTCAACAGTTGATCTTGCTGAAAAATTTACTTCGGTTATTTGATCTTTAATCCTCTCTATTTCTGATTTTTCTTGGTTCAATTTATTCTCAATCATTTGCCAGTAATTGGTTAATTCTTGTTGTTTTTTGTAAAATAATTCTTTTTGAATCAATAATTTCTTGGCATTGTCATTTTTTTCTTTTATAATTAATTTCTTTGTTAATTCAGTTTCTTCTTCTAATAAATTACGTAGTTTTTGTATCTTCTCAATTTCAGTTTTTCTATTACATTCCATTTCTCTAATTATCCGCTTCTTTTCCTGATCGAAAGATGATTTTTCATTTTCTAGAATTTCAAACTCATTAATAATTTTTCTGCGAATTTTATTTAAATAATTATTAAAGATTTCACGTATTTCACATGCCATAGAATCAAAACCTTGAATTATAGTACTTGATAATTCATCATCTAGCAATACGGAGTTTATAAATGAATTTTTACAAACAGTAGATTCGATGGTATTATCTTTGATTGCGTTATCCATTTTAACATTTATTACAATTTAATATCACTATTTTGCATCTTCACACTAGTGCTTGTTTAAAGGGAAAGCGGAGCAGGGGGGTTGGGGAAGGGAGGGGAAATAAGAGGGGTGAAAGTAAAAATTGAAAAACTATTTTTCCAAAAATTAGCGAGAATTATTTGACCTTTTAACGATATTGAAATCAATTCTAAGTTCTTTTGAATCTTCTGCAGGTGCATCATTGCGAATAGTTACTTTAAATGTCATGTAAGGTTTTAGTATGCCTTCCTTAATAAGTTGCATAATTCTTTCTTTCATATCCTCAAAATAATCTAAAATTGGTTTGTACCCGAGCTCTGGAGAATACTTAATATCAACTATTTTGTTCAAAACTGATTGGGAAGGTTGAGCGAGTGTCACATTGTAATTTTTTTTAATAAACGCTGAATACTCAACAAAATTTATTTCTAATATTTTTAAAACTTCTTCTTTTGTGAAAGGCCTAAATAAAACAATGTTTTGAATAGCACGGACTAAATCACCACTCGGAGTTTCACGGTGCTTTCTGACTACTTTAATTATAAGTTTAACAGTATCAACTTTGTCTGGATCGTCTAGAATAAAATTGGAGCCAACTTCAGTTGTAAGAATAAATGTACTTAAGCCCAAATAACCTATTTTATGATTAATATTGTTTTTATTACGCAAAATGTCCAGAATCAGTCGAATTACATCCGGATGCATACCTTCAATATGATCAAATAAAAACAAAGTTTTGCCAGATTGTCTTAGTTCCTCCGGAATAATTCCAGTTGTTGGATTATCTCCTAACAATCTCTTTGCAGCGTCTTCGTCAGCAAAATCGCTAGAATTTAGAGTTTTGAAATTAGAATACATTGTTATATCATAGGAAAAATCATTAGATAACAATGAAATATCCATTAAAGTTGTCTGTAATGCAAGTGCAAATGTCTTTTTACCAGATCCTGGCGGACCTACAAAAAGAAGGCATTTTGGAACATTTTTATTATTATCTCTCGACAATTCTACTCCTAAATGGAATGAAACATAATCTATTGCACTCTTTTGGCCAATAATATATTTTGAAAGAATTCCTGACATCTGATCTTTTATTCTTTCCGGTAATTTTCTATATTCAATTTCATTTAATAGTTTAGAAATATTTTTTCCATACCTTTCCGAAATAATAAATGCTATATGAGAAGCATCAATCTCTCCCATTCCAAGAGGTAAATAGATTGAGTTGTAATTAAAAGACATCTCAAGTATTAGGGATTTCATATCAGCAACTTCCTTCTGCTTATCTTTTATTATTGGGTGAATGTCATCAAAAAACTTAGGATCAAGTTGGGATTCTGTAATAGCGCTAACCTCATCGTTGATTGATTCGTCGTAAGATTTATTTTTATTTTGTTTATATTTAAGAAGGTTACTCCTGTAGATGCTTGTAAGTTGTGCAACGCTCAGTTCATCAGAAAAGTTTGGAATTATTTTTTCTCTATCTTTAAGGATTTTAAATTCATCTTCCAATGGTTTATTAACGCAAGTTATTGGATAATCAAAATAAGTGAACATAAAATAGAGCTGAGTTTTCAAATATCTAAACTTAAACAGATAAGGTTTTATTTTTAATGCGAGCGATATCATTGTGTTTTTCATCTTTAAATGCATTTTTAATACTTGCATTAACAGTGAACGGTTTGTACTTATAATTGAATTCGTCTCATAATCTCTGATCTTTGATACTTGCAGTCCAGTCCTGGAATGAGAGATAAAATCTTCGATTCCGTGGATTTCTGACGGTATTTCTAAAAATTGCTCATTTTTTGCTATCCTAATAGCATAATTTATTAATTCAATTGCATCATCTGGAAGAATACAATTTTCAATATATTTATTGCACATCAAAACAGAAGTATGAATAACGTTATTATTGATAAAGATACCTGTTGAGAGTTCGAGCTGGTACCTCAATCCGGAAATGAATAATTCCGAAACTATTCCATTCAGTTCTTTCATCTTAATCTTGCGAAATATTGATTTGACTTCAGCTTCCTTTTCTACTAATATATCGTAATTTTCGTTGTTCAATGCGGCAATTACTTTCAAATTTCCACGAATAATATAATGTTTAATTACATCATATAACCTTTTAGAACCTGTGGGGGTTTCAAAACTAGAAAACAGATGATCTGTAAAAATAATAACCTTGCCATCATATGTTCCTAAGAGGTCGTTGAACTTAATTTTAATCTGTTCTGTTAAAGTTCTTTTTGCACTTTTACAACTTTCGAGTAGTGAATCAAAGTCAATGTTAATTATTCTATAGCCTTTTAAATCAATTGAAGAAATGCCGTTAATTATTCTATGAGCTAAATACTCTATTAAGCTGCGTTTCATTATTTTTGACTCGCCAACTATAATTGCAGAAGATAAACCATTTCCGGAAAGAGATATTTCAAGTAAATAGTACTCATCCATAAAATCGATAGCTTTTGTAACTCCATTTTCGATTACGAGTTTATTAATATCGAAAAACCATTTTTTATTAAACTGATTATTAAAATCATTTTCATGGAAAGAAAAACCATAAAACCACATTTTACTATTGAATTGTCTATTTGGTGATTGATTAAATAAAGTTTTATATTTTTTTAAAGCTTCATTAATAAATTTATAATGATCTATTCCATAGTTACTGAAAACTGCTTTAACATTACTTCTGAGGACTGAAATATTACATTCGTTCTGCATACCATCCTCTGATGTGGTGGATTCTGGATGAGAATATTTAATATCTTGAATTTTAACATCTAACTCGTTTATACCATAATTTATATTATTATCTATTAATCTTTTTTCCCAATCATTTGGAAGGTTATCAATACTATCTCTCATCAAAACAATAAAAATAAATCCAGGAGAAAGCACATTTGATGATAATCCTTGATCGTATAAATCATTAATTATAATTACAGATAAATATATCGAATACAATAAATTCAGAGAAAGTACTTTATTTTTTCTTTCTGATCCTGCATATGTAATTTTTCCATAAATAAGTTTTAGTTTACTATACACTTTATTCATATTTGTATCTAATATTTCAATTATTGTTTGTTTAACAAGCTTATAACTAAATACTGCTCTTGGCAAATTTGAATTAATTTCGTTATTGATTTCTCCAATTACTGGTTGTGAAGAATATATTGTTTTACCGTGTAAATTTTCATTTTCATATTCCATAATTTTGTCTTTTTTAATTAGCTCTTCCATTTTCCAAATTGTCGAATATATGTTTGTTTTAATTAAAGATAGAGTTTCCTTGCTAAAATTAAACATCTTATTTAGTCCATTTTCATTATTGTACTTCAATAAGTATGAAAGGTATTCTGTGAATTTCTTAAGTCTTTTCATATCATGTGAGATATTTGTTTCAAAATCATCTTTTGAAATGAACGCCAAAATAAAATCTAATGTTGTAACTGTATTATATTTACTAGTTTCAATAATCTTTTGGAAAAAATCAATTAATTCTAGAGAAGGAAAAATTTGATTTCCATTTCCATCTAAAGCCAATTTAGCAATATCAAAAATGAGCTCTTCGATATCAATGTCATTTTCCGAAAGGTTTCCTTTTTGAAATTTGACAAAGGACTTCTGTATCGCTCTGGTTAATTTATTTTTCAGGTTAGTATCCAAATGTATTTTATTGGGATCGGATGATGTTGAATCTAATTTAATAGAACCACGATTAGTATGGATAGACCCAATATTTTGCTTTTCATATGAAGAGCCAATAGAAGAATTATTAATTTCTAATTTGTTACTACTATTGGGATTTTTTGTTAAGACTACATGTACCAAAAAAAATATTGCTAGGCTGAACAGTAAAAAGAATGAAAAGCACCTAGTAACATGAACTCTAGAAATGCTCATGATTGGTTTTATTAATGTAGAGGCCCCAATTATAAAAATGGATTTGAACTAACATGTAGAATCCTCCCCTCAAATACTGTTGTATTGGCGGGATGAGTGGTAACATGAAAGGTAAACAGATATTGATATATGGAAAATTATTTATATAAAGCTATTAAGAAAATCACTTTCTTGTTACATATTTCCTCCTGAATTTTTGCCTCTTTTAATTAAATTCCATTTTCTGTAATAATCCAATCTCGTTTTTAGAAGAAATGAAAGACTTCGAATAATTATTAGACAAGTTAGGAGGATAACAATTTGAATTATTAAGAGGAAAAATATGAATTTATTCATTTATTCCCATTCAAACGATCTACCTATTTTTTGGTGAATTTTAATTTTATTTTTCGTTTGTTATTGTGTGGTTTTTTTGAACTTTTTTTTTTGAATTCTTGATAGTGCCGCTTCATTAAAATCAAATGTTTAAAAGTTAATGAATTAAAAATTATTCTTCAAACCAAATTGACGAATTTGTTGATTACTAGGTATTTTAGGCACATAGCCAAGTGTACCGATATTTCTATCGGCACAAGAAGAGTAATTTATAACAGGTTAAACTTGAAACAAACTATTTCATTTGTGATGATAAATGAGAGGAAGGAACTCACTGGAATTGATGGGAGAGACTTATTGTGTAGTGAAAGTGTTAAAACACCAGTATCTTCAGTAAATAGTGATAAACAAAAGTCTTGGAGTATGAGGTTTGGGATTTACAATAAAAAGTCTATTAGCGAGACCCAAAACAACAATTTCAATGGAGATTTAAATAAAGTAATGGAATTAAACAATAAGACGGGAAATTTTAACATTGACCCTAATTTAAATACATCAAATAATGGGAATTATTCTTTTTGGCCGAACTCTTTTGAAGATATTCAAAGAGGAGGTTCAGCAGTATTTAACAGATTAGCATCAAGGATAGAAGAAGGAATTCAAGATTTACAGTCACAAATTAGACCGGACTTCCCTAAGCTTCCTAATAATTTAGAAGGGAAAATTCCATTGGGGTTTTCATTCAGTGTAAGCGCTATGTTAATTCCTTATCATCTAGGGGTTATATTGGAGTTACAGGAACAAGGATATATTACTGAATCCACACCATTGTCTGGGGCATCTGGTGGCTCAATAGCCGCGATTTGTTGTGCATTAGATATAAGTATGTATGAAGCAATGGAAGCCTGCATTTCGCTTTATGAAGATTGCAGAAAAAATGGCACGGCAGGAAGATTAAACCAAGTACTTGAACGCGAACTTAGGAAAAAACTTCCAGATAATGTAGTTGAACTCTTAAATAATAGATCGGAAAAAGGAGGGCAAATTATCATTTCTTTTACACAACTTCTTCCAGTTCCTAAAGCTCATTTTGTCTCAGATTTTAATTCTAAAGATGATTTAATTGAATGTATATTAGCAAGTTCAACAATTCCCTTTCTTTCAGTTCCTTGGCCTACATTCAAATGTAGAGGAAAACCATGTGTAGATGGTTATTTTGCTGTGGGAAGAGGCGAATTGGGATGCCTTCCTACTAATGCTATTAGAACAGTAAAGGTTTGCCCTTTGCCCTCTGCCGGTTCTTCTATGAAATCAAATAGATCTGACGTTATTTCACCTCATATTCAATCTTATGATTGGATACTATTTGGCCCCGATTCTAGTAACACTAACACAGGTCTTATAAGAACAAGGGAATGGATAAAAAATCTAAGACCGCCTGAAGCAATTCCAACAGATCTTAATAAATCAAATTTATTAGACAAAGGAAACTCTGTAAAAAATGAAATAAATACTAAAGAACACCTTGAAAATTGCGAATTTAAAGAAGTATTTAATTCGTGCTATATTAACAATAACCCAAATTTAAATGCTCCTCCATTGATGAAGTATTCTAACAATGAGCTCTTACGTATTGCAGTAGATCCTCCGTCACCCCAGGTAGCATGGGAACTATTCTATATTGGTAGAGGAGATGCATTAAGGTGGATAATGATAGATAGAATCAGGGAAAATTCATATAATCTTATGGAGCCTACATACAATTAGAACATTGAACCGACGGCTTGAGTATCATATAGATGGATTTTCTTAAATCGTATTTCTATACAATTGCTATTTGCTTGTTTTTATTTTTTCAATATTTAACTTCAAATTGTCAATATCAGACATAAATTGTTGTTTAAGTTCGGTATCTTGAATATGCTTATTACCATATTTTTCAAATAATTTAAAACATTCTACTGCTCCGTTTACATCTTCTGAAACTAAACTGCACCAAGATAGTAGATACCAAACTTGCCAATCTTCTTCATCTTCTTTTAACAATGTACTAAGGACTAACTCTGCTAACTCGGTTTCATTCAGATCAATTAGCGTTCTAGATAGATTTAGTCTTACAGAGTATTCAGGCAATAAGACTTCGTTGTCTTTGTACTCATCGACCAAATCCTTAAATTCAACACAAAGATTATATTTATTTTCCAATATACGTTTTATTTTTGAAACGTAGAGTTTACATTCTTCAAAATCATCGATTGTTTTGAAATAACTTAATTTGCAACATAAAGTTTCAAAATGGTCTTCATTAATTTCGGATGCTTTTGCTAAATTTTCTCTTACTTGGCTTTCCGCTTCATTATTATAACATAAATCAGTCATGAATAGCTCTGAAATAGCACAGTAAGCACTACAAAGCTGATCTCTCATTAAATCAAGCTTTTCAATACTATATTTATCATTTTCCCTTTTTTCCATTATATTTTTTATATTTTCCCTTAGTATTTCTATTCCCTTCCTCCAGTAGAACAAAGATTCCTCACCATCTAGAATCTGAGCAAGGCTGAAATATTTAACATAATCATCATATGGATTAATTTTAATACTTTTTTCTAATAGCTCTTTAGCACGATCAAAATTACCAATTGAACACATAAATTCACCATACGCAGAAAGAATATTGCTGTTTAAGGGATCTAATTTAACAGCTTGAGTGAACAAAATATTGGCATTCTCATATTCCGGAGGAAACTTATTAATAAGTGCCTGGGCCTTTGATAATAATTCCAATGTCTTCATTATGAAAACAAAGTTACGATTTTAAAGAAAATAGTCAAATTTAACAAAAAATAGGCCGCCCAAAATCTATTATATCAGGTAGTTACTGGGGAAAATTATTAATTCTTAGTTTAAAATACCTATTTACTGCAATTTGATTGGTTTTTCCCAAAGAAACTCTTCTTCTGTCCGTCCAAAATGGCCACCACTCGATGTTTTTCTAAAAATAGGCAATTTAAGGTTTAGTTGTTGAATTAAGATTCCTGGCCTAAAATCAAACACCTCATTAACTATTTCCAGAAGTTTTGTGTCATTATATCCATTTTTTGCAGTACCAAATGTATTGATATACAATGACAATGGTTTTGCTATTCCAATCCCATATGAGACCTGAACCAAGCATCTGCTACATAAGCCAGAAAAAACGATTGATTTTGCAACAAGTCTTGCCATATATGCGCCAGACCTATCTACTTTAGTTGCATCTTTTCCACTAAATGCACCGCCGCCATGAGCACCCCACCCTCCATACGTATCTACAATTATTTTGCGCCCTGTTAATCCAGCATCTGCTGCTGGCCCCCCAATTGTAAATCTGCCAGATGGATTAATCAATATTCTCGTTTTTTCATCCATCAAGTTTGAAGGGCATACTTTTTTAATGACATTATTAAGAACAAATTCCCTGATTTCTTCGTTTTTAGTGTCTTCGTCGTGTTGAACCGAAACTAGAATAGTGTGAATTCTCTTTGGAACCAGCTCACCTTCCCGGCAACTATATTCAACTGTAACCTGCGCCTTTCCATCAGGGCGCAACCAGTTTACGTTGGGAAATATCCCTTTCATTCTAATATGATCTAACTCTCTTGTAATAGATGTAGCTAATACATGTGTCAGAGGCATAAGCTCTTTTGTTTCATTTGTAGCATATCCAAACATCATTCCTTGATCTCCTGCTCCTATATCTTCAACATTCCTATTTATATGTACGCACCCGGCAATTTGATTGCTTTGTTGTTCAAGTTTAATGATTACATCCATTGTTCTGTAATCTAGTCCCTTTTCTTCAGAGTCATACCCTATTTCTTTTACTGTCTCTCGAACAATTTTTTCGTAGTCTATATTGGCCTTTGTAGTTATTTCGCCAAAAACCATTATAAACCCTGTTTTTGTGCATGTTTCACATGCCACAAAACTTTCTGGGTCTTGCTCTAAGCATGCGTCAAGTATTGCATCAGAAATCTGATCGCATAATTTATCTGGGTGTCCACTACATACGGATTCAGAAGAAAATAAAAATTGTTCACTAATTGTTTTAAAATCGCCGTAAGCGGAGATATTTCCACTAAAACTTGAGTCTTCCATAAATAATTATTATAATAGGACTTTAATAAATAGACAGTTGTTTAATTTCGTATTATTATTAGAAATCAATTTTTTTTTTTCGAGCACTCAAAAAAAAAGCCGCGTAAAAGTTAATGTTTGTAATAGATGATTAATTGAAAAGAACCTAGCTATTCAGAATCATCATCTACTGATTCATCAGAAGAACTGATTGAATTATGTATATCGTTATTACTACAGTTTAAGTTTCTCAATTCAAAACAGTTATTTACAGTTGGATTACTTTGGAGGTTTTCTACATCACATGTTTCTAAAATACTTACTAATTGTTCATCACTTAGATATTCGCAATAAGATGTATTAAAGTTTTGATCATAGCAATATAATTTTGGGCCATTTCCCAAGCCCACACCTGTATTGTCCTTAAAGTTTAATTGAGATGTAGGAATATATTTACTGTATTTATTCCAATTGTTTAAAAAAATAACCAGCTCATTATTAATGGTACTGTTGAGGGTAAAACTAATATTTTTTGAAACAAAAAAGTAACTCAAGTATGGAAATATTTCTGTAAATACGGATTTGTTGCATAATAAATAGATATAATTGTCTTTTTCAGTGAAAGAAGGTAAACACTTTTCTACTAAGTTCTTATAGTCTTCTTTCAATATTTCTAAATTAGAAATAAAAGTTTTGAAAGCAGGCTTTTTTGGATGCCATTTAAACTTAGTTTTCTTTAATTTATCAACTAAATTGTTCATCTTAAATTTCCCATTTTGTATACATTCCTGTTTTTTCCACAGTGAGGATTGGCTTCTGCTAAAACCAGCCTTTATGTTGTCTTGTGTTTGGTAATCAGATGAACATGGATTTAATGGTTTTGAATTGAAATATAATATAGTTCTTGCAATACAAGATACCAAAATTGAGGAAGAAAAATTGTCCGAATTTAGATCCTTAGTATAAATATCTGACCAAGAAAAAATATCAGAGCAAAAAATTGTGTCCATGCAGTTACCAATGAATGGAATGTAGTTTTCTTGAAGCAATAGAATCAATGAGTTATCCTCTACTCCTGAATAAAGCAATAGATCTTCTAGGTCAAATGATAATTGTCCTTTCAAAGAATCCTCTTGAATAATATGAGAACTAAAAAAATGTTCACATAAGTCTTTAAAGCCTTCACAATAATTTTTGCAATTTGAATCTTTTTCTATATTAACATATTGTGTTAAACCAACTCTATTATCATAAATATCTAAAAATTCTGAATTCATCTTTGTACGTTTTGTATATGTAATAGGTATATATTCCGGTTTAAATTTGTTTGTGTCTTCTTCACGTTTATTGTATAGTATCTTCCCTATTGTTCTAAATACATTATACATAGGTTCTTTACCAAAATTATTGAAAGTTTTATATAGACTTTGGCTATGTTGATCATGATTATTCAAATCATTGCTACGTTTTTTTCCAGAAAATGAAAGTTCTGATTTAAACGACAGGTTTTGCGTGTTATTTTTCATACAAATATCTTTGCTCTCTCCAAAATGAAATTGAAGTTGGGAAACCGCATGGTATAAGTCACCATTGGAAGTTTGAACAATTCTTTCTATTAAATTCTCTTCATTTCTTCCAACTAATATTCTTTTGAATTTTAATATGTATTTCAATTTAGATTTTATTACAGTTGATGGAATTGGGTTTAGCCTTACTATTTTGATTTTCCCAGAGAGTTTCTTATCAGCACAGGTCTCATTGTAAACGTCAAGTTCTCCAGGAAGTAACAATTTCAAGAATTGCCGGTCGTTTCTATCTTCACTTGCTATAAATACAATTGGTATAGTAAGGGAGGGGTTAAGGATCATTTTTGATAAAAATAGTCTTATTTCAATCAAAATCTGCGTATTATGTTGTAATAGTGTGAATGGGAGATCCTTAATGAGTATTAAAACTTTTTCATTTGAACTTGCCTTGGAAAAAAATAGAGAATTAAAAATAAAACGATAAAAACTCGCTCCAATTCCTTCATTAAGTGCCGTTGGAGGATCCCACTTAATAATTTTAATGTTATTACATAGACAACGTAAAATTGTGGTTTTTCCAGCACCATTTGGACCGAAAATTACCAATATATTTTTTCTTAAGCTTTGGCTCAAATCTATTCTTATAAATGAATTATCCAAGAAACTCTTTACTTCTATTATTTTGCTTTTGTTTACAAGCAGTTCGTGGGCCGTTTTTGGCTCAAATTCATTAGTCCAAAGCGACATGAAAATTCACATCACCATCTGCAGCCTAAAGAACTAAATTATATACCAAAAATTTCAATACTAAATGAGTTGGCCAAGAGAATAATTACATATTGAAATTGTTACAAAAATGCTGCCATTATTGGCGCTTATGATTTTGGAAAATGTTTAAAACCGGTATGGGGGATTAACATGCAATGCGTCAATTCCTAATTGAAATTCGTTGAATGACTACAGAATTAAAAGTTTCAAACGTGAATAAAATCATTATTAGCGCCAGATAATATTAGTACAATTTAGTCTCATTTATAGATTATGAGTGTCTATAAAACATAAAAGGGATTAATAGAATAATGAAATCAGAAACATGATCAAGAAACCATTTCAATGAGTCAACAATGGCTCTATTTAACACAAAATTTGGTTTCCAAAAAGTCTCTAACATTATTCTGATTAATTGAGGTCTAATTTACGCAAATTTGAGTAACGTTTCAATTATAATTTGCAGTAAATCAATTAAATTAATGCACGTTTCACATTCATTTAATCAAACTTTGAAATTTGTAATTCTTACTGTCCTCACTAAATGGAACTTAGAAATTTAACTATACAAAAATATATGACTTTTGAGCATTTTATTATGGTTTAAGTTTTTTCTTCTCTACAGGTTTTAAGATCTGGAAGGAACACATTAAAGTTTCATCAACAGACATCATAGCACCTGCATTGTCGAATTCGCCACAATAATTTGGGGCTGAAAAAAGGGTGACTAACTGGCGTTTTGCAAAGAACTCATATCCGTCCTCTACCACTTGATGGGCTCTACAAATAAGATCCATATCATGATCTCTTAGGAATTTCTCAACCACATCATGTCCAAAAGTGAATGATACACCCCTATCATTTTCTCCCCATCCCCTTACGTCTTTTTCAGGATCAGACCACAACAGATCGCAAAGTAACCCGGTATCTGGAACGTCTGTCGGTCTTTCAATTTTTCTTATTTGATCCAATTTATGTAATTCAGGAGAAAGGCCACCGTGCATACAGAGAATTTTTTCATCAATTATGGCAGCCACGGGTAAGCAATTAAAACAATCCGTAAAAGTCTTCCAAAGCTTTACATTATACCTTCGCTTACATTCATCATAAAATCCATAAATTCGATTAATAGATGCACATTCGTGATTTCCTCTTAACAAAAAAAAATTCTCAGGATACTTGATTTTGTATGCAAATAATAAACAAATAGTTTCCAAACTCTGCTTTCCTCTGTCTACATAATCTCCAAGAAACAAATAATTGGTATCTGGTGGGAAACCACCGTATTCAAACAGTCGAAGTAAGTCATAGTACTGTCCATGTATGTCTCCACAAATTTTAATAGGCGCATCTAATTCAAGTAGAGTAGGTTGGCTCATAAAAATTTCACGAGACTTAATACATATTCCGCGTATCTCTTTCTCAGTGAGTTGAACCGGTTTTCCTGGGCGAGAGCCACGTACCTCCAATAGCTTTGCTATTATTGAATCTACGTCAATATCATTATTAGAACCATTGGTAGTTCCTGATATTGTAGTAGACGAAGGTTGTGGTGTCATTCAAAATATTATTTAAAAACCTTTATGTTATAGTTGATTATAGATAGGTTTAGTAACAAAGTTAATAAAAATACATATATTTGTGTTGAAAATATATACATAAATATATATATATATATATATATATATTTATGTATATGTTACTTAGTGATTTCTTCTTAAAAGCATTTAATGCTGGTTTATATTTTAATATATACTCTTAATTAATTTATTCTCAATTATTTTAGTTAATGTACCAAAAAAATGAATAATTGGCAAAAGGCTAATGCAAAAATTCAAGTTGGTGAGCCTTAATCTTACCAATATAAATAGTTGATGAATGTAAAAATGCCCGTAAGTATTCGTCGAAATTAATAATCAATAAATGCCGGGTTAAGTTGGCAATTATTATTTATATTATTCCCTTGCTACATTATATTGTTAATAATCATTCTACCGCTTTATACGCGTGTTAAGAGATACAACATGCGCGCCCGAAATAGTATTAATTACTTAGATTTTTCCAGTACGTAAGCGGATTAATCGTAAATATGGAACTCAAACACTATCAAAACTAACTTCGAATTGTAAGCTAATAAAAGAGCCTAACTATGTTAACTAACTGCAATGTGTTGCTCATAAAGTTTTGTGCACATTTAATTAATCTTTCTGCACCTAATTTGCTTTTAGGTTCTGTATAAATTAAAGTACACTCGTATATTTTATTCACAATTAATTATAATCTAGTTTGAATACAGGCAAGACTAACGCTAACGCAACTAAGGCATCCTTATTTCATAGTTTCCGTTCTGAGTTATATATCTTACCCAGGGGAGAGCTTGGTATCCACTCTTCTCCGTGATTTTTAGGTATCTTATAGTAAGACCTGAAATTGTAAAATACGGAATCTCGAAATTGATGGTGACCGGGCGTTTGCTTGAATTCATTTCATTGACAATGGATGGAAGATCAAAAATTGCGGTCATTGTAAATTCCTTCTGTCCCGAAAAAGTCTTAATATTCCATATTATTAAATCTCTTTCAGGAGAATATTTTACTGTACCTATTGATGTTTTAAAAGTAGGTATTATAACATCGTTTGGAACAGGGATCTGAATTTCTGTATTTTTTGCAACGCTTCTTGCTTTGTATTGACCCTTAACCTTGACAATATACTTTATACGAGTAGCACTAATATTTTCGATATTTACGTCAACCTTAAATAGAGGCTTTAAATTAGATGATGGAGTTAATCTGTAACTCATCAGCTCAAATTGTCCATCAGGTGGAATAAAAGAAATTGTTCTATCGCTTTCAAATCTGGCAAGTCTTACACATTGATGAAATTTTATGTCTTCAATTTCGACCGATTTATTTTTTAATATTGAGCTTCTATTGGAACTCGAAACTGAATCACGGCTAGTATTACTAGTAGAAAATGAAGCATCTCCAAGTCTATCATTCAGTCCAAGCTTAAGTTCTGGCATCCCAGAAAGGTAACTTTTCATGGTTAAAGTTCCGACAATTTCACTGTTTATTACATCACCACTAGAACCAATAATCATATTTACTTTCTCAATTACATCTAGAAATATTTCATTCTTTTTGTGTTTTATTCCTTCTGGTCTCCAGGAAATTACATTCGACAATGCAGAAGGTGGCTTGATAGAAGAATTATTTCTATTTGATACCAGTACAGAAGCAGCAGAAAGTTCATGGGCTTCATTTTTTATATATTCACGCAAAACTTTCACTTCAGTAATCTGAGGAAATCCATTGTCCATTATCTCATCCAATAGCTCGTATATTACTACAAAATTATCCCTTATGCTCTCTTCCTCTAAAACTTTGAAGTAATCTTTCAGAATCTCAATCAGCTTATACAAAAACGTTATCATCATTGTTGCATTCGAGTTCTTTCTTGAAAGTAATACTAAATACAAATTATTATATTTAATCCAACAATATGTTATCATTTTAGAAGAAAAAATTGGTTTAATACAAGATTCCTCTTGCTCTATAACATGTTGCTGAAACGCATCCAAAACTCCATTTTCTGAAACATCGCCTTTATAGTTTCTTCCTATTATTGGCTTTCCGTTTATATCTAAAATAAAGATTGCTGAAACTCCACACATTACAGTTAAATCAATAAGTGGAATATCGCAAATTCAGTAGTTGATTTTTTTATAATAAATAACAAAATATTTGTTAATTGAATATATTGAGCTAATTAATCGTGATATAGGAATCCAAGTTTTAAAATTTGTGTAATGATTTTATATGGCTCTAACATTGAGGTAAGAAAGCAGATGGGGAGCGCAAAATAATAATTGAGAAAATTTTCAATTATTATGCAATTATACTTTAAATATTACTTAAATGAATTATTTGAAGTAAAATATACATTTATCTTTATTATTGGGCTTCTTTAATATTTGCGAAATAAACGTTTCCAACCACCAATCATTTTTAAATAAAAAAAAAAAAGGAATCTATTAACTTTAAATAAAAAAGGTTTTAATTGGAAATTTTTTCTATTCACTTTATTAAAAATAAATCGAATAATATTTAGTCATTAAATTGATTATAATCGAATGATTACAAACTTTTTGTTATTTTTTTTTTAAATCAAGGAGTAAATATATCTGTTGTCTATAAAAGAACTCACGTGAAGTTAAGATTCCAAATTGAAAAAAAGAGAGTGAAGTTCTACCAATTAATTAAATCCCTAAGAAAAGATTATTCATTTTTATTATTAACTAAATCAAATTATATGATTAACTTTCCCTAGTTATATTTACAATCAAAAAGATATTTTATAGAAAATATTTCTAAAAATCTGAAGTGGAATTCAATTAAAAACTTAGAGGGCAACTAGAATAATGAATCAATGAATATATTGGAGAATTTAAACATCAAAAAAAACAAATAAAAACCATAATTCTTTTGACCAACTTTTGTAATAATAGGCGGTATAGAAATATTTTATTGCATAAGTTGTAAAGATGTAAGAACGGAATGAGCAGTTATTTATCTGGAGAAAAATATGAGTTTCTGTCAACGTTAGGTTTAATTGGGGTTGTAATTGGAGGAGTGTGGTATATGACAAAAAATAATAAGAAATTTTTGGGTAGAAAACTGAATAACGAAGAAATAAAAAATGTGCTGGTTTCTGTTTCTAATGAACTTCACCCGACTTTGATGGAATTTAGCCACTTGGTATCATCAATCAATAATCCGACTGATAGTTTATCAATTGAGTTTTTAAATTATGCTGAAACTATTTTTTCGAAAGGTGGTTTTAAAGATAAAATTGTCAAAGCACAGAAAGAAATCCTTAACACTTTAGCGATTGATCCAGAAAATTTTGAGAATTTATTGTATTCTGCATGTAAAGTTGACAGAGAAATTTTAATGCTGAAATTGGGCATTGATAAAATGTATCAAGATTCATTACTTGGAGTATACCCACTTCTACCCTATCTTGGATCGAACGAAAATTTTAGCAGAGAATATCCAAAATATACAAAAGACTATATCCTAAATGGATTAAGGAAACTAAATAATGAAAAGGAGAAGGGCTTCAAGACCATAATTGAGGAGATTGGCGACATATCAGAGCATGTAACGAAACATCCCATTTCAGGAATAACTCCTTCTGAGGAACTTTCGAGAAGACTAAAAGAAGCAAATAGGCGAAGCGAAGATACTATTTTCGGGTCGGTAGAGAATAAAAGGTTATTCTCTCATGCAATTGCACTATATTCAAGAGAGGTTGAGTTTGTTAAAAAAAAAAAAAAACTAGAGAAGGAACACAGTGATAATATATTAAATATCATAATCAACTGTAAGTAACCAGAGGTACTGACTTTGAATCAGAAATAACAAATCATTCATCAGATATCAATTCATGTGCTTTCTTTTGTTGATATTGTTCTTGCTGCAACTCCAAAGCTTGTTGCTTGGAAACTTCTTCTACATAACTAGATCTATTTGCTTGAGATACTCGAAAATACCTATCCGCGACCTCAAGTATTTGTGGCCTAAATGTTGTTACAATGAACTGTGTTGAAATCGATTGCTTTTTGATCAAATTTGCAACAGACCATCGATACTGATCGTCAAGTGCGGCATCTATTTCATCTAAAAGGTACATGGGTGCAGGATCCGCCCTGTGTAACGCAAACAAGAATGCTAATGCAACCAGTGTTTTCTGGCCGCCACTAAGCTGGTTAAGAGAATAATAACTTTCGGTTGGGCCACTGTTTTTTTGCTGCAAATTTGTTGAATTTGTTTGAGAACTGCTTCCTACATGAAAAGTAACTCTAATACCGATTCCCAAAAGATTTGAATCGTCTTCTTTGGTATTTGCAGTATTTGAACAGCAATTACCAATGGAGTCACTTTTTCTAGCAAACGGCCTGTTTGTATTATCTTCGTTCTCATTCGTTGTGCTTCTTACTTCATTTGATAGTCTAAGGAAAAGTTTTGCATCTCCGTTTGGAATTAGCTCCCTAAATACCTGGTTGAAATAGAAATTAATTTCTTCAAAAGTTTTCAGTAAAGTTTTTTCTTTTTGAATATCTAAGGTTTCGATTAATGATTGAATAGAACTCATAGCCGAATTTAATTCTTTGTGGCGATCTGATAGATCAGTATACTCTTGAATGAATTGATCCAACTCGGAAATAACCCTTCGGTTAATAGATTTGTAGTCTTCTGATAACTTTTTTTGTATAATTTTAAGTTCCTGATAAATCCCGTTTTTTTCTTTTGGTATATTTATCTCAGAAATAGTACTTTGAAAATCAGAATATTTAGTCCTCACATGTAAAGCGAGCTCTTTAGCTTGCCGAAATTTATCATACTTTTTTTGTAGACTTGAAGTGAGAGCCACTAATTCTTTTCTGTTATTCATAGCTATACTCTCTTCTTGCATAGCCGAATGTTTAAGATCTTCAATTTTTGATGATTGTTTTTTTATTGATTCAACTTTATTTACTATTTCACTCAAAGACTCTTTAGATTCTTCGAGAGATTTATTATACTCCAATAGCAAACCGTTAGCTTCAAAGTAACCACGATTTAGTGTCCTATAATCCTCTTCCTGCTTCTCTTCTTGAACACGGTAAAAATCTTCATAGAGAGCGTTCAAATGGACTTCATATTTATCTATATTATTATAAAGATCGGAAAGTTCCCTTTCCACTTTTGGAATCTCATAATGTTCGAGTGCTCTTATTTTTGATATAACTTCTTTTAGTAAGTTTTCCTCATCTGTGTTTAGTCCATTAGAAAGAGAATCACAGGATAATTCATTTTTTAATGTAAGAATATAATTTTGAACTGTGTCAATATTTCTGAGAGCTTTTTCCTCTTCTTCTCTGACCTTAATAATAATTGACTGAATATTTCTTTTTTTACTTTCGGACAAATGAACCATTTCCTTTGATTTCGAAACCTGTGATATCAATCTCTCCCTAATACTAAGGAATTCTTCCCTACTACGGTTTAACTCACATACTAGGTCGTCAACCTCTCTTATCTCACTTTTAATATTATTTATTTCTGAATACAAAATCGAATTTTCGTGAATTAGATTTTTTAGTTGCTTTGAGCAAATAATGAGGCTACTTTGAATTCCTGGAGGACTCAAGCAAAGATATCCTCCCCTAATGCAACCCTTATTATCCCACAGATCTCCATCTAAAGTTATGCAATTTACATTGTATTTGTCAACCAAATACTTAGCATGGTCTAGACTTTCAACGATGACGTAATTTCCAAATATCTGTTCGATCACCGGTCTCACTCTTTCATCAAACTGAATCACATCGATCATTGAAATTGCATTTTTTTCAGAAGCAAATTCACATTTAAAATAGCTTGTACCTAATGTTTTTATATCCTCAATGGGACTAAATACAATTGAATAATTTTGCCCATATTTTTTATCAATCCCTCGGCTATTGTTAAATGTCTTAATATGAGATATCATTTTCGTAGCAACCTCTTTATCCTTCACAATTAAATTGTGAATGTTATTGCCCGCTGCTACTTCTACTGCAGTGGAATATACATCATCAACATCAATAACTTCTAATAGGGTGCCGAACACCTGTGTTTCACTCATCTCCTCAGAATTGCTCACAACTCCCCACAATAAATTGTTTTTGTCACAATACTCACGTGCAAGACTTAATCCCATTTTTATCGAATGTTTTGTTCTGCAATTAATATAATTTTCCTTTTCCTGAATTTGGCTTGATATCATTTTTGAATGGTTTTCTTTTTTATACAATGACTTGTTAATTTCATGTTTCTTCTCAAGGGCCGTTTTACGCTCTTCTATATTAACTTCTATCTTCTCAATTACAGAATTAAGGTCTTTTTGACTTTTAAAATGTTCTTCTTTCCACTTAAAAATATTCGAATCTAAAATTTGCAACTCGTTTTCTTTTTCAACTAAAGACTTTTTTATTGAGTTTAAATGTGAGCTTAACTTTTCTTTTTCTATATTATGAAGCTCTATTTTTCTATTGATTGCACATTTTTTCTCATCAATAGTAGAAAACTCAATTTCATCATTCTTTGAAATCAAATTCGACTCTTTTTGCTTGAGTAGGTCTTTTTCTTTTAAAATGAAATTATATTTCATTTTGAACTTATTTAATAACTCCTTTTCATTATTAATTTTAGTTTCAATATCTAATATCTTGCCTTTTGTCTCTTCTTCAAGTTTAGATAAATTTTTGATTTTCTTCTGACAATCATTTGTGTTTTTTTCAAAATTTAAATCGGCAATCGAAACTGAATAATACGAAATCTTATTTTGGATCTCTTTTTTTTTATGCTCCAACTCCTCAAGTTGAATATCTAAATTATTCTGGGATTCAATTAACGATCTTGTGTTTGAACTAATTGTACTCAAATTTCTTTCAACAGAAGCGAGCTTATCACGCGATTTTAACAACTTTTCATAGTATTCTTGTTCTCCCTTACTTGCTTCTTCCCATTCATACTCATTCAACAAAAACTCCAAAGTTCTCCTTCTCCTATCCAAACTCAAAAAAGCTTTAAATTCCTTTTGTTCATCCTTTAATATATCAATTCGCTTTTGTATGTCATCAAATACAGAATCAACTTTATTTTTTCTCGTTTCAGTTTCAAGCAGCAGTTTGATGCTCTCTTCTCTTTTCTCATCATATGTCCTTGTTCCCGCAATTTCTTTCAATAATCTTAATCTGGAAGCATCAGACATAGTTGCAAGTTCTGCCACCTTACCCTGACGAACTATGAAATAAGGATTATTCCTAGTTATGCCACAACTCTCCAAAATTGAATCAAAATCTTTCTTAGGAATATTTTTTCCCAATACCTGCCATTCATTTTTTTGACTAGAATTTCGGAATATTCTCTTAATAGTAACTATATCTTCATCGTACATAGAGAGACGACGCCCAACATTGTCGAGTGACAACTCGACATATGCCTCTGTCACTTGAGGACCAAGGCCTTCGTGCAAAAGCGCACGTCTCTCAACTAAGGTATTCCCAAATGAATCGGACAATATAAACTGTATTGCTGCAAGTATATTCGACTTTCCGCTACCGTTTAGACCCACAATACAATTACATCCAGGGTGGAACGATATCGTCGTTTCATCCCTATACGTTTTAAACCCGCATATCTTAAGCTCTCTGATATACATTATACTAAATAACCCAAGTAGAAAAAAAAATTTACTACGTGGAAAAATAGAATTCTCCCAAGTATCAAAAAAAATTGTTTGGGTAAATTCCAATGTAAAAATTTCTGCAATTGTTGATAATACAGTATTATTGTGGGGATTAGCGGTAGTGTGCATGTGCGGTATATGTATAAATAATAAACCATTTTCTAAAGTTTAAAAAATTGCAAAAAATAGACTAAGATTCGATAACTACTTTTTTTGCTTTATTTTTGGTAGAGGAATTGTGTATTCATCCAAAGAAAATGTTGATTTAACTCCAAATTTTTGTTCATTCAGTGCAAACATGGATTCAACATCCCAACCAGAACCTGCTTTTGTGCCAAACGTCCTTTTGTCTTTTATGGCATCAGAAATATATTGCTTTGATTTTTTTTTGCTATTCTGAGAGAAAATTTGAGATGTAGATGATGTCTGTCCTTTTCTCTCATTAATATTACATTTAACTCTTACAAATAAAGGAAGGTTAGATAAGGGTGGCCCTCCAAGGTCTGCATTCTGCAGTCTTCTTATTACTGCTGGGTTCAGATTTTTGGGTAAGTTTGGAATAATTCCATCAGGATTGCTCGGATTATATAGTGGAATTTTTTTCAAAACTTCAATCCAACCACGTAAATTACGCATAAAATGTGAAACTCTAAAAAATTGGCTTGAGTCCGGTTTTTCATTAATTGATTGCAAATTCTCATGAACTCTCTCATTACTTTCAATCAGATCTTCGTCTTCACTATTATGAACATCTTGTTTATCAACACAAGAAACACAATCATTTGAGATAAGGTGCATATTACTATCATTATGTACGAAGTTATCCGAATTTCTGGGTTTTCTGTGTTTAATTGAATTACTAACATTCCAATTTGGAAGTGATGTAAAATTAAACCACCTGATTTCTGAAATTTCTTTTCTTTTCTTTGGTTCCAATGGAGTGTTTTCATCAATTCCGGGTATTAAAAATAACTTGATTGTTTGTTCTTCTACTTGTTTCTCAATATAGATTGAATCATTGAGATGTTTAGTCACGTCTATTCCAAGTTCTTCATATGCTTCACGAATTGCGCAAAGACTGTCTTCCTCCATTTCATCCATTTTCCCTCTAGGAAACATAAACCTGTTGCCATTCCATGGTTTTACCAATACGCACTTTGTGAATTCTCTGTTAATTAATATTACTCCTCTGAGAGGGATTGTCTTGCAATACCGTTTCCAATTTAAGAGAAATTTGTCGTGCTCTTCAGGAGATGAAACAAAGTGCCGCAGGATTGGGCAATCTTCAGCCACAAATTGTCCAAAAACACGTAAAGAAAGCTTTGGTAACACATGTGAGTATTTATCGTACCACATATCCTCGTACCACCAATAAGCGGCCTGTATTTGAAAGTATAAATGAATTGCATCCTCTAGTAAATTAACAGGAAGATTTGTGAAAAACCTCGCATAGCAATCGTCTATAGCTTCTGAAAACGCAGCTTCCATATCTTTATATGCAGCTTCCATATCAAAATTGCTGATCAACCTTTCCATCGGTCCATTTACTTTGTTTTTCTTTTTTGTGTTAGGTTTAAATGTATTTATTTGTTCTTGCGTTATTGAATCACGACTATAGCGAGTCATAAAAATTCCCCTAACCTTAGATAAAATAATATCTTCAGGAGAGTATTTCATAGCAATATCTGAAGCGGTCTTCTTCTCATCTAGTTGTACAGATTGTTCAAAATTATCCAATACACTCTCCGTTAGTAAATTAGCTGTTGGACCACTCGGATTACGAGACCCATCGCAATCAATTATAAACCTTTTAAGAATATTCGCTCCCAATGTTTCTCGAAATCCTCCGGAAGCTTCAAAACTATCTCTTATTTTGTGTCTAGAGTTGTCTGTTTCACTATCACTTTTCACAAAACAATCACTTATCTGATGAGAATAAATATGACTTAAATCATTATTATAGATACTGGATCGCACTAAATTGTCATTTTTTGAATTACTAATTTGATTGTATTTGTTTTTCATAACAATACTTTCTTCTGATTCAAAGGAATGTGTGTTATCTTTAACACCATTTTCATTTCGAGAGTGTAGATAATTGATCGAACCAAGACTGCCATTTTCTATCACTACATGAGATAGACTCTCTATCAGTCGATCCATAAATGAAAAATCGTGATTTTTTTCAGTGTTTTTACTTCATGTATTACTTTTTTTGTAAACGCCTTAAAAAAATAAATTGTTAGCGCCAAATATTAGCGCTCATTAAAACTGGAATTCCCTAGTACATTTTAAAAAAGCTCTCGGAAATTATACAATTATTGACAATTTTACCTTAAGAAAATGTGCTTAAATAATTTGTTAGATTGTATTCTATGATTAACTTCACAAGTATTTGAATTTATAATTGGAAATTTTTTAAATATGTATGTGAAATTATAGATCAAAACTTGCGGTCAAATTGGTACCGGTATAAACTAAATAATTATCAAATTGAATGTAATTCGATCATATCTTGTCTGTTATTGTAATTCTTCATGTAACTTTTATTTTAAATTAGTATTAATATGAACCCAACGGATGGATGTAAATGTTTTTTCAATAAATGTAGCCACAACATTAATTTAAAGCTTAGTGATTCTAAAGAAGTTATTTATGGCAGTAGCGAAATATTTCTTGAAAGTGAAACAGAATTCCCTAAAAAGATTTTTCTTCAAACTCCCTCTTTATTTTATTGTGATATTATATCTGTCGAAATTAATGGAAATAATTTTGAAGGATGGTCAATTAGTCCAGTACCAACCCTTGAAGATTCAAACAAAATAGTCGGACACAATGTTTTTGATATAGCGACTCTCCAAATGGCATATGGATTCATTTCTTCAAATTATGGTGAAATTAGTTCCGATCAGTCTAATATTATAGAAAATCGATTATTGATTTCTATTTCTGACAAGAAAAATCTTAATGATTCAGATATTATTAATGGAAATAAATACAAATATTCGATGGCAATTAAGGTCAACTTCGAATTGCTATTAAATACCCCAAAATCACCAATTACTTATATTATTGAAAATGACAATTCAATTAACATATCGATAATACCAAATGGCTATTCTAAATTACCTTGGTTTCCAACTCTTTCATCTGCATTATATCTTACAGAAGATGCTTCACCATTTTGGAACTCTTCATGGAATTTTAAATGTACTGTGCCAGAAGATTATTCAGCAATAATGCCCGGCATTTTAAAAACAACTTCTTTTATTAATGAACCCAATATAATTGGCGAAAACACGTTTGAATATAGTTATGACTCAGGAACATCATTTCCTCACCTTTATCCAAATAATGTTTCCCTGTTTATTGGAAAGTATAAGAGAGAAGATAAAACCATTGGCAAAAACACGATATCAATCTTCAGACCTACAAATACATTTCAAACGATTAATATTGCGAACTTTGTTGTAGAAATTATGGAAGGATATGAAAAATTGTTAAACAACACTCTTCCCATGAAGTCCATAATAATTATTTTTTCAAGTTATCATATTGGAAATCAGTATTCACATTCATTTAATCGACATGGAAGGGTTTCTGATTCATTGGGAAATGTAGAGATGCTTTCTAATGCTTCGTCGCCGTTACTTTATCAAGAGAATAGTTACTATTGCCACCTATGCGAAACAGACATTGGAAAAACAATCAGCAATATTATCATTATCCCAATGGATATTTTCCTTATTGAAGGAGTACTACATAATATTTCAAAGCCAATTGACAACAAAAAGTACAATTTTCAAGATCATTTTAGAATGCAAATAAGAAACCTTAGACCCCCTATAATAATATTATTGGACCGTTTAGCCAGCCTTTGGTTTGGGTCTTATATTCACATAACTAACTGGAAAAGACTTCCAACGGATAGTTGGATGTTGTTGGGAATGAAAAGATACTTAATTCGTCAAATGGCGAAGAAACTATGTGGAGAAGATTTAGTCAAATGTAGAATGAAACAAGCATTAGAAAGGTGTTTGTTGCTTATAGAAAACGGAAATGACTATATTCCACTATCTGTAAAAGATTTTTACATACAACTACAACAAAATGGTACACAAAGTTGTCCAATAATCCATTGGGGTCAAAGAGAAAGTCAAACTTTATTTAGACTAAAATCAGATATTGTATTTCACAGTTTACAATGCTACGTTAATCAGATGATAAAAAGCAAAACGCGCAAGGTTGGCTTTGGATTTTCTGATTTTGATGCTTCAATTAAACAAAACTCACAATCAAAAATCTTCAATATATTTATCCAATCATTCATTAGTAAACACTGTATTAAGAAAAACCATAGAAATTTTACAACCAATCATTTTTTTCTACACATTGCCTCTTGTATTTCACAACAATTCATTCATAGATCTAAAAAGGAAATTGCAGCTGCCCAACTTCCTCAACATGAGCAATATCTACTTAACGAAATTCAAGACGAACTACTTGCATTTAGGTCCGCTTGGATAGAAGGAGTCGGATGCCCAAACCTCACTATTACGTCTACATTTCAATTTTCTAATAAAAATACATCTCTTGATCATGCGTTATTCACGGTAGACCAAACACCCCTACAACCCCCCCACTTAACATCTAAAGAAGGGATTTCTTCATTCATACCATTAGTATCGATATTTAGGGTTAAGAAAAATGCTACCCCTAAGAGTAATATTGAGAGGTTAATTTTTGGCTGCCTTTCATTTATTGACGGTATTTACAACACTAATTCTAGAAGACAATTTTCTAATTCTATTACAAAATTGCTTCCTTCCTTTCTTTGGCCTCATGACCCAAATAATATAATATTGAAAGAGTCAAATATTACAATTCTTGGACTAGGAAGTACAGGAAGAATTCCTATACCCATAAAGTTTGGCTTTGGTCCATTGTTTGATTCAGTATTTCAAGATGAATTACTAGAAAGTACAAAGGGGTGTGCTAATAATCAAAATAACAAAGTTAGTTTTGAGAGATTCATTCTTGACAATAATTTGAATAAACCCACTCAACCTGATATATATAATAAAAAAAAGAATTATTCAAATTCGTCAAATGGGAGCATATCTTCATGGCAATTCGGATATATGAATATCCTCTGCCAAATTCTTCTCAAATACCATGAAAGTCCACTAACACGAATAAATAATATTGAGTGTTTGTGCACTGAATTAGCTTCGCATATACCCATTTCAGGCGGAACTGGCAAGTTTTGGCCAGGCCACACTTTGATTTATATTGTTCAAAACGAAGAAAATAAAAACTGTGAACTAGAAACTATAGAGCCGCAACTACCTGTTTCTCAAGAAATAAAATTTGAGATTCAAAAAATTAAATCAGGTTATAAACGCGATACTGTACCTACATCAAGCACCTCTATTACATCTTCTGTTTGTGTTCAGGGTATTACGAACAATCAAAATTCAATTACACATACGAACATTAAAATGAATGAGGTTCCTAGGTTATCTCTCCTTCATGACTTACAACAAAGGAAACACTTTGTAGGAAAGTTATCAAACAGCGACGATATTTGGTTGCAGCCACTTAAGTTTTCAAGAAATTACAAAGAAATCATTGTTAATAAAGATGAACAATTCACATTAAACCACATGATTAATTCTGAAAACTTTAATGCTCATTTATTGTGGATCATAGCAGATTCATCCCAATATTGGCTCGCAAAAATTTCAAGGTATCAAACCTGGAGTATGTGGGATCAACAGTTTTTGAATGAAACCGATGTTATAGGGCAGTTTGAAGCAGCATATCAGCTGGGAATGGAAAGATATATTTTTGGGGATAGCTATACCTATAACTTAACTATTTTAGAAAGGGCTTTCCAGTCACTTAATATATTGATGAGTGCACTCTATCATTTTGATTGGAACATTTCTGTAAGAAAAAAAGCCTTGATATCGATAATCAAAATTCATAATAAACTTTCATCTCAAGATTTAATAAAAAGTGATATTCATTCAATAAAAATGGCAGTTTTTTCATTCATAAAAAAGTTTATAACTGAACTAATTTCAATAATAGAGCACCAAAACTTTAAAGAGCTAAATAACTTGACTTTAAATGTTTTTTTCTTTAATGAGTTAGAGATCTTACTATTTTCAATTAAGTCTCTACCATACTTGTGGGATTCTGAAACGGATTTAACTAGCCTTGAAGTTCTTTCTTTCCTTACAGAGCTATTAGATAAATACAAAACTCCATCTAATGATAAATTAAATTTTGAAATATTGTGCAGCATTTTTGAGGCAATAGAGAGAATAGTATTACCTCTTTCAAATAGTCAGTATGCACCCTCGATTGACAGAATAACTTCAACAATTAGCAAACTTGTTGTTGATATACCCAAAAATTACGGTTGTTCTTATATGTATGAAAACATGAATATATTTGGAATATTACTTAGAATTTTATCAAAACACCCTATTAATATTCTCACTCCAGTAAGTAATGAGTTCAAAAACGATTTTGGTGTTCACTTTGATCCATTATGGTTCATTGATCTTCCATTTATGTATAGAAATGTTTGGTGGGATGATTATTCATCAATACACGGTTCTATTCCAAAGCCTTTGTATGAATTTAATGATTCAATCATTCAACTTAATGCATTAAAATGCTATTTTAGTTTGTCGCTTCAAGGATTTACAGAGATTATGATCGTTTTTATTGAGGAAGATTCAAAAAATAATATTAAATTCAAATCTATTTGCCCTGAAATGATTTATAATATGATTTTTGATTCATTTTTTGAATGCAATAAACAAATATATTCTCAAAATATGACTTCAATTTCTGGTAGTAAAAGATCTGAAGCTTTGAAAACTATTGGAATATTCAATATTTGGAATTTTACAAATAAATCAGAAAACACCATTTCTGCTCATACCTTTCCTAAGAATTTATTAAAAACTTTGTGTGTGTGTACCTTAATCCATATAATATTATATAATGGGATTCAAGAAAGTTTAAAATTGAAAAAGGGCAACTCAGACTATTGGAATACAATTAATAATTTGTGGAATATTTTCATTTGTGCATTTGATGACATTGTCCGAGATCTTCCCCATCTTCTTGATGAATTTATTTTAATACAAGCCCACGCAGAATTTGAACCACTTATTAATTCTTTAACTAATAATAAATCCAAGGATAGAAAAATATTGGATGATATAAAACAATGTTGTGCATTCATTTCTCAAATTATATTAAATAGTCCAATCTCATTGTCCTCCTATCCATTTGATCCACTTATATTTCAAAATATCTCAAATATTTACGTATCTCTATTTGGGCATGGAGTCCCAGTCTGCATGAATCAACCTCCATTTATATCTGAAAATAATAATCAAAATAGGCTAATATTTGATCATTCAAACGGATATATTCTGTCAGGAATGCCAGAAGCACCCATGAAAGATTCCTTGCGTAAAAGACAGAAATTCATTAGGAGAGGATGTGACTTATCAGATTCCATTCAAATTAGAAGATTGTGCGATGATGAAACCTACATTATTTCTAGAGGATGGAAACACATGTGTAAAAAAATAACGCAATGTCTAATTGAGTCTCCATATGGAGCACCTTTTATTCACCCAGTAGATGAAAATGACGCTCCTGACTATTATAATCTTATTGAGCAACCAATTGACCTATCAACAATAATGAATAAAATAAAGCAGGATTCATATGAATCTATTGAACAATATCGTTCTGATATTGACCTCATTTTTATAAACTGTAAAAAATACAACGAATCTACTTCAATGATAGTCGAGTGGTGCAACAAAATTCAGTCTGAATTTGACCAATTATTTAAACCTGTTTGTAAGCTTTTTGCATAAAAATCGTTGGTAAATGTCTAATTTATTTAGACCGCTATTTTTTTTTTATTATTTAAAGTTAATGATAATAGAATTTTGCAAACATTTTAGTGAAAATATTGTATAGTGCACTTTAATATTTAATTGTTTAAAGGTTTGAAACTGGTTAGAAATTAGTCAATATTTTTAAAAACATCTTTATTTTTAATTAATATTAGGTCAATTAGATGAAAGTTATTAATCCAAATGTTTCCTCTGGAAATGAAATCGATTTCCAAGAAAATAAAAGAGAAATGTATGAAGATGCCAAAAAAAAGCAGCTTGATTATGCTATAAAACAAGGAATTATTGGGTCTGTTAGAATGGTTTGGGGATTATGTTATGCATATTTCACTTCAAATGGTTCAAATCAATTATTTGGTAAATTTTCAAAGCAGAATTATAAAAGAAATGCTTTATCTAAGATTGAACTGCCTAAATATAGATTAATAATTATTCTTTTATTAATTCTTAGTTCCTCACTAGTTTCGTACTACTTCTCAATACTAATTGGTAATTTCTGGAGTGCACTAGAAGCAAAAGATCAAGATAAATTTCAAAAAATCTTATTTTACTACCTTCTAATGCTTATTATAAATGGAGCAATTAATTGTGCTAGAACTGACTTGTCAATTCAAATTCAAATTGATTTAAGAATTTGGCTTACTAATTTAATTATGAAACAATATTATTCAGATTTAACCTATTATCAGTTTTCAATAAATAAGATTATAGATAATCCTGATCAAAGAATTGGAGAAGACGTTTCTTTGTTCTCATCCCATTTGTTATTGTTGATATGCCGTTGTATTGACAATTTTTTTGACTTTTTTGTCTATTCAATCTTGCTTTATAATATTAACTTCAAATTATTTATTTCAGCAATTATTTATTCATGTTTTGGTACATTTTTAACTGCAAAATTAGGCATAGACATAATATTATTAAAGGTTCAAGAGAAAAAACTTGAAAGTGACTTCAGATATTCAATTATGAGAGTTAACGAAAATGCGGAAAATGTTGCTATGTATAGAGGAGCTCAATGCGAAATGGAAAATCACAATCAAATCTTAAATTTATTAATTGAAAACTTAAATATGAAGAGATCTTTGGAATCTAAAATGGGGCTTTTTGGAAGTATTTTTAGAAATCTCATACGCATTTTGCCGATTGCAGTTATTTCAGGAGACTATTTTTCGGGAAATATACAACTTGGGAGAATTAATCAATGTAGCCTTGCATTTAATAGCATAGTTGAGGATATTTCAATTTTGGTTAATACTTTTAGAGAAATAAGCAATTTGCTTTCGTCAATAGACAGGATAGGACATTTTATTGTATTAATGGCTGATAACTTTATTGAGTCGCAATCTACAAACATTGGCGAGAAATTGATTAGTAATTTTGAATGTAAATATAAAACAGGTACAATGATTGATTTTTTAAAGCTTGAAAGCGAATATTTGAGACAAGTAAAGGAAAAATCTTCTGATTTTAAGCTAAATTTTCCGAGTGGTGTCGTTTTGAATTCATTAAAAAATCGTGTTAACTTAGAATTTACGAATGCACAAGGGAAATCCAATGTTAATCTAAGTGGTAAAATTAGATCAGTAATTTGGCCAGAGCCAAAAATCATGTTTGAAAGTATATCGATTTATACCCCAGGCTATACTAGAAAACTTCTTTTTGATGTAAACTTTACAATTGAACAAAATGATAAAGTCCTAATAACAGGGGATTCTGGTGTTGGTAAATCATCATTGTTAAAGGTAATTAGTGGAATTTGGAAGAATGGCTCAGGAAATATTTACAGGCCACCTTTGTGCGAATTATTATTTATACCACAAAAGCCGTATTGTACTCAAACGACTTTAAGGGAACAGTTATTTTATCCAAAAAAGCCCTCGATGAAAATTAATGGTCGTAAGTATAAAAATAAAAAAGAATTAGACCTATATCTATTGAAAGTGCTTGAGGATGTTGGGTTGAAATATCTATCTGATAGACCTTTAGAAAATGAAACAGGTTTTTTAGACTCTATTAAAGATTGGTCCACAATACTTTCACTCGGTGAACAGCAAAGGCTTGCATTCGCAAGAATATTAATTTTTAATCCATCTATATGTTTTCTTGATGAAGCTACAAGTGCACTAGATATGGAAACTGAGATGAAACTATATTCAATGCTTAATGAAACAAAAATTTCATATATTAGTGTGGGTCACAGACCCTCGATATCAAAATTTCATAACAAAAAACTCTTTGTAAAAAGTGGAGAAATAGTGCTCGAATGTATTTGAAAATGAAAAGGGCCAATTTTACTTTAAACATGGAACAACTTTTTTTTTAATTTATTTTTTTAATTTTTTTTTTGGCGGAATTAACTTTTAAAAGAAATGATTTTCAGTAATGTTATCAATGAAATAAAAAGGAGTGAATACATAACAGAGGTTTCTTATCATTCTTCTGGTAGGCAGACAAAACTAACATAATTTTATAATTATTAGATTTTTTTCTTAGGCGATCGTCTTGTAACAGCAGATATTAAACAAAACTTCCACATTTTTGATCTTCTTCCGAATTACTCCAATTCTGATCATGTTTCTAAATTAATATGGGTTGAGACATCAACTCTTTATGACAGTAGTATTTCTGGCACAATTTCAAGAATTTCTTGGGCACCAGAGTGTTTTGGTCAATTGTTTGTAGCTGGAACTACAAAAAAAAATATTTCAATTTGGTCAGAAACAAGAAAAGGTTATCAAGATACATATCACATGATAAGAAATAACAGCATTTTTGTTGAACATGAGTTTGATTTTAAGAATGAAGTTTTCCCTAATATTACTTATGGTAGCTCCTGGAAGCTAACTGCTGCTTTTTCCCCCTTTAAAAGCAAGATTAGTAATATTAAGTTTGCAAATAAGGAACATGGATTAATTTTTGCCGCATGTGATTCTAATGGAATAGTTGGGATTTTCAAATGCAATGATATGGCAATGAAAGTTGAATGGGAGTTGGAGACATTGAAAGTTAGAAAAACTGATAATTTTTTAGATTCGGAAATTGCGAATATGGAGAAGGATTATACATGTTGTTTGGATTGGATACCATATAATGTGAACACTGGCATCGGAATTACGGTTGCAATTAGTAATTACATATACATATTTAAGAAAAAATCTAAATTCTGGAATTGTATTGAAACTATTGCTGTAAACAACGCAGAAATAATTAAAGATATTTCTTGGTCAAGACTTACATTGTTTACAGATTACTACAAGCTTGCAACTTTGCATGAGGATAATACTCTAATAATTTGGAAATCGACAGAATCTTTCATTCTAAACGACTTTGGGAAAAATAAGACGATTTTGCAACTCAACAAGTTTGAAGGTATTGGATCTACAGTAAGTTTTACATTATTTACCAAGAATAATGATCATTTGTAGGAACAAATATATTGGCATCCTTTGGGCCAAATATTGGCATGTATTGGATACGACGGTAATGTAAGTTTTTCATTATTTCACGTAATACTTCTAATTCAATTAAGACAAAATATTTTCTGAATGATGATAAATACAAATTAAGAGAAATTACAAAAAAATAATTATCTTCAAAAAAAATTGTAATTTTCTCAAAATATTTATACTTTACAACATTTCACTAAAATGTTAGCTTATTTCGTAAATTTTTCCTGAATAATCGATAGTGATAAAATTATAGACTTTTAGAAAATAAATTATTTTTTAGCTTACATTCAATTTCTACCTTATTTTAATATTTAAGTACTTAAATGATAATATTTAGTAGTTTGATCAAAGAAAAATATAAAGTAATTTCTATTAGAATTTCTTGGAATAAACTGAAAATAAAACATTAAGTACTATTATCGAAATTTAATAAAAAAATATTCAACTAATAAAAAATTATATTTCTTTCAAATGCGTTTTTGATAATATAATAATTTCATATTTTGCATAAAAAAACAAAATCTCTATTTAAGTGGTTTTAATTAAATACTATTAAAAAACTTTAACTTTGATTTCTTCACAAAGCTGTAATGACGAAAAATCATAGGCCAGGTTTTTTTGAGTCAACTCTAAACATTTTTTCAGAAATATTAAGTGATAATATATATATTTATTTATTTCAATTAAGGAGAAAACCTGCCAAGAAAAAAGAAGATGAAGTAGAATTAAGAGTAAAACTTGATGATGATATTAACCAAGGTTTAATTAAACTAATTACTAAATATAACTCATTTTGCAGTTATTATTTTAATGTGATAAATAATATAGGATATGAAAATATATATATAAAATCAACTCCAAACCATTTTATTAAAATATTCAAAGCTATAGGAATAGCTTTTAGTGGGGAAAAAAATACTGAATTCCTTTGTAGCTTATGCATGAATGTTAAAAATACCAATTCTTACATAAATTCAATTTCAGTAAAGGAATTCATTGTTGAAAATGTCTTAATTCGGAACTTTTTGAATAATTTAATATTTCAGAACAATAAAGAAGTAGATTTGATTAATTTAAAACTTGTATCCAACAACAATTTGTGTAATATGCATTTGAGTGCTATAAAATCTATTAGAACAGTAAATAAAAAACTTTTGTCAGTTTTCTGTCCTTCTACCAATAATGTTTACTTTCCTCCAATAATGGACGAAGTTATACCTATTTGTAATTCAATTGTAGAATTGGCGTGCAAATATTTAAATAATTCTAACCCTTCCTGTTGGTCGATTCAAATATTGGTATGGATATCTAGTTTGTTAAGAATTAGTTATTATAATGGAGTTTTCCAGATATTAACTACAATGGTTTCAGTTCTAAAAAATAATAGTTTAAACTATTCAATTGCTTATGGTGTATTTCCATATCTTTGGGAAGGACTACTGGATATGTTTTTATTATTAGATCAAGAGATTGCAAAATCCTTAATCAATATATTAAAAAATATTCCAATTTGTGGAATAGTTTTCAAATCAGATATTTCAAAAAGGTTTTTTATTGAAGAAAGAATTAATCTATTTATTAAATTCCAAGATAAACTATCAAATAAGGTCAGAGATGTAGAAACAAAAATTGGGAAATTACTTGATAGTAAAAATTTTCAAAATGAAATGTCAAGAAATGATCATTTTGATCAATTTCGATATAAAAATTGTAATTCGATACAAAATTATAGATTTTTAGATCAAAACATATTTATTAAACACTATAATTCAAAACTAAAGCACAAGCCATACAATACTGTGAAATGTAAGCGTGAATTTATAAATCAATTTTTTGAAGACAAATACGACTCATTTCGGAATTTTGGTAAATTGAAATTAAATTCTAGATTAATATCTGGCTATTTGGAATTCAAAGTAATAAGGTATGAAAATTCAATTTTAACTTTAAATGCAGCATTCAATAATAAAATTTTTCGAAAAGGCGATTTAATACTTATTCAACCATTTAATAAGCAGATTAAAATTCATGAAAGACAAATAATGTCTTTCAGGCAACTAGCCATTGTATTGAATGTTATTTTTATTAAGCAGTCATTAAATCTTGGAGGAAAGACATTAACACTCAAATTGAAAATAATTGACCCTGGGATAGATCCAAGTATTTATAAACATTGTGTAATCATTTATTTATTGAACTATTATAAATATAAAAAAAAAACAACATTAATAAAACGTTATTCATTTAAATTTCCTCATCCATATTTGTCTTTAATAGAAAATACCAATAGAGAAATATTTGAAAAATTGATTTATAATTCATATAATGGAAAAAATGAAGATAACAATAACAAATTGATGGTTGTTTTTTCTGAAAAACTAAAAAATATATATTTAGACCAGGAGATTGAAATAAAATGGATATTATTTAGGCAAGAAATATTTAATTTTAATAGTTGCTCTTTCTCAAACAAAAGAAAGGAGTTATTTAGTTATTTATTAAAATTTCCAGGTATAGATTGTAATATCATTAAAAAATTATTATACTTGACAGAAATACAAAAACATATTATATTGTTGGCTTTAAATTCGATTGCAATGGTAATTAACAATATTAATTACAATCACAGAATAAATTTAATAAGCATGATCACTTTCTGCAAAAAAACGATAAACCCAAACTCAAAGATAATAATTATTGTAAGTAGGTTTGAATATGCAAGAATGATTAAACATACACTTCATACATTAAACATTTATGCAAAAATATTAGAAGAAGAATATTTACTATTCAAGTCAGAGCATTACATTAAGACCAGAACACATAATATTAATTTTAAAGAGCTCCCAGGATATGAAAATTGGTTAAATAGAGAAACCATCATTGAGGAATGTGATATAATTATTATTAACAACATTGAAATAAACTATAAGTTTGTTAAAAAGAACTTTAATAATGAAAAAAAATCGAGTGAAAATTTATATTTAAATCACTTATTTATAGAGAATATTGGAGTCTTATCTAAATTAGATATTTTATTACTATTCATACTACCATTTAATAGTATAACACTTTTTAATAATGAATTTATGAAAGAGAGATGATTTTTACAAAAATAAATACATTAAACAAACAAAAGTTGTATTAACACAAAGAATTTTAAATATTAGAAAATTGTTGCAATAAACGATCATTTTTAATGAATGGGTTGATTTTTGTTCAGATGTTTAGTATGTTTTTAAAAAAATGTATTTAATTTTAACACAAAATCAATATTAAAAGTAATTTAAAATTATATTCACAATTTGCTATTATTGAATATTCTAAAAATTGAAACGAATGATTCAATTTATTATCTCCTTTCAAATGTGTCTTTTGATATCATAGAATTAAGTTCTCTCAATGTTAATTTCAACAGAATCTTGATCGTTTATAAAATAAATTGGTTAGAAAACACTATCATTTTAGTGGTGGGTACAAGGTGATTAGTTTTATAAAAATTTAAATAAATTAAATGCTTAATAAAATATAAAGCTCAAATTACTCTAATTCAGTGAATATTAATTTGGACATTGAAAATAAGCATATTGATTTTAAACTAAAATTTTGAAAATATTTATAAAGCTGTTAAATCAAAATTTTAAGTAGAAAACTAAGCGTGATAATTTTTTTTTATTGTAAAGAGCATAAAAAAAATGTACTGCTGAATAGATGATAAATTCAGAATAACAAATAATTTGAACTTGGCGGTTATGAGTCCATGTAATAATTTTAGTATTGCTTATTTAACCTCTAATTACTTTTATTTTGAGTTGAAATAAGCCTTGAGGATATGGACAACAATCTATATGAAGTATTATTTGAGCTCTCAAAAGATAATAAATTTGAAGATTTGTTGATTCAATGTCTAGAATTATTGCTAATAAGGATTAACGCAATTTTTTCTTTTGAAAATAAGCATGCCAATAATACATCAAAACTTCAAGACGAAACAAATTTACCTCATATTTTTGAAAGTTTAACTAGTACATTTGAGGACAGTACTCGTATGGAAATAATTATTGCGATTAAAAAAAATTTGATGAAAATGACAAATTTTTGTGAAATAGAAAAATTGTTTCAAACAAACATCAACCAGGTACTAGATTATTTTGAAGAAATATATAAAATTTATGAATTTATAACAGTTTGTTGTATAGAGCTTAAAAATACGAAAAAATTAATGTATTATTTAGTTTTGTCTCACAATATTCTCCCTTGTTTTATTATTGGGGACTTACTATTTCTTAGAAAAAATATGGCAGGAAATTGGAACACTGAAAAAATATTGATATCTTCAATAGCAAAGGTATCTAAGGAAATTTATCGAGACCAAAATTCTAAGTTCTTATCCACAAAAATGGAGGAGTTATATTTTTCATGGATAATTTGTTTGGACAATTTGCTCGAGTATTTAAAAACTAGATTATTTATAATTAATAATTCTCGGAATAATTTTTCGAAAGAAATATTGGGTTTAACGAAATATACTCAGGAGTTGTTTTATTGGATCTCCAGATCAAATTTATCGTATTATTATCAAATATTAATTATTATTATTTTTTGCGATAGTTTATCTATTAAAACGCTAAACAATAATCAAATGCTAGACTTATTTGAAGATCCATCATTAAATAACGTTAATATGTTATCGGGAGCAAATGAAGTTGACGGCATACATGAAAATATTATTAAAATATTAAATAAGTTTTTAAAGTTTAGAATGCATAATGAAATTTTAGATTTACTTGTTATTCTAAATGGGTTATCTACATTACTTATCAATATTGTTCATCAAAATATGAAGAAATTGAATTCTCCAGAAACTGATTTACATATTAGAATAAGTCATAATCTCTATATAAATTCTATGGAATATTATTGTTTTAACGTTAAGTTTGAAGCAAAAGAGCTTAAAATAATGGAATTACATTATTTGAAAGCAAGACTCTGTATGGCAAATCAGTTATTACTTGAAAGACTATATTTAAATCAGTGTTTAACAAATAAATTTAATCAGATAGCTCTTGATCGAAGATATCAAAAGGTGCTGACAAGTTATTTATTTTTAACAATAGGAGTAATTAATTCGTTTTCAAAAATTGAACTTGACAAAAATTTAATTTTTATTATTGGCAATTTGCTTGATTCACAGTGCTTTATACTAGAAAATATTTTAAGCGAAAATTTGTCTTTTGATAGTGTTTTTTTCAAAAACATGGATAGTTATCGCACTTCATTATTAAATTATATAATAAAACAGATTTTTTTTTTAAGAAGTAAGAATCAAAAGTTCGAGTTTTTATGCGATAATTGTATTTTTAAAATAGTGAAAATTTTTTCTCTATTTTTGGAAATTCAAACCAAACAAATTCAAGAGCACGAGGAAAATGTTGGAACTATAGATAAAATAAAAATTAAGTTTAAAACGAGTATTTGCGAAGTCGTGATAAGATTTATACAATATAGAAATGGTATATTAGATGAATTGTTTAATAACATGGAAGAAATGGTTAATCATATTTTGAATAATACACAAATTAAAGATAATTCGGATATGGACGAAATTATATTAAATTTCCTTTTATCAATATCGGAAAATTTAATTCGTCTTTCGTCACAAATGAGATCGATAAAGAATTATAAAGATTCAGTTAAATTGCTTAACTTAGCTTTGAAGTGCTTATCAAACACATTTACTGTGCCTTGGGTTGCCGTAGATGAATCAATATATGAAATTGAGAAAAAAATACAAAAGTTAAAAATAGTTGAAGAAAGACCTAACATTAATTTATCAAGATATTTATATTTAACTCCAATTAGAAAATATGATTACCTTCAAGAAGAGAATAATTTAACAATTGATAATTTATTAAATTTTACAGAAAAAAATCATTTTGAAGAATTATGGAAAAACGAAAACTTTGAATTTTACAATTATGAAAGTATAAAACATAAAAATGTTGGTTTTGTTTCTTACAACACTAATGTAAAGTTTGAAAATCTACTTACTCCATTTACGCAAAAATTAAGAAGTAAAGGTTTATCCCAAATACAATCACAGACAATTAAGAGAATTCAAACATCAGCAATATCTTATATTGTCAAGAGCAAATCACAATTTAATAAAATTAATGGGAGGGAAATAATTCCAGTTAGTAAAAAATTAAAAGATGGTGAAATTGACTTTCCTATACATATTCTACTTTTTTTGATAGCATTGGATCAAATTATTTCTTCAATTCAACTTCAATTCTCACAAGAACCAACTAAAACTTTTTTAGAGAACATATTATTATTAGTTGAAGAAAAACTTTCCATTCTTTTCACATTGATTGATCATTGTAGTTATTTGTTCATTTTTGGTGATAGATTAATTGAACTATTTCCGTTTATTGAAGATTTTGATAAAATTTATTCATCAAAGATCGTTATACATGAAAAAAACACTAATTGCAATGATCAAATAGTAAAACAATATTTTTTTAATTTATTTAGTTCAATTGTTGCAAGATTTACAAAAGCAAAATTACTTTTAATCAATGAATTTTCCACAAACAAAATGACATTATATAGATACCCTGCAGTTAAAAATGAAAGAAATTATGTTATTCAGATAATTTGGTTTAATTTGGAACTGAATTACTATCTTTACTACCGTGAAGTATCTAGTAAATATAATCAAATATTCAAAAAAGGTATTTTAAATGGATTCTGTGCGGAGATAATTAATGTTTATAAGATAATAAATAAATTTATAGATGAAAGAAGAGCTGAGAAATTAGTTACATCATCTAAATTAAACTTCGAGTTATATTTTAAGTTTAAAGTTGAGTTTTTAAATTACTATTTGTGGCTAATGAAAGTATTTAATATTCAAAACAATAACTTAGTTGATTCAAAAGTAATTTATAAAAGTGAAATTAATATAATTCTTGACGAATTAACTTCATTGATAAACAAAATAAGTCTTGATTATAAATTATTATATTTATCGAGAATGAATACCTATAATATTTATTTATTATTCTTTGAAGATTTCAACAATACTTTTTCCACAATTACTAGTTCAAATTTATCAAAAGATAAAAATAACAAAATTCACATAAATATACAAGAATCACTTAATTTATTGTACAAATACTTAGGGATTCATGAAAATTATGAGCAAAACTTTTGTAAATTAATTACTTTAGAATATTGGGAAGATAAACTAAATTCAGAAAATAATACTATTTTATGTAGTAAGCAGAACATAGCATACTTTCAGCAGAATGTTGAAAAAGAGATATTTAATGAATTTGAAGATATACCTATACCTATTAATAACAAGATAAATGGCTCAGAACAAGAAGATAAAAAGGATAAATCATTCGGTTTTGAAAGTAATAATTACTCTAAATCGAGTTTGAATATTAATAGTTTTATGTTGAAAACTAATGAACTAATAAATAATCAAGAATTTTATAAAGTTATTTGTGAAATAGGACTAAATGAGCTTGAAATTCTACTTTATAATACTTATGAGGTACTCGAAATAATACTTTCACAGGGTTTAGATTCAAAGTTATCAAAAAAATTAATTGGTGCAGCACTATATTTTTTTAATCCATGTTGGACATTTATTTTATCATTCAAAAGTAATCTAATTGACATAGAAACCGTATCAAAATATATTCATTATTCTTTAAGTGAATTCATCGAAAATTTTCAGTTATTTTCCATGAATAATACTGAACAAAAGGAAATGATAATAATGAATATTGGATTATTTGTTTCAAATATTCTTTATTATTCAGCTCGATTAATAGATAGAGAGTTATACGATTCAAATGATTCTATTATTAAATGGTTAGGCGTTGCAAATATCTACTTGGACGGCTTATTATTTTTAGTTGAAAATAAATATTTATTATCAAGTGATTTTATAGATGAAAAAATATCAATTCCATCATCAGTTAAAGAAACTCTACTTAATTTAATTGTATTAAAGATAGAAAGTATAAATATAATAGACGAAGTTTTTAGTTTTCTGGAAATAATAAATAGAGTAGGAGTTGATGAAATTATTAATGATAAACCAAGTAATATGGCACTATTCATCAGAATATTAAACAAATTATCAACTCTTTTTATGAAAGCAAATAAACCAGACATATCATTGTTTTATTTGCTTGAATCGAATAAAATTACACAGGTAATTATATTATGGTTAGAAACATGTAATATTAATTCTTTACATTGGCAGCATAATATTTTGTCAACTTGTTTATCACATAATTTCCAAATTTATTTTATTAATTTGGTTTTAAAATCATTGACTCAATTAGGAGAATTCTGGTGGAAGTTAGGAGTAATTGAAAGGTCACAAAGTGTATATAACAAAATTGTTGCTTTTTACAAAAAGTGGACAATACCCTATAAAAAGCTAATAGTCCTTTATTTTTATCAGCTCCCTACACTACTAAATCATATATTCTCAAGATCAGACTCTCAATTTAATTTAGTTTACTCTATAGATAATCTCGACCTATTTAAAAAAACATTTTATGAAAAAGATATTTCTGGTAATTCTGAAGGTTTAAATATTGATTTCCTTAAAGAAATATTGGAGTATATTAAAATTATTTCTGTCTGTAAATATTTAAGTTATTTTGAAGAAGAAATCATATTAATGAAATTACTTTTTATATTATTATATTTTACTCTGAATAATAGTCTGCCAATTATAAAAGATTACTTTATTAATAACTTCCCCTTTATTTTTCAAAATGACACACTATTGCCAGAAAATTGCGAGTTTAAAATTATACAAACTTTAAGAAAAATTATTATTAAATTGCTTAAGGACAATATAAACTCCTCAAACTTAATCTTGGAATTATTATCAATAAATGCAGATGAGTATTTAAAAAATAAGTATTTCATGTTTTTTTTAAGTAATACTGTTAATTATATACTATTATTTATTTCTTCAAAATATACTGAAATTATTGGTACTTATTTTATTAAAAAATGCTCTAAAGAAGCAATTCAAAACATAGTTATTTTGGAAAACGAATTTGATATTATTAAAAAATTTAACTCCAATATTAAAAAAAACAGTATTGAATTTACTATAAAAGAAATATGTAAACTAATTATTTCAATTAAACAAATACTATCAATTGAATTAACTCCGGTAGAATCTCAAGTTATATTAATTGAGCCCACAAAATTAAATAATTCAAATTATGAAAATAAATTGATTTCGAGTAACTATTCAATTGAAAAAAATGAGCTTAATTCAATAGTTGATCAAATAAGTCAAGAAGAATCGATTATAAAAAATAGATTACATTTATTTAAACAAATCTTGGTTTTTGTCGATACTATTTTCAAACATATGCTTTTAAACGAGAGAATGAATTATTATTTACTTAACCAACTTTCAGCTTCAATTATTTTAGATATTACATTATTAATAAAAGTATTATGTTATCCAGATACCAGTTGGAATACTATTTTTTGTTGCTTTATTAATTCTTTAACCCCTATTTCACTATCAAATGATTACTCATTTTCAATAATACAATCAATAAGAACAATTCAAAGAGAATTCGAACATTTTAGAATTAAGGATAAATATAATTCTGTTTTTGAAAGTAACATACAGCCAAATTTACTAAAATTTTTCCTTGATAATAAAAATAATGAATTATCAAACTGGAGATGGGGAGGAGATATATCTATTAAAGAAATTGAAGATAATATTTCAATGGTTTATATCCGATTTTCAACATTTTTCACCAATTTTACATATAAAAGTTCAAATAACTTTAAATACTCTTTACTGCAAATAACGAAAGATTTCTCTTATAATGGATATATAAGTGAATTAACTAACGCAATTAATAATCAATCAAGATACAATTCATCGAAACTAACTTTGTTTTATTTCGTTGAAAATGCCAGGTTAAATAAACTTTTGGAGGAGTTCGACAATATTCAACGTATGAATACAGAAAGTATCATTAACATTGATATTGATACGAACTCAAGCGAGCAAGCAAGGCAATGGTGGAATAAAAGAATATCTATAGAATCTAGGCTAAATAAATGGCTAATTAATTTTTCAAATCAAATATTAAATGGATGGATAACGAAGCTCTTTTATGGATGGAATAAAAAATTAAGCATTAAGAAAAATTTTAAACAAGTAATGGAATTTGTTAAAACCCATTTAATTGATATAAATCAATCATTGATTAATATCATTTTATTTTCTTTAACAAATAATGCACCTCAAATCCTTGCTTTATTAGAATCAAACAATATGCTCAATTTAGACTTAACTGAAATTCGCAATCAATTCAAAAAAATAAAGTTCCAATCAAGTAGGAATAAGGTCGAGAAGCTTCCTGTGATCGTCTTTTTGGATAAAATATTAATTTGTTTGCCAATAGAAAGCATCTATGATTTGAGATATCAACCAATAACTAGAGGAATTAATAGAAGGATATGCAAAAATAACATGGATAATTTTTTTCAACAACTCCGAAAACATAAAGAAAATAATCTTCACCTACTTGCCGACTTCTGCAACTTGTATTACTGCATAAACCCAACTGGGGACTTAGAAGAAACTGAAAAGATTATTACTGCCTTTATTAAACAGAAATTTGGGTCAAAATGTTCAGGGATATCAAACTCGACTCCTCAAGCAACAGTTATAATGAATAATATGTGTATTAATCAGTCTAACCTCTATCTTTTTTGTGGCCACCAGGCAGGAGAAAGGTTCATCCAAGGTGAAGCATTCGAAAGAGGAGTAGTAACTGGTAATTTGAACAACGGCAAAAATCATTTTTACATACCTCCTTCGTTATTAATTGGCTGCAGCTCTTCAAAAATAAGATCATATGGGTCGAATAATATATTTTTTACACCAATGCACTATTTAATTGGTGGGAGTCCCTTCGTTCTTGGAGCACTTTGGGATGTTACGGACCAAGATATAGACCGTTTTACAATGTCAATTTTTGACAATTGGGTTGGATTAAAGCTCTCATTGATTGAATCAATTACACTTGCAAGGCAAGAATGTAAGCTTCCTTTATTGAATGGGTCATCATGCGTTTGTTTTGGTTACCCAATTTAATAATATTTTTAGTTTAAAATTTCTAAATTATTTAAATGCGATCAATAAGAACTTTTTTAGAAAAATTTTTATACTTTGTGTTATTTTGTTTAATAACTTGTATATTACCGCAAACTATATCGTCGTATTAACCCACAATTTTTACATGGGCGGTAAAATATTTCGCCCCACAGAATGACTGACACAAAATATAAATAACTGTGCAATTTCTCATGAAAAAACTGAAAAGGTTTCATAATATGCACGCTTACATAACAAGTTCTTTATGATAGGATTTGTTACAGTAATTAGAGTCGTTTAGCTTATTCTTAATTTGGTGTTTAGATTGAGTTTAAAGTCAAAGATTGATCAACTCAATTTCAGTCATTGGCCTCCAAATTTTGGGTTAATAAGTAAATTATATACAATCAATCTAACATATTCTATCATATTTATTCAAAATATAATGAAAGAGTCAAGTTATATTGATAATAATGACTCATCTAAACAAGAATATTCTGAAAAAAAAATTGAAAACGATAATTCAAGGCTCTCAAAATCAATACAATTTGTTGTAAATGAAGTTTCAAGCCTACTTAATTGTAACAATGCTTCGAAAACAAAGGAGCAAGATGCTCCTTATTCACTCAATGAAATTGGGCAATTAAAAGTTAACGCAAAAGAGATACACAAAACAATTCAAGTTTCGTCAGCTATTAAACTTAGATCTAACAATCCTCTATTACTTTCTCTTACTGCATTACTATCAAATCCCCATCATACGAAGTATTTAAATTTTATGACTGAAAATATTATTGAAGAGCTTTCAGAAAATCAGTCCAAAAAAATTAATGTTGATGAACTTGGAAATAAATCAAATGATTTTATTTCAAAAGATTCAAAAAATACAATCATTAATTTTATAGCATCTAATTTACAGTATTATTTGTTTGAAGGTAGAGCAACAAATATAGTTATTAATGATTTAGTTGTTACATTGATGAAGGCATATTCCAGTGAAAAAACACCCAGTCAGATATTTGATGTAAATAATTGGGAAACTAATAACCAAGTATTTATTGAAGCAAGGGATTGGTGTGTGCTAATTGGACCTAAAGAGTGCATTTTTCCAAAAACTTGCTACGAGTTAAGGGATTTATTAAATAAAAAGGGCATTAAACTTAAATCATACTTTGAAAATGTCAATTCTGAAAATGCTATGGTCTCTCAAATGAATCCGGGAACTGCTAGAGTTGAATCGCAAGATACAAATTTTTCTTCAATAGATGATTTGGATACTCAGTATTTCGAAAGGTTGTCTTATTCAAAGCTAAGAGAATACAAGTCAAATAATATCCCAAACTATTCTCATTTTGAGCAAATAAAAAAATTTATTTCGACCCAATATCCAAATCTAAAAGCATTTTTTTACTCTCCGGGAAGTTGTATCTATATTAACGGAAATGATGTTGTAACGTTCTTGGAAATTCTTAAAAAGTCTACAGAAGAAAGAAAAATCAAACTGGAAAATGAAAGTAAGCATAATTCGGCCATGAAAAAAACTTCTAATTTAAAAAATCCATATTGGTTTTTGAGAGATACTAAACGCATATTGTCAAACTTCCCTATTAAAGATACAGTCTTTAAAGCCTCAACTTGCGACTGTAATTTTATCCATAATTCTACTAAAAACCAATCCCAAGGTTTCTATGAATTAAATATTGAAGGTTTATTTTTACCAAATTCATTATACGTAATATTAAATGGATTCAAATTACTTTGCCCCGACATATATACATGTAATGTCTCAATTGAAAGCCTTGCAGAACCTCCATTTTTCCCTAACGAAGTGAGTAAGCCAGTAATCATTTGGGAAAAGCTCATTCCGTTGTTAAACTCAACAATCCACTCAATTAGTCCAACTCTTGTGGAACTGGCAAACCAATTGAAACCTTACACTAGGGTTTATTTTAAAAATCCCAAAATAAATACAGAAAATACTAAGAATAGCCAAGAGCAAACTCAAGTACAAACATTAAACTACACAATTCCTCTTTTTTCGCTCCCAAGAAAACGGCTAAACCCTATTTCACAATTCCAAAATTCTCAAAAAAATTACACAAATGTTAATTGCAAGAATAATTCCCAGAATTTTGTTACTATTGGTACTTCAGCCATAAATAATTCCACAGTATCTCAAATTCAATCCAGAAATATCCATTCTTCAAACTCAACATTTTCAAATATCTTGTTTGATTTTTCAGCCTCTAATGGTGTATTTGACGGTATTAATGCACAAGTAGGGTCAATGCTTGCCAGTGGAATGGGTAATTTCCCCAATTTAACGGGCTCATCATCTTCGGTTGAAAACCAGACTCTACTTGCTCTGCCACAAAGTAACATGTATAATAACCCTCCACTACTACCTTCTTCAGGAATAAGAGCAAGAACCCCAAATTCAGCATCTGCAAATATTCAATGGTTGAATTTTAGAGGCCTCGGATTTTCTTCGCAGGTAAATTCAAATTATGTTTCCCTTTCCACGCCGATGGGTAAGCAGCTCTTGCATAGAATTGGAACTATAAACCCAATTCAAAGGCTTGAACAAACTCAAAATTTAATTAACTTTCAAATAAAATCAAGTAATGTCAAGGGAATTAATTCCAACCAGATTCAGTCATTTACTGAGAATCTAACAACAAAGATATTTGAAGAAACTTCACTATGTTTTGTTGGTTTCGATTCTGAGAGGCTTGATTATTTTACTGCAAGGGCAGTTGAAGAGGGTGCAAAAGTTATTAAATTTGCTCATCTTGAAAGAGAATATACCAGACAATACTCAAAATTCGTGGCGTTTAAAGAAATTAGTATTTCAAATTTTGTTTATTCGTGGTTAAATGTTACGAGATTTTATTGTGTAATAGATGATTCAAAATTCCAATCAGATAACACAAATCATTTTGACTGTGACTTTGAAAGGATCCATCAGTACTTTAAAGCTCAACAATTTGTATCGCTCGAATGGTTTCTAACATCCTGCTTTGAAAGGCGATCATTGGATCCAGATATGTTTACCCCAATTTGCCGTCCAACTTTTCCAATACAGAGAAATAAAAATCATTCCACACTTTTGGCTGGAGATGATTTTCTCGTTATAATTATTGAAAATTTCCCACATATGAACAAAATTTATAATTCATCAAAAGAAGGCCAGGAATCATTAAGCAATGCAATTTGGGGTAACTGCATACAAAGAATACTCAAATCAATTTATGGGCCAAATATTACTAATTTAAGGGAAATTTCGAGTCTTATAGAAAAGAATAAATCGAAATGGAAAAAGGATTTTCCAAGTAGCATAATTGTTGTACCATGTAATTTAATTCCATATAAACCAAGTTTAAATAATGATTCTGAGTCTATAGAGTCACCTATTTCTGCTCTGTATGGACACAACAAATCCCAATTCATCAATGATCTCGATTTTATCAAAAATTATTTACTTAGTAATTTCAGCTTGACACAAAATAAGAATTTTGAGGAAATATTACACATTGTTACACCTTCTTGGTTATTAGATAGTTGCTCCAAAAGAATAAAAATAGACTACCAAGAATACGAAATTAAGCATTCTACTTCAACAGTTCAAATTCAAAGAAGGCGAAGGAAGACTAAAACCGCAATAATCGATGATAAAAATAACTTATATAAAGAAGAAGTGTGTTTTTTTTATAGAAAAGATATTCATTCAGATATATGCAACATTATTCCTCCGCAAGGCCCATGGCCTCTTTGGGGCTGGAGTGTCTATATCATTGATTCAATCAAGCAACGTCTTTCTAAAAATCTAAGAAATAAACTGAAAGAAGTTGGAGCAATTTTTATTGAATCCATCGAGTTTTTTGAAGATGTAATTACGTATTCTAAAGACCAAATCAAAGAATTATTGAATGAAATTAGACATAATCGTGTGAATCTGATTGTTTGTAGTGACTTTCTTGATTCCCAACTCATAAAAAAAATAGAAGGTTTAAACAACTTTAGAAAGGATGAACTGGGTTATCAGTTTTCAAACAAAATAAATATAGTTGGTGAATCGTGGGTAAACATGGTGCATGGAACACGGACACTGCATCCTTTTGAGTGCAAATTTTATTTTGACAATCCAAATTTAGATTATAATAAAAATCTTAAAAACTGCAAAGATTTTAATTCAATAAAAGTTCTAGAAAATTGTTCCGAATCAAAAAAAATCGAACAAAATGAAAATTATGATAACAAAGACAAGCTTGATAGTGGTGTTTCAATAATATTGCAAAGTTCAAAATATATGAAGGAAAGGCATGCTAATATAACACAAGAAAATAAAATTGCAAAGGTACATTTTGAAGAACTTGAGTCAACAGGATATGTTATTGAAGAGAATGTTCAAAGCTCAAATTCCTCGAAGAATAGTAAACTAAATAAACAAAAACGCAAAAGAAACATGAATAAAGATCTCCATTTAATGGATAGTTCAATTAATTTTGAAAGTTTTAAGAAGAAAGCTATGGAAAAAAACAATGCTTATTACGATCAAAATTTAAACAAAGATTATTTAAACGTTTTGGATAAAAGTAATCAAGCTGAAGAAGAATTCTTAGTTCCTCTTTCTTTATCATTCATGTCAAATTGGGGTGAATATAAAAATAAGGATTGCCTTCCCTTATTCTTTTCCTCGCATACTCCAATAAGAAAAGGTTATGAGGTCAAAGAAATTCATTCAAACACTCCAAATAGATCCGAATCTAATTGGCTAGACCAATTTAACAATATTGAAGACTTGATTGATTATAATATTTACCCAAATGAGTCAAATGATGATTTTGGATCTCAAACTGATAGAACAACGACGTTTCAAAAAACTTTGGACGAATCCGAGAATGATCATCTTGGTAACACAAAGGGCAATTGTTCGCCAATACTTTGCCCAATTATGCCTATTAACTTGAATTATTGAGAGTGAGAAGCAAAAACAGACTAATTTTTTTCTATTACATCATCCAAGAACCACCTAAGTTATAAGAAATAGAAAATTTTTATATGGTTCTAAATTAGTATATCTTCATCTGTCTGATCTGGCTTAAATTCTATAAGTTCAGATTTTAACTTTTGTTTTCCTATATTTCTTTTTTCTAAAATATCTTTTATTAATGCCTCAACACCGTCTTCAATTGTTTTTATTTCGTTAATGTCTAAATCAAATTCATTATTTTCAACTTTTTCAGACACCATTTTTTTTAGTTTCTCGTGATTTTTGATCAAGTTCGATTCTTCTTCTAATTCACCTAATACTTGCAATATTCCAGCAGCATTGCGCAATATATTCAAATTATTCTCAATCTGATCAGCGTCCATATTAAATTGCGCTCTTTTTGGTTGTTCTGATTGTTTGATAATTCTAGTAATCAGACTTGCGTCCTTTCCATCGACTAGTTCGTTCGGAATTTTATTTTTTTCTTGAACTCCTGAGATATTAATATTCTTTAATCCGGTGAATTGTTTAGAATGGCTTAATACCGGCTTGTTCTTTATTGTAAAGACTTTACTTCCAAATGAACTCTTAATCTGATTTGTTAGCTCCCTTTTAACATTAGAAGGTTGAAGATCGGATGGACTTCGGTTCATATGCTGGAGTATTTTCTCAAGATGTCTAGTTAGATCGTTTTTCAATTCGTCTGAAATTCCCTTAGTTAGAATAAGTTTACTTAAGTTTATTATAACATCATCTTCGAGTTGCAAATTAAGATCTGAATCTGGGATTGGTTGGTAATTATCAATTTTATAGTCAGGAAAACTAGATAATTCGTTTTCATTATTATTATAATCACCAATATTATCTTCTCTTTCAATTATTATTTTGTATTTTTGCTCATCATCCGAATTTCTTTCGTTTGATTCCTCTGGTTCATTCTTAAATTTCATTTTATTTATCGATTTATTTTTTCCTATAAGACCTTTTTTTAATTTCCAAGGTAGAGTTATATCATCATTGTCACTTTCTTCTGTTATTTTCTGAATTAGTTCTTTGTAATGATTGTTCTTCTCACTTCCATATATTTCATTTTTCACAAATTCTTTATTAATTGATAAATTATCTGAAATATCTTTTGATATCCCCTCCATTTCATATATTCTTAGAGAATTATCTAATAATTCTCGTCTGTATTCCTTTCTGATTTCAGTTAACTCTTGCAAGAATTCATTTGGGATGCCTTTTTTAACTAACGATGAGTCCATATCGCTTAGCCTTATTTTAGGTGCGCCCCTCTTTAAAGGATCCATTTCATCAATTGCAAAGTCACGTTCCCATTCCCATGGAGTTTCAATTTCGGTCCAATTTAGTTTTTTGTCAAGAAAATCCACAAGTTTAAGTTTTAATTCTTTTGGGGTCCTTTCGGATTCCCTAAGTTTATACAAATCACGTTTTTTATCTTTTTTCTCCTTTTCATAATCCAAATACCCAAAGAAAAATTGATAGTAATCTGGTTTGCATCTTCGCTTAAATTTCTTATCGAATACGCTTAAAATTTGCCTAATTTGATAATTATTATATTCTATTCTGCCTTCTGAGTCAATCTTTTCAATAAAATCCATCATATTATCCAGTTCATCTTCTGAAGAATCATTAATAAATTGATTATCAAGACCTAATCTACTGAGCATTTTATCATCGTATATTTGCTCAATATCGTCAAAATCTGTAATATCAAAATAACCCTTTAAATAAAGCCTTCTTTTTAGCGATAATCTCTTCATTTTGATTTCTTTTAACTTATCAAACTTTAGCTTAATATTGTTATTTACAAACTCGTCAAATAAGTGTTCATCTGTTTGGCACCAAGCATCATCTAATTGCTGTTCTCCTCCTCGGCTTTTTTGGAACAATAACAAATTCTTTTTCTGTTCCAAAATCAAATTCTGATATTCATTCCATTGTTGCATTTTGATTGTTGGATAATCTACTTCTTTTAATTTCTCAAAAGAATTTCTTAAGAAAACTCTTTGTTCTAAATCAGTATTTCCAATTGTGCTCGCATGATACTTGAAATCAATAAATCTACAAAATTCATTTTTTAGCCTATCTAGATTGTCATGTATCCTTCCTGAATCAGTTGAAACCCCAGGTGTTAATCCTGCGATACCTTTGTCTAAGTTTTTACTTAGTTTTCCTGGTAAATCCAAATATCCAGGTAACTTTACACGATTATTTTTTATTGCTTCTGCCAATAATGCTTCTGGCAAATTTGAACTCAAACTAGTAGCAGTATTTCCGGACATCTGACCACTACTGAATATTCCAATCTCCGAAGGTGTTGGTTTTATATTTGAATCTTGAATAGTAATATTTTTTTGTTTAGGCTTGAACAAACCTTTTATTGGGTTGATTGATTTATTTAGAGCATTAACCTCTTCAATCCTTACCGAATCAAAATCATCTTGATTTTTATTTTTCCCCTTTAAAGGTCTATTTAGTAGTTTAACACTTTTAAATGAAGGATTAAGCTTCCTAGCAAACCTTTGATATTCACTCATTGGAAAAAATCAAATTTTAACGGAAAATTATAAAATATATTTAAAAGAATGGAATTTTTTAATTTTCAAGTAGTTCCTCGTTTTTGATTAACCGTAAAAATACAAAAAAAAACTGGTTATTTTAATTACTTTTCATCTTTGAGCAAATCTTTCTTTATGATCATGGTTATCACATGCAATTTTGGCGGTTTATTTACGCATTTTGCAATTAAATAAAAAAAAAATAAAAACAAATAGTAAAATTTGAAACTATATAATTACTTTAATTGAAATTATTTAACAACTCCTGCTAAAAATTATGAGATTTGATATGTTCTCCATCTCATAATATCAAATTAATACCATTTTCAAAGATAAACTAAAATAATTAAAATATAAATTATTTATTGGAAGGATCGTTAATCACATTGTTATCACTAATTACACTATCTGTATTAATCAAGTTTTCAGAAACATCCGAATTAAAGGCAATTTGATCTTTATCGCTGCAAGGCCTGCTTTTGTAGCAGATGTTAGATTCGCTTTTCTTGTTAATAACTAAAGGTGTATTATCTAAGTGAATATACTCAAATGTAAAATCATTTTTGATTTTTTGACACCAATCTTTCTCAAAATCGAAGTATATATAATCTGCGATTTCAGCATCTTCTGTGGTCACCTTTGAATCAGATCTTTTATAAAACCAAGCAAAACATTTCTTATGGAATTGCCATTTTTTTTTTTTAAGCTCTTGTATAGACAAGAACTGTTGGAATGTTCCTTGTTGAAAGTAAAAAATGAAAAGTAGAGTATCCAAAGCTAGTTTATCAAAGAATGATGGATTTGTCAACTTATTAAGTGGTGAAGAAGGAAAATCAGGTCTTGGATTATGCCAAACCATCCTAGGGGTATATTGAATATGTTTGCCAATTGAATCTTGTATCTCCGGTTTGTTAATAAACGAATTGTCCAGAATATCTGTGTTTAGATGTTGAAATATGTCCAGACGAAATCCTATTGAATGATTAAATTCATTTACAGTATCAATGATTTTTTCCACATTGTTACCCGATTTAAGAGTCCCATCTCTGTAGTGAAGATTCTCATTTTTAAGTTTTTCTGAACCAAAGTTACCCACAAAATGATCAGTATTATTTTGGCTAAGTTCAACCTCAGAATCAATTTTTAGTTCAGAAAGTTTATCGTTTAAAAGATCACTTACAGAATTAGGTTCAAAATTGTTCATCTTCAAATTTTTGTCGGTCTGTGAAAGATCATTTCTATTCATTTTTATTTCTCTAAAATTAATGATAGATCCTTTTAAAGACTGTAACAACTCGTGGCATTCTTCCAGGATATACTTTTCGGAAACCAGCTCTGGATGGTTTGATGATGAACTTTTACTTTCTACTATCTTCTTCTCAACATCATGTAATTTTTCTTTAATTTCTCTAATTTCGATCTCAAACTTTTCGACTTCATATTTATTTTTTGATAAGATATTTATGATAGATGCGATAGCTTTTATGTCACTTTCACATTTTGAAAAAATTGAGTATATAAGGTTTAATTCACAATCTGCCATTTCAAAAATATAAGGATTAATATAACCTTTTCAAAAACAAAAAAAAAATCGGTGTAGGTTTGCAATTTAATTAAATCTGACAATCCCAAATAAATCCAGTTCCAAAACTTGCTGATAACTTTTAACAATCAACAATATTTATACTAAAATCAATATAATAACAATTTTTCATTTACTTTATTTTCGTTTGTAAATCTTACATAAAAATATTTATTTGGCGGTTATTATATTGTCTTTACATAATTCAGAATCAAGAATATCATCATATTTGAATGAGATGAGTGCATGTAAAAGTCGACTCATTATTGAGTTAAAAGATTCTAGTAGAAACAAAGATACCGATATTAAATTATTCCCATCGTAAGTTTTTAAGTCGGCCAGAAAACAATTATTTATCTAATTTTTTTATATTAAGAGAAAATGATTTAATGTATTGGAATGCCGAAATAGCAGGGCCAAATGAAACCCCATATGAAGGATTTATTTTTAAAGTTGCCATCACTGTTTCACCACAATATCCGATATTGCCCCCATCTGTGAAGTTTGTAACACCGATTTTTCATCCAAACGTCAACTTTTTAACTGGTAAGTAATTGGCTTTAATGCTACTTTTAGGTAAATAATGAATTATAGGAGAAATTTGTATAGACATTATTAAGGATAACTGGACACCAGCATGGACATTACACGCTGTTTGTAGAGCAATTATATCTATTTTATGCGAGCCAAATCCGAACAGCCCATTAAATTGTGATGCAGGGAATATTTTGAGATGCGGAGATAAAAAAGGATTCAATAATATGGCAAGAATGTATTCATTAGAGTATGCAAGAGAATATAACTGTGAATAATTATTATACTAATATCCTTCTCTAGAAAAACTACTACTTCTTATCCCATTATTTCTCAATTTTTCTTCATCACGGTCTTGAGAGTCAAGGCTTTTATTGTAATTAACGTCTCGTTCCTTATAAATAAACGGATTTTGGACTGGGTTATATTCATTAATGCTATTTTTATTGTTCATTTTAATTGAAATTTTGTCATTTTCTTCAGAATTGTTAATTCCCCTCAAAAACACTGTTGGGCATCTTTTAACAATAGAATCTCCTTGATTTGACATTGAGTTTGACTTAACTAGCATTCCTATTCTTTTTTCTCTTTTGAGGTCTTCAGTAAATCTGAATTTATTCTTCGAGTCCAAATCCCTGTTTTTTTTTTCAATTTCGTGATCGATATATTGAATATACCATCCTTTATCCGAATATTCAATTGAACATTTATTCGTGTTACTCAAATAATGAATAAACTCTGTTAGAGTTGTCCATTTTGTTGAGTTCATATGAATGTGGTTTCTATCATGAATAATGTCATTATAAACTGTATTTGCAAGTACTTTGGTTTTTGAATATCTAGTTTTCATTAATTTCATAAACGCAGATTCAAATTGTTTACTGTAATCGTTTAAAATTTTTTTGGAGTTTTGTTCAAAAACCTCCATCTGCCTCAAATGTGCATCCGACATTCTATGGCATTTAAAACCATTTTCATCTCTACATTGTTTTTCGCATAGCTGACAATACCACCTAAGTTTTTGCAATCCTTTCGACTTAATTTGTTTAGATAACCATTTAACTGTTCCGAATTCAGCCTTTGGCATGTAATAAATTTTAAATATGAAATAAACTTATTTTTATAATTTTCTAATTAAAAAAAAAAAATCCCGTAAATAAAAATTTTATAAAAAATTTACAAAAAATAATGAAATTAAAATAAACGCAATAAACTATAAAAAAAAATATAAGTAAAATTTTCAAAGTAAGTTACCACTTTTCTTTTATATAGTTGTTTTCCCACTTTTCACCCCAAGACTTTACCTTTGTAGACCAAGTCCACGTATCTCCCCAAGAATTTCCCCATTTATTGCCACTTCCATCTGTTGCATATTTATTAGTCCATTTTTCCATATACTCAGCGTTTACTCCCCCCTCTCCCATAAATTCATTTCCTAATCCATAATATAGTTCTCCCCATTCTTCACTCCACTCCTCACCACTAATCATTTTTTTGCCCTTTTTAGATGCATTCTTCTTACTGACATGATTTGTAGTATCTATCTCTTCTCTCCACTCCTCTTTCCATTTATCTCCAATGTTGTTTTCACCGCTCTTCCTTGCCCATTTCCATTTATTTTTGAAATCTTCTTTCCATTCTTCTTCCCATTTATCCCCATAACGATTTTCTCCCTTCTTCAATGCTTCTTTATAATCTGACCTTTCCGACCATCTTTCTGACCAGCTTCCTTCCTTATCAAAACCTTGTTTTACTACCCACTGTTCTCCAGTGTGATTTGATTTACCAAATTCATCCATATACCAGTTTTCTTTACCTTTCCCTTGTTTTATTGAGTATAAATTTCCATTACCATCATCATTACATTTTTCTTCCCATTCTTCAATTAATTCAGTCCTGTTATCAAGATCATATTTTTTGCCCATCTTATACAGCGTTAACTTTCCTGACTGATCTTGAAGTTGATCTTCTGTCCAGATTTCAATTAGTCCATTTTCATCCATTAATTTCCAAGTACAATATTTTTTAAATTTTTCTAAATTATCCTTATTCCATTCTTCTTCCCATTCTATAAATCTATTGTTATTATGTTTTCTATCTATTCCTTTTTTATAGCCATGCTGACTCAAACCATCAGATTCCCAGTTGTCAGAGTATTCCTCAAATTCAGACGAATACCACGACTCAGTGTTCTCTATGTATGAATGTTCGTTTGGTTGCGTTAAACCCAAACTATCTTTATCTAATATTTTCAACTTTTCATCGCAAGTGAATTTTTGTTTTAATTTTATTGTTTTCTTTTCACCCCATTTTTCACCATTTTTTTTTGTCCACCATTTATCAGTAAACAATTTATTTCTTATTATTTTTTTACTGATCTGACATTTTTTGAGACTCTCACTCCAATCTTCAGACCAAGTTTCTCCGGTAGCTATCCTTTCACCTCTTTTTTCTCCACTTCTTAAAATTGAAACTGGAAGCTCGTCTTGATCCTGATTGCTAAATTGTGACTCTTCATCGCACTTTTCTCTAAAAACTTCATTCCCGTTATTATACCAATTTTCTTTTAATAAATGAACTTTCTTTCCGGACGAAGTTTGATCTACAAATTCCGAAAATTTTTCTCCCCAAGAATTTTTTTCTCCAACCTTTTCCCAATTTTTCTCGATATGTTTTTCTTCTTTCAAACCACTTTTATCTTTTTTCTCTTCCCATTTGACTTTAAAGCTCTCATTACTTGATTTGGAATAACCACTTTTTTCTCCCCATTGCATTTCATTGTTTTCATACCAAATATCGCATTCTTTTGATCCATCTACTTCTTCAAACCAAACTTCATGCCATTCAGTTTTGTCTCTATTACCATATTTTCTACCTTTTTTATTCCCATAACTATCTATCTCAATGTACTCTTTCCAAGATTCTGAGTATTCGATACCATCAACTGAATTAACAAGGCATAATTCGTCAATAGTTAGATCATCTGAGGAAATATCATATTTGGAAGAAATTACTTCAATATCAGAATTCTTATTTTCTCCACTACACCCTTTGTAATATCTGGAAAAAATAGTTTCTGAATTGTCTTTGTATACTTTTTTTTTTTTAGAATAGAAATAGGGGTAATTGTTTGTTTCATTGGAAATTCCCCTTTCCTCATATAATATTATGTAGTAATCATTGAAGAAATCACTTGATTCTTTCCATTCCTTTTGCTCCAATATTTTTTTCCCATATTTATTGCTCCTAAGTAACTTCCAGCTCGACCCATTTTGATCAAAATTGATTGGTTCATAATTAAACTCAGAATCCTCAAACCACACGTTTATCACTCGTAAATTGTTTTCACAAAGTTGTTGAATAAACTTTCTAACAAAAAGTTTTCTGCCTCTTCTAAACCACTTTTCTTTCCATCTTCTGTTTTTTTTATAATCTACACCAATTAGTTGGCCAAGAGATGCTTTATCACAATTTTCCAACTTTTTAAGCTCAGACAAATCTTTTTCTTCATTACTTTCTTCATTTAATTCACCTTTTATAGCTTGAAAATCAATGTTGCTTGATGACTCATCTTCACTATAGGACACCTGCGAAATATTCGAATCTCTAGGAATATTTCTCTGCTCAATCCATTCTTCTTTCCAACTTTTGTCCTTGGCTTCTTTTTTCCCCCATATGAGGCCTTCATCATTTCCTTCCCAAGTTTCAGTAAATTCATCATTTTCGAGAGTTTTTTTCTTTCCAGAGCTGAGTGTTAGGTTTAAATCATCTTTTAACTCATCATCATAATTGAAAAAATACAAACTATCACCAAATGTTGATCTAATATTATCATTTAATAATTTTTGTTCATTTTCAGCTGTAGAAATTGAGCATTGAAAATTTTGAGGTTTTGAAAATTGCATTAATAATTCAGAAAAATATGAATAATATAATAGAATTTATTATCATGAATAAATTATTCATAAAAAAAATTTTATATAATAAAAAAAGAGCGATATAGAAAATTCGAGCTTTAATTAGATTATTTATTTAAACTAAAATTCATAATTATGAAATATAATTTTATTCGAAATTCAGCCTCTTGCAGTAATTTGTTGAATTAGATTCACTAAATTGATCAATTTTCGATAAAGTTTTGACAAAATAACTACTTTGGGTTGTATAATCATTCAATTCACTAATTTGAAATAAATTATCATTTTTATAATAAGGAATTTCTAGATGAATAGAAAGTTCAAAATCCTTACCATTACTTATTATATAAAATAAACGTTGGTGTTCTCTTGAAACAAATTTCATTGAATTCATAAGAAAGCAAACCGATAGCCAAAATAATTTTGGCACACTTTGCTTAACTAATTCCCTATCAGAAATAATGAAATCAATCGTTTCCGAACTAATTCCATTGCAATTGAACAAACAACCATTCATTGAAAATTCACCTAGCAATAGAGAAAAATAAGTTTCAACTTTAGAAATTAATGTCTGAAGATCTTGAATTTTATTTGGCTGGGAATTATTTATTTTTGAACTCAAAAAACTTGTAAAAATCACTTTTCTATCAATTCCATTAATGTTTGGAAAGGTGAGATCTATCAATTTTGATTTCCTAATGCAGAATTTTGATTCAAAATGTCCTTTCTCATCTCCCAAATTTGTTATAGAGTCTTTTAAACTGTATGTATCACCTTGGTTCTTTAATTGTTTAGAGATAAAATAGTCGAAATCTGTGAGTAAGGAAGGTAGTACACTCATTTTAATTTTAATTAAATTACAAATGTCTTTGCTGAAGTTTAATTTCTTAATTAAAGTTCTATCTGGATATTTGATTTTTTTTTGTAAATTACGAGAATTAACCATAGAATAACTATTTTCTTTAATATGAATATTAAGATTTACGGCTGATTTAACTCGGTGAAATAACTCTTGAAATTGACTTGTAACAAATAAAATATATTTATCATTTATTTGTGAAATATTAATATTACTCATCATGTTAATTTTATATTCGCAATGAAATTTTCTAGAAATAGGTATAGGAATGATAGGTTTGCGGTTAATTATTACCAAATTAAACAAATTCCTCTTCAAGCTAGAGATAACACGTTCATTGCCATATGAATATTTAATTTCATTTATTTGTTTAATAAAATCACTCTTTATAATACTTCCATCATAATTTTTAGTTTTCGTGTTACATAAGTTGATGATTAATGCAGCAAAAGGTATATCGTTTGTTCCTAATAAAAAACTTCCATGATTTAAAGAAAAATAAACTTCTTTTAATAACTTAAGACTGTTTCTTCCAACCGGAGATGTTAGAGGAAATAGTTTAATAGCGGTTGGATTCCAGTGAGGAGGTACAATACCCATTATTTTCATAGAAATGTTATCAACCAATTTAATCCATCCCTTTTTTTTAAATTCATCTTCCATAATCGTGATAATATTCTCTTGTTCTATTACCTCCCCTTCTTCAGAGTCGGATAAACCTTCTGAATCGATGTCTCTACCAATGTATTCATTATTATAAGTATTTTTATCAAGATAATTTAGTAGATAATTATTTTTTTCAGCAAAGAACGTTAAAATGGGATTACCACTAAAGAATAGGCTTGAAAAGTTCAACCTTAGTGTTAACAAATTGAGTGAATTCGCTATTATCACATCTGAATAACTTAGCAGGCATCTTGAATCTAGACATGATATTTTGATTTGGTTATTGCTTTGGTTTGTGACAATAATTGGTCTTTTATCATTTTTTAAAGAAAGAAATGCCTTTGAATAATTAATTATTAAAATCAAGTTTATTTTAACATTTCTCAGGTTAAAAAATTCTCTTTGCAAGTCATTAAAACATATGTTTAATAACCCTTCAATAATTTTAATAGTCATTGTATCATCTTCAATTAATTCAAATGCGGATTTAAACTCCAAATTATTTTCTGGTATTATACTCCAAATAGTAATATTTTTATTTACATCACCGCATTTCTTTATGATGTTACGTAATATATTAATAAAACTAGTATTTAGTTGGCTATGCAATACTTGTTCTTTATCTTGTTGGGAACTTTTTTTAATTTCATTTCTTGTAACATGAGAAGAAATGGATTCAAATTCCTTATCTGACTTTAGCCACAAATCCATTACATACTGATAAATTTGTCTAGAACTTAATGATACATCGATTTTATATAATTTTTCGTTTAGTCTACTAGAGACAAAAAAACCATACTTTCTCAAAAAAACGTTACTTTGAAATTCATTAGAAATTATTCGAGAGAAAACTCTAGATAAACTATCAATTGTTCTGTTATTACAAGAAACAAATGGATAAATGAAGTTAAGTAAGTACCTTTCGAGAGTTTTGTTGGTAAATCTCCTTGATATCAAATCGTTCTTTAAAAGCCCCCAGTTTATTGGGGGATGGTATTGTACAATATGAATCTCATTCCCTATCATTATTTAAAAGTTTTCACATTGTGCAAAAAGTAAAACAATACATTTAGAAATAATCAATTATAACATAAGACCTAAGAAAAATTTTAGCCGGATTTTTTTTAATAGCGGGGTAACCTATCAATCAGAGGGCCTATTCTGCAAAGCTTGCTGTTTAATTCTCCTATTATATTCAGCTCTATTATTTGAGTACAGCTGATATGACTCAGCTTGAGCTGGGGATTTAATATTTGGGTTATCTAAAAGGTCTTGGATACCTAGTAAAATTTGTTTCATAGTAATAGAAGGTTTCCAATCTTCATCTTCGTTTAGAATAGAAAGACAAACGGTTCCTGAAGGATAGATATTTGGATGAAATAGTGGTGGTTGAAAAATACACTTTGGAGGTTTTGCAGGGTAGTCCTCAGGAAATATTACATTTAATGTATATTCGCCGTTTTCCCAAAGAGTCTGATATTATTTTTTAACAATAAGAGTAATTAAGATTCACATATCAATAAACTTACCCCACTTTTTCCTGGAATTTTGCATATCCACTTCATCATATCTTGGCCTTCACCATCTTCAGATGGAGCATATTTCGCTGAAAATCCGACTGGGTGATCTTTTCGCCATTCTGCTCTCTCTTGAGCAATTCTTTTCCTAGAAAAACTCATTCTAATAATTATTTCTAAAAATCATACAATTCATTAATTTAATTCTAACAGATGTTCAGTTTCCCGGAATTTAGAGGGTAATACGTATAGCCAATTTATTTGAGAAAAAAAAAAGTAAAATGGAATTTCTTTAAAAAACCAGACTAATGATCTATTAATTCTACAAATACATTAGTAGTAAGGCAAAAATAAATAATTGAACCACGTAGTATGATTCTTTCGTGAAGATATTATAAGCTTTAGAAACTTTTTGCGCTTTGTTTATTTCTCCTGGACCGGTAAGCAACAATTTATTTCCTTTGCATTCATCTGGAAGAGTTTCTGATGATCTTTGAAGGATAATACCTGGATACCAAAACATGTCACACGAATTGGCAGAAACATTCATAAAACCAGCTATACCCCATGAAGCACCCCAACTGTTTTGTATTACATAATATTTCTCACCATCATCACTTATTCCAAATCCAACCATAATAACTGCATGGTTTAATTCAGAAAAAGTTGTGCATTTAGTTGCCTTATAGATTCCATCAGAGTAACTACTGAAACCTGGTAAATCGGAATTTACACTTAACGAGATCGACCCAACCTTTGGGAGAATTGTAGTCACAAAATCCCACCCATCATCACCATTTAGTGCAAGATCGGTGAAAACGCTGTATTTACTTATGTTCAAACAACCATTACAATTACCCGCTTTGCAACTACCCAGCGAATCGATATATGGGTATTCATCCCATGAGCAAATGTAGTTTTTTGGCACATTTTGTTCGAGTAAATAACTCCAACCATTTGAGTAAAACCCACCATCACATCCCAAATTCCCAAAGCTCATACTGCAATCAATTATTTGCTGAGGAGAAAGCGGTGCAGGTAGCTCCAACTTTTGAATACAATTTGAAATACTTACTGAAGCACTAACAACAAAGGCATAACAACCCCCACAGTTTCCCTGATCATAAGGTATGTATACACAGGAATTGCCATTTATATCGCGCGAGTCAAAGTATGAATTTCCATTGATTGTTTCATAACTAGGTTCGTTCTTTCCATCATCAGTGTTTGGGTTTTCAGCATTCAACTGCCTTAAAATTTCATTGCCACTATTATATGTAACTTCAAGTCCTTGTTCAGTTCTGCTCAACAGATGTTTAGATAGAAGTTCTTTCCCTTCTGCAATGGATTCCTTCCAGCTAGTTCCAATTACCTTGTTCTTTAAATTATTAGGAATGACTAATTTGGAAGGAGGGCGATCTAATGATAATTGAGTCAACTCAAATTTTGCTTCTGGATTTAACTTAATTGCTGTGATAATTTCCTGAATTTTTCCATTACATACTTCTAAAGAAGACTTATTCAGTCCTAGATTTGACTGGATTTCAGAAACGAATATACAGATACAATTGATTATTGATTCACCACCCTGATTATTATTTGTTATATTTAACAAATTCAAAGGAGTTGAATTTATATTTGAAATATCCAACAGTCGGTCTGTCCATGTGGCATTTGTTGTGTGAACAGAGTTTATAAATATTTCAGGGTGAATGATTATATCAAGATCATTGTTGATTTCTCCTGAATTAGTTGCAATATTCATTTTTATAGTCGAATTTGAAACTCTATCATTCTTAATTTTCCAGGTATTATTAGAACTATAATTCAAGCCTTCGTTTTCAAGCTTATGTGTTTTATTTGAGAAATAAAAAATCAGTGAGATTTTTTGAAGATATTTTTTTAGTTCTGTGTGTTCAGTAATACATTTGTGAACATTTATTGAAAAATTGAATTCAACAGAATTGAAAAATTTTGAGGTCAAATTATTTCCTTCAACTGTGTTTGTAATGTTCTGAAAACCTTTCTTCAATTCACTTTTAAGATCTTGATTTAGCAATTTTGTGGAGTTTTTCTTGCTGGAATAGCTCTCTACAAAATGATGATCAATATCCTTCGCATTACTTTCCACTTTTGCCATAGAACTAGAATTTTTTTGTGATAATGCATGATTAGCTCCTAATTCGTTATTATCCAAAGAGCTGTTTCCATTATGTAATAAATTACAATTTATGGTTGTAATTACAGAGAGGAAAGTAATAACATTAACAAATATAATAGCAGTTCGTTTCCATCCACATGACTTATTTGAAATAGCTAAACTTCCTCTTTGGAATGCAGTTTGCATTCTAACAAATTATTATCTAAAAAAATAGTCGCTGGAATCAAATTGATAAAGAGATTTTTCTTTAATACTGACTATTAAATAAGAATTGACTTAAACGAACTTAACGGAATATATCAGCCCCACATAAATTGACGTGTGCATTTTTTGGCGCCAGAAAATTAAGCCAATCTTAAAAAAATGATGAAATAGGCCTTTTAAATATTTGAATGAACAAGCGTATAAATTAAAGGCTCAGTCTGGTGATTTATTCTTAACTGAAAGATATTGTCCATAAATTTGTTGTTAACACGATTGCCTTTTACAATAGAAAGGTAGTCGACAATGTTATTGTCAGCGGCGCCATTTTCATCTATACAGAAATCAGTAAGGACTATGTTTGAAGAAATTGAGGAATTTAAGGTTATTGCTTCTATTTTCAGAATTATAATACAGTGGAAAACCGGATGTTCTTCAGATAAGTTTGCAAGTTCTTCCTCATTCAAAAAATATGCATTGATTGAACCTAAAAAGTTTGGAGATAACGCCTGTATCTCTTTGTATATTTGAGAAATAAAGTCATCAGAATGTTTAAACTCACAATTGGTTATAGTTTCCGATTTATAAATGGGGTCGCTACAATGAATCTCTCTTGAGCTATCATTGTTATTGTTTGATCTTAAGTGATAATTAAATGGAGTAAAGCTATCAGAAAAACATTTTTGTTCTGGATTAACATAGCCGGTTAAACCCCCATTGAATACTAATGGTTTCCCATTATTACATAGTTGCTTTATTCTAGAATCTACGTGATTGAAGTCATTTTCAACATTTTCACTTTTATAAATTGATTTCTGCATTAATATAGTCGCACTCAACTTCCAATTAAATAATGATGAGTGATTAATATTTTGATATATTTGGTATATTACTGAATGGAGAATCCCCGGAATTTTGTTGTCAAGATTTTTGATCTTGTATCTTTCGGTATACTCACTGATTCCATCATTAATTAACACTAACCTGCCATTATTTGTCCCCCAGAAAGTTTGCCTTGATGCTGTAGAATTTGAGCCAATATTTGCAATAAAAATGGAGGGCACCTCAAAACTGTGACTTGTATTTCTTTTTGATTTATCATTTAAATCGTTCTTTTCACTAAATATTAATTTAATGCTATTGAAAAAATCATTAATTAATAGTAATATGTCCATTTCAACTTCTTTTTGCTCATTGATATCTACTAAGTAGTATGTACTTTTTTCATCTATATTATTTGGTGAATCTATATTAAATGAAGAATTTTTCTTAAGCTCAAAGTCCATTTTTGAGTGCAATAATGATTGTCTTCTAATTATATTGTTTGTATTGTTAATTTTTGGTTGGAAAACCATATTTGTTTGTGGTTCATCGATTTTCTCAATAATATCTGAAATTTGTTGATCAATTTTCGATAAGTCGGTTAATAGTAATGAAGAAGGTCTCTTTGTATCATCAAATTCAATTATCTTGTCAAATCTAATTATTTCTTTGCCAATACTAAATTGAGATTTCCCAATGTCAATATCTAATTTTAAGCTGTCCTTTCCAATATATTTTTCATCTTTTTGAGTAGTGAACTGCTTAAAATTATTATTCTCCTCGAAACTGTAAGAAATTGTATTTTTGTTTTCGCATGGAGGAATAGAAATATGAACTTTTGATAATTGCGGTATTTCAGAAGAATATGTTCTACAAATAAACTTGGGACTTTTTGTAAGTTTATGTAACCTAAATTGAAGTTGATTGATTAGTAATTTGTCATTTTGTAACAACTTTTCTAAATTTAAGGCATACTCTATAGATTTATTAAATGGAACTCTTAAGTTTTTAACTATTAACTCTCCATCATCGCCTTCTAGCTCATAAAATTTAATAGAATTATCACATTCTGAAATTTCTCTATGTAATAATTGAATTGTTTGTTCAATATCCAAATTCTGTAATTTAAAATTATCATTTAAACTTTTAATAGTGTTTATATCCCTCAAGTTTGAGAAAGCAAATTCCATTTCATTGAATTGATTTTCCAGATTTGCTATTTCACATATCAATGTTTTCTCAAACTCTTGTATTGTTTTGATTTCTTCCATATATCTGTAGTTGTTTTCATCAAGATACTCCAACTGGAGTTTAAGTTCAGATTCAATTAAACCACTAAACAGTAGTTCTTGATCATGCTTATTGTCAATTTCTTCTAATTTTAATTTAGTATTTTCGAGTCTTAATTCCCTTTCTCTTATCAAATTTTGTTGTCTGATGCTTAGGTATTTAATATCATTTCTATCATTTCTTTTTACACTTGGTTTCGATTTCCCAATATTTTGATTTAAAATATTTTGAGATTTATTGTTGCGATTACATTGATTATCTGATGATTCTCTTCTAGCGATAATTTTTGATGAATACTTGATTCCAGTTGACGAAATATTATTTTGAGACCTATCTGATAAATAAGCAACTCTAGGTACTTTAAAACTTATGGTAGCTTGAGAATTCAATTTACTAGTCAACAAATAGTTTTCTTTGTTTTCATTCTTTAAGTTCTTCTCCTTATTTAGGCTATGTTTTGCTTCGCTCAGAAACCCGTTAGTACCCGAATTTATTTGATTAGAAATTGCAGATGGCTTTCTTAAATTTGTGGGGCGAATTAAAGATGGAATCTTGGATGACATTGCTGGGAAAGGCGTCTAAGAATTTGTTTGATGGTAAAAATATACAATTTTTAGAAAGCATTATAATTTCATTTGAACTTTATTTTCAAATCTAATATTTTTTTACTTATTAAATGTGGGCGAGGGGGAACATTTTCATTTCATTTTTTCCGGCATAAACTAATAGCTTGTCTAAAATAAATTACAATAATTAAAATGTTTTGTCAATACATAATGTCAAGTTAACAATAAAAGGCAGATAGAACATTTATTTTGTATAAATAATAGCAATTGAGTCATTATTGTTCGCTTTTGATATATCAAATAAATTGCCAAGGTGGTAAATAACAGTGGCTCGAAAAAAATGTATTATTGAATCTAACATAATATTTATACAACTATTGTGCCTATCACAGTTTTTTATATCCATTAATTTCACACCAAAAAGAAGACTAGACACAAAATTTGAATTTCACCCTTTTACTATTGCCAAAACTATTATTGATTAAAACATCAACAATTCAAAACTCGTTGTTTTCTTAATACATCTTTTGTTTATGATATAGAGCCTGATTTGTTTTCCACAATTTTTTTTAATTTTTATTTGGTTTGAATGATCATTTTTATTTTTGATTAATTTTTTTATCTTGAAAAAATACATATATTCATCCTTTTTCACACATTAGTCACTGAAAAAAATATTAGTTTTAATGGATTTTTTTTCATTTTGAATGACACTTCATATGATGAATTTTACCATAAATGTTAAAATGGATCAAATAAGCGATATTCAGAACCAGCAGCGTTCTAGAGATATTTTATATTCAGAACCAAAAATTACAGAAACTATTTTAACAAGCAGTCAATTTGAAAGACGTCCAAATTGGTGGAGAGGAAGTGATTCCGAAAATATTTTGGACCCATGCTTTAAAAAACCTATTTACACAGGTAAATCCAAATTTAATTTTCTCCCAACATTTTTAAAAGATAATATTAAATGGTTTAAACATAGAATTTTATCAAATATTAATCATGAAAATGATTATAGATGTAATGAATATGAAAAAAAGACTATGATAGAATATGGCAAACAACTAAAAATGACACAGAAACAAGAATATTCACAATATAAATACATTTCTCCATATTCTGAATATCTATTAGAAAGATTGAAGTGGAAAATTGCACTCCGAATTTATTATACATTAGATCCTAATGACAAAGGATATATTGAATTAGAGCACTCCAAGAAATTATTATTTGAAATGCTCAAAGTAGATACAGAAAAGGCACAATCACTCCTTTTATTACTCGAAACTATTAAACCATTCTATGCAAAGGACGGATGCATTGAAAAAAATGATATAATAAGTTACTTGTCAAGAGAAATTTTTGATGATACAAGAGGGTATGGTCTTTTTTCAAAACTTAATAACATATTTAAGAATCCAATTAGTAGGTCAAAAAGGCAGAATGATTATTACTTCAGTAATAATTTTCAAGAATTTAGTATACTAAAAAAAAATGAAAAAATTTGTTTTTCTTCAGACCCCAGCTTAATTAAAATAAATCAAGTGAATTTTGGAAAAATTAATTTAAAAGAAACTAATTGCAATTTTGCTCATTGCCACAAAAATAAAGAAACCTGTATAACATGTAATATGAAAAAAAATTGCATCGGAAAATTAAAAGATCACATTAAGACAAGTAAAGATAGAAAACAAAGGTTGATTGAACGAATTAAACAGGAGCAAAAAGAAATTAATGATGAAAGTATGTTAAACTGTACATTTAAACCAGAAATCATTTGGCCAATAGGAAAGTTTATATTAAAGAGTAATAAAAATTGGTTGAGGGATAAAAAGAATATACAAAGAACAAAGCTGCCTCTAAACAAAAAAAATAACATAAGTGGATACCAGGTTATTAATGAACAGGATATAGATGATAAAAATATCCAGGTATTTTTAAATAGTAATTGTAATTCTGGCTCTTATAACAATTGGAGCGGATACATTCATGACAGTATGACTAACCAAATTTTTGTTATACACAAAGGATATTTAACCCATGATAATAATATGGATAAAAATGAAATTTTTTATAGAAAAACGGACAAGGAGGATCAGAAAGAAATTCGAAATAAAGTATTAGATTCAATTATAAGAAAAGTACATAATGAATTTCAAAGTTTAGAAAGTACTGAAAATGGGAATGAGCAAAAAAACTCATTGAATTTTGGGACCAAGAAACTGATTGAGGGGCTTAGAACCGAAAGAGAAACTGGAACCAATGACCCAAGGTTAAATACGCCCGAGTTTACAATAGAAATTAATCATCCAGAATTTGTAGAAAAAAGCATAAGTTTCAGCGCAATTAAGCCTTACAAAGAGGCAGTAAATCATGAAAATTTTCTCATTAAAAGTGAATATCCTACAAGTCCTTGTTATTACTATCTCCCAAAGGGATACGAAAGGATAGGTAACTGCTTTAATGAAATTCACTTTAGAAGAAAACTTGATTTTTTTAACAATAATGAGCGAGACAATTTAAATACCAATAAAAGGGATAATTCTAATTTAAAGGGTTCTTTAAACTTATCTACAAACAAAACAAATTTTGAAGGTAACTCTCCTTTATGTTTAAAAGAAGAATTAGTTGAGGAAATGAAAATGAAGAAAATACAGAACATTTCGAATGAAACAAATAAAACTAATCCTTTATTAATTAAAAACTCGAATGGAGTTGACAGTCAGAATCAGAATAACAACATTGATATTCCAAATACAAGAGGAATGCAAACAGAAAGTAATAATTTAAATGAGCATTCTTTTCTCAAAAATTCATATATAAATGACAATGCTCAAGTAATAACTAAGTCTAATAACATAGATGATGAAACTGAAATTCTAAGAAAAAACATAACTACTCAATTAAAAAAGGAATTCAGTGTTTCGGTTTCAAAAAAGAACAACTTAAAGATTTTACCAAAGAAAGATGACTCAGTAGCTAAATTAAAAAAAGAAACTGTCGCTTCTATTTCAGCAAAGAGTAATCCTAAAGTTCCCTCAAAAAAAGATAATTTGCTACCTTTATTAAAAGAGGAAGCTGGCACTCTGATTCCAAAAAAGAACAACTTAAAAATTTTAACTAAGAAAGATAGCTTAGTAACTCTATTAAAAAGTGAAACTGCTGCTTCAATTTCGACAAAAAATATACTTAAAATTCCACTAAAGAAAGATAAGATAGTAAATTCATTAAAAAAGGAAACCGTTACTTCCATTCCAACAAATAATAGCTTTGAAACTACATCAAAAAAAGATGAACTAGTAGTTAAATTGAAGGAAGAGACCTTCAATCCAGTTGAAACAAAGAATAACTTAAACATTCCACCAAAGAAAGATATCA